TTTCTCAGTACATTTATGAAACATTAATGTATGTTCGAAAAAATATTACAGTATTTCCTATGCATATTGATAAGCACTCGCTTAATACGAGAAATTAATTAGCTGTACCAATGACAAGGCTCCACAAAATCAATAATTCATTTAAAGCTCTTTGTGTACGCTTCTGCAATAAATTCCCTAGCAATATTTAAAATTTTATGGGTCAAGAAATTTAAAGCTACTATTAAAAGAGTTCTTGAGGTTTTTGGCGGGATTTCATCGAGTGCGGTTGGCGTCTTATTTTAATTATTCTTAAATTCGTTCATAGTGGATATTGTGAAATAAAATTGGTGTGGTTTTGTGTAACAACTGTCTGCGTAACTGAAGAATTAGTGGAATCATTATAATATACGCTATTCCGGTCAAGTGGACGTGAGAATTTTATTGTAGTGTTGACTACCTCACAGAAGCTTATCGAAAAAGCCAACTCGATACATTTCGTGCCAAACACTCCAAGAAACATTAGAATGCGTCACACCGACATTCTAATGTAAAAACAAAAAGAAGATTGATTCAATTAAAGACCAGGCTGTATGGGCATTGTTCCCTTTGCCTTCCCTAAAACGGGAGAACTTCAACAAAAAAAAAGAGTTTTTAAAATATTTTGAAGTGTCTGATAGTCCAGGCGCTAGAGGTAGTTGAGTATGCAAAATCCGAGTGACGGCAACTATGACCGGATTCTTATACCTGAGACCCTAAATAATAATAAAACACATCTTGCCGCCAGATGTAATGGTCCCTTCCCGCTCTCTTCACATCCCCTCTTCGCCCATACATTAAGCATAGCGCGCGTACGCGTTTAGTGTGTTTCTACATCTATTCACGTAAAGACGTTGCTTTGTTAAGTCGTTTTTTTATTTAAACATATAAAAAATAGTATTTTCGTAAATTCTTAGTGCCTGTTACAAGTGTATTGACTACTTGGCTTCCTGTTTGTTGTATTGTTCCTAATGAACCGCAGTTTTATGTCAGTGTCCGCGGAGAGCTCTTGCAGGTGCTCATTTTGCTCGATGATGTTTCCCAAGAGCTCTTCCCTGCGCACATCTTTGGAGATGCCTTTCACCATGACCATCGGGCTTATCTTTCTTTTTGGTTCCGCAGAGACTCCCATGGCCTCTGGTGCGCCGTTGATTCTCCTTAGGACGTAGTTGAAGTGATCCACACCGTCAAATTCTACACGGGTCTTATCGTTGGATAGTTTGGTAATCATAGCCGCAGTATATTTGGCATCCTGTGTGTAGTACATACACCAACTTCTTCAGGGCCCTCACCGCCTTTTCCCTTGGGTTTCCCTCTCCTTTGCACGACATGATCAGGGCTGGTTTCGGAGCGGCGGTTCTGTTGCTCGCTGGGTGGTTACTCGACATGATAGGGAGATCGGTCGACGGGGCAGCCCTCGGTGGTCCAGCCGCCATTTGCGCGATAGTGAGGGGCATCGTGTTCGGAGTCCGGCTAGGGGTGCTGGTCTTAATCTGCGCTTGATTTCCCTTAGCTCTTTCCTGATCAGCTGTAGGTCGGCGGCGATGGTAGGCTCGACCGATGGAAGAACTGCGGGAGCTACCGCCGGGCTGGGTTGTGTTGTAACCTTTGGCGTCCTTGATGAGCCTAAGTATGCTGTTACAGTAGTTCAAGGTGTTCTCTCGGTTGGCCTTGGTGACAGATTTGTTCTTACTGCGCTTGCAGTCGACATTGTCCAGGATCTTGTTAACGTACCCGGATATCGTTTCCAGGAGGCGGTTGGTGGAAGTGAGCGTCGGCGTTGACGGTTCGTCTTCAAAGACCAGGGGCTCCTGGGTTGTAGACATGAAGTCAGGGGAGTCCCTGCCTCCAGTATCCGGAGCTGCCAGGTCCGCTTCCTTGGCCACTGCACCAGCGGCTACTGGCTTGGCACACTTGGCTACTGTACAAACATTTATATAGAAAAATGCTCATTAAACACAATTACCACCCATTGATTATTGTTCATTTGGTTACGAAAAGCTCAACGGTGACTTACGTCCACGACAAATGACGAAGCCGTCTTTATCAGAGTCATTAATTTCACCATGTAAATGTACTGCGGATTGTCGCACAATGTCTTGTAATTGCCAAGAATCAAAATTGTTTTGTATTTAATTATGTAACTGCATCAATAACAAATGTAAAAATAAAAATGAATAATTTTGTACCTACTTTAAATACATTTATGCTTGGATTCGCTGGTTTTACATGAGTAGGCAACTTTAATTTTTTTTCATTAATAAAAAAAATATTACTATGATTTTTTTTATTATTTAAGAATCCATCCTGACTTTTACCATTACAAAAAACTATAAATTATTACAAAAATAATCATTAAAATGATTTTATATCATGTACTCAATACATTCCCTTTACGAATAAGAGAAAAGGGGGTAAAATAAATATGGACCAAAAAATCGACCGGCAAGATTCACATTATTATTCTTTGACCTATTCTTCACTTAAATCCGTTGGCAAAATTCGGTACTCACATTATGCATACTCACTTACCTCTAACGCCCGGTCTATGATTACATTTCATACAAAAATGCTTGGATTTAAACTATTCCAAACATACCGGCAGGCTTTTCTATAATTATGATGAAAATGATATGATCTTGTATTGACATCTTAACAATATAATATTTTGTAAATATTGTTATATAATTATTTGACGCTAAAATATAATTATAGCCAAAAAAATGTCCTTAAGTCGTGGCACGGAAAAAAATATGAACAATTCAATAGTTGTATTGTGCCTCCAATTTGAATAAAGATTTTTGACTTTTGACTGTTTTTCTTATATAACAAAATCTTCTCCAAGACGAATGATAAATATGAAAAAATGAGCACTGAAGCGACTAACTACTAAAAAACTTATTTGATTTTTAAAATGTTTTATATCTTCTTTCAAACTTGAACTACTACAAATTCAGCATAATTTGAGACTCAAACAATTCAAAACATAATAATATCTCAAATAACTTAAGCGTATTAGTTTCATGTTAATCATACGGTAATATATTTATCAACTGTAGAATATATTTGGTACATAGAACAAATAAGCACCAATATGGTTTGTGTTCTAAGACCACATCCGAATTTTTGATTGTGTATCCTTGTTCTATCTCCACATAAAAACCTTAAAATAAGGCATAATTCATTACCATCCATGGATGAAAGTTCACAATAATTCATAAGTGGCTCATGTATTATTTACGCCCTTCAAATCCTTTTGATCTAAAATCACATCCGAATTTTTGTTTGCATATCCTTGTTCTATCGCCACATTAAAACCGTAAAATAAGGCATAATTAATTATAATCCATGGATGAAAGTTTACACTAATTCACTAGCAGCTCATGTATTATTTACGCTCTTCAAATTCTAAAAATGAAGCTACGTTTTTTTTAATGGAAGGAAAAACTTGTCTCTTGTAAACTTAACCCAATGGGTTCAAATCAATATTCTATGGAATGGATATTTACTATGATACTTTCAATCTTTATAGGTATATGCTCACTACATCAACTCAACGTACCGTCACCGATTGCTCGATAGCTGTCCGAGCGCGGCCGATGGGTGGACAACTCTACCACTAAAAATATGACTGTTTATTTTATTTTCATAATGTATGTAGAAAGAACCAAAAGCATTACCAAATGGCAAGCAGCACTTGTTAAAAAATATTGAATGACAAATAAATCAACATAATACAAATTTTTAGTTAATATAATATTATTATTATTATTTTTTATAGCCAGGTAGGCAAATGACTCTACCCCACCTGATGTTAAGTGAAGGTGAAGTACAGACGTGAAGATAGCTGATACAGCAGTTATAAACTGCCACACCAACCATCCTCACCTGGCCGGCCTGCAAAAGTGCTTCTTCACCCCTCTCTTAAAGTACCCCAGATTGTAGGAAGGAGGGAACACGTGCGCGGGCAGTAATTCCACTTGCAAATAGTAAGACAAAGAAATTACTCACCAAATGTCTTTGTTCGTGTAGGAATAGTGGCCACAGTAAGTCGGTGACAACGTTTTTTTTTAAGTTTTCATTCATACTTACCTATATTTAGCTTGTAATGTCGTTGTTGTAATGGCTCAATTACATTTGGTCGGTAGCCCGAATACCATTGCCAATGGAATTCGGGTAAATGAACGGAGTTGAGTACGCCCGTATTCGAATAGTTTGCCTTTTGGTTAACTGACACCAGCTTCCAGTACATTGTAAATATTGCTTCGGGTGCCCGAATTCGAGTAAAGTCTTTCGTGCACCCGAATATGAGCTACCGACTAAATATAATCGAGCCATTACGATTGTTCTTTTTATTTCACTTTCCGTATCTACAAAACAACAGAATGATATGTTTAATGTTGACATCTTTATATGATGTACAGTATTAACACAAAAACACGTTTCTTTTGTTACGCAAATTGTTGGCAAAGATGCTATTTTTTATTAATAATTATACTATAAAAGTTCCTATTTAAATCTTACTTCTCAGCGTGACCAGTATATTAGATAATAAAAATATAATTTATTATGGCACACGTATTATTCTTAACATTCTGAAAGTGCGTATTCGTTTATAAAAATACCCAGACAATTAAATTGAAAACTCTTCCAAAATAGCCTCTTTAAACTTATCATAAGTTTTTTCAATTATATTGTAATTAGAGAATCTCCTAGCAGTCAGTTTTCACTCTCTTCTCTGTGGATTTCAGGAAGATTTTAAGTGGTTCTGCCCCCTTCCTCCCACTCAAACGCTAGGCTAGCCCATGACTGGATCAGCGGTTGTTTGCAAGGGGAGTGCCCTGCCCACTGAAAACCTGAATGTCCCTTCAGGCCTTGTCATCTCACCTTCAGGCCTTGGACACATCGAGCGGTGAATCGTAAAGAGACGATGTACCGCACGTAGTGATTACGATCCGGAAAAATGGATCCGGTATCATCAAATGTTTACTAGATCCGGTACATATACCGGATCAGATGATAGCAATTTTTTGAAAAATAATAGCGTAGTTGACGTACTTTAAATATAGTACATTTGGTGAGCTTGTATAGTGGTGAATTACTTGTCTGCTATTCAAAATTATTTACTAACAATATAGCCGAGAAGTGTAGAAGCTGAAAGGGCCTTTTCGACAGCAGGCTATTTTAGCACCATCAGAAATTGATTGGCGGATGTCACAATAAACATTAAGTATTTGTTATGTACGAATTTTTGTTTCATAAACAAAATTGTTTATTTTAATTAATCGTAAGTTAAAATACGATTTGAAAAATAGTAAGTTTAATAATTAAAATAGATAAAATTATAATACAATCTCATGATTAGTTATATCATAGTGGAACACGACCGACGCGGCCAGGAGGGGAGTAGCCATAATGACACAATACTACAGTACCCCTAGCACGAACCATTATCGAATTCGAATAATTTGCAAACCGAAATGTCAATGTCAAATTTTGTATGGAAACTTGAACAGCAATTCCATAAAGTACGTAACGGGAACTAAAAATCAGTACACATTTGACAATGACATTTCGGACTCGCAAATGATACGAATTCGATATTGGTTCGTGCTAGGGGTACAGAACCTTTATTCTGGCCGGTTCGGTTTTTTGTGTTTGTGCGTCAGCGATCAATTCTCTCTTTGTCCAGCATGCGTGGAGGAGGAGTGCGTGGACTGGGAGGGCAAGTCGGTGCCGCACGGGCTGCTGTATGTTCCGGGCCCCGGCGTGTGCAGCCTGTGTGTGTGCTACCACTCTGAGCCCATGTGGTGCAAGGCCATCTATTGCGACCCGCCATACGTGAGTGTTACTGTGTGTTGGGCAGCATGCGTGAAGGAGTGCGGAGACTAAGGGCAAGTCAGTGCCGCACGGGCTGCGGTACGTGCCGGGTCCCGGCGTGTGCAGCCTGTGTGTGTGTGCTACCACTCCGAGACCATCTGATGCAGGGCCATCTATTGCGACCCGCCATACGTGAGTGTTACTGTGTGTTGTGCTGCATGCGTGCAGGAGTGCGGAGACTAAGGGCAAGTCAGTGCCGCACGGGCTGCGGTACGTACCGGATGCCGGCGTGTGCAGCCTGTGTGTGTGCTACAACTCCGAGCCCATGTGGTGCAAGGCCATCTATTGCGACCCGCCATACGTGAGTATTACTATGTGTTATGCAGCATGCTTGCAGGAGTGCGGGGACTAAGGGCAAGTCAGTGCCGCACGGGCTGCGGTACGTGCCGGGTCCCGGCGTGTGCAGCCTGTGTGTGCTACCACTCCGAGCCCATTTGGTGCAAAGCCATCTATTGCTACCCGCCATACGTGATTGTTACTGTGTGCTGGGCAACATGCGTGCAGGAGTACGGAGACTGAGGGCAAGTCAATGCCGCACGGGCTGCGGTACGTGCCGGGTGCCGGCTTGTGCAGCCTATGTGTGTGCTACCACTCCGAGACCATCTGGTGCAAGGCCATCTATTGCGACCCGCCATACGTGAGTGTTACTGTGTGTTGGGCAGCATGCGTGCAAGAGTGCGGGGACTGAGTGCAAGTCATTGCCGCACGGGCTGCGGTACTTGCCGGGTGCCGGCTTGTGTAGCCTATGTGTGTGCTACCACTCCGAGACCATCTGGTGCAAGGCCATCTATTGCGACCCGCCATACGTGAGTGTTACTGTGTGTTGGGCAGCATGCGTGCAAGAGTGCGGGGACTGAGTGCAAGTCATTGCCGCACGGGCTGCGGTACGTGCCGGGTCCCGGCGTGTGCAGCCTGTGTGTGCTACCACTCCGAGCCCATTTGGTGCAAGGCCATCTATTGGGACCCGCCATACGTGAGTGTTACTGTGTGTTGTGCAGCATGCGTGCAGGAGTACGGAGACTGAGGGCAAGTCAGTGCCGCACGGGCTGCGGTACGTGCCGGGTCCCGGCGTGTGCAGCCTGTGTGTGTGCTACCACTCCGAGCCCATGTGGTGCAAGGCCATCTATTGCGACCCGCCATACGTGAGTGTTACTGTGTGTTGGGCAGCATGCGTGCAGGAGTGTGTGGACTGGGAGGGCAAGACGGTCCCACACGGGCTTCTAGCTGCTGCTAGTATAACTGACACAATAAATCTATACTAATGTTATAATTGCGAAAGTTTGTCTGCCTGTTACCTATCTTATGTCGCTAAACTGATTTAGATGAAATTTGGTAATTGGAGTCCCATGAAAGCTAAATAGAATATTTTTGAAGTGAAAACTTCTTTAGCGGCGTTGAGCACCTATTTTTGTATGGGCAAAGAATGTTAAACTCGCGTCAGGTTAAACACGTGGGCTGATCGCGTCATGACACACAATAAAATTGGAAAGGTTGTTGACTTTCAATATATTGGACGAAACATAGTTATATTTTATTTTATCGAATTATAATAATTAGTCTCTCTCTAGGACGTCCACGTGGCAGCTTCATTGCGAAGAAATTGCATTTTTTTACAATAGATGTCGCTAGGTGCGCTTAAACGTGATTCATGTAAGTTGATTTTTCTGAGAGATAAACATTTTTAATGTAATATAAATTGTCATGTTTGTGTACGATAGCGCAATAAATAAATATTGTATTCTACCACATACATGATAGTACTTTTATACTGATAATTAAAGCAATTCGTGCAAAATTATTCCCTAACCATTCCAAAATATCAAAAATGCACAACGTTAATATTCAAGTTTTCACTTCTGCCAGCACTCCCGGAGTGCAACCCGTCACGTCGTTTTTTTTATTCTAGAAATCATCGTTGAAGAAAATAAAAATGGGGATGGAAGTTAGTATGGGAAACTATTTTTTCCACGCAAACGAAGTCGCGGGTTATATAAAACTGAAGAGTTAGTTTGTTTGAAAGCACTAATGTCAATAGGAACAATGAAGGAAAATGTCCAATTTGAAAAAATATGTTTGTGTTGGAAAGTCTATCTACTGAGGAAGTCTATATGACACACAATCAATAGGAGCGGAGCAACTGTAAAAAAAAATAAAAAAAGACGGGAAAAATATTCCATTTGAGAGTTCCGGGGCGTGCGACGGAAACCAATGCAGATTGTTTACAACTTCGCATAGAAACAAGAGCCCTAAAAGTCGCGTAGTGCAGCGAGCACTCTCCGAGAGTCCACTCCGACTCCGACCCGCAAGTAGACATAACAACAATGATATTTCATCTCGAGCTTAACAGACTTCTGCCGCCACATTAAGGTACCTGTAGTTACTGGCACAATTTATAAAACATGAATGTAAGAAACGCTGCAATGTCTACTTTTATATTATTTGCTTAAGTAATAGCTTTTTGTATGCATAAAGGCAAACAAGTACCTATTTGGTCCGCCTCCTTGTAAGCGGATACATCCTGTCATAACAATATTATAAAATAAACACTTGCGATACCCAAAAAATAGGCCTTAACACGAACTTTGACAGCTCCGTAATCGTATCGTATCGTAAACTAAGCAGCGCCCCTACCGGACGTAATATGACTACACAGCTATTTAAAGTTCATGCTTAGGTCGAAGATGTAGTTCTAGACAAATTATGTACTTTCATCCGTTACCCAAGTAACCCATAAGATAACCCTTACAAGAGCTGTTTTAAAAAAAAGAGGTACCTTTTTTAAACCAAACAATATATCTACCGACAGTTCTGCAAGAACTTCCGAGTGGGCGAGCGGTGCTGCGAGTTTGAGTGCCTGGACCCGCCGGGCGAGGACACGCGCTACCGCGAGCGGCAGCGGCTGCGCGCGCTCATACTGGCCGGCAACTCGTCCGCGACGCACCTAGCTGCCTCCCTCGACCTCAACACCGGCATCTCGCTACTAGCGCTAGTCGTCGCCAGATTCGTATGAAGGATCAACCGGCATATTCTAAAATGTAACGCGACGGCGAAGAAGCTTCAGTGAAGACCTGCAAGCGAGCAGTAGAATTACCAAAATACTGCTCACAAACACTTCGTACACCGCTGGTTATCAGATTGTGTAATAATTCATGTCCTACCGCGAGTGGCAGCGGCTGTGCGCGCTCATCCTGGCCGGCAACTCGTCCGCGACGCACCTGGCTGCCTCCCTCGACCTCAATACCGGCATCCCGCTACTAGCGCTAGTCGTCGCCAGATTCGTATGAAGGATCAACCGGCATATTCTAAAGTGTAACTCGACGGCGATTTCAACGACGAGATCACCTACACATAAATCATCACTTCAGTGAAGACCTGCAAGCGAGCAGTAGAATTACCAAAGTACTGCTCACAAACACTTCGTACACCGCTGGTTATCAGATTGTGTAATAATTCATGTCGTACCGCGAGTGGCAGCGGCTGTGCGCGCTCATCCTGGCCGGCAACTCGTCGCCAGATTCATATGATGGATCAACTGGACTAATATTCTAAAATGTAACTTGTCGGCGATTTCGACTTGACGACGGAATCGCCTATATATAAATCACATAATCTTCACCGAGTAGAGTGTTTTTAAGGAAATTAACAGGTTCGCTGTTAACTGACAGCGTTTTTACACACCGCCTTTGGCGTACTCAATAACTGCCACTAGGAATTCCAGTGAAGACTTGCAAGCGAGCAGTGGAATTCCTAAATACTGCTCACAAACACTTCTTACACAGCCGGTTATTAGATTGTGAAATAATTCATGTCGTACCGCGAGTGGCAGCGCGCGCTCATCCTGGCCAGCAACTTGCCAGCGACCTGGCTGCCTCCGTCGACCTCACCGGCATCTAGCTGCTGGCGCTCGTCGTCGCCGGATTCGTATGAAGGCTCGACCGGACTATTCTAAAATGTAACTCGTCTACAAACACATCTTACTGGCATGATCTGACCTTTCGAATGTTATGAAGTAATCTTTGTCTTCGAGCGCCAGTGTTAACGTGGGTAATGCGGACGGGTATATGGATTTGTGAAAACAAACAATTTATTTCAATCTGATTATATTAATTAGAGAACAATTTTGTTGAACGACATAAAAACCCGAATTCTGATGCCCGAAAATTTTAAATTGTAAAATAAATTAAACTTTCGATATGCTATTTTTTTCCAGATTAAACTATCCTTAGTACGAACCGTTATCGAATTCGAATAGTTGAATTCGATCTATTTTATACGTCAAATGTGTAGTGATTTTTAGTTCTCATTACGTCCGTTGTGGCGCTGTTGTTCAAGTTTCTATATCAGTACCCTTCGCACGAACCAATATCAAATTCGAATAGTTTGCGAGTCCGAAATGTCATTGTCAAATTTTATTAATTTATTTATATGTACATAGAGAGTACTAAAAATCAGTATATAATTTGTCAATGACATTTCGTACTCGCAAACTATTCGAATTCGGTATTGGTTCGTGTTAAGCTGTCTATGACTTTACGATGGCTGTCAGGTTTTGAAGGCTAAATAATTATTACTCATACCTTTAAGGCAATCCACTTTTCTTGCTCAATAATTATTATTATACCGATTGTTAATTTTATCTTATTAAAAAAAGTTAGATAGAGAAGATAGTAAAATTAATAGATCCCTTTGTGCGTTAACTAAAACACCTAGCTACTAATTCTTCAATATTTGCTACAATTGATATGATATGCCAATTCAATAAATTTATCATTATAATTATCGACTTACTTGATGTGAAAATAACAGTGCCATATTTGATCTGTGACAACATGCAACTTTATATTGGCGAAAGGCCAACTCAATAAAAATACATTATGGACCAATTTTATGTATGACCAGTAGCGTCGTATTATATTGTTTGAAATTTTAATATCCAGTATTAGATAAAACTATTTTTTACGGGTTTATGCACGAAACTTTATTTATTTATTGACGTTTCGTAGCCTTTACAGGCTACGTCGTCAGAATCAAACTTTTATTTAATTTGTCGAGCCACCTTCGAAAGACTACGGCTACGAAACATCAATAAATAAATAAAGTTTCTTGCATTAACCCGTAAAAACTAGTTTTATTTAATGAGTGATGTGCGTGAGAGCCTAAGAAACAAATATCCAGTATTAGGTTATACTCATTTATTAAAGGTCCAACTTTAGGTGACTAGGGCTGCTTCATCGTGGAATTTTCATCCAATCTCGTATACAAATAATTGTAATCGATTTCCTAACTTATGAAAGCAATAATAACTGACGATTAATGATAGTTAACTTTTATATAAATACCTTATATTAAAAGAACGAAGTGGGCTGTTTCGCTCGCTCGCACCACAGTTTGGCTAATTCTAATTCAAACATTCTTCAACACGCATATAGAGAGTACTTATAGAATACATTTAGTCATTAATTTGCCTAAAACTTTTAGAGATAAATGCTAGATTGCCAATAATAATACAGATAGGTATATCACTAATATTATGTCACTGAATTATTTAAATAAACTAAAGGCCGCATCGTTTCATGTATAGTTAAATTTTACTATATTCAATACCACGTCATATAGGTACATAGCTAATGTGTAAAATTTTAACAAACGGTTATTTCTTCTTTAGTATTTGAACTATAATTAAATTTAACTATGATGAAACAACGCGGCCTTAGGTAGGTTAAGTATTGCATTGCCTATATTTACAGCAAAATTTTACTTGATTAGTAACTTATTATTATCAAACTACTTATAAAATACATTATAGCGGGAAAAGACTTGAGTATAGCAGGGTTTGCCACATAATTTAGAAAAACTCAGTTGTGTAATAAGAAAACCCATAGATAAATGATTGGTTTCGCTAAAGCGACCAATCATTCATCTATGCAGAAAACCGTTGTATTGTAGAAGATGTCAACACTACACAACACCACTGGTAGAGATCGTTGCATTCTGCACGACCGCCAAAAAGGAGTACGTACACAAAACATGGTTCATATTTACGGTGTCGGTTCAACTACTTTCAGTGAAACTAATATTTATTTAATAATAATGCTATATGGAAATTGTTATGATGTATTAAGTCAGTATATAAATGTATCTCAATATCTAAATAAAGATTATGGGACTCCTACAGCATTATTAACTTTGAAGTCGCAGCAAAAGAGCTTATGTACCATATTTTAGGTACCTAAGGAGCGCTATTCGAAACGTTAGGAACATTCATTGTAACTAGAAAACATGTCACATCAATCCGCACTTGCTAATAGATAAATACATAGTTACGTTCACTATTACTACCAATTACTATTCTTACCTAGTATCACTTTCAAAGTGTAGCTTTAAAGTCGAATCATATCATCAGCAAATTAAATAGTGCAAAGTCTAAGTTAGGGGAACGTGAGTTTTGGTCATTGTATCGATATAAATAGGTATAAATGCGATTCAACTAAGAATAGGACCGACTGGGCGCCATATTGTGATGTCATAGCTGTCAATTCAAACCAAATAGGTAGAGTGAGCAAAAAAAGTTTTTATTTAATAAAACTTATGTACTAAGATTAGTGAGAAAAAGCATCAGAATTTTTTAATGACATTTATTTACTAAGATTGAGAAAAAGAACCGCCGATTTTTATTATTATTTATTTATTAAGACTGTGAGAAAAAACATTAATCAGAATCTAGCTCTTCTATTCCGCTCATCTCTGCATTACCGCCGGAGTACTAATAATAAACATACGAACATGCATTTTTTATGTAAACGAAAGTTTGAAATCGAGTTTCTGAACGCAACTTAAAGTGACATTTGGTTGACGATTTAGGTTAACAACCATTCATAGCCAAAGCTCAATAAGTGAAAAAAAAATCAACCGATATTAATTATCAACATTTGTTATTGTTTGTTTACAAATGTTTAGTTTTTATTCTAGAATTAGCAGAGTGCTAAAAAAGGGTTCCAAAACTTTTTTGCAAACCGTACTTTTCAAGCGCCATTTGATAGATAGAGGTCATTGGCTTTCCTATTCTTATTTGAATCGCATTTATACCTGCCCCATGGACGTATGAGTAGCACGTGGTGCCTAAAATGGAAACGAACGGTTAAAATAATATACTTATTTGAAAAGTTTTAACTCTTTTCATGGAAGACAATAATGAAATTGTACGAAACCGCTATGATTGCGAGCTTTAGTGTTGGAATTAATTTATATTACTCATTATAAAAGATTATAGATCCATAAAATATAGATAGTAAAATAAAAATAAAGGAAATATTTCGTAAATTAACCTTATTAGAAAATAAAATAGAGTTTATTAGAAAATATAACGTAATGTAACCGAGATGGTGTCTTTTTTTGTTGTTCAATAGCTTTACGTTACAATATTAAAGATAGTCCCATTAATAACTTAATTACCTAATTTAAGATTTTGGGAATATGTAATTAATTTCTTGGTGAAATTGTAGTTAATGCGATTTATAAGATGTAGGTAGATGTTATACATTCTAAATTGTAAATTATATATACAGACCTACTATTTATATATTATTATGAAGTTAATAAGTATGCGATAATATTATGGGTTGCGATGAGTCCCAATCGCGATTCAGGATATACACAGAAAGAAACTCTGTTTGACTACGAGAAGCAAGTTTATAATTTTGTGTGCAGAAAAAATAAGTTAAGCAAGCAAAAAATATTAATATTTTGCAGATATAATTATGTATTGTACATAGGACTCGAACTTTTGTGGTAACTAAATGTGTTTGTACTTATTTCCATGGACACAGGACAGAGTAGAATAAAATGGTATGACAACTTACCTACTTAAACTGCAAAATATCGGTTTTTTTATTGCATTGAATTCTAATACATTACATCAGTATACATTCGATAATAGTAGAAGTTAATCATACTTTTATTGGAATGAAGTTCCCTGTAGCACTTCGGATAGACCTAATTATATTTAACTTCATTCCAAGAGTGTTAATAACCATGCAACTGCTTGAATCCAAAATCTAAAGAATATTTTACTAGAAAAAACCAGGCAGGATTCGAGCATTGCTCCTTCCACTATCCTTTTTTTTTTTGTGACGAGGGGAAATGCAGTTACGCACCATACCGTGACGCTGACTAGGCGCACGGCGTGTGTGGGACTCGCCGGCACGGGAAACAGTGCCGACCCTACTCAAGCAAGACCAGTGCGGAAGGCCACACTGATCCTACTCCACTAAAACCCCCCGGTACCCTCCTACGCCCATATGGGGGCGTCTCAGGATCAACGCACCTTAGCGTGCGCCACTTCACTGGGACGCCCCCGGGCAGGCCCGGCCCAACGAGTGGACCGGGCGACGCGCCTCAGGGGGACTGCGCTAGGGTACTAGGCAGTCCCCAGACGTGGTGGCCTATGCCGGAGCGGCACCTAGGACGCGCGGCTGGTCAGGCCGCGCCCAGACCACCTTAGGGCCGTCGAAGACCGGCAGTCACCGCTGCCTGCCTCCTTCGGCCCACCCGTCTACGCCGGAGAGGGGGGGCTAGAGCGTCCTCCTCCCGCTCCCTCTCCGCTGCCTCCTTCTGCACCATCTCCTTCCACTATCCTGGCGTATTTACCTCCAATGCGAGAAGATGGCGCTACCTTCAAACTTAAGAAATAGTAAAAAATTCAACACGGCCCCTTTAGTCATAATATATTAAGCATAGCGGTGCGGCCGTCCACGCCCGGGTAGCGAATGGCACAGGTTCGAATACTGCCTGATTCTTGGACCGAGTTGATTTTTTTCCAGTGATGTTTCTTTGGATTTTATACCAAATACGTACGTAGTCATTAAGAAAATGTAAAGTAATAATATTGTAAGTTATTATATCTAAGGACTATTGAAATGATTGTTTTAACTGCTAGGTTGTTTACTGTGTTTCTTTCCTTTGACCTATTTTTTATTAAATGATGTAACTACAAATTTACGGTTTACGCAATATTCCCTTTATCTGTACTATAAGACATTACTTCGTACCAAATTTCCAGATTCTAAGTTCACTGGAAGTACCCTGTAGGTTTTGATTCCCGTGCGAGTTTCGAAAATTTGCGGCATAAATTGTATCTTTTGATTGCTTTGGCTTAGAAGTTTGATTTTTTCACAGCGCCGAGGGACTGTAGACCTAAGTATTAGATATGAATTTCAGTTTGATACCTCCACGCGTACCTGAGAAAAACGGTCTTGACAGACGGACGGACGGACAACAAAGTGATCCTATATGGGTTCCGTTTTTTCCTTTTGAGGTACGAAACCCTAAAAAAAAGTACCTGTATTTGGATTTATCGTGCTTCGAAAGAGATGAGCGAACACGGACAACATCTCAAAATAAACAACTCAGAAAAACCCCATGAATTTACCTACTTAGATATAAAAATACATGTTGGGCGCCACTTTAACGTCTAGCACATTGACACATAGTCATAGTGGCGCAAACGTGCAGCGTAATTTGTCTTTGTGTTTGAAGATGTTTTGTTAAAATGAAAAATATTGGACGGAAAGCAAGGAATCCTTTCGCAATTTATGGCCGTTTGCACCAATCTACACTTCGGCAAACCGATCCTAAAAACAGCCTAAGCTAATGCTACACCTAAAATCAATTTTGGATTGAAGCAATACAAAAATGATCAGAGAATGAATTGTTCATCAAGTCATTGTTTGTCTTGATTATAATTTATTAAATGGCAACTTTCTACAATACACTAAAATGAAATGGATTACTAAACAATGTTTTTTATTTATTTAACACCTTAATGAAATTATACACTCTATAATATCTGTCATCAGATTTTGGATTAGTATTGTCTTAAAATATGGTGCAAACAAAATATTTAAGAAAAAGTTTGGGAATCTTCTATTGATCTCCTAAGTTTGGTGTTAACAACCACTATTGCCCAATAGCTACCGAGATAGTGATGACGGGTATGGTAGGATTTTTACAAATAAAATTTACACATTCAATGATTACTTTTTAAGGAAAAGAGAATGTGATATTTTGCTGGTTGTTATCTATTTTGCAAACTATTGTTAAGATGAACAGCTTTAATAATTAGAATTAAGACACCATACTTAACAATTATTGTTAAATTCAAATTTATTAATTATGCAGAATTACTTTCAATATTCTTAATTGTTTAAATAACTTTCATGCACTTCTTAAACTGTGTAATACGTATATGGTCTTCTCAAGAAGTTATTAATGAATGTAAATCGCCTTTGGAATTGGACCAATTATTAAATGTTTATTTAAATGTAACTACAGTAGATGTGTGGGAGAATGACTTGACTTATGCATCAAATCAGTCAAATACATCTATAAATGTTTTGAACTCTGTGATTGTTTCTTTGTAAAAAATACCCAAGAAATGTACATACTTTGTTAATAAATACATAATAATAAATACTTTTAAAAGCTTAAATAAATTATATCACATATTTTTATTGTTTTATTTAATGTAAAAAACATCTGCAGATTTATTTCAATACATTACAAGAGCAACAAATATTATTTTGGAAACTTAAACAATTTATTGATCACAGCGTAACAGTGTTAAGATACACTCAAATTTTAAGTCCTCTGTCCAGTAAGTCCTTTCTAGCCTCAGCAATCTCGTTTTGTAGTTCTTTGGCTGCTTCTTCACAGTTGTTAAATGTGAATACTCGATATAGAACTACAGTAACTGCATAGAGTCCAAACAAAACGACAAATATTAAAGGAGATATTAAAATAAGATTGATATTCTTTTCAATAAGTGGGTGCTTCACATAACCTCCAATTAATGAATACCACACAGCAAACATTGCGGATAGAACCGACAACCATTCCAATAATTTCGTCATATTTCTGAAATCAATAAATAGTAATTTTTGAAATGTTTATGCATTTTTCTTTTCATTTTTATATTGAATGTGTTGTTCATTCAATCTTTTAATCACACTTACAGTTTTTAAATTATGGATAATTTCAAGTCACTGTCTAGAGACGTGCAATTTAAATAGAATCAAACTAAGTAAGTAATCAGCAATATTTCTATTACAGAATTTAATCTTAAAAATTAAAATATCTTGTTTACACAAAAATTTTGACATCTCACCATTACACCAGACAATGTCATGAATGTCAATGTCATATTTATTTTTATATTAGGCTTTTTGTGGAGGCAATGGTAACTAAGCCCATACAGCCTTTTTTCTATACCAATCTTATTTCTCTGTTCAAATAAATAATTAATGTATGTAGTGATTTATTTGCTGAGAATGGACTGCTCGTTTTCCAACTTTTTGCACTAACTGTCAAGTAAAACTCAGCAGATAAGTGTGAGCGAAACGAAACTATAGGGCGGCCCACATTAATTTAATTTTATCTGATACGAAGTTACACAGAACCTTGGTTTATGGTTTTTACGTCTACGTTTTATAATGAGTTGTCGTTGTCACTCATCGCTTGCCCCTGGAACATAATATGATCTAAAGTCTAGGGTAAAACAAGCGAAATCCTAAATATCAGCAGTTTTACACTTGTTTGACATACCTACCTCTTTTCAATGACGTTTATTAAAAGTATAAAAACATCTTAGCCACTCTTGTACTCCTGCCAAGCTTAGAGCGTCGTAAGATTCCAAGCAAACAAAGCATGATTTTTAATTTCTTTGACAGCTGGTGTTTTTCACAGACTTATGATTTACAGAGTAATGCATGACTCATCAATCAATTTCGTGAAAGTAAATTGGCATTGGCAACACTGACCCTTGTGTCGTAAAAGGGTGAGTGAACCGCCTCATTGTTATTTATTGCATTTGTCTCTAATAATACATTAATTAGCCATTTTACTGATACATCAAGTGCAATAACATAGTTCGCGACAGGCATGCCGATGTGAGTAATATAGGAAAGGTGTGGCACGTCGCTGGGGCGTTGTTTCGTGGTGCAGTGACATTATTAACGTGAAAAATATTTTGCCTATCTCGTAAGATGACCGAATATAAACTGGTGGTGGTAGGCGCCGGAGGCGTCGGTAAATCTGCATTGACTATACAACTTATACAGAATCATTTTGTGGACGAATACGATCCCACAATAGAGGATTCATATAGGAAACAAGTGGTGATAGATGGTGAAACGTGCTTGTTAGATATATTGGATACAGCTGGTCAAGAGGAGTACTCGGCAATGCGCGACCAGTACATGCGAACAGGGGAGGGCTTCCTCTTGGTGTTCGCAGTGAACAGTGCGAAGAGCTTCGAGGACATCGGCTCGTATCGAGAACAGATCAAGCGGGTCAAAGACGCAGAGGAGGTGCCCATGGTGCTGGTGGGCAACAAGTGCGACCTGCAGGCGTGGGCCGTCAACATGGCGCAAGCGCGCGAGGTATCATGCTGTTGTTTGTTTCAAATTCTTGCTTGGTATTCTTGCATCTTACTCCACCAGATGGTTACAAAAATGCCATTTATAACATTTGCTCAATAATTCTAACTCTGTTTTAGTAAGAGAGAAATCTAACTTAATAACTGAATTAAACATTGATACCACTATCAAAAGAGAACCCATGTTTTGCTATTTTAAATTGTAATTTTTAGTTCAGTATAAATAGTTATTTTACTTAATGTACTTATCTTAACTTAACAAACTTTAACACTGTCAACATTTTATGATCTGCACGTGAACCAGATTTATTTATTTTTATTGATAATTTGATGTTTTTGCTGAATTAGAATATTGTATTAGATGTTATCATTGATGACTATGTTAGATTAGATTAAAATTGATTTAAATATATTGGAAATATTTACAATTATCTCATATGCAAATTATATTGATAACCAACATAGTGCAATCCAGAGATGAGTACTTGTGTCATCTGTCATTAAATTAGAATAACTTCTTCCTAGATCCCCTTCAAAGCCAGAAAAATGAAGTGATGTCCCTGTATGAAGTTCCAGAATGAAATGAAAGAATGACTTTCCCTGTAGGAAAAGAAAGAATCTCTTGCCCAGTATAAAATGAAAGAATCTCTTTACAACTTGAGAAAAAGTTGCACAATTATACTACATCAAGTTTTCCTTACCTTCGGGGCATTTCTTCTAAAATCTGTTCTTCTACCCCTTACAATCAATTTCTTATGTAATCTAACATTATAATAAACAATAATGCTTGTATGACTGAACCTTCAATGTCTCAGTAACTATGTATCTCTGCATATGGTATGATAAGGGCGACCCTCTATTTTCTTCCATCCCTAAAATTGGCAGTTCATACTGTACAATTTAATCTTATTCGTGAATGTCTAGGACCTGAATTAATAGATAACTCTCAACTCTGACCTTGAGATACAGTTTTGATACAAATCAGCAAGTCAAGGTCATACCTGAGATGGATGGACCTAGGATTTGATTATTATTAAATAAAAATAATGGTAGACAATTTACACTGAATAAATCTGCAAGCAAAGTTGCTATCTGTGTTGTATGATCAAATTATTTCAAGAATTTAGATTGTTATATTGATAAGATATGAGATTCAGTAATAAAAGAATTACATTATTATATAATGTGATGATAAAGCAGTGAGTAATTCTAATAAACTTTACTGTTTTACACAATAGTCCAAACTACTAGTGAGGATAACATACAATGCTGCAGCTACACATTTATAGCCTTGCGCATTGTAGTTCACTGTGAGGAAAAGAAAGATAAAGTTATATAAAGTTCGATTCAATGAACTACATCTCTAATTTAGTTCAATATTTTAGTCTAGCTTTATATTTTCTATAGGTCATCTAGATAGAGCTAGATCAAATTCCAAATAGTCAAAGTTCAAACAACAAAACTATTTTATTTACCTGTTAAAAATAAATTATATCTGATTTTTAATATATATATATATATATATTTACATTTGCACTTGATAATAATTTTTTTTTACCCATCAACTGGCTGGCTGGCTTTGTATAGGACTTTCAACCATTAGTCACAATATCTTCGAATTTGTTGTGTGTTAACAATTATTTGAGAAAATTATACTCTTTGTGGCAACTTCATGTGTTGTTGACTATAATACTTGATGAAAAAAAAATTATAACTATAATCCTTGATACTTAAATTTTACTCAACTACTAACAATTGATTTCCCAGGTAAAGTCTAAAAGACAAAAATATTCCTGTGTGTGGTTTTTGGCTATGTCATATGTGTGTGTAATAATATTGCTCACATCCATAGGTTGAACACTCAATGCCTACTTATACTCCATGAGTGCCGTAAACAAGCAACAGTAACTATAATTAAATTGTCTCCTCCAGGCTGATAGTAAAGGGCTCCACAAAACCTCTCTTTAAAAAAATAAATACTAATCATTTTTGCAAGAGCAGGCCCTCTGTGGCATCTGATAACACATTTGCCTTTAATTTCTTCCAAATCAGGGGACAACTGTAAATACCTATTTGCAATAGTTGATGTTAGCTAAAGCAGCAGTACAAAGATGTCACTTCACTTTACTTCTTCCACATCTGCTATTCAGACTCCACATCCATGATCCATAATGTCATCTATTTTTAACAAACTTCAAAAAGGAAGAGGTTCTCAATTCGTCAGTATATTTTGTTTGAATGAGTTTTTTGGCGAGATATTAATTTGGTGAAGATCTGAAAAGCACTTTTGTAGATAAAATATAGAACTCCTCCATTACAAACAATACTCAATTCTTCATTTTAAGAAATGTTATTGAGATAATATAACCCAGTTAAACACTTTCTAGAAAAAGTTTGGAATCACTTACTTGAAATTGGTTCACGCAATCTTGCTTACTAAATATATTTTTAATTATCATAAAAATTCCATCATTTTAAAGATTCAACTGTCAACTTTAAATTGATACCAAATTCATTCAAATCGAGCCAGTAATTAAGGAGCTATCCCGGATTACGGGAAATACCCTTAGAAAATAAGGAAATATGAAAAAATAATGAATGAATAAAACAACAAAATTTAATAAATAAAATTTTTATTTAGCCTTATAATTAACTGTCAGTGCTTTATGTTCCCTCCCCTCGCCCCAATAACTGCTCGAAGACGATTCTTCATAGACCTGATCAGCTTCTGAATTGATTCTTGTGGGATAACTTCCCACTCCTCGATCAACGCCGATTTCAGCTCATTCAGACATAAAGGAGCAGGAGTTTGGGACGAACCTTCCTCTTCAGTTCATCCCACACGTGCTCAACGGGATTAAAGTCAGGTGTGGGCGCTCCCCAGGCCGCCTGTAGACCCGACCTCTTCGGTCGCTACCGTGCAAACACATCCTTCTCTCGTCGGAGAACAGAACTTGCCTCCATTACTCAACCTCCCTTCTCAAGAAGGGTGCGAGCACATCGAAGGCATGCTTGTTGGTGAGCTGCCGTTAGCTTCGGGCCTGTGGCAGGCCTTTTTGGAGTCAGAGTCGCTTGCTTGCGTCGCCGACGAACTGTCCACTCGCTGGCTACTACCCCACGAACATATCGGAGCTCCTGTTGGACGTCGATACCAGTTAAATGCCGATTTCGGAGGTTAACACGATAAAACGGTCATCCCTCTCCGATGTGCACCGGCGCCGTTCAGATCTTGGTCTCGGGATAAAGCCACCAGTCTCCCGATAGCGCTTGTAAACTTTTGAAACACAGGACTGGCTTATGTGGAGCCGACGAGCGACAAACCGCTTGCAATTAGGGCTACGATTTGTGATGCTTCTGTAGGTGTTGTCTCCATTGTCGTACAAGGTAAAGAGTCAAAAGTAGCGGAGATGTCTACCGGTCAACGTGTGAAAGTCGACTGATAAAGAAAATCCGATAACAGATGCTTTTACAGGGGGTCAATAGGTCGCAACTCGCGACGTATCTAACTATTGAAACACGTCTTTTTCGTTATTCCTTCACTTAATCCGGGATAGCTTCTTAAATACTGGCTTGCTTTTTGGTATCAGTTTAAAGTTAAGAGTGGAACCTTTAAAATGATGTCATTTTTATGATTATTAAAAAAATATTTAGTACACAAGATCGCGCGGAACCAATTTCAAGTATGATTCCAGACTTTTGCTCGCGGGTGTAGTATGTGGCAAACTTCTTAAGCAAAACCATAGACTATTAAATTCAAAAGAAGCCCTGAGGGATTCACCGGCATTCACTGTAATGAACCGCGACCTACTACCATCCGTAAGGACACGAATTCTACGTTCATGCAGGGAGTCAGCTACCCAGGAACATAACTGAGCAGGCAGACCGTATGCCTAAGCTCGTAGAGAAGGCTTTTGTGCCAGACCCTATCAAAGGCCTTGATGATGTCAAGACTAAATAGCCAACGACTCGCCGCACTCGTCTAACCCCACATGTGAGTCAAGTACGCTAGATCATCAGTCGATCTTTCGGTCTAAACGTTAACATCTTTCTAAGTCAAAGAATACGAGATTTGGTAGGATCGAGTTAGCTCGGGAGATAACTCCGCTAAACATTTTTTGAGCACTTCTGCTGGGATGCCATCGCCTCCCCTAGTTTTCCGGACGTCGAGTGAATGCAATTCGGCAAATAGGAGTCGGAGTGAACGAACCTCACGTTACCTGATTTTAATATTAGGCATCGTATGGCCACAATTAAGATGGCAGTGCATTACAATCATGGATTCGATTCGAAAAAGCAAATATTAAAAATGACTTAAGTGTTTAAGTAAGTTTTATAGTTTCTGAGTTGGTGGAGTTTTGCACGTAAAAAAAAGTTTTTATTTAAGATGTAACCACCAGCGTTGAGTTTAGGATAAGCAATTACATTTTAACATAGTTATTGGAACTTTTAGCAACATTGTAAACTAGTTTGTGGTTCATGATATGAATAAATAAAAAAAAATAAAGTTTAGTGTATACAAGTAATTCGATAAGCTTTGTTTACTGATTGTCCGATTCGTACTTGAATTACTGTCTTCCATTTAAAATATGAGTACAGTAAAAAACGCTTAGTTTTTTCAACGAGTAGGAAATTCACTAGTATCTGTGGATTTGTTGTATAATAAGTTTATGGTTTATATTTTAGGCGAAGCTAGTTGGTATGAGTGTAAAACCGCGTATCCACTAGAGGCAGCCTCGGGTCGAGCAGCTGCCTCACTCCAAGGCTGCGCAAGTGGAGACGCTGCCTCAACCTGAGGCACGCCGCGACGCGAGGCAAATTCGTCGCCGCGAGCCGAGCCATATTTTGTCGGTTTCTGTGCCGTGCTCAAAGGCGCCTCAGTCCGAGCCATGTGTTTAATGGAGACGGTCGCGCCGGTCGCCTGCATCGCAATGGAGAATGAGACGCGGTCTCTCTCTTTTGTATAGCTTTTTGTTGCCTCCTCTTTTTCTTAATAATGGTTATTGCTATTAAAGCAGCAGCTACTCGACGCGCGTCTGGTGCCATCGCGTTTTGGCTTTTAACTGCGCAGTGCGCCGCCGGCGGATGAAGCTGAGGCGACACGCCTCGAGCTGATTCGTAGCCGTTGCCTCAGAGCAAGCAGCCTCAAACTGAGGCTATTTGCTTCAAGTCGAGGCCGCTTGACGCGAGGCTGCCTCTAGTGGATACGCGGCTTATTTATTGTTATCATTTTCATTCTACGTGTATTGCAGGTCGCGCGAAGTTACGGCGTGCCTTTCGTGGAGACGTCAGCCAAGACGCGCATGGGCGTCGACGACGCGTTCTACACGCTCGTGCGCGAGATCCGCAAGGACAAAGACATGCGCGGCAAGCGCAACCGGAGAGGGAACAAGATGCCGCGGCGCAGGTTCAAGTGCACGCTCCTCTAGATTTACTTTAATGCGTCTGATTCACATTTGTCGATAATGAATACCGAGTACCGACCGACCGAAAATAAGAGGCAGCCTAGTGCTAGTTTTTGAACTTTGTAAGATATAATGGTTTTCACGGTGAAGGAATTTGTCGTAGCATGCGACGTTACTCACCAGACGGCGCTTTTCCAATGGCGCGTTTACCCAATCGATTACTTACTTATTATAAGGCAAAAACTAATACTCGGTGATTATTTATGTCGAAGGAGTTCTAAAAACTTTGGCATATAATTGTAATAATTATATTATAAAGCGCTCAAGTTTTGGTAAAAGAAAGGGAGGAATATATTTTTCTAAAAAAATGCCTATTTAATAACAGTTGAGGCTATATTAGTTAGACAGTAGCACTTCGAATATCGCTCTTGTTAAAGTATAATAAAGGCTTTGTCAAGGACGAGTCTGCTATTTCTATAGACCTATAATATTTATTAGCACCCAATAGTATTCAGGGAAGGTATTCATTACCGGTAAGTGATATAATATTTCTATGTATTAATAATATACAGCTAATGTTAGTTCCGAAGCAGTCCCTTTGGTCGGTATATCTCATCTTATAATGCTTGACAGATGAGATCGGGATGGGCTCATAAGTTGCTAAGAGATTGAGTTTTATAATTAACCTCTGTCACAAGTATTTTCGGTACTTAAATACGTCGAAGGAAGTGTGACTGACACACTAGAATTACCGCAAATAGTTTAGATGTGTTTGTGTATCTCAATAGTATTGTTTATGTACAAATGTACCTTACATAAAAATTATGTGTGTATTTTCATTGGTAGTTAAGTGTTTATAAAATGAAAGCCGAAACTCAATCTCAAACTCTCAAGGTGCTATTATAAATCATAGTACACTTGCAGTAGAGGAGCCCCGTTTGCCATAATATAAATTCTTTATAAATATTGGTCAAATGTCGCGAGGCGTCGTCTTTTCCAGTTTATTAGTTTTAAGCTTACTACATTCGAGACTATACTTTCGTGAAAGAAATTAAGAAACAAAACCAGATGCCAAAAAATTACGTACTCGGTGGATTTCTTACGTTTACATTTTGTTTTAATGACCTATTTGTAACAATGGTTGTGCGCAATACAGTTTACTATTTCAAGTACTATTACTATTGGTTGTTAGTGATCTGTTTATTATTAAATCCAAACGCTGCATCATATTCACATGTTACCGAAATAAATAGGTATTGGGGAGAAATGATATACTACATTTTGCATACTAATTAATATATGAGAACAATTCATCCGGCTCTGGAGAGTGAACAGTATGAAGGAAATTTTTTAATTAAAATTTAACGTGTTTTTAAGGCTATATTAAAAAAAATCTTTACACTAACTTCTTATGAACTTTATGTTTTGTTAGTGAACCATCACATAAAACTCCTCTTCCCATTGTCCATGATGGACGTGTTTATACACGCACGGTTGTGTAGAGGGCATAGTTGTCCATGATTGGCCATCATCGCCTGTAATCGTGAGTAAGCGGTAAATTGTCGGTACATCAAAGGGATGCGTGCGTGTCAATGATTGTGCGCGTTCGATCGAATAAACGATCGGCAATCACTCGGTTCATAAATGGCTGCGGTATGATTAGGGCAAGCACTTTTAATTTTTTTTTTTATTGTAGTTCTACAATTTATTGCGTACTTTTACCAAGTACTTAATTACAATTGCGGAACCCAAATTGATTCATGGTGACACAAACTTATCGAACTGTATGAAAATAAACCTGCAATTTGGTACACAAATAATTGAAATATACCAATAAATCTTATCAACACTTTTTTATGGTATAGATTTAAATAATTATTATAGTCAATAAATAAATAAATAATTAGCGACAGGCTGCAGCTGCCAGTACCAGTTACCAGTTCGACATCCATCTCGGACAGATGACAAACGTATAAACGCACTATTTGTGGACTGCCACACAATGATCGTATCGATCATGGCCAATCTTGTGATCATCCATCATGGCGGAAATCTTGTGTTCGCCCATCATGGCCAATGGTGTAGAGGAGCTTTTAAATACAATAGATTATGAAGCTGACTGTACATATCTCTTCCTTTTTCTGTTGAGTTGACGAACTCAACACACATTTCAGAGTCATTTGTCGAGATACCACTTTATCAGTACTCCACTAAGACCATTTTAATTGCGTATGAAGATGATGAATCACTATTTTCGTTGAATATTAGAAAGTTGCGCGCCTAGCAGGCCCTCATGGTCTGCAGATGGTATCGAAAAATATAGTTTGTCCATCTTTCGTTGCACTGCATGCTCGATGATGGATGACAAACTATGGCCTTAGCTTATCTCCACGTTCCTAGTGAAGAATAACAATGTAAATTACTCATATCAATAATTGTTGTTGATCCATCAGAACGTTGAGTGAGTCAACAAGTGTATATTTATAACGCTAGCTGTATCATCCAAAACTTTTTTAGTACCTACCTAGTTTTTCTATGTAATAAATAATAAAAGGCAAAACTGAAAAAATCAATGATATCTAATATGTTAGGTCTCTACATGCCTACCTAAAGTTTTCAGAATGTCAGAATTTTTATACCGAATACTAAATACATCTTGCCTACAAACGCTCAGACTTTTAATCTTATATTATTTTTTTTTAATTTACAAACAATACATGGTACAGGGTGGTTTTGTTGTTTGTGGTCATACCAACTATTGCTCTCGCACCGGATAGTAGCCATTTGGTAAAATCCTGTTTAAAACCTTATAATAAACATTATTTAATGTCATTATTAGTATGCCACTTAAACTTATTGGTTGATATTTATGATGGTACCATACCGGAAATTTACTTCCGAAAAGACCGCATCATTGATATTGCTAAAACTTGTTTCTATGAGAAATTTGAGTGTTTATAGACAAGTAAGGATTGTGAATAGAAAAAAAGCTTACTGGTATCATACCTACAACAATGTCGTAACTTCAACGTTTATTCATTAACAAAATACTTGTTATTACTTATAAGGTAATAAAAAATAAGTTCATTGTTGAATGTTTTCTACTGTAGCTAATTTTACATTTAGGGAGAAATTTTCTTAATATTTCTAATGCTGTTAGTCGTAATTCAAATCTTGTAAAGCTACTGGTGAATTTAAGTTATAAGAATCTAATTGTGTAGATTGGCGTTTATATTATTATTTTTGGAATAACAAATTATGAAAATAATGCTATAAGGCCGGGACTCCACCAAAGCAGAGAGATGAGATGATGAGAGATGATGATGATGAGAGATGTGTGCGGTGTGCTGTGTGCATCTCTGCACAGCAATCTCCACTGAAGCTGAGCGGAGAGAATATGTGTCAATATCACAATTCGATTGGTTGTTTAAAAAACATCTCCTCTCCGCTCGTCTCGTCTCCGCTTTGGTAGAGTCCCGGCCTAAGGCCAGTGTCTACATTTGTTGATTATACAGCTGATATTTAAATAATCAAGCTAGCATAAAAATAGTATTCTATGGAAAAATATCACATTTATGCAGAAAAAAATGTATCAACATCATTTTAACTAATATTTTATTTGTTAATTTACTATTTAGAAAATTATTTTATCAACACACGTCATTCATGACTGACGTAAAAAGCCTACCAGTTTTTTTATATACAAATTAGTATGTATTACATTGCCTTGGAAATTTTTGAATTGAATCTTTGATCAACAGATTTGAAATATTTTATTCATAAGCTTTAGATTTTTTTAACAATTGCTAAATGATTTTTTTATAAATATCTAATCGTAATACGGAATACCGATAAATTAAATACAAGACAATTTTATGCGAATCAGATAAATGAAATTGTTAGATTAGTTATCACAGGGACAGTAATTGATTGTTTTTTTTTTTGAGGCACCTAAAAAAAACTTGTATTTTGTAAATACAAAATAGTTAAATCGAAAATCAACTGCAATCATAGCTATCAGTCACACAGAGAAAAATTTTATTTGCTTGTGTTGTATTATATACTGAGCTTTGGTTGTTAAGTTAAAAAGTTAAGCGATTTCACAGCTGGCCTTGTTTCATGAGCTTAATTTCGGTCAATTGGTTTGATTAAAACTTCAATGCTGGTTCTTTTACGTAGATAATTTTAAACAATGAATGTGTCAAACGAATTTTATACCTTAATAATCATAATTAAGTAATTATATTTTAACAATTTTAAGTTATGTATTAATTTCTAATTATGTGTAAGTATTTTTTTTTTAAAGTGCGTACTACTTTTTATGTAAGTACATGATTTTAAGATTTTACTCACGAATTAAAAGCTGCCATGATCTAAGTAAATGAAATAAGTAGGTGCATATAAATTCATAATTATCAAACAAATTATTTTATTTGCCATAACACAATATAATTTTATGGATCCAAACTAGCTCCTTTGTCCATTGCATAAGTGTTTTATAGATGAATTTTATCATAATAAAATCAACTTCGACGCTAGTGCACAATTTTGTTGAAAATAATAGGTATTCTTCTTACATTAACTCTGTAACGGTATAGCACAAGAATGTGTGCTAATTGAAATAAATAAAATTGAAGAGTTAAACTTGTCCCGTTTTCTTTTTTTTAATGTCTCCTTTTCCTACACACGCCACGGGCCCTTTACCACGCCCTCAGCTTTCGCTCGAATTGGAGCACCTACTTAGATTAACTTTGTGCATTGCAAAAGACTAGCCAAATAACACTGTTCCTACCATATATATTTAATGGTTCGTTCCTGCTATGAATAAATTTAAAGTATTAATTATCGATGGTAGTAACTATAAAAAAAACAATATAGGTACATAGTTTATTCAGTCTAGGCGGTTACAAGCACTTCTGTACCCTTAGCTCGAACCAATACGAATAGTTTGCGTTAACAGACATCAAATTGATAAATGACTTCAATATGAGGTAATTCATGAAGTCACTTTCCATTACAAATATAAAAAATATAAGCATACATAATGAAGCCTTCACACATAGGTAAAAGCCACTCGCCCCCCGCGCCCCTGCCAACTTATTTTAATTTGGACTTTGCAACTACGTTACAATTAAATCGTAAGTTATCATCTCGAAGGATCACGAGCAGACCGCGTGCTGAGGGATGGCGCTTTATGTGTGTCTGCCATAAATGAAATTAAATATTTATAAACAGCAATTAGCTTGTCCCCAAAGTAAATTAAGCAATGTAAGTCTTGTGGTATGGACAACCAGGATAGACTACGTATACTGTATTATATATAACTATATTTATCTAGAAAGACATACTATAAACATCCATAACGTAGGTACAAATTCTCATATTCATCTTGTAACCCGACTTGCACCACGAATATCGTATGAAATGAATTTAGGATTTCTAAATTTTTAGTATATTAATGTCGGTGATTACGGGCAATAATATACATAATACATACGACTAACATTTTTTCTTTCTTCCTAAATAGTAACTGTTAAAGCCATTATTAGCTGTCAGCTACAAAGACAGCAAATTATGAAGTTGACCGTAATTAAACATATCTAACTGGTCATCCTGCACTTAAGCTACTCAGGTAAGCGGTCCTATCTTTGTCAACAGCTTTTGATCTGCGTACCGGCGAAGCGTATCTTCAGCAATATCAGTATAGAATGGCTGCTCTGCTGCTGCTACCGCCTCAGATGATTCTGTGTATGTGACGATTGCTACCTCCCTCTACTCCCCCACCGCTAGATAAATGGTCATCCTTTGTTTAATTTTCTTTTCTGGGTATATTTTTAAATGTAAGGAAGTGCCTCGGACATAGCGTTCCACATTATAAATTTTTGTTTCTAGTGTGACAATATATTTGCGCCACAACTGGCCATTATATTTAACAAATGTATTGATGAGGGAGTGTTTCCAGATCTAATGAAATGTGCTAAAGTTATCCCTCTTTTTAAGGCTGGTGATAAATCAGATCCCAGCAATTTTAGGCCTATATCTGTATTACCAGCGCTAAGTAAAGTATTTGAGAAAATAATTTATAACCAATTACTAGCACACTTTTCTATAAATAAGCTACTTCATTTAAAACAGTTTGGTTTCACTAGAGGCAAAAGTACTATTGATGCTGGAACTGCACTTCTCAAACACATTTTTGATATATGGGAGAGTAAGCACGATGCTATTGGCATTTTTTGCGATTTATCTAAGGCGTTTGAATGCGTTAGCCATGAAACATTGTTAAATAAAATGAAGCATTATGGTGTATCAAATATTTCACTAAGTCTGATACAGTCTTATCTTTCTGCTAGGATTCAGAAAGTAGTTATAAATGAAGCTGAGTCTACAGGAGCACCCATTTCTATGGGCGTGCCCCAGGGTTCAATATTGGGCCCATTGCTTTTCCTTATTTATATTAATGACCTTCCTCACTTTACAAGAGATTTGTGTGAGACAGTACTATTTGCTGATGACACCTCTTTAGTGTTTAAAGCTAGGAGAGGAAATGATTGTTATGACGAAGTAAATTGTGCTCTCTCTGAAGTCCTTCGCTGGTTTACGGTAAATAATTTAAAACTAAACTCTAGCAAAACAAAATGTGTTAAGTTTACTTTACCTAATGTGAGGCAGGTTAATACTAGTTTAAAAATAAATGACCAGCCTGTAGAGTTAGTGGATTCTACAAAGTTTCTGGGTATTACTTTAGACTCGCATCTGCAATGGGATCCTCATATTGATGCCTTATCAAGTAGACTGAGCTCTGCGGCCTTCGCTGTTAAAAAAATAAGACTCCTAACTGATGTGGAAACGGCAAGAATGGTTTACTTTGGTTACTTTCATAGCGTTATGTCATATGGCCTTTTGTTGTGGGGCTCAGCTGCTAATATAGAAAGTATTTTCGTACTGCAAAAGAGAGCTGTTCGCGCCATATATAATTTAAAGGCAAGAGAATCTCTTAGAGAAAAATTTAAAGAAATTAATATTTTAACACTGGCATCGCAATACATCTATGAAAATATAATATATGTAAGAAGAAACTATGACGCATTTGCAAAAAAAAGTCAAACCCATAACTTAAACACGAGATTTAAGAACAAGCTTGCCGTTCCATGTTTCAGACTCCAAAAATCTAGAGGTTCATTTCTGGGATGTAGTATTGCATTGTTTAACAAAGTTCCCCAAGATCTGATTGAGCTTCCACTAACCAAATTTAAATCTCAGATTAAGAATACTCTTATGAATAAGGGCTATTATAAAGTTAATGATTATCTAAATGATCGTAATGCATGGACATAGTGTTTCTTGTAATTTCTTATTTGATGGGTATGAGTCAGTTTTGTAACAGTAGTATGGTACCTATCTAATGCCGCTTCCTATATATACTAAATATAAAATTTGTTGTAACTATATATCTATACCCTAAATAATGTAATGGAAGGTGACTTCAGAAGTATGTCTGAAGTCATTTTTCAACTTGACGACTCTGTATATATCAATACAGGGAGAAAAAAGCAGCCCTTGCTGAGTTTCTTGCCGGTTCTTCTCAGTACAAGGTCTCCCGCCGTAGTTTTGCGAACCGATGGCGTAGCTTCTTGACTTTCACAAGTGCTTGTAACAGCCTAGACTGAATAAAAAAAAAAAAAAATAATAAAAATAAATTAGCATTGCGTTCTGTTTCTAAAATCGCAACTTTATTCAATAATTCGTACATAAATTCCATCGACTTTTTAATTTCAGCATTTCGTTCCTCAATTTCTGTCATCAGATTAAAAATCGATTCAAACGTGTCTTATTCAGTCCTAAAGGTAGCGAGTAGTTGCGCGAACTCTTCCCTCAGTCTCCATATCCTCGTTGTCATGTCCACGCTTAAAACCGGGCCTACGAGTTTTACCTTGAGGGGGAGATGTTTCGCTCGATTTAAACAAAGTAGGATCGGAACCAGAACGGCTATCTTTGGGCGGAGAGTGCTTCAGTGTCATTATTATATGTAGGGCTGCCATCCGTCCGGGTTTCCCCGGATTTGTCCTAGTTTATTTGTAGTCGGGATTTAAAAATTTCCTGTTTTGGGTCGCCAATTAATCCGTCAATTTAATTGTCTTTGAAAATAAATAAATCTATTCTAACACTGTAACCATAAATGCTGACTTCAAACAAAGATCAGCTTTGTCGCCCATACTGTCCGCAATAACAGCATTCGTTGCTATGTGGATGACAGCACTGAAACTTTTTACACTGGCCGGTCAAACATCCCTCTGATGGAAGAAGAAGGGTGTAAAGACAGGCTTGTGTCTGAGATTGAGATATTACTGGATCAAGTCTGAAATTGGAGCCAACAAAATTTGATTGGATTAACCCAGCAAAGACACAAGTGTGTGTAAAAAAACTTGTGTGTTTAATAGATCTAGTAAGTACCTCAAGCCTAAATATCGGGTGTTACTTTACAAAGCACTGGTCCTCTGGGGCTGGAGCACCCCAATACCAGCTCCTTCCTCTTGACCGGATACAAAAGCGGGCAATTGGCATATCGATGCTCCTGAGCTCACTCACGCGTTGCAACCCCTTAGCATGCGCAGACGGACAACACGTAAAAGGACGCAACTCCTTCTACGTGTCGTACCGTCTAAACAATCAATGGAGAGCGTTCCGAGGAATTATTCAACCGGATGCCAGTGGCTAAGTTTCTTCACAGCACCACACACAGAGAAGTTTCCCGCCCATCATCTGGAAGCCTGGCGTTCGAGCACCATGTGTTCCTTTCTTTTATGTACCAGCAAGATCTAGAACGAACTTTCCTCAGTATTTTTTTCTTATAACTAAGATATGGTAATCTTAAACAGGCGGATGAACCTTTGCGTTTAGAGCCGGCAACGCATGAGTGGCCCTTGGTGCTGCAAGTGTCTATGGGCAGCAGTGACTACTTATTATGAGGTAGACCGCTAGCTAGCTCTTTTGCCTTAATCAACATAAAAAAAAGTTGATTTGTGACATTTTTAACTGTTTTTTTATTGGTCTGTCCGGGTTCTGGGCTCCAAAGTCCGGGGTTATCACGCCTCTGATCCTGGTTGCCACATTTTAGAGATGGCAGCCCTAATTATATGCGGCCCAGTTGTTCAAGATACTAGGACGCTCGTTTTCTTTGATATTGTTGTTTCCATAAAAAAAGAAAGAGAAATAACAAAAAGAAAACGTAAGCGATAGCCATAGACATAGCAATCCCTTTAGGCGATTGGCCTCATGGCAGCATGAGATTAGGCAAAGAGCACCGCTCAAAGCCAATTAAAATACGGGGTCGTTTCATATTGATGGTGGACAGGCGCGGTCCGAAGGAGGGGTCACCCCCCCCAAATCTAAGGTCATTCTTGACATTTGGTACAAAGTAACGTCTTATAGTACAGATAAAGAAAAAATTGCGAAAACCGTGAATTTTTAGTTACATCTTATAATAAAAAATATTTTTGAAAATTCAGGTGTGTACGGAACCCTCGATCCGCGAATTCGACTCGCTCTTGGCCGGTTTTTTTTATTAGTGTAATGAGTGACCCCCTCCAAAATTTCAGACTGCGACCGCGCCTGTGGTGGATTGACTTAGTCACGTTCTCAAATGTCAGAGTTTTTGGCGGATTTTATCGAGTACGGTTGGCGTCCCATTTTAATTACTCTTAAATTCTTTTATAGTGGATATTGTGAAATAAAATTGGTGTGATTTTGTGTTACAACCGTCTGCGCCGAAGAAATGTGAAGAATCTTAGTGGTATCTTTTAAATACTCTATTCCGATCAAGTAGATGTGAGAACTTTATTGTAGTGTTGACTACCTCGAAGAAACTTATCAAAAAAGCCAACTTCTTCTTTCTTACTTGATAGATTTAGTGCAAAACCCTGCAAGAAACTATAGAATGAGTCACACCGACATTCTGATGTAAAAAAAATAGATTAATAGAACTTAAGACTAGGCTGTATGGGCATTGTTCCCTTTGTCTTCCCTGAAATGGGAGATTCTTAATAAGAATTAGTGATGTTACGGTCTTGAATTTTGACAAACCGGATTTGATCGGTTAGTAATACATGCAAATCGGTTTCCGAACCGAACCGCCGAATTTTCAGTAAACCGCGGTTTGAACCGGTTTGAACCGTTTGATGAGTTGACGAATGAAACTTACGAAACAACAGGTGCTATTTTTTTTAATTCTACGTATTTTATTGATATTACATCGTGCAAATATTTAAAGGTAATTGAAAAATAACAATTAAAATATGAAAACAAATAATAATAATCAGAATTAAAAATGTCAAAATAAAAATAAACAAATACCGTGTTTAAAAAATTACAAAAAAAATATATAAACTCTATTAATTACATAAAATCGTACTTCTTAACTTTGAGAATAAAATACAATTTTAATAATCAACAATATAATAAATACGTAACTTATTTTTGTAAAATCATTTGAGTCGTAGAAACTTTCTTTGGTACAAACAACAATTAAAAAGTTTTCTTACAACTATTTAGGAATAATATTTGGTCTATTTTTTTAGAAGCTGGGCAATTACGTCGCATATTACATAATAATGAAAACAAAATTACACCGTCAAGTTAGTCAAATCTACCAGAGTCCGTTTCATTTCGGTTCGGTCGGTAAGTCGGTTATGGCTGTTGTATTTAAATTGTCGATGCGCGCTAACCGTATCCGCTGCTGTAAGTCGGTTCGTATTGGTCGGTCAAGTTTTATTAGGGTCGGTAAAGCACGTCAGGAGCCGCACGCGATTTGTGGATGGCGGCATAAACAAGAATTGACAGGTGCGCGTGCGCGCAGCGCGATACGAACGAATGCCACAGTAGAACCGGTTTACAAAGACGTTAACCGATTCAACTCGGTCCATGCTCAAACCGGTTTGAACCGGTTTGAAAAGTCAAGTCGTTGCATCTCTAATAAGAATATCATATGACAGTTTATGTGACGTGACATGATAACATTCTTGTTTCGTAAATCTTTTAATTCTGAGTTTTTAATAAAAGTTAACGTTAAGTATATTTAATGGAATAGTAATGATGGATGCCAAAGATGTCTGTGTTGAAATTGAAAACGATGAGTTTTATAGTAAATTCTTAGACGAAACTATAAAACCCATCTCCGGTGAAACTATCTCGGTTACGGATCAAGTCACAAAACTCGCCTTGGGCATTGAAAAACTAGGAAAAAGCCTTGAAAGACAAGTTTTGGCTAAACATAATGATCTGTTAACCCAAGCCAGTCACATAACAGACCTAGAAACTACGTTAGAATCGGTACAAAACCAAGTGCAAAATCTATTGAAAGGTGCTGAAAAACTAAAAGATCGCATTCACATTCCTTATTATGCCCTCGAAAATCAAACTTTAATGTTAGAAAGAGTTCAGACCACTTGTAATTTGCTTAGACATAGTGCTAAAATAATATCTTTATGGAATAAACTTCAAAGTGTTGGGGATTATCCAGCAAAAGAGGCCATTATCCTTTTTGAACTTAATGAGTTAATTAGTGATTATGACTTCAAAGATATAATTCTCTTAGAAGAGGTATTAAAGAAAGTGGAGCATAGAAGAAAAGAATTACTAACAAATTCCACAGCTGCCTTACAATCCAGCCTCCTAAATGGTGATAAGGCTAAGTTACTTCAATGTTTTAAAGTTTTCCATAACTTACAAAGTACTGATGAACAAATAAAGGATACTATTCAAAGTATACTAAATGAATTGCAAAGAGAAATAGCAACTGCCTTAAATGTGCAAATGGTTTCAATAGAAGTGAAAAAATCTAGTTCTGGAAGAATAGCCCCAGGAAAAGCAAATATTATGAATGCACAAGATTTCAAAATAAAACTGTGGGATAACATAGAGAAACTTTTTAAAGTAGAAATCTATAATGGATGCACTAAAGTAATAATGTTACAGAATGCCATAAATGAATTGCATGCTATTGGAAACTTTAGAAGTATAACAAAAAACTTTTGGTCCAACTTATTAATAATTTTTAGCACTGAGCTGGAGAAGAGCCCACAGAATGTAAATCAGTCAATTGAGATTGACTATCCTAAACTGCTGAAATGTTTCAATGACTTGCTGTCAAAACTTAAATGTAAAGATTTGGAAATGAACAGGTCCAGTATGACAAAATGGGAGAATTCTTTCTTATCAAAGTCGTTAGGAAAACTGCTGGAGCCTGTCAGGACTATGTGGCATCTGAGTCAAGTGCCCAGCATGGACCAAATAGATAATGCAGTCAGGGTAATAGCTGAAGCACTCAGCATTTCACTTGGTGACAAACAACTGAGTATTAGTTTAGCAAATAGTGTAGCCAAGTCTATCAAGCAAATGAATATGGAAGGTGAACAAAGATTGTCCATGGATAGTGATGTTGCTCAAATTATAGAATCACCAACCAGTTCTCAACAGAAGAATGCAGATCTCTGCAACTCCTTATATTATTTCTCATCACAAATCAAAAGAGTTCTTGTAAACATGAACACCATACTTCCACCAGAAAGTATTCAAATTGTGCAGAACAGCCTGAAAGACATCACAAGTTTCCCAGTATTGCAGTTATTTGCTGAATCTATAAAGAATTCCTTATACATCATTCTGATGACAATGCATGACGAACCTGATTTAGTGAGAGCGGATGATCCAACAGGAAAGTCCTTATCATGTTCCCCTTACATGAAAGAACTTCAACAGTTTGTATCCAGATGCAAGGATATTTACCTATCCATGTACCAAGAAAAGTCCGCTCTTAATGAATGCTGTCTGAACATTGCTATAGCTTGTATAGAGAGATTTACACAACATGTCTGTAATGCTAGACCTCTGAGTAAGTTTGGAAGAGTTAAACTTCAAATTGACTGCAAGCATTTGGAAACTGCCTTGTCACCTCTTGTGAATGATATGTCCGAACTTGGAGATCATTACAGGCATCTAAAGGCTTTACATTTACTTTTAGAGAAAACACCCCAAGAGGTTGCCAAGAGCCAGTCAGAAGGTGCATGTTTACCATATTCCTTTGTGATGATGTTCCTATTTTCGCATGCTGGCCCTCAACTGTTAGCACCTCACACTTGCGCTGGTTGGAACATCCAAAAGCTTATGCAGTGGCTTGACACCCATAAAAACGAAAGGGAAAGACTGGAGTTTGTTGCTGGTGCCTTACAGAGGTACCAAAATCATGTGAGGCAAAACCAAATCACCACATATGATGAAGTTTATCCAGTTTTAATACAACTACTTGAAGAAGGTAGAAAGCACTTGAAGAAATGATAAACATATTACGAAGTGTATAATATATTAACTCCTAAAATAAGTATATGCAACATTGATATAAAATGTAAATAAATGAAACAATATTTATAACAGTTAGTTGTTTATTATGATTAATCTAAAAACTCTTGTCCATTGCCTTTATCTGCTAGCAGGAGAACGCCTTTTTTTCCATATCTGCAGCCTGAAGTTAGAAAATTATACAAAATATAGTGACCTATTTTTATTAGCATTAGTTGACTATAAGAGTCTGGTAATCTCTTTTAACTTTAACTACTGATCTGGGCTACAACTACTATATGAAACAGGAAGGATATTAATAATAAAACCACAAAGTAAAAATCTTAAATTCTTTATAGATAAATACAACAACATACAACAAAGCACTCTAATTCTTCATACCAAAACATGTGTCTTATAATAGAATAACCACAACATATTTAATTTAATTACATAAGCTAACAACATTAATATATTTTACAAACTGATATATACATAATTTTTATCCTAATCTTAACATATTCTACTAAGTCTTCAAATGCAACAGTAATGAACAATTGAACTTGTTGTCTTGTATATGATTGATGTATAGTTTTTTTATCAAATCTCATTCAAAACAAGTGCAAAACATAATTGATAAATAAATACAGCAAAGACTTTGTGTACAAAAAGTTTTTTTTTTATTTAAGCTTTTATATTCTAGTAACAGTAATTGTGTGTAAATAATGAATGAACATACCTAATTAATGTATAAGTTTATGCAACTGAAGTTTGGGTCATATACCTAAATACTATTCTAATTATTTCTACAAAACTTATCTAAATTTAACTCACTTTCGCTATTTATAAGAAAATACCGATTTCATGTTATAGACTGTGACATGACATGACATAGACTACGACATGAAGTGATATACACTGTGACATGTGAAAGATTGATTTGATATTATAGTTATAGCTACAGAACTTTCCCACATTATCATGGGTCTTTAAATGAAAACTATTTGGTGTTCATAAGTAATACATAATTTTGTAGCTACAACGTGAACCGATTAACTTAATGAAACTAAATTGAAAAAATAATACTACATAAATTGGACTGATCAATAATAACAGTGAATTAAATTCCGGCTGGAATAAGGATGACTGGAATAGCATCAGCGTTCTTTGCGACTGGACTCTACTTTTCCTTAACACTATGTGGGAGCAGTTCATAAAAAAATAATCAAAAAGGCGAATAATTCCAAGAGCTTGAATCTCATTATTTAAAAAAAAAAAATTGGTCCAATCAGTCACGCAACAAGTATCAATACGAAATCCTTAGTCTAAAACTGAAATGCGTTCTAATCTACGGAGCCGAAGGTCTAATATCGGTTGCTAGACCTACGGGAATGCGGCGCGGTAAACGTCGTCCTGGCTACTGTTGTCAAGCTGAAATGATTTTTAATCTACTGAGCCTAAGGTCCTATATCGGTTGCCAGGCTTACTGTTTTCACACTGAAATGCGTCCTAATCTACTAAGGCTAAGGTCTGGTATCGTTAGCTGGAACTTCGGGACGTCGGCGTAGTGTTACACGAACCGTCTTGACTACTGTTGTCAAGCTGAAATGATTTTTAATCTACTGAGCCTAAGGTCCTATATCGGTTGCCAGGCCTACTGTTTTCACACTGAAATGCGTCCTAATCTACTAAGGCTAAGGTCTGGTATCGTTAGCTGGACCTTCGGGACGTCGGCGTAGTGATGCACGAACCGTCTTGACTACTGTTGTCAAGCTGAAATGATTTTAAATCTACTGAGCTAAGGTCAGATATTGGTTGCTAGACCTGCAGGAAGCCACCCAGCAACTGTCACACTGAAGGGCTTTGCTACAACTAACGAGCGAGAATACGATATATTCCACCCCTGATATCGTTTGCTAGACCTGTGGAAATACAGCGCGGAAGACATCGTCATGACTACTGTTGTCAAGCTGAAATGCACCTAATCTACTCAGTCTAAGGTCTAAAATAGAACGCTATGAAAGTGCCAACTGCGGTGCTATCAAGTTAAAATGAGTTCTGATCTACTAAAGCTTAGGTCTGATATCATTCGCTAGACCTGCGGGAATGCGGCGCGGTAGACGTCGTCGTAGTGCTGCACGAAGTGTACGTCGATATCGGCGCGGATGAATGCAGGCAAGTCGTCGAAGTCCCGTCGATTCTCCTCGGGTAAGATCACGCAATTAACACCCACGCGTTTCGCCTACAAATAAAAAAAGACGATTTAGGTATGCTTTTATGACCTCTGTGGACGAGTGGTTGGTTTCAAGGTGTCGTCTACTCGAGAGGTCCCGGGTTCGAATCCCGGTGGGGGCAGATGTTTGTGTGATGAATCCGAGAATCCAGTCATGGATGTTTAATATGAATTTCTATATAAATATCATCATCATCAGCCTTTTAATGTCCTCATTGCTGGTGCACAGGCCTTCCCTATGGATGGAATAGGGAGATTGGGCCATGACGCACCATGAGGGCCCAGTGCGGATTGGCGGGTGCTAACGACTGCAGATGCAGGGACCAACGGCTTAACGTGCCTTCCAAAGCACGCAGGAACTAGAGATAGAAGATTTTTGGTCACCCATCCAATGACCGACCTCTGCGAAAGTTGCTTAACTTCAACGATCGCAGCCGAACACTAACCACCCGCGCCATCGAGCTCCTCATAAATATACTTTCATATAAGTATTATATCCGTTACCCTTGTATCCCATAACACAAGCCTTACAGTGTTTACATTGGGGCAAGGTTAATTGGTGTGTGTTGGAAATATTTATTATTTTGTAAATTTTGACAGAAATCGATTAAATTTTAAAAAGGCAGGTTTTTTACTGCATCATCATCATCACAGCCACTTATGCAGTTTTGGGGGAATTGTCGTGTAGTGAGTGTCGTATCCGGCACGATTTTTTAAACTTAAAATTTAACACAAGTATTACCTTTTCATTTTTACAAGGCTACACTGTTGTCAAATTTCAATTCGAATCGATAAAATTTTTGGTGATTATGGCTGCGCCTCATTACGTGACGATTCTGCCAATGTCTAGTGCTGGGTTTAGAGAAGCATGCCACAATCGACACCAATAAGTGCTTAAAATTTTCAAACTTAAAACAACATAACATAAACGGTAATATGTAGTATCTATATCATGCTTTATAGATAATGAAAAGAAGAGACTGCTGGCAAATATTATTTGCCCTAATAATAGTAAACTAGGTAATTAAGTAAGCTGTTCAAGCGCCTACTAAATCACTGTAGCAAAGAAGGAGCGCGCCAGGATCAAAAATCATTCTTATTAGACTGCCTATACGTCGGACGTTACCTAACATTTTATAAATATTTAATTGATTGTTTTAAAAAATATAAGTTTTAAATCTGCAAGTTTGTTTTGAATATCTCCGAAACCGGCGAGAGCTGGAACAAAGCTAATTGAGATAAAATAATTTAGTGCCTCGAGTTATTTTATCTAAATTAGTATTAAGATAACATAATTCGAGGCACCAACGAAAAATGTTTATTCGATAAGCCTAAATTTTAGATTTTAAAATGGGAAACTCTGCCTTGTGTTAACTTTTTGTGTTTTGAGACACTCCCATATCCTATTTAGGCCTATTGATATGAAATAAATGGGTTTTCTACTCAATATCAAATTCCAGTTGATCGGTGACAATTTACTGTAAACCCAATATATCGACATGGCATTTGATCGAATGACAAATAATCGTTAGATCAATAGCTTGTTATGCCAATAGATCGAAAACTAATTAGATCAATGTTTAATATGATCAAATTGCAAATAAACAAATGTCTAGATTGATGTTTCAATTATCGAAAACAGGATTGATTTTTTATGTACTGGCATATGATGGCGCCAAAAACCGGAATATCTAAAATATAAAATTCTCGTGTCACGGTGTGCGTAATTGAACTACTCCGAAACGGCTCGACCGATTTTCGTGAAATTTTATATGCATATTCAGTAGGTCTGAGAATCGGACAACATCTATTTTTCATCCCCCTAAATGTTAAGGTGGTCCACCCTTAATTTTTTTTTGAACAACATTTTTTGTTTCTTTTATGATACATCATACAAAAATACACACAACCCTAAATTTTCACCCTTCTACCACTAACCCCTATTTTTTTATAATATATATATATATATATAATATATATATATATATATAATATATATAACTAATATATATATATAATATATATAATATATATATATATATATATATATCTTAATATATATAAATCTCGTGTCACAATGTTTGTCCTCAATGGACTCCTAAACCACTGAACCGATTATAATAAAATTCGCACACCATGTGCAGTTCGATCCAACTTGAGAGATAGGATAGTTTAAATCTCAAATTATAGTCGCAATTTTAATTTATTGCAAATTATTACTTTTGGGCGGTACGAAGTTCGCCGAGTCAGCTAGTATGTGTATATATAGGTCCGACAAATGATTATATCAGACTCACGGCGATGATCTTCTCCTTGATGCCGCCCACAGGCAGCACGCGGCCGGTGAGGGACACCTCCCCTGTCATGGCCAGTTGTTGCTTCACCGCGGTCTTGAGGGCGAGCGATATGAGCGCGGTGGTGATGGTCACGCCGGCTGACGGACCATCTTTGGGGGTCGCGCCCTCTGGCACGTGCAGGTGAATGTGACTAGGGTGGCAGAAAAAATTATTTTTTAAATAGGTACATACATTTTGTCGGGACATAAAATAAGGTTCCTTTTTTTATAGACATGTGGGACAAATGACTCCACCCCACCTGATGTTAAGTGATGGTGAAGTCCAGACGTGAAGATAGCTGGTATAGCAGTTCTACCTGTCACACCAGCTATCCTCACCTTGCCGGTCTATATTTATTTTATTCTTCTTTACCAAAATACAGTAAATGGCGGACTTAATGCCATAGGCATTCTCTACCAGTCAACAAGTAAGGGAGTGTCTATATGTTGCTTCTTCGCGCCTCTTTTAAAGGATCCGAGGTTGTAAGAAGGAGGGAACACGTGAGCAGGTAGAGCATTCCATTTACGGATATTACGACAAAGAAATGAATCACCAAGGTTCTTCTTACTCATTTTAGTTGCCCCCGTGCCGTTTTATTTAATTTCATATGGTCCAATTGGAAATGATGACATTTTTACTTATTTTTAACTTCCCTGCATTCCATGTTAGTTAATTTTGAAACTATTGTTTTAAGTAAAAACCTTTGAAAATTTAATTGGAAACTATAGTTACTTTTTAATTTTTTAAGCATTTAACTGCTAGATGTTTAAATCTAAAATATAAATATAACTGTATATAATTATAATAATTATTTGAAACGGACAATTAGGGCCGCAGTAGTATAATGGTTAATGCATATGCCCGGATAGCGGAGGATGGGGGTTCAAGTCCCGTCTGCCGCCTGGTCCGCGTGGAAATTATTCTAGTAAAATTTCCTTTAGCAAGATAATGTTTACCTATTATTAAGGCAGTGTCCTCCGTTTGATGTTGAGCCTGATAGTTCCTCGCAACAGTGAGAGCGATCGTGGCGGACTCTAATTCTCTTCTAAGATAACGTTGTACACGCCTAGATATATATTATTATTTGCACGCAAGCGACCCAAAAAATATGTACTATATATGGTAGATATGTTCGTCGATACACACACATTGCGTAACATGCGCCGGTTTCTTTGCGTGGTTTATTTGGATTGCTATTTGCTAGGCATGTATATAGTCAAAGGTGTTTGTTAACCTAGAGTTGAGGAAGTAATCATGGTTCCTGAATTTACCTAGTGTTATGGAAGTCATTCTTGACGCTGAGCTAAGTTTCTGATTACAGTAAGGGCGATTCTAGTGGATTCCTTTATTAGCTCTCCGAGGTGGATGTCAGCTTTAGAAAGATGGCTTTACCTATTGTTATGTAAAATTTATAGAAGGTCTATTAAGAAAGCCATTCTCCGGATGATGCTTTCTTCATCACATCCAACAAGCAACCGAGATAGTGTTGAAGAAGTAATTCTTACGATGATGCTGAGAGACATAATCCACTCCAGCAAGCCCGATAACCAAGAGTGTTTATATGGTGCTAAGGAAAGTTTACCTTTTATTAAGGAAGTCGTTCTCCCGATGATGTTGAGCTAGGTAGTTTCTGGCTTGCGCGGCCATTCGGAGACGGGTTCCGCGACCACACCCGCCCTCTCGGCATGCACTAGGGGGACCGCGGTCCTCATAGAGCGTGTCGGGTGACGGTGCAGGAGTATTGTCTGGTTTTTAGTGGCCCTGTTCAGGGCGTAGGTAGGGCCCTGTTCACATCAGCGAGCTCCAGGGCTGGCTGAAGAGGACAGGGAGGAGTCCCACATACCTTCTTCTCGCTCCCCCAGTGGTTGAAGGATGCGTAAGGCATTTTCCAGACAAAAAAAAGGGTTGTTTCTGGCTACAGTAAGTGCGATTCTGGCGAATTCCTTTATGACGTCTCCGAGGTGGATGTCAGCTTTAGTTAAATTTATGAAAGGCCTCTTAAGAAAGCCATTCTCCGGATGATGCTTTCTTCATGACGTCCAACAAGCAACTGAGATAGTGTTGCAGAAGTAATTCTAACGATGATACTGAGAGAGATAGTCCACTCCAGCGAGCTTACTTACCAAGCAAGACAGTGTTTATATCTGTCTGAGGCAAGTTTACCTGCTATTAAGGAAGTCGTTCTCCCGATAATGCTGAGTTAGGTAGTTTCTGGCTACAGTAAGTGCGATTCTGGCGGATTCCTTTATTACCTCTCCGAGGTGGATGTCAGCTTTAGTAAAATTTAAGAAAGGCCTCTTAAGAAAGCCATTCTCCGGATGATGCTTTCTTCATCACGTCCAACAAACCACCGAGATAGTGTTGAAGAAGTAATTCTTACGATGATGCTGAGAGAGATAGTCCACTCCAGCGAGTCCAATAACCAAGCAAGATATATTTATATGATGCTGAGGTGTTTATATGGTGCTAAGGAAAGTTAACCTGCTATTAAGGAAGCCATTCTTCGGATGATGCTGAGCTAGGTAGATTCTGGCTACAGTAAGTGCGATTCTGGCGGATTCCTTTATTACCTCTCGGAGGTGGATGTCAGCTTTATTTATTTATTTATTTATTTATTTATTTATTTATTTATTCAGTTTCACATGCTGGTTTACAGAGCTAGTCCAACACACCAACAAGTCAATGCAATGCAAAACAAAAACATTCATTATATAGAAATAGTCATAAGTGGAATTACAATTAAAAAGTCAAAATTAAAAATAAACATACACCAAAGTCAACGAAGTTACAGAATCAAAAATGTCAAAAGATATAATTAAAAACGTGAAAACAATAAATAAATTACAAATTAAAATAAACTAGGAAATACACTGTCAAATGTCAAATTACAGATTAAAACCCAGAATCTAAAATCTGGCGAGTCATGGTAATTAATCTCCCTAGACCGTCAGCAAACAGGTCTAAGTGATCGTATTGAGTGAGCATGTCCCCGATCAGGCGCAATGCACGTACTGTGGGCGCTTGGGCAGCGTGGACGGTTCGGGTGCCAGGCCACTCCAGCAAGCGCGGCCGCCGGCGCGGCTCCAATAAACCCTCGGCATCACGCGGGATGCGAGTGGGTACCAAAAGGCGTACTCTTTCTAGCACGTGTGGCGAATCTATCTTTTGGTAAATAATTGATAAATAGTGTACAATGAGGAGCAATTTCCTTCTCATATCCAGTGCTTCTAGGTCGACCATACCGTAGACAAAAGTTGATGGATACAAGAACGGATAATATCCATAGTTTTTCTTGTACAACCATCGAGCAAATTTTCGTTGTATCTTTTCTATCATGAGGCAATATTTTTTTTCGTGGGTGTCCCAAATTACTGCCCCATATTCCAATTTACTACGTACGTAGGCATTGTACAATACCCTAGCCACTAAAGAACTACTAAATTCGGAGGAAGTTCTGATAATGAATCCCAGGATCCTACTCGCCGATTTGCATACGCTTATCACGTGTTGGTGAAAGTCCATCTTAGTATCTAAAGTTAAGCCTAAGTCTCTAATTTTGTCAATTCTTTCCAAAGGAGCGTCATATATTTTATAAATACTTTCAATACAGGACCGCTTCCGCGTAAAAGTTATTGTCTTGCATTTGTTGCTATTGAATGTCAACCGATTCGAATCACTCCACGCTACTACAGCGTCAATATCACTCTGCATGGCATCCGAATCCCCTTTATTACTTATACACCTATATATTTTTAAATCGTCAGCAAATAACAAACATTTTGTGCATGACAATACTTTAGGCAAGTCATTTATCATGATTTGAAAGAGGGTAGGTCCTAACGTACTACCTTGACTCACCCCAGATCTCGTAAAGAAGTGGTTAGATTCGTATCCATTCAACCTAACATACTGACATCTATCTTTGAGGTAGCTTGCAAAAAAAATGCAGTAGTGAGGGAGTAAAACCTATTTCCGAAAGCTTTATTAATAATTTATCATTATCTACAAGGTCAAAAGCTTTTTTGTAGTCAAAATAGGCCGCATCAACTTGCCGCCCAGCGTCCATTTCCGCAGAGACGTAATCTACCAGGGGTATCAAATTAGTGGTAGTCGATCGCCCTTTTCGAAAGCCGTGCTGACACTCGTGTAATTGATCACCTATCTGCCGACTTATATGATGATTAATTATTGCCTCGAATAGTTTGGCAAAAACGGATAGTACGGCTATTGGTCTATAGGCTGCAATATTAGAACCGGGTTCCCCTTTTGGAATTGGTGTCACCCTAGACAGCTTCCATAAATCTGGATATTTAGCCTGACTTAGTGAGAGATTGTACATATACAACAACGGGATTCTGAAGATTGAAATGCAATCTTTGACCAGGAATATCGGGATACCATCAGGTCCACCTGATGATCGAGACTTAAGGCGCTTTACGGCTTTATCTAGGTCTTCTTTATCTATTGTCGAGATAGATATTAACTTCGCACCGGCTATTGGTCGAGCTTTTCGTGCAGCTTCGTCTGTATCTAAACGTGGCATTTCATCCAAAAACACTGTACCAAAATACCGAGCAAACGCTTCAACAGCCTCTTGACCAGAAAATACCTCCCCATTATGTGTAAATGAGTCTATAAATCGTCTGTCTTTTTTCTTATCTTTAACATATTCCCAAAACTTTAATGGTTCGTCAATTATATTTTTTTGTATAGTCTGCACGTGTTGTTGATAAGCGTAGTCAATAAGCCTTTTTGTATGCCACCTATAGTACTTATACAATTCTCTATTAAACTCCTTGCCTTCTAATTTGTACCTTTTCAAATGAAAATATTTTGATTTTAAGTTATATATGATTTCCGTCGTGTACCATTTAGGGTATTTGTATTGACTGATATTATTATTATGCGATGACCTATTCCTAAGTGGAACATATAAATTTACGCAATCATATAGTTTTTCATAAAAAAAGTTCACGCTTAAATCAACATCGCTAATTTCTAATAAATCTGACCAATCGATAGTAGCTAGAGCACTGTACAATGCTGAAAAGTCTGTTTTGCGCCAGTTCCAGTCAGGACACGTGTCCGAATGAGAAACTGGCGGTCGCGGAACCTGTTGCAAAGGGCCTGTCCCTATCTTTAGTTTAATAGATATATCGAGGGGAGGGTGATAACTGTCCACTTGAACCAGAGGTTCATCGTTAGCTGACACCATCACCTGACCGGGCACAAGATCACTCAAGACAAGGTCCAGCATGCCACCACGATTATTTAATACATGGTTGTTTTCGCGTAATTGACAGAATTCACAGAAGTTGTCAAACTGATTTTTTACATTTACACTGCAGGAATTTAGATTGAAATCTCCAACAATCAAAACGTTCAGATTAGGATATGCGCAAATAACATTTTCTATACACGACAACACATTCAAATATTGGTCATCTTTATAATTTGGAGGCAAATACACAACAAAACATAGTAGTTTTATACTCTTCCATTTTATAATAGCACAAATTAATTCTTTATCAGGCGTAAGGCCATCTATATCCGTAATGACTTGTACAGAATAGCACTCTCGTACGGCAAGTAAAATTTATGAAAGGCCTCTTAAGAAAGCCATTCTCTGGATGATGCTTTCTTCATGACGCCCAACAAGCAAGCGAGATAGTGTTGACGAGATAGAGTAATAGGGGTGATGACGGGGTACGGTAAACGAAATTCTATTTAGTCCGTCAGTTAGATGATCAAAAAATAATGGTCACGTATTTTTTCTTTGGGCAGTCAACCAAAAAATGACAAAGTTATAGCGCGTCAAAGTTTGGGAGTAGGGGCTCGTGACGTCACTTTTGAGTGAATTTTCACTTATAAGTGTACTCAAACGTGACGTCATGCGAATTTTCAAATCAATATATCTCTGCAATGTTTATATTATGTGAAAAAAGAAAAAATACGTGTCCAATACTTTTTGATAATCTACCTGATAAACGAAGAAAAAAAATTAGTCATCATCCCTATTCTTACGATGATGCTGAGAGAGGTAGTCCGCTCCAGCGAGCTTAATTACCAAGCAAGACAGTGTTTATATCTGGCTGAGGAAAATTTACCTGGTATTAAGGAAGTCATTCTCCGGATGATGCTCAGCTAGGTAGTTTCTGGCTACAGTAAGTGCGATTCTGGCGGATTCCTTCATCACGTCTCCGAGGTGGCCCGTCAGTTCCAGTGAGCCTAGAGACGGTTTATCACCAGCGTCTGCCTTTATGGGCGACCGGAGTGCCGTCTCGATGTATAGGGAACTACCGCCTATTGAAATAAAAATACGACTTCAATTTAAATTAAGCTTATGACGGCCATTGAGAAAAAGTTGAAGTAGCTGTCCTAATTTTGCAGAATGTTGTATGCAGAGATGCAAGTAGTAGATGTATTTATCTTTTAAATCTACAAAGACAAGATATTTGAAATAGATCTAAATTACAGATTTTCATATCATCATCATCATCATCATCAGCCTATTAATGTCCCCACTGCTGGGGCACAGGCCTTCCCTATGGATGGAATAGGGAGATTAGGCCATGACCCACCACGCGGGCCCAGTGCTGATTGGTGGGTGCTAACGACTGCAGATGCAGCCGGGACTAACGGCTTAACGTGCCTTCCGAAGCACGGAGGAGCTCGAGATAGTAAATTTTTGGTCACCCATGCAATGACCGACCATTGCGAAAGTTGCTTATAATTGATTGATTTTGATATATTGCGTAAAATTCAGCCACTAGACAAAATTTCAATGCAGACAAAAAGACTGCATAAATGTCGTCATTTAAGCCAGCTGGCATCACTGGCAATGAAAAGATCTTTGACTTTCAAGTTCCACATTACTTTAATAAAGTTTGAATTCCATAAGAGACTTTTAGAAGGCTGATTGATGGTAGTGAAGTATATACACATCACCAGCCTATTAATGTCCCCACTGCTAGGGCACAGAGATTAGGTCATGACCCACCACGCGGGCCCAGTGCGGTTAGCACCAACCGCTAACGACTGCAGATGCAGGCGGGACCAAAGGCTTAATGAGCCTTCCGAAGCATGGAGGAGCACGAGATAATAAATTTTTGGTCACCCATCCAATGACCGACCACTGCAAAAGTTGCTCAACTTCAACGATCGCAGCCGACCGAATTGGCCATCAAGCTCCTCGTAAGTATATACAAAAAGTAGGTAACGGATGGCGTAGTTTTAAGACGTTCATTAGTTCTAGCAGCTAAAATACGATACATACTATAACCTAAATAAACCCATATTGAATTCGAATTTTGTATTATGCTTACCCATGGCGGTCCATGCTAATCCCATAACGATTCCCGGCGGCGTGTCATCATACATGCGGTCGTGTTTAAACGTCGGTTTCCCGACCAACTCCGATAGATTATCGTCCGTCACTACTAATTCATCTGTCTCCTTCTTCACAATCTTGTACGCCACCTTTCGAGCGATCTGGGACAAACACAGATTAACTCTTTTATTTTTTTATAGATAGGTTTTTTTATGTTTTATAGGCAAGGCGTTTCACCACAACCTCACCTGATGGAAAGCGATAATGAGACCTAGGATGGTACACGCCTGCCTAGAAGATGCCAGTTCACTCTGACCTTGAAGATGTCCAGATTATATTGGTCCGGGAAAACAAACCTCGGTAAGGAGTTCCACTCCCTAGCCGTTCGCATAATGCAAGCGGAAGCAAATCGCTTCGTACGAATGGGAGGAACTTCGACAATAGAAGGGTGAAAGCCCTCGCCGCGCCTGGTCGTCCATTGGTGTACAAATAGGTCCGACAAATGACTCCACCTGATGTTAAGTGACGATGAAGTCCAGACGTGAAGATAGCTGGTACAGCAGTTCTACCAGCCACTCCAGCCATCCTTACCTTGCCGGCCAGCATGTTGCTTCAAAAATATATTTTGTTATATGATGTAACTAAAAATTTACGGTTTTCACAATTTTTCCCTTATCTGTACTTAAAGACGTTACTTCGTACCAAATTTCAAGATTCTAAGTTCACGGGAAGTACCTTGAATCCCGTGCGAGTTTCAAAAATTTGCGGCATATACGGCTGTATCTTTTGATTGCTTTGGCTTAGAAGTTTGATTTTTTCACAGCTCCAAGGGACAGTAGACATGAGTATAAGATATGAATTTCAGTTTGATACCTCCACGCATTCCTGAGAAACACGGTCTTCACAGACGGACGGACGGACGGACAACAAAGTGATCCTATAAGGGTTTCGTTTTTTCCTTTTGAGGTACAGAACCCTAAAAAATGGTACATTTTGTTGAGAACTTCTATTTTAGCTTCATGGCCGCTGGGCGGATTTCGACCTTTCCCTACGGGCGCCGTTCTTTTCCATGCCTGCCCTGGGGGCCATTCGCCTAACGTAAATGCTTTGGAAAACGCTAAAGCTTACGATTTCATTTTGTTATTTCTAGTCACCTGAGGTTTTCAAATGCCTCGCGCTCTTTTTTTTTCTTTTGCATTGGTAATAACAATATTAAAAAAAAATGGGTGCGTGTACTTATGTAGGCGCGTGAGAAGTTATCCTTCTTTGGCATCGTTTAAAATTAGTTTTTAATTGCATGCAAATAATTAATTACAATAAATTAATAAAAAGTCTGAAAAAGGACACAGTCAATAAAGTTCAGTTTGAATTTGAAAAAATAAATAAATAATCAAAATATTCAATTAAAATCGCTACTGAATATAATTTATTAGAACATATGTGATTTGCACTTGTATGAAACTCAAACACGTATTCCGAATATACAAACTAGAAACATGTGGATAAATATTATAAATATGAATACCTATAACTGTTACTTTATTACAAAAAATAAAGATGTGGTTTTTGGTTCTACTACACCAATGGTCAAGAGATGGCGCTGTAGTCTCCTGAATCGCGCTTTGGTTCCGTTGTTCCAGATTAATAAATACTTTTGATAGGCCTTCACAATGCAGTCGTTAGCACCCACTAAATAGAGATTCTGTTTCTATTTTGTCGGTAGATTTTCTTAATGTGCGGTAAACACAATAACAGCATGAAGTTGGACCAACTTCATGCTGTTAAAATTTTGTGTTACAGTGATGCGCACGCATCTTAAAATTTCACTCTCATCATTTTTTCATAACGCGCCTAAATAACTATAACTTCAAAAATGAGCGTGAGTTATTCGAAAACCTTCGGCGATCAGAAATAACAAAATAAAATCGAAAGCGTTAGCGTTTTCCAAAGCATTTTCGTTAGGCGAATGGTCCCCTTATTGTGGTAATGGGTATAGCTTAACTTGGAATAAAACGAAAAATATTACCTTCTCAATATGTTTCTGCAGATTCCGTACGCCGCTCTCGCGACAGTAGGCGCGTATCAAGGTATGCAACGCAGACGGTGACAGTTGCAGCTGCTGCTGGTCCAGGCCGCAGTTCCGGAGCGCGGCCGGCACGAGGTATTGCTGGGCTATGGCCAACTTCTCTTCAGCCACGTAACCTGGTTAGCGATAATTTAATGTTTCATTGGAATATATTTGTTTCTTAGGTTTTCACGCACATCACTCATTAAATAAAACTAGTTTTTCACGGGTTAATGCACGAAAATTTATTTATTTATTGACGTTTCGCAGCCTCTACAGGCTTTGCAGGCAGGGATTCCGACGATGCAGCCTGTAAGGCTGCGAAACGTAAATAAATAAAGTTTCGTGCAATAACCCGTGAAAAACTAGTTTTATTTCATTGGAATAATTATTATTTTATGGTTGCTTAACTTAATAATTACAATAGTTTTGCAATCCAGTGTAGTAGTCACAAGAGTTTTGATCGTCGTTTAAAATCAAAATCGACATTGAATAATCCCAGACAATAATAAATAGCCAAACCGAACGATAACAAGTTAATCAGAGGAATCAACTGCGTAGTCCTATGGGGCAATCAAATGTTAAACTATGAAGTGGCAAGTATATGGATGAACAAGTGCAGATTCTAGGTGAAACATTAATTAGTAACAAAAGTGGGAAATAGTGTTTATAAAGTGTTTTACTACCGGAGCCTTAATTTTTTTATCTACCTTCGGACGGTTTTGTTACTTTGTTTCAAGCTTTAGATTAATAATTTCGCAAGACAACAACAAGCACCGGTGGTCCAACGGTTCCGACTTTCGCCGATACTCTCAAGTGATCGTTGGATCGAACCCCAGTCGGAGAAAATTTTTTTTTTTTTTTTTTACTTATACATATTTTTTTGTTGTGATTTTTTGGACTTGCATTTTAAGAAGCTTCTATCTTAAACTATCAAAAGATAAAAAAGGAGGTCCAAAAGAAAAAGGTTTCTTTTTTTATTGGAACTTTTTTAATGACTTGTTACTGGAAGATTGAAACTATAGTATATTTAAGTGAATAAATAGAATCAAAGATATTGATGGCGCCTAACCACGGTAAATGTTCCGGCTGTCACAATGTTATACATAAACGTGAGTTCTTAGAATGCGCTATATGTAGAATGAAATATGACCTTAACTGCGCTAACATATCGTTGAGTCATTTCAATAGCTTTTATGCGCAAGATGCAGATTGCAAGCGCAGTTGGAAATGCCCAGAATGTTGCAGCAAACAACCCAAGACGGGCAACGCAAATACACCTATACATCCCACGCAGCATTGTAACCCTCCTCAAGCCCGGGGCTCTACTGGCTCGGATCTGCACTCGAATAATGTGACTGTGCGAAACAGGCGTGATCGGAAACAACCGTTGTCCCCCAGCAGTAACAACCGTACACCTGAAAAGCCTAACAGTGACAACGATTACATAACAGAGTCCAAGTTAAGGAGTATATTGAAACAGGAACTTTCGGGATCTCTTTTGTCCGTTATAAAAGAACTTGTAACAGCGCAAGTAAAAAGCGTGTCTGATCAGTTAAAGGATATGCACGAATCCCTTACGTTTTTCAATAAACAGTATGAAGATTTGAAGTCAGCTATTCACGAAAAAGACACATTGATTGAAGACTTGAAGAGGAATAATGGTGAACTGAGCCAGACCGTATGCGATTTGACTAACCGGCTGAACTTGGTTGAACAAAATATGAGAGACAGTAACATACAAATAAATGGCATCCCAGAGCACAGACGGGAGAATCTGATCAAGGTCGTTGAACAACTTGTTAAAATCGTAAAAGCTCCTGTACCTGCCGAAGACATCCTTCACGCCACGAGGGTAGCCAAACTGAGCACAGATAGCGACAAACCACGCGCAGTGATAGTGAAGTTACGAGCTCCCATACAGCGCGATACTATACTTGCTTCGGTCTCTATATTCAATAAGAAGAACCAAAAAGAAAAAAAAGACAAATTGAACACCCAACACCTTGGTCTAGCTGGTACAAGTAAACCTGTATTTGTATCTGAGCATCTGTCTCCGTCAAACAAAGCCTTGCATGCCGCCACGCGTATCAAGGCAAAAGAATTTAAATACAAGTTCACTTGGGTGCGAAACGGGCGAATATTTACAAGGAAGGATGAAGATAGTCAAGCACTTCTCATCCGAAATATGGACTCTTTGGCGCTGATTAAATAGTGTTACAAAGTCTCGACACCTAGAAAAGATGTCACGTTCATATGTTAAAATTCGATATATACTATCAAAATATCCGTGGTATAAGAACAAAAACTAACGAAGTGTACAGGAATATTTTAACGAACAATTACAAGATTATTGTTTTTACCGAGACATGGCTGAACTCCAATATTGCCGATAGTGAATTTATAGACTCCAGATATGTCGTATACCGTAGAGATCGCTCAAGCGTTCTTGGCTCGAAGAAGGATGGGGGCGGAGTACTAATAGCGGTATCTAAAGATATACCTTCTATGCGAATGTTGAACTGGGAAACTAATAATTGTGAAGACCTCTGGGTAAATATTAAATTAAAGACAAATGGCTTATATAAGACTTTCTCTCTTTGTGCTTTGTACTTACCGCCTCCACCCAGATTGGAGACCCAGGAACGTTTTTTGAATAATTTGGATATCTTAATGACCCACATTGAAAATGTAATTGTGTTAGGTGATTTTAATCTTAATATGAATTGGATCTTTGATGACAATTGTAACAATATGATACCTGTTAATTGCAGTAATAATTTGGGACGGTGTCTAGTCGACTTCTTAACACTTAATAACCTTTTTCAGTACAATAATGTCAAGAACTCTCTTGGCAAAACGTTAGATCTAATCATAAGCAACTGGGAGCACTTGCGTGTTGCTAAACCCTTAGATTTGCTAAGTAAATTAGACGAGTACCACCCCCAATTACTAATCACTGTACTTCAAATAAAGAGCGTTTCTTCCGCACATCTTTTAACTAACCACACAGAGAGGCATAATTTCAATAAGGCAGACTACGAGTTGCTGAATGCTAAGCTGAGTTGTGCTGATTGGGATGATATTTTTAAAGATTGTCGAGATGTTAACGAACACTTAGTTGAATTTTATAAAAAAATGAGGCTTGAAATTGTCAATCATGTACCCAAATACGTTATAAAACCTTCAAATTATCCTCCGTGGTTTAACAAAACACTCAAACGCTTACTGAGCGAAAAACATAAACTTCGTAAGAGATACACCAAGTTCAATAACCCAAGAGACAAACTTGAATACAATATCCTTCGCGAACGTTGTCACAAACTAACCAGTGCTTGCCTAAACAATTATCTAAGGGAAATCGAATCTGACATTTGTAAGAACCCAAAAAAGTTTTGGCGTTTCATCAAGGACAAACGAAAAGGCCGTTCTGTATTGCCTGCTGAAATGAAGTTAAATGAGACGACTGCGTCCTCGGGCACCGATATAGCCAACTTATTTGCCAATCACTTTTCCTCTGTTTACTCAGCGCATGTAGTAAACTTAAATGACCCGGTTACATATGCAGAATCCAATAATAATAATAATAATTTAATGAACATACAGCTAACCGAATCACAAGTGCTGGCAAAAATAAAACTGCTCGATGCAACAAAAGGTTCTGGCCCCGATAGCATACCACCACTATTTATCAAAAGATGTGGCGCAGCTCTAGCACGACCACTAACAATAATATTTAATCGATCTTTGAGGGATGGGGTGTTTCCACAGGAGTGGAAAAAGGCTAGAATAGTACCAATTTATAAAAAGGACGATAGGGCAAACATCATCAACTACCGACCAATATCTATATTATCGTGTCTCTCTAAGCTTTTCGAGAGCCTTATATACCCTCTAATATACGGTCATATTGAAAAAAATATAACAGACTTCCAGCACGGCTTCATGCGTGGTCGTTCAGTCGAGACAAACTTAGTAGAATATATCTCGTCTATATCGCAGAGTTTGGATAGGGGCCTGCAAGTAGATGCAGTTTACACAGATTTTTCAAGTGCATTTGATAAAGTCAATCACGGAGTGCTGCTTTCCAAACTTCACAACATGGGATTATGCGGATCATTGTTGCAATGGTTTGCATCGTATTTATCAGAGAGGCCCCAAACGGTGACTGTGGATGGATTCGAGTCCAACGTGTTTTTGGCAGAATCGGGTGTTCCACAAGGATCTCACCTTGGACCTCTCTTATTTCTAATATTTATCAACGATATTGCAACCGTGATAAATTATAGCAGTTTGTCCATATTCGCAGATGATATTAAAATTTATAAATGTATCGAATCCACGGAAGATGCTCGTCTCCTACAATCAGATTTGTACAATATATCTGTCTGGTGCCATAAAAACGGAATGTTACTAAACCCCTCAAAATGCTGCTCCATCAGTTTCACTAGAAAGAGATTTCCTATTGATACCAAATACACATTGTCCGGCGTAACTTTGGCAAGGGTCACGGAGGTCAAAGACTTAGGTGTTAAGCTGGACAATAAATTGAATTTTGCGGCACATATAAATAATCTAGTGAATAACGCCGCTCGTATGTTGGGTTTTCTAAAAAGAAATGCAAAAGAATTTCGCAATGTAAAAACTAAGACAGTACTCTTTAATACCCTTGTGCGTAGTCATCTCGAGTTTGCTAGCGTGGTTTGGAATCCCGTATACGCGGCGCCATCCCAACGAATTGAATCTATACAGCGAGCGTTTACTCGTTATATTGCCTTTTTGACACCTGGTATATCCCACAGGCATCCATACAAGGAGAGACTTGATTTTTTCCAAGTTACATCATTAAAAAATCGACGTACGATAGCGGATTTACTGTTTCTACATAAAATTCTTAATAATGACATCAACAGTATTCATCTTCTTGGTGAGATTGGAATTGCAGTACCCTGTAGATACCCGCGCTATAAAGTACGCAAAATGTTTAATATACCAAGTCACAAAACAAACTTGGGTATTCATTATCCCATAGCTAGGATATGCAACGCGTATAACGAATTGTTAATGAAGGTACCCAGTATTGACATTTTCAACGATTCTACTCGAACTTTCAGAAACAAACTATTGCATCACTTTCAGCCTCCCAGTGTGTATTCGACGTAGTTAACAATTTTTTTTTTGTGTGTTCTTAATAAAAATAACCTTAATAAATCAATAATAGCAGCATTTGTTAAAGATAATGTTCTTGTTCTCCTTTCATTTTAATTAATGTTAAACGATATGGTATAAATGTTGTGTATATCTATAATTGGCAAACATATGTAAACAGTAAAATTATCCTCTATATATTACGAATGTCTTGTATGTTATGCTGTTGATGTACCTATAAATAAATAAATAAATAAATAAATAAAATAAATAATAATAAATTTTAGTTAATATGGGTAGTTATGAGTAGTATCTTCGGCGGTGTCGTGTGAGGCGGGTCGTAACGGTCCCTAAAATATGGTTGAACGAAGCGATGGCTGGTTCATGCGTCATGCTCGTGAACGGTTGCTGCCAGCGGAGATGAGACTGCCCTAACTTCCTTAATATTGAAGTTAATGTTTAGTCACACTTAATATAAATAACACTATTTGTATTTATACTGTATAACACAGCAAACAAAATGCAGGTAAACAATTAATGTATATATAATCATTATGTAATGAAAGGTGACTTCGTGAATCATCTCTGAAGTCATTTTTCAATTTGACGACTCTGTAAATAATAAAACAGGGAGAAAAAAACAGCCCTTGCTGAGTTTCTTACCGGTTCTTCTCAGTACAAGGTCTCCCGCCGTAGATTTACGAACCGATGGCGTAGCTTCTAGACCTTCATATGTGCTTGTAACAGCCTAAACTGAATAAATGATTTTGATTATGATTATGAACATGGTAATTCGCAGATTCGCGAGGTGTTCCACTGAGGTGAAAGTGACTCTTTTTAGGGCGTTTAGCTTTTCTTTCCACACATGCAACCTCTGGATTAATTACACTCTGAAATCGTATGACGCCCTTCGAGTTCAGTTCAACAATGCGTTTAGAATGTTGATGGGGCTCCCACGTTTGTAGCGCCTCGACAATGTTTGCGGAAGCTCGCACAGATTATTTTTATGACATAATGCGCAAGCGTGGCGCTTCGTTGGTGCGGCGAGTGCGGGGGAGTGCCAATAGCGTGCTAGTAGACAGGCTTGACTGCCCATATATCAATCACTGCTGTAGACTGTACATTGCACACATACTGTGACAAAGCAGTTGAATTGTGTTGTGTTGCTTTAGTTTTATAATTTTTATTTAATTTTATTGACATATGTATTTTAAAATTCAAGAAAAAAATCAAAAGTCAATATCGTTTATTCAGTCTAGGCTGTTACAGGCACTTGTGAATGTCGAAAAGCTACGCCATCGGTTCGCAAATCTACGGCGGGAGACCTTGTACTGAGAAGAACCGGGAAGAAATTCAACAAGGGCTGTTTTTTTCTCCCTGTATTATATACAGAGTCGTCAAATTGAAAAATGACTTCAATATGAGATAACTCATGAAGTCACTTTCCATTACAAATGTTAATGATAAAACAATTATGACTATAAAATAAAAAATACAAAAAAAAAACAGATTTAAAAAAAAAGTTTAGGAATGCCGTGTCCTACTGTTTAGGCATAAAAACAAATGTACGATTATAGTTAAATACAACGATTAATAATAGTACCCAATGCAGCAAGAGCAGACTCATCTCTACTGGCAGCACCCGTTTACGAGCATGACGCATGAACCAGCCATCGCTTCGCTCAACCATTTTTTGGGGAAGAGAGCATGACTTCAATTTAGATTGAATGAAGTGAGTTAGTGAATGTTCAGAATTAATTTAAATTTAATAAATCAATAATAATAAATAGATAATTTATATCGAGCCGTTACCGCCAAATTATCGTAAGCGACACTTTTGTCGAAATGCGTTTTTTGTGGAAACTAATATTTTAAACCGTAACGGACCCATCTCTGTTGATATTTCCCTCTATTCTTCCCTCTATTATATTATAACGGTGTTCTTTTGGAGGGAAATATCAACAGAGATGGGTCCGTTACGGTTTAAAATATTAGTTTCCACAAACAACGCATTTCGACAAAAGTGTCGCTTACGATAATTTGGCGGTAACGGCTCGATATATTATGTATAATATGAGTCTTTGTTACTTGAAATGAAATAAATATATATATATTTATAACAGATGGTTATTGTGAGCACTCACCGGACATGTCGATGAGCTCCATACGGTCCCGCAGAGGCTCCGGTATGAGCTCCACCACGTTGGCGGTGCAGATGAAGAGTACGCGCGCGAGGTCCACGGGCACGTCCAGGTAATGGTCGAGGAAGTTCGCGTTCTGTTCAGGGTCTAGCAGTTCCAGTAACGCGGATGCAGGGTCGCCGTGCACTCCCCTGGATAACAAAAAAACAAGTGTGCTTATGACCACACGACTGAAGTGCAATTTTTTTAACTCCATCTGTATCTTTATATATATAATTCTTCTGTGAGTGTGTATGTCACTGAACTTCTCTTAAACGACTGGACCGATTTTGATGAAATTTTTTGTGTGTGTTCAAGGGGATCTGAGAATGGTTTAGATTCACAATTTTGTCCGCTGGACAACCCCTATTTTTTAGGGCGGTACGAAGTTCGCTGGGTCAGCTAGTGTATATATATAATAGCTGACCCAGCCATAAAAATAGGGGCAGGTGGTAGAAGAAAAAATTTAGGGTTGTATGTATTTTTTAATATGTACAATATTACAAAAAAAAATGTACAAAAAAAATTTAGGGATGTGTAACGTAGTGTTCTATCAACTTCCTGGGATAACATTCCTCCTAACCCATATGAGAACACTACGTTACAATACCCAATAGTTTGAATTTTGGCGCGAAGGCGCATTGTAGGTTTCAGAACACTACGTTACAGATGGACAACCATTATCACTTAAGGATATGAAAAATAGGTAGTAGCCGAATCTCAGACCCACGGAATATGCATATGAAATTTCATAAAAATCGGTCAAGCCGTTTCGGAGGAGTATGGTAACTAACATTATGACATGAGAATTTTATATATAAGATATATGTGTGTGTGTGTACAATATGTACATGTATTTTAATCTACATATTTCATTTACTGGCTATAAGAGAAAGAGAGAAAGAAAATGTGCGCGCGCACTGCTTTCTCTGAACTCCTGTTGTCCTCGCCCGAACACAACAATGCATTCGCCAGCTTACCCCCCAAGTCAAGTGTGCGTAAAGAAGTTTCACTTCAAAATTGGCTGTCTATAAAGTCGGTCGGTTTTTTTAGGGCTTTTGGTCGGGTTTGTTTAGAGCCCAAGCTCACCTCTGTAGCTCAATGGGGGCCCTAATTCGGCTCCGCGGGGGTGAAGTTATCTTCGAGAGGACGGGGGGGTCAGAGGTGGTCAGGGATGAGAGGGTAATAAGGGGGGGGGGGGGGGGCAGGAGAGGGTCAAACCGAAGGAACCTCTCCACCTCACCACACACACACACCGCGGAACTAACTCGTGACATAACGTGACATGACGTCACATTTGTTCATGCTTGCAGTTGGTGTTCATCGATTTATGAAACGTTAGCACGTCAAAAATATCGCACCCTCAAAATTCATGTCAAAAATGGGGGAAGGAAAAAGCAAAGCTCATTACAAATGACGCTATGGTCGTTTAGCCCATAACAAACGACCTGTCACTTCAAGGCTGCGTATTATACCTACGCTCTGAGTGCAACCTTTTACCCTGACGTTTCAATTTTCTCAAACTGTATGAACTTATGTCGAATTTGACTTTTGTTGCACCTGGGGCATGGGTTTGGAACGTAGCCCAAGTCTAGCGGAATATGTCGGTTTTCCTTGTGACTTTGACGGCGCGGCGGTCCCATTTTTGAAGTTATACTTCTTTAGGCGCGTTATGAAAAAATGATGAGAGTGAAATTTTAAGATGCGCGCGCATCACTGTAACACAAAATTTTAACAGCATGAAGTTGGTCGCTTTAGCGACCAACTTCATGCGTTACTTTTGTGTTTACCGCACATTAAGAAAATCTACCAACAAAATAGAAATAGAATCTCTATTTAGTGGGTGCTAACGACTGCATTGTGAAGGCCTATCAAAAGTATTTATTAATCTGGAACAACGGAACCAAAGCGCGATTCAGGAGACTACAGCGCCATCTCTTGACCATTGGTGTAGTAGAACCAAAAACCACATCTTTATTTTTTGTAATAAAGTAACAGTTATAGGTATTCATATTTATAATATTTATCCACATGTTTCTAGTTTGTATATTCGGAATACGTGTTTGAGTTTCATACAAGTGCAAATCACATATGTTCTAATAAATTATATTCAGTAGCGATTTTAATTGAATATTTTGATTATTTATTTATTTTTTCAAATTAAAACTGAACTTTATTGACTGTGTCCTTTTCCAGACTTTTTATTAATTTATTGTAATTATTAATTATTTGCATGCAATTAAAAACTAATTTTAAACGATGCCAAAGAAGGATAACTTCTCACGCGCCTACATAAGTACACGCACCCATTTATTTATTTTTATAGATAAGTCCGACAAATCACTCCACTCCATCTGATGTTAAGTGACGGTGAAGTCTAGACGTGAAGATAGCTGGTACAGCAGTTATACGAATTAACGACACTGTATGAAATAAAACAGGGAGAAAAAAGCAGCCCTTGCTGAGTTTCTTGCCGGTTCTTCTCAGTATAAGGTCTCCCGCCGTAGTTTTGCGAACCGATGGCGTAGTTTCTGACTTTCACATGTGCTTGTAAAAGCCTAAACTGAATAAATGACTTTTGAATTGAATACCTACCACACCACCCATCCTCACCTTGCCGGCCTGCATGTTGCTTCTTCACGCCAATACAGGATCCAAGGTTGTAAGAAGGAGGGAACACAAGAGCAGGCTGATCAATTTATTTCTATGGGCCATTAGATCTTGTAATTATTCTTCTTGAGGCACTGCACCAGCTTGCCGTGCTGCGCCCACGTAGGTTACCCCAAGGTAGTGTGTTGGGACCAGAGTTACTGTGTCCTATGGTAAAAGTATACGAACTTGCCGATCTTGTCGATCTCATCTATAAGCACGAGTGGGTTCTCTATCTGGGTCTTCTTGAGGCACTGCACCAGCTTTCCATGCATGGCGACCATTAGGTTACCCCAGGGTAGTGTGTTAGGACTAGAGTTACTGTGTCCTATGGTAAAAGTATACGAACTTGCCGATCTTGTCGAGCTCATCGGTAAGCACGAGTGGGTTCTCTATCTGGGTCTTCTTGAGGCACTGCACCAGCTTACCATGCATGGCGACCATTAGGTTACCCCAGGGTAGTGTGTTGGGACTAGAGTTACTGTGTCCTATGGTAATAGTATACTTACTTGCCGATCATGTCGACCTCATCTATAAGCGCGAGCGGGTTCTCTGTTTGGGTCTTCTTGAGGCACTGTACCAGCTTACCGGGTATGGCACCGACGTAGGTTACCCCAGGGGAGTGTGTTGGGACCAGTGTTATTATGTACTATGATAGTATACTGACTTGCCGATCTTGTCGACCTCATCTATAAGTACGAGTGGGTTCTCCGTCTGGGTCTTCTTGAGGCACTGCACCAGTTTGCCAGGCATGGCACCCACGTAAGTGCGGCGATGGCCTTTGATTTCAGCCACGTCAGTCATACCGCCCACGGAGAAACGGAAGTATTGGCGGTTTAGTGCGCGAGCGATCGATCGTGCTGCAATAGTAGTAAAAGAGTATGTTGTCAACGTCAAAATATGGATGATGACTGGGTAAAGTAAACGAAATTCTATTGAGTCCATCAGTTAGATAATCGAAAAATAATGAACACTTATTTTTTCTTTTGTCAATCAACCAAAAAATTACAAATATAAAGTACATCAAAATTTTTCTAATAAGAAAATGGCGCTCATTTTTAAATGGCGCCACGTGCGTGTGGTTAAAATTAGAACTACATCTTTAGTCCCATTTTTTCTTTTTTGTTAAAGTGAGGCAGAGATATAGATTAATAGCGCTTTGAAGGAGGTTCGGCCGAAAAAAAAACTGTAAAGAATACGCACGGCGCCATGTATGGGAGCGTGCGGTAAAACGTTTTACCGCACGCTATACAGCCCGTAATTTCAAACTTTCGAACAATGTATACAGTCTCCGTTAATGCATTTTTTAAGCAAATGCGTTGAAAACCCTTTATTTGGTATGATTAGAACAAATGAAATAAATCTTCGTCTATAAGTATTGTAGTAGCTAAAAATACCTAATTTTTTTTATGGAATAACAGTATATAGTACAAATGCCAACAGCTCATTTTCTTGCTGTAAAACTGCCCAGCAGGGGTACAAAAATTATTAACAAATATTTATTTGTTTCTTAGGTTTTCACACACATCACTCATCAAATAAAACTAGTTTTAACAGGTTCATGCACGAACTTTATTTATTTATTAACGTTTCACAGCCTTTTCAGGTCTGCATCGTCCGAATAATAAATAAAAAATCATTATTCTGACGATGCAGACCTGAAAAGGCTGCGAAACGTCAATAAATAAAATAAAGTTCGTGCATTAACCCGTTAAAACTAGTTTTATTTAACAAATATTTTTTTATTATCACTTGCACATGTTACATTTATTTTGCATTAATAATATGAGTATTGATACTGACCTATACTAGTCTTTCCGACCCCAGGTGGTCCATGGAAGCACAGTATCTTGCCTTGAGTAGTGCCTTTTAACTGTGAGACGGCTATGAATTCCAGAATTCGCTTCTTTATATCCTCCATGCCGTAGTGATCTTCATCTAGGATCACCTGTGCGTCTTCCAGCTTCAAGTTCTCTTCGGAAGTTATGCCCCAGGGTAGAGAAGTTAGCCAGTCTAAATAGCACCGTGTTACACTATACGTATGAAACAAAATTGGTTGTTTCAGTATTCAGCCGAATCAAAATCAGATTTTCCCTAAACCTTTACAAGCAATTATTGACACCATCCCAAAGAATTAGAAATGAAATAGAAGCATTACTTTCTAACAAAGGCCGCCAAAACATGGTTCCAAACTCATACAGCTAAACTTCAATACTAACGCGACACATCCGCCACGGAACAAAATAATTTGACAAATCAAATATCTGCAAATTTATTCGGCTATTCATTTATTGGGTAAGATAATGTAAAAGGGAAATCCCAACCAACCCATGATTGGCGGGTTGATCGCATTTTTTCGCCCCGCCCACTTGATGCAGTTTACGTGGAACCACTTTTTAGCGCACTTTTTATTGCATATTATTTCTAATTCGTTGCACCACCCACACAAATTTCTAAGCAAACATACAATTTTAAAACGTAAAAAAATCTATAAATTCGACGTATATTTTGAAAATTCAATGTTTTTTTATATTGTATCAAAGAGTATAATATTTCTATAATAATTGTGTGTGCCGTGTGCACTTGTTGTTACAATGTGCATTTCAATAGTATGGGAGTGGGTATGTAATGTCTAATTTATATCAAACTTCTCCTTAAGCAAAATTGTTTTAGAAGGGGGCACAAAAGTATTTCCTACACAAACGAATATACCTAATGATACACATTTTATTAGTATTTTCTGATCATAGAACTTATCCAAAAGTGTATTTTATTTATTTTTAGACTTGACTCACTTGAACTCGGAGCTGTGGCTCTCCAGAAAGTTGAGTTTGTTGAGTTCCTCGTCGATGACGGTCTGCACGGCGGCCGGCACCGTCTTGTTGGCGAGCCGTTCTCGAAACTTCTCCCCGATCGCGTCTTTGTCGTCCTTCTCTAGGCCTAACTCTTTTTTTATTACCTGCAACATTTAACTCTTTTGTTATTTGTAAATTTGATAGCAATGTATCTCTAATGCCAGGAGTTCCCCAGCTAATTGCATATGTATAAAATATAACGACGACCTTCGTAGCCCAGTGGTTTATACGCCGGGTTTCATGGTGTCGCCGACTTGAGAGGTCCCGGGTTCGAATCTTGGTGGGGGCAGGTGTTTGTGCAATGAGAACAGTCATGGATGTTTAATATGTATTTCTAAAAAGATATACTTGTCGGAGGATGTGACGAGTAGAGTTTCTTGTTGAATGCCAATCGCGAAAAAAGGCTATTGTTTACACTTTAAATAATTTTATAAAATCTTAATTTAATTCGATTTAATTAATTACAATTTTTGTATTGTTCAGTAAACAATTTAATAAAAGTCTCTTATAAATCATCTTATGTCGCGTCCAATCAGAGCCGAGCACGTGCCTCGAGTGGGGTCGAGGCGCCATCTTGATTTTCACGGGTGGGAGGTAGTTTTTGCGCGTATTTAAAGGCGAGGAACTGTTCGTAGCGGTTCATTACTAGAAAGGTGATACGGTAGTTCAGTGAAGTCAGATTGGTACCTTGAACCCACTACTCTGTTGTTACGTTATTTAAGTGTCCATAGTGTAAAGTGTGTGTGAAACATTTTTATTTTGTTTTTGTTAAAAGAACGTAATTAAAACTATACGAACAGTGATTGAGTGATTGTTTGGTTTTGTGCCTGTAGCAAGCCCCAATGACGCCCACTAAGCCCGTGAACGCTAATGACAAAGTGAATAGTCGCTCTCCGACATACTTATATATGGTCCAATTAGTGACGTCAACATTTTTTTTAGATTCCTCGCACCTGGGGGTATCAAAAAATACCCCATGTATGTTCCGCGATTTTTCTTAAGTTTTAAGTTATATTTTTTTTGTATATTTTGAATGATTTCTGCCAGTAAGGTTTCAAAAATTCATATCTTTCTTCGTAGTAGGTATTTTGCAGACTTTTATTGTGACATAATTGTCTTGAATGTTGTTTTAATGAAAAAATAACTCAAGTCCTGAAATTACTAAAAGTTACTCAAAAAAGGCTTGATAGTTGGAACTTTAGTTTTTAGTAGGATTTACTCAAACATTCAACTTCAATTTAAAAATACAAAAAGGAGTTTCCATAGCTTTTGGCTAAAATCAAAAACTTGCATGCTTCTTCACTTGCAAATTAAAAATTATTTTATCTACTTTTTCTCATTGTTATGGTTGATTAAACTTAAAAATGTAATTTTAAATTAAATTTAATTGAAATTCCCTATAATTGTTTTTATGACTCTGACTGATTTTACATTTGCAAAAGTACCATCGTAAAAAATGAACACTATCGCGACAGCATTTCTATAACTAAAACCCTTTGCTAATCCCCTGTTTTAATCATAGTTTCTTAGAATAAATCCTTTCGTGACAGAAACAGACCGCGCGACTTCACCGTGAACATAGGCGAAGTCGCGCTCCACCCGATTTTATCCAGAGAATAAAACCGCAACAATATTCACATATATATGTATCTATTTTAATGTGATCGTGTCGCACGCAATAAATTATAAGAACTTAAACAACTAAAATTACGGTGGACGCTCTGCGACTCTGCAAAGTTTGTCGGAAACATTTTCGTTGCGTTTAAACGTCAAATACACAAATTAAAATACTACCACTACCATTATCAAGACGGAACTTTCGTTATTGTAAAATAAGCGTAAGCCCTACAATTGCTTTTATTATCAAATGCTATTTCATAGAAGCTTGTTTTTAAACAGGCTGTGTAAAAGGCATAACTTTTTAATATATGTAATACTTTATGTAACACACCTTAAGTTGTTCATGCAATATGTACTTTCTATGTTGCTGTTTCACTTTCTCCTCGACTTCCTTGCCTATCTTCTGTTGCAATTTTGATAATTCATACTCTTTCTTCAAAAGGGAAAGAGACAACATCAGTCTTTTTGGAATCTGTAATAAAAAAATATATAGTAGATAAATAATTAATTTAAGAGTGATGACGTTCAGCTACTCAAAAATTTAAAATTACCAATTAATAAATGTATTAATAACTAGCTGTGCCCTGCGGTGTTACCCGCGGTTCATTAGGGATATTTTCCCGCAGTAAAACATAGCCTATATATTAATCCAGGGTGTCAGCTAACTCCATACCAAATTCTATTAAAATCGCTCCAGCCGTTTATACGTGAAGAAGTAATAAACATACACACTCACAAACTTTCGCCTTTATAATATTAGTGTGATAAATATTTAAAGTAACATCGCAGCCTCAGTTAAAATCAAGTCAACATCATAATCCTTACTACTAACTGTATGAGAATAAAACTCAATGAGTAAATGTTAAAAAAACACATAAAACCTTGTCGGCGATAAAGATCTACTAATAAGAATTAAACATTTATCTGAGTACAAGTTTGCTTCGTGATAATGAACAATGTTCATCTGTATGAGATCACAACTGATGCTACTAATATTAGATTACAATGATGTATAACTAGCTTTTCGTTCGCGGCTTCGCTTACGTGACACTAATACATTTTAGATATAACAAAACTGAAGGGGAACGGAAAATATTAGTTATACGAAGTAATTTGTTTGGTTGGTTGGTCTATAATTCGTTATATCATAGAGCAACAATATAATCAAGGTTATAAGGTTAAGAACTACAGTTCGGCCAACCAACCAACGGGATCATGACAAGTCAGGGCAGCTCGACTGCAGATGCAGTCGGGACCAACGGATTAACGTGCCTTCTGAAAGGAGGAGCTCGAGTCACCTATCCAATGACCGACCATTGCGGAAGTTCCTGGCTTAACTTTAACGATCACAGGTCAAACGCCCTAACTACCTGTGCCATCGAGCTCCACAGCCACCTCACAGACAAAGAAATATTTCTTTGTGCATTCGACGTAAGGGGTCATGCAAAAACTAAGTCACAGTTGGTCACATTTGTGTGCGTGTCGTCACATATTTTGTTATTATGCCTAGAAATTATTAAATTAAAACATCAGTTCCAAAAATTTGCTCACGAAACTAAACCCATACAGATAGAGTACTAAATATTTTAAAATTTTGATAAAGTTCAAAACCAAGTATTAGATTTTAAAATGTGACGTCACGAAACTGAGGGCCCTCCCACCCCTCGTCACACAGTGTCACATTTCGTCGATCCCCACCCTTCCCCTTAACGTATGACGTATTTTATAGCTGTGAGCATACGTCCATCTCCTCGAGGATGGCCTGCAGGCCACTGAGGTACACGGGGTTGTCCACCACACTGCCTACCACAATGATACCGTGAGCTGTACACATACGTCCATCTCCTCGAGGATGGCCTGCAGGCCACTGAGGTACACGGGGTTGTCCACCACACTGCCTACCACAATGATACCGTGAGCTGTACACATACGTCCATCTCCTCGAGGATGGCCTGCAGGCCACTGAGGTACACGGGGTTGTCCACCACACTGCCTACCACAATGATACCGTGAGCTGTACACATACGTCCATCTCCTCGAGGATGGCCTGCAGGCCACTGAGGTACACGGGGTTGTCCACCACACTGCCTACCACAATGATACCGTGAGCTGTACACATACGTCCATCTCCTCGAGGATGGCCTGCAGGTCGCTGAGGTACACGGGGTTGTCCACCACACTGCCTACCACAATGATACCGTGAGCTGTACACATACGTCCATCTCCTCGAGGATGGCCTGCAGGTCGCTGAGGTACACGGGGTTGTCCACCACACTGCCTACCACAATGATATCGTGAGCTGTACACATACGTCCATCTCCTCGAGGATGGCCTGCAGGTCGCTGAGGTACACGGGGTTGTCCACCACACTGCCTACCACAATGATACCGTGAGCTGTACACATACGTCCATCTCCTCGAGGATGGCCTGCAGGTCGCTGAGGTACACGGGGTTGTCCACCACACTGCCTACCACAATGATACCGTGAGCTGTACACATACGTCCATCTCCTCGAGGATGGCCTGCAGGTCGCTGAGGTACACGGGGTTGTCCACCACACTGCCTACCACAATGATACCGTGAGCTGTACACATACGTCCATCTCCTCGAGGATGGCCTGCAGGTCGCTGAGGTACACGGGGTTGTCCACCACACTGCCTACCACAATGATACCGTGAGCTGTACACATACGTCCATCTCCTCGAGGATGGCCTGCAGGTCGGCAGGCTCGGCCCCGGTGAGCGCGGCGCCGAGGTCGCTGAGGTACACGGGGTTGTCCACCACGCGCTGCCCCTGCGCCAGCATGTGGTGAAGCGATTCCCTAATAAAAAATACCTCATTTACGATAGTAATTTATATACAGATGTTAAAAAAAAACCTCTTTGCAAATTGTAAGTGGGACAGTAGATCATACTTAATTAAACTAGCATTTGTCTAGGACCTAAATAATTCGTGCCTATGGATTAGAAGCAGCCTCAGGGTGAGTAGATTCGCCACGCACGGCTCGTGCGGGGGCTGCGTCGCTTAATAATTAAAACAACATCAGGCCAACGCCAAGAAGGCGACATCAAAATAGCGCCAGGTCGTCTTTACAGCTGACTTTTGCGTCTGTATGCCATTTTGTATCTAATGATATTGTACAAAAATCAATCACACAAGCAGACTCACATTTCTGTAATTGCTTTTTTTTTTCAGATATTGACTGTGACTTTGGATACAGGGCCTTTTCATTATTGTTAGTGGCCTGCTAAAACCGTACTCAAAACCAGTCCACACTTACAAAGCACGTACGCCGAGACGCCTTTGAGCACTGCCAAAAAACCGACACCAGATGACTCTCAGCGCGTTGCGTCTAGCGTGAGGCAAGCCTCGGCTGAAGGCTGTATACACTTGAAGCGTACTTAAAACTCTGCCGCTGCCTCTTATCCATATGCACATTAATATCCCTACTAAACAAACTCACACAAACATTTTAACAAATATTATTCTCACCTGTACAATGGATTCAAATTAATAATATCTCTGATGGTCTTGATGACTTCTTGTGTTAATGCTTTTACTTCTTCGGTCTGTTGGAACTTCTCGTGCATCATGTTTTCGACTTTAACCATCATGACTTGGTCTGGAGGTGGTTTTTTAGGTGCTTCCTTTTCTGTGTCGGTTACTTCAGGCTCAGACCTCTGTTTCCTTGTGCTCCGATGCTTGCGCCGCCGCCTCTCGGCGTCTGATTCTTCGCGGGTAACGTCAAACTCGACATTAAATAATGGAAACTTTAACTTCATGTCTGAAATGATAATACTATCATTTCAGAGATGAAATTAACATTTGAACACAAATACAAAAAAATACTTTGTGTTTTGCAGATAAAATAAAAAAAAAAAAAGGTTATACTTATTATTACTTTAAAACTTTGTAATTTTACTTTAGATAATAAAGAAAACTTGAGTTTTATCACAGTGTGGTCAAATTAATTTAAGTCACAGCTTAGGCCCGTATTACAGCAAAACAAGTAAGTGTTGATCATTACTTGATCACATTTAGAAAGGGATGTCGCTATGTGTGCTACATATAGCTGCATTCCTTTCTAACTATGCTAAAGACTAGATCAATCAATGATAATATTTCTATAATACAGGCCTAAAATCCTATTTTGTGTAATAGATTGGACCTTTTCACTAAATGATTGTGGAATTCTATGTTAAAAAAAGTTGCCAACAAAAGAAAATTATATCATACGTCATTGAGTGGCGGGCACTCAGAAACCTCATTAGGCTTGTATATTTAACTCGACAACTTAATGTATTTAACTCAATAATTTATTATATAACCAAAATTTTCTTCCTTATTAATAAATCAATGAATATTCTTGTGAACTTAGTTTCTATTCATAAGACTTTTACACCAATATAAGTAGTGTAAAGAAAACATGGGTTAATTTGTACAGTTGAATCTTCTTCTTTGTATTTTAATGACTTGCAAATATTAATAAAAGATTTTGACACATTAGTAGTTACCCTAATATAGAATTCATGGTGTATATACAGTATGGTGTACACTTACTAAATTCAACTTACCGGCAGGACCAGTCTCAATTTCTTCTTCAATAAATTGTCCTGTGATCTTTATTCTCCGGTGAGCCATCACCACGAGCCTCAGTTTATAGTCCATGTCTTGCATCTCATGAATTTGTGCAAAAACACCAACTTGATGCAAATCATCCAAGTTAGATACAACATCAGACTTTTCATCTTCTTTTTTGCGTAAGAATATTCCAACATATGGTTGATTCAATTTTACTTTTCGTCTTATTAAGTCTATTAGTGTAGGATTTGATATCTGCAAATGTGAAATACTAATAATATAAATTGCATCTCTTAAATTTTATTTAAATTAAAATCTATAATATTCTAAGCATAAAAATAATTATTTAAGATAAGATTAATTTTAAAATTTCACTCAAGAATAAAGTTCTCAATACTAGTGTATCATGTGTAGCTACTTTGCTGATACTATGATAGTAACATAGATTTAAGAAACATTGTCACTAACATTATGGCCTTGTATTATCTGAGGATAAATGAATAATTTTTATTATATTTTATTATGTTAAAATAAAGTTCACCCATGCAAAAGTAAGGTGAATCCATAGTAGTATATTAATTAAACTTCTTATTGAGCCTGATTCCAGATCAACTCTTTAAACCTTAAATTGACAACAGTGTATTCTTGTCATACTCCATACAGAATAAAAAGAAGAGACTGTCCTAAAATTTAGTTTTAACTTTTTAAAAGATATTGTAAAATATGCTCTGTAATATTTCAAGTCCATAGCAGTGATTTACAAATACTTCTTCAGTCAATCGTTTACCTCTATTAACTTGATGAATCTTGGGAAAACAGGATTTCTGTTGATAGCAATAACAGGGACTTGTGGCCATACTTCCGGCACAGCCACTGTCGCTGGCAATTGGCTAGAAAACAGTGGGGTTTCATCCTTGATTTCAGGCTCTTCTTCAGGCGGATCATTCTTGTTATTAGTAGAATATAACCTCGCAACGCCTATTTGCTTCTGTAGCGATCCAAATCCGTTATTACTTAGACAACACACTCGGGAATTTTTCACTTGAGAATAGTGTCTGGTTGAAAATAATAATCTTTGAACCTCTGCCGGTTTCTTGTGTGATGCAACTTTAGAAATATTATGAGACAACCGACAACTCTTCAAAGTTGGGTGGAAGAGTATAGAGTTTCTCAATAAGACACTAGCAGACTGCATTTCGTGCACTTCTTAAAAACTGCACAATTTAATATCAGTGTTCATTCAGAATTATTTATTTTCACGGACTTATAAAAAATAAGGTTATATTTCCAGATTCTTCAAGACTCTCAGGAACGGGAATGTCAGTGATCATCTTGTCTGTCAATGTCAAAATTTATTAAGGTATGTCTAGACTACGCTGTAATAATATTATAGCAGAATAAATGGTAAAACTGTACTTCCAGGGCCCAAAAGGTGATAGTTGCTTTTTTTTTGTAGAAAAGGTCCATTTAACAGATTTTTTTTTCTGGCGCTTCGCCGGCCGCTGCCGCGGCACGCTCGCTTTGCTCGCTCGGCTCGCGCGTTATGGTCACAACACTAACCTAACCTAACCTAGTGTGAAGTATCACCACTTGACAAGAAAAGTAAAAATTTTCAATATTTTTTTCTAAAAAACTACCAGTGCATAAGTGTGACATTTTTTTTAATAATGTGGTTAACAGAAACCTTTTTAACAACAAAAATGCGAAATTACAACCAACATAACTGAAGTTTTTACTTTTGGGCCCTGGAAGTACAGTATATCCACAAGCACCTCTCTTTGTATTGAAACAAGCGTATTGCAACACAACGAAAATGCATGATCACGTTCAATGTTATGATGGCACTTCACTTGGCCATTCGTATTTGCCTTTTTGTCATGTTTGACAAATAATCAACAAGTGTGGTTAGTTTAATCGACAAAACATTTCCTTATTGACAATTCCCTAGTTGTACAGTACCCTCACAACAGTAACGAAACGTAAGGAGTTCGAATAGTTAACGAGTGCGAAATGTCATTGTCAAATGTTGTATGGAAACTTGAACAGCAGTGCCATTATGGACGCAACGAGAACTAAAAATCAGTACACATATGACAATGACATTTCGCAATCGCAAACTTTATATTTGAATTCGAAGGTTTAAGGTTAAAGACAGCTCACTATGTGAATGCGGGCTGGATGAAGGAATAACCGAACATATTTTCTTTAGTTGCCCAAAATACCCGGTTTCACTCTATGTCATCCTTCCAAAATACATTTCCAAACCTATGAATTTTAAATCACTCCTAACCTATGTTAACTCTCCCTTTATTATCCTACTTTGTGAATATATATACAAAAATAATATACGCTTGTAATTGTTTGTCTCTAGACTAACCAACTAACATTACTGACTTTTTATTGTGTTTGTCTCTACCTTTCAGATAAGACAACAGATATCCAATTACAAAAACTCAAGTACATTGTTTACTTCTTTCACATATTATACTTATTATTATACTTATGAAGTCAATTCCTACGGAACAACCAAGCTGAATCACTCGAATCTGGCGTAATTCACAAAAGTGCACCGCCATTTTCCAAACAGAAGAAGAAGAAGAATGAATTCGAAGGAATTCAATAACTTGTTCTAATATTAGTCTGTGAATTCGATATTGTTTCCTGCCACAAACTATGGTTGCTTTCCAATTACAGCATTATTGCGCATTATGCGGCATAATGCTTAACGTTGAGTGTTCCAACTACAGCAACGCTTCGCACAATTGAGCACTCTCAAAAGTGATGCTTTCGTGTGATGCGTGCAATGGTACCAACTTAGAGACAGAAAATTAACAAGTGTTTTTTCTTCAAGTTGGCATTGATCGAAATGTTTTATTTATATGTTATCGTCAGTAATATTATTTATTGTTGAAAAATTATTAAAGCTTTCGTTTCATTAAATAGTTTTTTTTAAATAATCAAAGTTCATTCAAACTGTTAAAAAATAAATATAAGTATGGATGAAGGTACAAACATTGACTTTTTTTTTTCAACACTGAACTTAGCGCACTCTGCTGGTGCATTTGAAAACTAATTCACGTTCCAATTAAGCATTAGCATAATTGGGCATTGTGCGGCACTGAGTCGCATTATGTTCTGTAATTGGAAAGCATACTATGGTTGCTTTCCAATTACAGCATTATTGCGCATTATGCGGCATAATGCTAAACGTTGAGTGTTCCAACTACAGCAACGCTTCGCACAATTGAGCACTCTCAAAAGTGATGCTTTCGTGTGATGCGTGCAATGGTACCAACTTAGAGACAGAAAATTAACAAGTGTTTTTTCTTTAAGTTGGCATTGATCGAAATGTTTTATTTATATGTTATCGTTAGTAATATTATTTATTGTTGAAAAATTATTAAAGCTTTCGTGTCATTAAATAGTTTTTTTAAATAATCAAAGTTCATTCAAACTGTTAAAAAATAAATATAAGTATGGATGAAGGTACATTGACTTTTTTTTTCAACACTGAACTTAGCGCACTCTGCTGGTGCATTTGAAAACTAATTCGCGTTCCAATTAAGCATCAGCATAATTGGGCATTGTGCAGCACTGAGTCGCATTATGCTCTAGTCTGTGCTATTTCTATTTGAAGTTACAATTTAAATAATAAATTCAATATTATTTGTTGTGGTGTTGATGACTGTTTTTAGAAAATTCAATTACTTTTTTAGTGCCTCTTGTAAAGTAAGTAAAGCTTTTCCTATTTCTGTTAAATATATAATAATAACATTGTAATCTCAAATATTTTAACAATTGCATAATTTTAAACAATTTAATTTCCTATTCTGTTTACCTACTGTGGTATAGTTAAGTAAGTATAAATATGAACACATCATATTTGATAACTGTGGGTGTTAACTTGTTCTAAATTTATATTAAAATTTCGTTGATTCTTTAATTTTATTGGTTAACATTGTTATTTTACACAGAAATTCATCAACATGGAAGCAACGAAAAATAAAACCATAAAAGAGGGTCCTGCTGTAATTAATTTAGTTTCTGAAAAAGTTTTCTATAATCCTGTACAAGAATTTAACAGGGACCTAAGTATACTTGTGTTGAATGTATTTTCTGAGGACTACAGGGCTGAAAAAACACTTCAAGCACAGAAAAAAGCTCAAAACAAAAGTGTTGCCGATACAATTGATGATACCGACAAACAAGAGGTACAAATTATTTATTGGTTATTATTTTTGAAATTAAACCCTTAATGAAATTATTACTTTACATATTAATATATAAACAAAGTAGACCTGCGGTAATTCAGACCCTGTATAATCCAGCACCCCTGTAATTCGACATTCATATTACTGTTGATTTGCACATAAAATCAATTGAAACAATTTTTAGATTTGTAATTTGTTGAATTACAAGGTACTCTTATTTCATAAATTCCGGAATATAGAGAGTGGTCTTAGACAGTACTCTGCAATCCTACAAATTTGATAATCTGACATTGCCCTACAAAACAGTTGTCTGATTAACGTAGGTCTACAGTAGTAAGAATTACTATATGCATTTATAACTACATTATGATAATCGTAAACTGATATATGGACTCATAAAATTATGTGTTATTTGAGAAAAATATTTGCTGTTTATCTATATCCATTACAAGTTGTGTAAGTGATTTTAATAATGTATTTATGGACTCTGTATAAATACTTTAACACATAATATATTGTTTGGATGCAACAGGTTGAAGTAACAATATTAGAGGCTTTATCTGCCACTGGATTAAGAAGTATTCGTTATGCAAAAGAAGTGGCCAATATAACAAAAATTGTTGCCAATGATATATCCCAGCAGGCTGTGCAAACTATGAAAGTTAACTTTGAGCAGAATGAAGTAAGCCATATGGTAGAAGCCAGCCATGATGATGCTTGGTAAGGCAAGTTATTTGTCAGAATTTTGTGAACAATTTCTTCATTTAATTTTTTTGCTGTAGCTGTAACGACATAATACTATTCAAATCATACTGCCAATTTTGGCAAGGAGGTACACAAATGCATTTTAAAATTAAAATGCATATAAAAACACTGTAAATAGACACTCACACATAAATAATGATGCAACACACTACCTAATCCTCCAGACATCTATTGTCTGTATGTATGTCCAATGCGACAGAAGGGAAAGCTGTGTATGCCTACTCCCCTACTTCTGGCCGTGTTGCTCTATGTCTATTATATTTAATTTATTTCAATTTTCTATGATTAACATGATAATAAAGATTACAAACAGGTATGCAATCTGTTGCTATTTTGAATTTTCGTTTCAGTCTATCTTCCATAACAGGCTATTATTAACTATAATTATTATGAAGCTTTTCAGCAATAATATCTATTTTTATCTTGGTTTTTAATATTCCAGTATGCTCATGTATAAACACAAGCAGCCCAGTCAACGTTTCTCAGCGATAGACTTGGATCCTTACGGGTGCCCATCCATATTCCTGGATGCTGCTGTGCAGAGTGTGCAGGATGGAGGCCTGTTGCTAGTCACAGCTACTGACATGGCCGTGCTGGCTGGAAACTCTCCAGAAACATGTTACAGCAAATATGGTGCTGTTAGCTTAAAAACTAAATGCTGCCATGAAATGGTAAATTTTGTTTAATGTCCTAAATTTTTATATAGTAAACCTGTTCATAAATTAACATAAGTTAGTACACAGCAGATATAATATAGACCACATTTTACTAGAACTGTCAAGTAAATAATGTCTTTACAGCCATCTTCTTACTAAACTATGTTTTATAAAATATGAACATTCACAATCTTCATATTGTTTACTGTTTTAATATTTTTCACTAAATTTTATTATTGCCGAACAAACACTCAAATCAAAAATATGTTGGACTTTTTAAGAGATTTGTTGTATACATCCCTGATCCAATATTTATATGTTTTTAATTTACAAGCCCAATATATTATTAAGATATTGGTTAATATATATTTTTAGTTGATTGATTTGATTGTTTGATTGAGGATTATCTAAATACTAGTTTTGGCTTACTTTAAAATCATCTTTACTACTTAATATGGTGCAGCTTTATGTTGTAGTTACTTAATTTACAGTTTCTAATTCGATTACATATTTGTTTTAGGCATTAAGGATACTGTTGCAATGTATAGAGAAACATGCTAACAGATATAGTAGGTACATAGTACCATTGTTAAGTATATCAGCTGATTTCTACATTCGTGTTTTTGTGAAAATATATACTGGTGCTATACATTGTAAGAAAACCACTAGGTATGTCTATGTTTTATTAAATATTGATATTTTAGTTAATATACATTGAAAATTACTTTTGGTAAAATAACTTAGTAAAACCTGAAAATATTTACAGCAAGTTGGCTATGGTCTACCAGTGTGTTGGATGTGACAATATGACTTTACAACCACTAGGTGGTTTCAAGCCAAATCCAACTGAGAAGAATCCAAATCAAATGAAGGCGTTTCTGCCCATGGGGCCTCCTGTGACTGAACACTGTGTCCACTGCAACCAGAGGCATCACGTAAGTGTCCCTTTGAAATAAATATAATCGATATTATTATCAGTCCGTCAGTTAAATTAATAAAAAAACTAGCAAACCAGTGAACCAAATGTTCACCAAAACCTGATTTCTCGAAAACCGGAAGTGCTACGTTACTCAAATCCGGTTTGTAGTCTTATCAGACTATTCTTAACTTATAACTTAAATATTCTCTTTATCTATCTCTTACGGTTTGGCCGCTGAAACAGCACCACAGACAGACGGACTTGTCTAATAGATAAGAGATAAAGAAATAATGTCAATCAACCAAAAAATGACTTAGATAAAGCGCGTCAATGTTTGGGAGTGGGCGCTCGTGACGTCACTTTTAAGTAAAAATTGTACCAAGACGTGACGTCATACGACATTTCAATTCTCTGTAATGTTTTGATTGGGTGAAAAATATGGTCCTTTTTTGATAATCTACATGACAGACTAAGAACTAAAAATTAGTCATCACACCCTAATGTTATTTTAGAAGTAAAGTTCAAACTAAAGAATATTTTACTAGATAAAATCCACGCAGACCAGATTAATGTGGTTAGATTTAAACAAATATCAGTTAAATTATTTAAAAAATAAAAAAATATAACTATGTCTTTTTTCAATACTTTAATACTTGTAAAGGTATTAGTATTAGTATATTGTGGGTGCCCTAAAATGCGAAGTGATAGCGCAGCTGTGCAGCCTAAGAAATACTAGTGAGAATGCGAAACTGCCATCGTGGCCGTGGTAGCATAATGGTCAGTGCATCCGCCCGGATAGCGGAGGGGTCGAGCCCCGTCTACTGCCGCTTAGATTTTTTTCTAGTTTTGCCTTAAGATTTAAACATCTAGCTGTTAAAAAAATATTAAAAAAATAAAAAATGTTTTTCAAACTTCTTAAAAAATGAATTATTAACTCAGCAAGGGATATAGAGGTCATAGACTCTGCAAGGGATATACAAAACATATGCTACTAATATAGAATAAGTCTACTAACAAATATGGATCACGGTTGTCTGAAATAAATGAATTATTATTATTATAATGTTATGTGTCTTGAAGCTATTTAAGTTTAATTTTCGGTAGCTAGGAGGTCCTATTTGGACAGCGCCTATACATGACCCAGTGTTCGTGTCCCGAGTTCTAGGGGAGCTTTGTTCTGAACGGCACAGCCTGGGTACCCGGGACAGAATAGAGGGCGTGCTGTCTATGGTGCGGGAAGAACTGCACGACGTACCCCTCTACTACTCTATGGACAGGTTATCTGGGCGGGTGCACTTGGAAACTATGCCCATGTTGCTGATGAGGTGAGTTACGAAGATTTTTTTATTGAAGGATTACGGAATAGTATTATGTATTAAACTGTTATAGTGAGTCCAATAAACTCAGCTTCATAACTGCCGTAAGAGAATGCTTAAAGTAACAAGGCTTTTGTATGTGAGCCGTAGAGAATTTATCTTGTCTACTGTCAGCATATCATTTGTAGCGGCCCAGTGAAGTCAGCAATTATAATTTAAGAATTATTTAAGGAATAATAAATTATATTTGTTTCTTAATAAAATTTTTAATTCATTTAATAAAACATGATTAAACTTGTTCAAAATGCGTCTTTTTATTACTTTTTTGACGTTATGCATCCGCCGCTTGAAAGAGATGCGAAATGTATTATTTAACAATGAATTATGTCAATTATATTCAAACGCGTCAAAAAAGTAATAAATAAATAAATATTTCCGACACACACCTATTAGCCTAGCCCCAAAGAAAGCAATGTAAGGCTTCTGTTATGGCATACTAGAGTAACGGATAGAATACACATACTGTACATATATAAGTATATTTATACAGAAATACATATTAAACATCCACGGCTGGAGTACAAATGCTCGTATTCATCACACAAACATCTGGAACCGGGATTCGAACCCGGGATCTCTCGAGTCGGCCACACCATGAAACCCGGCGTACAAACCACTCGGCCACGGATGTCGTTCTATATTCAAACGCGTCACTGATATTCACAACAGATCTGCAATTCTGAACGCTGGCCACAAAGTGTCGTATTCGCACGCGTCCAAAACTTCCATTAAGACGACAGCGCCGACGCGACTCATATGGGACATCGTCAGAACCTGGGAGAGAACACATCCTGTCAAGCCTGCCAGGTATGTTTATGTAACTACATATGTAATGTACATATATTGTTTTAAACTTTCATGGTCACTAACATTATAGATATTAACGGGATTGTTACCATGTACCTTGTTTTTTATGAGTCTCCGATATTTCGGCACTGTTGCAAGCGCCATGATCACGGAGTAACTGAAGTAATTGCGGGTAGATGTTATTGGCAGACATATCGGTCTACCCTCTGACGTCGTCTTTTACTGCGTTCGATACCCCTACCACTGGTCACATTCTCACTATTCACTCGCATTTGTTCCCGGCACACAATACTCACAGTATCAGATCGCGGAACGACACTTTTTTGATTTTTGCGGTTTTTACACATACGAACCACTGGATTCCACACACTAGACAATTTAAACCCATCCTCACGATTGAAATTCTTGTGTTTGGTTATTTCAATCGCTTCCCTGACCAATCTTGGTATGTAGTGGCGTTCTGTCGAGATAATTTGTGGATTATGGAGCTCAATCCAGTGATTAGGACCCGAATCAATTAAATGTTCCGCGATGGCTGATTTTTGCGTATCATTATTTCTGACTGCTTTTATGTGTTCTTTCATTCGGCACGCTATTGTCCGCTTCGTTTGGCCAATATAAGAACTACCACAGCTGCAGTCGCTCTTGTATACACCAGGTTTCTCCAAGGGGAAGTTATCTTTGGGAGACCGTAGAATCTGTGATACTTTTTGTAAAGGAGTGAAGACAGTATTCAGTGAATACTTATTAAGTATGTTAGAGATCTTGTCTGTCACTCCTTTGACATATCGAGCCCTTACCGCCAAATTATCGTAAGCGACACTTTTGTCGAAATGCGTTTTTTGTGGAAACTAATATTTTAAACCGTAACGGACCCATCTCTGGTGATATTTCCCCCCAAAAGAACACCGTTATAATATAATAGAGGGAAGAATAGAAGTGTCGCTTACGATAATTTGGCGAGTGTCGCTTACGATAATTTGGCGGTAAGGGCTCGATATGGCAAAAATAGTGGTTGCCTGTCTACTTTGTGTTTCTGGTGTCTTAATTTGTGTTTGGGTGGAAACTTTCCCTTGTATCCGTTATTCTGTAAGACCCGCCGTACATGCTCCAACTCTTCGTGCATGTGTTCCTTGTCACATATAATAAAATGAAATATCGGAGACTCATAAAAAACAAGGTACATGGTAACAATCCCGTTAATATCTATAATGTAATGTACATGTTTAATACTATGTAGATGTACGATATATGATCTACCTATACGGCCGTCAAGACCGTGGGAAAGCCCTCTCAGTAAGAGAGTAACTTGTGAACCGCACTGTAATGTACACGCATATTAATAATAAAAAGATAATTTCCGTCTTCGATTGATTTTAATTTGGACTCCATTAAATTAGTTACGCCGCCAAATTTACATCATCAGCCTATTAATGTCCCCTCTGCTGGGGCACAGGCCTTCCCTTTGGATGGAATAGGGAGATTGGGCCGTGACCCACCACGCAGGCTCAGTGCGGATTGGTGGGTGCTAACGACTACAGATGCAGCCGGGACCAACGGCTTAACGTGCCTTCCGAAGCACGGAGGAACTCGAGATAGTAAATTTTTGGTCACCCATCCAATGACCGACCACTGCGAAAGTTGCTTAACTTCAACGATCGCAGCCGAACGCGCTAACCACTTGCGCCATCGAATTCCTCATATGTATGTTTACGTCACCAACAAATACATTGTCATAAGCGAGAGAGAGAGAGAGATTTTTTTATTAACCATTACACAAGTACACACATCAAAAGTGTCTAGGGATCAACATATATTTTTGCAATAACTTTACTCCTGATTGACATTAATTAAAATTTTCTTTAAGGATTCATCAAATAAAGTGTTTTCGTTTGTCACAGTAACGATAAACCAAGTTACCTTTGCATTAATAAAGAAATTTGCCATTTTCCTAATAAAGGGATTTTTGACATTTGAACCACTAACACAAAAGTTCGAAAAAAAGACTGAAATAACAGTTTTCTCTAAAATTTTATTGGGTAACTTAAACAATTAATAATCCGTATTTCTACCGCGAACACTAACAACACAAGAACATCGGTTTGGCATACTCAAAATGAGTTCATCCAAATCACGCTGTGGAATGGCCGCCCATGTTCGTTGCAACAACAAAAAAAGGTCTTCTTGCGACTGGATACCCTCCATATTCGGCAGAGCTCTTCTCTGTAGCATATCCCATGCATGCTCAATCGGGTTCAAGTCTGGCGACTGAGCAGGCCAGGGCAGGACATTGATGTTAGCTGCGGCGAGAGTCTGTCTTACAACTCTTGCGGTGTGCGGTCGTGCATTATCATGCATTAACTGAAATAAGGGACCGATTTGCACTTGTAGAGGAACGATGACGTCTGATACAATCGTCTCAGCATAAATTTGAGCGTTGAGGTTGCCTCTGATCCAAATCAACTCAGTTCTTCCGCCGATCCAAATACCCGCCCATACCATGATGGTTCCACCACTATAAGGATGGACTTCCTGGCAGGATTTTAATCGCTGTTGGCGTCCAGGGGTTCTCCAGTGTCGTATACGTCTTGTATCCGGTCTCATACCAAAACGAGACTCATCAGAAAAGCACACGAAACGCCATTGTTCTTCTGCCCAATTTCTGTGTTCAAGAGCCCATTGATATCGAATCCTACGATTGTGCATTGCTATAGGTGGTACCCGTAGCGGTCTTCGGGAATGAAGGTTCACTTCATGCAAGCGGTTTCTGACTGTTTGGTCGCTAATTAAGTTCCCTGAAGAGTGATGAAGCCTCACGGCTAACATCATGGCGGTTATTGTTGGAGCTCTTCGAGTTAAGATTTGAATGTATCGGTCTTGTCTCCGTGTGGTGCAGCGATACCGTCCTCCATGGCGCTCAGCCACGGTACCAGTGCTTCGGTATCGTGTCCAAAGTCGACTGATAACACTCTGACTTGTATTCAGAGCTAAAGCCACAGTACGTTGCCGGGAACCAGCTTCTATCATTCCTACGGCTCTGAGCATTTCTTCCCTGCTTAAATGACGTCGCCGCTCCATAATAACGTTGGTTTTAATCAGTAGTAGGGAAACAGTAGCACTAATAATGTCTTCAATGCGTTGTATGTTTTTATAGGGAAAAAATTGACAGCTGATTTTCATCTTTTACTCGAATTTGATTCACAGTTCCTGATTCAAATTATGAAATGCACCAAAAAGGATCCATATAAATTTATAAAATCATAAATTTATTACAAAGCCACATCTCAATCTCAAGAAATCCGCATAAAAATGCTTGATCCCTAGACACTTTTGATGTGTGTATTACAACAAGAACGAAAAAACACATTAACGTTAACAAAAAAACAAAATTAGAATCTTATATATAAAATTCTCATGTCACAATGTTAGTTACCATACTCCTCCGAAACGGCTTGACCGATTTTAATGAAATTTTATATGCACATTCAGTAGGTCTGAGAATCGGCTACTATCTATTTTCATACCCCTGAAGTGATAAGGGTTGTCTACCCCTAACATTTTATTTTTTGAACAAATTTTTTTGTTTTTATTTTCTTTTATGATACATCATACAAAAATACAACCTATTTTTTTTGTACGAAGTTCGCTGGGACAGCTAGTAAAACTATAAAAGTAAATTAATGTAAAGAAAAGTTTTACTAGAAATAATCCACCCGGACCAGGCAGCGGACGGGACTACCTACAATGCGAAGAGATGGCGCTGCCTTGCAGCTTAAGGCTAGGAAAATTTCGACGCGGCCATCAGGGCCTAGGGTAGCATAATTGGTCAGTGCATTCGCCCGGATTGCGAAAGGTGCGGGTTGGAGTCCCGTCCACTGCCTGGTCCGCGTGGATTTTTTCTAGTAACATTTTTCTTTAGATTTAAACATCTAGCAGTTAAATGCTTAAAAAATAAATAAAAACAAGTAAATTAATGATTAATCAGGATGTTACTATGCGAATGACAACAGCGCTGGTATTCTGGCAGGACCTGTAAGGTGCGCTATATACATCACTGGCTGCACGATTCTCCAATCTCAAAACCAAACTTAATATCAGTCTCTCCTTTTCATTCTGTATAGAGACTGACATGGATACACTATTGTCAATTTTAAGTTTAGTTCTAGAGATTCTTTAGATAAGCATAAGCATAATAGAGAGGAGCTCAATGGCGCAGGTGGTTAACGCGTTTGGCTGCAATCGTTGAAGTTAAGCCACTTTCGCAGTGGTCGGTCATTGGATGGGTGACCAAAAATTTACTATCTCGAGTTCCTCCGTGCTTCGGAAGGCACGTTAAGCCGTTGGTCCCGGCTGCATCTGCAGTCGTTAGCACCTACCAAAAAAATTACGTGTAAACGCAACTTTATCAAGCCTACAATTGACTGGTTATTCAATCAACGTTTTCCAAGTGGCAATTTTCCATCGTCAATGGGTAGCGGTTCTGGCGACAGATTGGTGCAATGGTGTCATGTAGCACCCGGTTTTGTACCCTTGTGTACCCTTCAACGGCCAAGTCACACAACATTAACTATAATAATAAAGAAATCGCAGTAAGGAACCTTAGACATGGCAGGACTTTGTCTAGATTTCATTATTTTTTAGAGATTAACAAGCAGCTCCATCGAGACTTGGTTAGTTTTTTACAGAATGTTTTTGGTGGGATTTTATTGTCAATTAGACAATTTCTGGTAACCTACAAGAAAGAATGTTTGTTTTTTTACTTATATTGATTACTAGCTGTGCCCCGCAGTATTATCCGCGGTTTATTAGGGATATTTTTCCGCAGTAAAGCGTAGCCTATGTGTTAATCCAGGGTGTCAGCTAACTCCATACCAAATTTTATTAAAATCGCTCCAGCCGTTTAGACGTGAAGAAGTAACAAACATACACACACATACATATAAGTGTGATTAGTGTGATAAACAACGCAATATAAATGATATGATAGCATAACTCTTTAACAAAGGCCGCTTAAACATGGTTCCCAACTCGTACAATTAAACTTAATTACTAACTCGACACACACAGACAATACAAAATATTTTGACAAATCAAATATCTACAAATGAAATCGGCTAACCATTCATTGGGTAAGATTCCAATCAATCGCATGATTGTCGCATTTTATGTACGTTTTTATGCCCCGCCCACTTGATCGCAGCTTGTGAGAAACCACTTTTTGACGCAGTCCATATTCCATAAATCATTTCTAATTCGTAGACTATAAATATATATATATATATTAAAAACTAGCGGCCGCCTGCGATTTCGCCTGCGATAACTTTAGTTGTTTGAAAATCCCTCGGAAACCTAACACTTTTCCGGGATAAAAAATATTCTTCGTCTCATCCAGGTCATAAACTGTAGGCGTACCAAATTTCATACAAATCCTTTCAGTAACTAGTAAGTAGTACTTTAACCGGCCTCGCTTAGACTGTAATTGTCACTGTCGAATTATGACCTCATTTTGACTATTGTTAAACGCTGCAACCCAAATTTTTACCTAATTGGTACTTTAACTGAATAGTTAAAATGGCAGAATAATAATAATATAATAATAATATTTATTTCACAAGCCAGTTTTACAAGAATCGTACAACACAATATACAGTATAGCTTAGAATAAACATTTATAGTATCCTCTGTGCCTGTGCTAGGTTATAAAAATACCTGTATCACAGACACAGTGCTCATCCCTAAGAACCAGTTATACAACCTTTATGTAAGGAAAAAAATACAATTCTTGTGTTAGCTTAACAAAGTTAAATCAAAATATTATTTAAGTAAAAGAAATTAATTTATTTATGTGTTTATCGAACCTCCTTTTGTGTGAAGGGAATGTGAATGTGTGAGTGTAGTTTTAGTAGAATGGGTCAAACTTGTATTTTCGTAAGATCTCCAGTGCACCCCTATTCTAATGCAAATAATTAAATTCTTATTCTAATTAAAGTAAGTCGGTGCAACTCATGCTTATTAGGTTAGAGGCAGACCCCGTGGCCAAGTACATTTTGTCGCAAGAGATCCAGTCTCAAGTGGATTTATCGGAGCGGCCTGACGCCAACCCTGGCAGCCGGCGCGCCGGCGTGCTGCGCTTCCAGTACAATCCTGTGCCGCACTGGGGGCCCGGCGCTAGAGCACTCGTTAAGTCAGTACTATTTCATCATCATCACCAGCTTATTAGAGGGCAGGCGAGCAATGTTTTTCCATACAACATTCTCGACTGATTCCTTCTTGATTTTTATTACAAAGAAAAAAAGACTTTTATCTCTTTTTGATAACTTGTGTTTCAAAGAAACTAGAAGCCTTGATAAATTTCAAAATAAGTAAAATAACATCCATGACGAACCGTGATTTTTAAGAAAAATAGATATTTTATAGTTTTACGAATGAAAGTGTTGCAGTGGAATTTGTTATTTGAACGATTTGTGTTCTTTTTAAAAGAATCGAAGGTATTATTTTTTTAATAACACAGAATATACGCAATATTGTTATATTGAGTTACATGCAGCGTGTTCTTCAAATTATGACTTAAGCGAATTGTGTTCATGCTCCACAATTTAAGCGGTACAAAAAAAGCTTAACTGTTTAAATTAACCTCAACTAATAATATTATTAAAAAAGCTATTGTTTATTCGGCGCCCAACGTGTTACTTTACTAACGACTTTTTTACAGCATCGGTGAAGAGAAAATGTCCAAAGCAACGCGCAATCAAAACAAAAAATTGAAGAAACAGAATCAAAAGCGGCAGCACTCTGGAAGCGAAGATGAACTTCGAAAGAAAACTGTTACAGAACAGCAGTCATTTGATATTGATTTATAAATAAGTGAGAATGTACATTTAGTTTCATTTGATATATACCTCTATTCCACAAATACCTATTATGTTACAGAAATAAATATTTGCGAGTAGTCAGTGGCTGAAAATAGTAAATACAATTTTTACAAAGATATCCTGTTCAATTCGCTAAATCTATTGCCACGGGTAGTCCCTTAATATTGTTCGAGAGAGCCACCGCGCAAAGTAATAGAAAACTATAGGTTTGAAAATAAAAGAAGTTGAATGATCTATGTTGTTAAAATCTAAACCTTACAACAAATATAATAAAAAAAACTAGAAAAACACGCTTTCACGTTTCATGATGATACAAGAATTAGAAGTGCGTGTAATTCAGATTCTAAGATTTCATTACATAGTTACATACAAGTGGACCTAATAAAAGCGTGTTCAAAACTAGCCCCCGATAGGAGTCGCTTAAAGGGTTCTATGTTTGGTGTGTGTTGGGCTGCAAAAAGTAAAGGTAACAGTCATATATTAAATAAAATCAATCCCTAATTGGTGGTACCACGGTTCATATTAAATAAAATTAAAGAATTAGAGGCACCATCCTTCTGTGTCCCGTTCGATAGCACTGAATATTTAGGGGAGCATATTCAGTGCCGCAGCAGATGCAGCTACGGGCAAAGAATCGGGGTAATATCGTCGCCCGTAGGTTTAGTAGGTAAAATTGACGCTGTTCAATGCCTATTGTGTCAGTTTCTACACCAGTCAACTGTGGATGAGGTACAACAGGAGATCGTATAGTACCATCAGAGTTCAATATAATGATATCTTTCGTATTCTGATGGGTCTGCCGAGATTTTGCAGTGCTTCGACAATGTTCGCGGAGGCTGGGGTATCGGACTTCTATGCTATTAAGGCACTTTGCAGACGACGGGGCGGGGCGGGCCGGTTAATTTCGCCGCGAATAATAGCACAAAGTGAATCCTATACTTCAAACGCACACAGAGGGCAAAAAGACCGCGCCGCCGGTGCCCGGCGTGCAATGGCGGCGCGGCATGTCCGCGGCTGCCCGTCGTGGATCACACAAACCAGTTTATATGCAGTAACGCAGACGGCGCACAGTGGGTGAAAAAAAGAGGTCCCCTTTCATAGGATTTTTGAAAAAATAAAAATGTATATTATCCGTTTAAGGTATGCGGTTTTATTGGACATATCAGTACATTGAATAATAAAATAGTTTGGGGAATTTCCTTTTAATCTAACACCATAAAGCACGGGCTTTAGAGTTTCAAATGTATGAAAACGGAATTTGTTTTGCTCATAACTTGTCTCGGTCTTCTACGGTCAAGCTGAAACTAATAGGGATTATTACCGGGTCTGTTACAAAGCCATGTGACCTTTGACCTTCACCCCGGACGGCCCCGTTCAAAAGATACGAATTTTTCAAAATGCTTATTAGGGTAATTTTGCTTTACGGGGTTATGTGTCTCAATAAACAGTTTGTTTATGTTTCTTGCCCAGCATTTAGTTATTAATATAACACAGATTATTATCTAATAAAACTACGCAGTAGATAACGCCACCATACAACTTAACTTTAAATAAAAGCGTCCTAATTCAAAAGATATGGAATTAATATAAATAGATAAAAGAAATAGTTTTAAGAAAAAGAAAACAAGAATACAATATTGTAAAGAATTACAATGAAGTCGTTTACAGCCTACAATTTAATCTTTTGTTTGACAATCGCTTAAAAGCCGCGCGCCATTAACGAGAGCATCATTACATATAAACAATACAAACTCTATTGTTGCAGGTTTTGAGGAATTCAAAGGGTTACCCACAGTCATTACCTGCCGTTGTTTGCCTATAATAATTACTGATTATTTGCTTTTATTGTGGGTAGGTGAATAAATAATACGTTGTTATTATTATTATTCAACAATGACTTCGATTATAATAAATACGGAGTACACCTGTATTTCATTTCACTTATCATTATTGATTCGTACCGTAACGTTCTCTTTACTCAAATTTTAAGTTGCTCAGAATGGAAGGGCTTGTGTCTAATCTCGACGTATATATATATATGAGGCAAAAATCTTTTAGTGCCGACATGTTATTTCAAACAGTACTCGATTCAGTGAGATTTTCATTATCTGAAGAACAAAAGACAACTCTTAAAACGTTTTGTGCTACATATACGAGTAATCTTAAACGCAAATGGAAGTCAGCTAATTACACACAAGGGAATTTTATAAAGAAGTTTGCTGACTGGTTGGACCAAGAAATAAAATGGCCAGAGTTTGTTTCACTAGACATAACTGAAGAACAATCAAATATTATGACGAGTTTTGAAGATCCTTCAACAAGTATTTCAACAGTAACAGGACCTAGTTTATCAACGGAATGCACTGTTCCTCATAGTGTGGCTGTGTCGACATCAACCGCTACATTTAGTCCTCGAAAAGAATTTGCCAATTTGAGTCCACTGCAAAAAAGAAGAAGAACTGAAAATCTCATTGCCGAAAACGATTTTGAGACACTTGCTTATGCCCTGGCTAGGAAAGCGGAAAATGAAAACCAAACGGACTTTGTAGAATTAGTGAAGCATTTGATTAAAAAGCCTGAAGATGCGCCAATGCTGCGAGCTTGCCTGAAATCGACGAAACGAAGTTGTCATACCGATAAGGCACTCGGTATTTCAACATCACTGAAATTATCGAAATGGCAGTATATTACATTGAGGCAGACAATGAGAGACATGGGGTGTGATATACTTCCATCGTATGATGCTTTGAAGCAAGAGAAGAAGGAGTGCTACGTTGAAAAAGAAGACATGGTAATAACTGAGACTGAAGTTAAACTTAAACTTCAGTCTATTTTAGATATTACGGTCAAGAGACTATTAAAAACTCTGGAAACTGATTTAACTGGCAGTAATTCGACTCTTATCAGTAAATGGGGGTTTGACGGTGCATCTGGGCAAAGCAACTACCAACAAAAAATTGACGGCGATGATTCAAGGTGAGAGATGGTACTGATGAAATAATATGGGAAAACCCCAAAGCGTCTTCAACGTTTTACTGTCGACCCATTTATTTTAAGTTTGCTAAAGAGAACGATTTGAATGTTAAAGAAGAAACGACTTCAATTGATACGGAAATTGCTGCTCTACATCCAACTGTTATCGATGGTGCAAATGTAAAACACGTTCTGCATATGACGATGATTGATGGTAAAATAACTTCACATTTATCAGATACATCCACAGCTACATGCGATATATGCAAAGCAAAACCAAAAGAAATGAATGATATCGACAAGGTTACTCAGAGAACCCAGTCTGTAGACATGTTTAAGTTCGGTCTGTCTTCCCTCCATGCACGAATTAGATGCATGGAATGTATCTTACATATTGCTTACCGTCTCGACTTCAAGAAATGGCAAGCTAAGGGCGAAGATTTGAAGCAACAGTTAAGCCAAAGAAAAAAGGCTATTCAAGAACAATTCCGGACTGAAACGGGGCTACTTGTGGACGTTGTTAAACAAGGGGCTGGTACAAGCAACGATGGAAACACAGCAAGAAGATTTTTTGTTAATCCTCAAATTACTGCTCAAATAACGGGTGTTGATGAAGAACTCGTTAGAAGATTTGAAGTGATTCTTCAAGCTATCTCATGTGGAGAGTTTGTGGACGTGGAAAAATTCCGCCAATATTGTGCTGCTACAGCACGCAAATATGTCGAGCTCTATGAATGGTATTATATGCCCTCAAGCGTGCATAAATTATTCATTCATGGTGCCGATATAATTGAGCACAATAACTTTATACCAATCGGCAAGCTCTCTGAAGAGGCCTCTGAAGCTCGTAACAAAGATTTTAAAAACTTCAGAACCTTCCACTCGCGTAAATCTAGCAGGATTGCAACAAATGAAGATATTATCAATAATTTGTTAATATCGTCTGACCCATACCTATCAAGTTTCAGGCCTAAAATATGTCAACGAAATAAACCTCTCACAAATGAAGCTAAATCATTATTATTAACTTCTTGTGAAGATAAGGAAAATATAGAGTTTGTAGATGTAGGTAATGTATCTGATTATGACTTTGATTAGTATGTGTTCTTTCCCTCAAATCAAATTATATCAAACTTTGTATTTTTATTTTTTTGTATCTTTGTATCATATTAATATAAACAGTTTACATATTTAAGAACTGTTGTAGCCAATTTGAGTTCTACTAATCTTTTATACTTTAGCTTTATGTGTGTAGTAATTTATACAGTTGTGGCTTCCTTATTATGCATTATTTAATTTATGATATCAAGCTTAGTTAGTAATTTAAGTTTTGTAAATAAAAATACTGATGTTAATAATTTTGTTTTATTCATAATGTAAATAGTTTATTTTCTCGTTTGGCAGTAACATATCAGAATCTCCCTTACTACATTTACTAATATTAATAACCAGCTAGTTTATCTGGAAAAACACTTTGTTCATTTTAAGCTTAGTCAGTTAAAGTTCTAGGTATCCCAAAATAAACATATTTGATCAAACCCTTTCTTAGATAGACATTGTAAGTGTAAGTATGTTTGTTTGACAAAATTAATTATTATAGGCAAACAACGGCAGGTAATGACTGTGGGTAACCCTTTGAATTCCTCAAAACCTGCAACAATAGAGTTTGTATTGTTTATATGTAATGATGCTCTCGTTAATGGCGCGCGGCTTTTAAGCGATTGTCAAACAAAAGATTAAATTGTAGGCTGTAAACGACTTCATTGTAATTCTTTACAATATTGTATTCTTGTTTTCTTTTTCTTAAAACTATTTCTTTTATCTATTTATATTAATTCCATATCTTTTGAATTAGGACGCTTTTATTTAAAGTTAAGTTGTATGGTGGCGTTATCTACTGCGTAGTTTTATTAGATAATAATCTGTGTTATATTAATAACTAAATGCTGGGCAAGAAACATAAACAAACTGTTTATTGAGACACATAACCCCGTAAAGCAAAATTACCCTAATAAGCATTTTGAAAAATTCGTATCTTTTGAACGGGGCCGTCCGGGGTGAAGGTCAAAGGTCACATGGCTTCGTAACAGACCCGGTAATAATCCCTATAAGTTTCAGCTTGACCGTAGAAGACCGATACAAGTTATGAGCAAAACAAATTCCGTTTTCATACATTTGAAACTCTAAAGCCCGTGCTTTATGGTGTTAGATTAAAAGGAAATTCCCCAAACTATTTTATTATTCAATGTACTGATATGGCCAATAAAACCGCATACCTTAAACGGATAATAAACATTTTTATTTTTTCAAAAATCCTATGAAAGGGGACCTCTTTTTTTCACCCACTGTGCGGCGGCGCGGGGCGATCAGCTCAGTCCGCGCCACGCGCTTATTAGTGATGGACTATTCACTAGAACGAACGTCCTGAACTGACCGCCTCTGCCCGTCGTGTGCTTTGTGTACTTCTCTGACAAAATGCCCGCCCCGCCCCGTCGTCTGCTCAACGCCTACAAGGGCGCGCATAGCATCTTTTTGGAAGGGACTGCGTTGCTCTGGTAACGGCATACTAAAATGTTTGTACGCGGATGTTAACAAACCAATTTACAGATATTGGCTATCTGTGCACACTGATGGGAATCGTAAATAGACGATTGACTTTGTATTATTACAACGTAAGTGTATTGACGTGACAACGTCTTAAATTAGGTTGCGGCTGGGAGTCACTTATGAAAAAGTGTAACGCTCGGTAACGTTACGATGAGTCTCTCGTGTTAAGTTTAAGTTTACATGTACAATGTTTTAGTAAACAAAATATATTTCTATAGTTAAAATTTGTGCAATTCTTATTTTCATTCAATTCCTTGTTCCTATTGTGCAATTTAATTATATTCATATCAATAAATATTCTACCGAGAAAAAGACGTTGTCACGTAAAATCTTCGCCCGTAAAACCGACTTTACAGGCAACCATTTTTTTTAATTAGTTTTTATATTATATTGTATCATGTTTTAAATATGGGTTTTATCTACCTGCAATATATGATTTTATTATTATTATTGTAAAGTAGACATGGGCGTTTTTGGTTTTGAACGCAAACGGATATTTATCGGATTTCAGATTTCAAAATCGATTTTAAAATCCGTGTTTAGATATCCGATTTCAGATGTGCTGAACTTAGCCAATTCACTAGTTTGTGTTATGATTTGGTTTTATTAGCTTACGACAATCACAAACAATTAATTGTAGGAAGCAAGGATACTCGTAGATTTTCGCGATTTTCCTTCATGCTTTAAATCTAGGCTTAGGACTAGCAGAAAAGTTATGTTTACGGTTAAGAGTAAAACTTTTGCGGCGCATTTAAAAATCGGCTTTTATACAATGATTTCTTTTTACATATTTTGTAGTATTTTTTTTTGTTATTCTGTTTGTTTTTATTATTTTTCAAATCATTTACAAAATCAAACCTAATTACTTCAGGTTAGCGTCCAAAAATGTAAGTTGCTCGACTTTTGATGTTTTTAGACGACATATCTTTTCAGTGATAAATAATCCCGCCTCAGAGAACAGCAATAGATTTCCGTAAACAGCAAATCGAAATCGGACTTCCGAGCACGAAATCTGACTTCCGAAAACGAAATCACGAATTTCGAATCCGATTTACATTTGGATACTTGTGGTATTTGGTTTTGGTTCGGTTAGATTTCTGAAATCGGATTTTCTTGTTGAGAAATCGTTCGATATCGATTTGTATTTGAAATCGGATTTTGGATTCGTTTTGATATATCGGACGCATGCCTATTGTAAAGCAAAGGGGCTTAATGTTATAGAAGTGAAATGAATATTAGCTCCCATAATGCTATAGAGGTAACGGGGTAAATAAATATTAATCCATGGGACAAAGTCCTTGAAATTGGTAGATTATCTATATACCATCCTAATCTGTGTCGAGTGTGACCAGCTCAAGACCAGATTGACAAAATTTAGGTATTTAAAAAGTGCAGAACTGTAATGTATTTAATTTTAAGATTTTAATAATCTGTATACTGATATTCATCGTTTTATTTATTGACGTGATACCATCTTATAAATTGATGAAAATCGGCTGCACGCACGTTAAAGTGACTTCTAGTCTCATTAGTTCAACGTTTCGCGATGTGTGTTCCTTCGAACCCTACTCGTCCTCCCCACTGACTACAAAATTTTTATTGTATTTTCGTTGATTATTACTTATTTTCATTTAAAGAGAATACTTTGAATAGGGCGGATGCATTGACCAATTATGCTACCGAAACCCCTTCAGTCTGCTGCCTGGTGCGCGTGGATATTTATGTGAGTATTTTCTTTTATAGATTTAAACGTCGAGCAGTAAAATACTTAACAAATAAGAATATAACTATAAACTTACTCTATAGGAATATAAAACCGCACTTAAGAGCATAATAAGGAAATCCTACCTTAGTTTTAAGCTTTGAGCACAGATTACTAAGGGTTTAGAGAACGTCCATTATGCCAGTGAAATCTTAGAATGTGAAGGAGTTCAAAATTATTTAAAATAAATTATATTCCAATTGAAATTTTCTTTCCAATTTTTTTAGTTTTATTTGTCAGTTCGTCAGCATGATTTTAAAATTTAACAAAAATCTTGACGGCGCAGCGGCGGCGAAGCGCAGTATTAATCAATTTTTTGTCCATAAAATAAGAGGATCTTAGTTCTTAAATCTGGTCACACAGTCAGTGACAGTAACAAAGAAAACAAACGTGAATTTCCTGGTATTTCATTCAAAGATATAACCACGATTTATCAACAATAATTTGATGAATTCACATCTGTTTACGATAATGTGAGAGAAAGAAACAGAATTGATTTAGACTTACGTTTTTTTTATCTCTGAACTGCAACAGTAAATTAAAGTAATAGTGTAACAAAAGTGAAGCTGTTTTGAGCGTGTTAAATAATGCTTTCTTTAAATAAAGTTACTATTGTGCAGACAATAACTCTTATTTTTGCTTTATCTTTTGCAAGAGGACAAGATAGAAAGGTGTGTATTGAATTCACAAATAAGCCATACTTTGTAATTACTGCTCTAAATACCTATTTAATTTTTTTATTTGTTTGGATAAAATTGGATCTGTTGTCTTATCCTCACGTAATATTGGAGCGTCACTTTTTATTATGAAATATGCATAAAAAAATCATTATATCTATTCTACACAAAACAATACTTTGATTATTGACCCCCAGTTAGCTGACAAAACTGAAACTAAATATCAAAATAAAATACTGTAATTATTAATCAAAATATTGAAATTTTCAGATAAATGCCACACTCTACCCTGGATGCCAAGTTTGCACAGAGAATGACACCCTTGTATACATACGAGCAGAGGGTGCTCATAATACTATTCATCAGTTATGGGACTTCACTGGAGGCATGCCATTAGTGATTCTCACTGTTGCTGGTGTGAATTCTACAATGAATATTACATGGGATCATACCACTCCTGTCAAGTTTTCAATATCAGAACAACCGAAATATAGCTTTGCTACAGCCATAGATAAGGTTAGTTGTACCAAATTGTAGAAATTGCATATAATATTGGAAACGGGTCTATAGAAATCAGGGCCAATCAATTTCTTTCAACCAATAAAAGTTGCAATAAACTGGCAAAAATGGTGACTTGCTTCAAGTATTAATGTTACTGACAACACATTGCCCTCATGAAATTTAATATCCAAATGACTCATAGTGATTATTATAACAAATAATAGAATGGGCATGTGTCATTAGGTCAATTTGTTAACAAATGTTTCTTTGTGATATTGTTTTCATGCTTTTAAATGATATAAAATTTTGCAATAAATAATGACTATGGTTTGATGTCTCTGTCACCTAAGTATATTCTAATATTTTAAACTTATGACTAAATTTTTGTTATTTTCACCATTTTTTTATATATGTTTCAGTTATATGAATATGATGACATTCATGACAATGGGTATATCGATGAGAAAGTCCCGAAGCGTTCTGTTGACCTTTGGCGGGCAACATGGTGGCCACATAGCATGGTCCTCACTGATCAGGAGGTCATGGTACAGCTTCGGGGGCACGTTAATGACTATGGCCGAAGTGGTACCATTGACATAAAGGTAACTAAAACAATTGTAATCAATAAATTTAAACAATAATCAGCAAGGTATTTGCTATCACAAATCTTTTTTCAAATATGAGACATAAGGGTAACTAATGAGATAGAAAATGCTACTTTAGCTACTAAGACTAAAATGATCTACTGCACTGAAAACATAGGTCAAATTTCAAAGATCTGTGATCCACATTATTAAAGTTCCCTTGTTATTAGTAGGTTCTCAGTGTATTTACGCATTCTGTAAAAAAACTTGTCTGTTTTGAATTTTTAAGCAAATTATTGGGCAAGTGGGACAGGAATAAATTTGATTGATAGTACACTACATTTCATAATAAAATTTCAACTGCTGTCATTGAAAAAACGGAATGAGACATTAGCAACACTGACATAATAATTACTTGAGATTAAAACAATAATAAAGTAACAAGTTTCTTTCCTTTCTTAACCCCTGACAAAACTGTGTCAAGGTAGTCTAACAACTTGGAGACAAAAGTGTGATAATAAAACTGTTATTGCTCATTAACAATTGAATTAACAGCAGTCTTATCTCTGTATGCAGTCAGTGTTTAATGATAACATTGACCTTTGCCCGAGTTTTGTTTGATGCATATACTTAATGAATATGGCATAAGTATATCACATAGTTGCAGATTATATCCCTTGAGTAGAGAGAATAATTCCTGCTGAATTTGGCATGCTGATAAGATATTCTCAATTATTTTATTTTTGTTATGAACATCAAACAGATAGGTTTCTAGCTCATTATCTCTATATTACAATACAAATGACTAGGAATCTGTGATTGCTACCACTTCACAGGGCTATCTTGGGGGTCATACATAAAGTACGTAGGGGGGGGGGGGGGTGTCGACGAAATTTGACAAGGAGTGGAGAGGGGTCCTAAATGTCATGAAGTCATATTTCAAAATCTATTTTTTTTTGAACTATTATCAGAAAACATTAAAATATTTAGAACTGATCTGTATGAGATTTGTTTTGTTGGCTTATTTTCGGAAATAATTCCCAAACTGCTGTTTTAATTTAATGATTTCTAGATGCAAAATATGTGACTTCACACTAGGCAAGGGGGGAAGCTCACAAAAGTAACCAACTGTGATAAAGCCGGGGAAAAGATCACGAAATAAGTGCGACATTCTTTATGGATGACCCATTGTTTAAAAAAGAGGAACAGAGTGCCATAAATATTTTAACCACACGAAGCAGCAGTCTAACTAAAAACTTATTCCTACCAGCTGGACATGCTGCCGTTTCAAGACTATGCCGCAGAACTGCCGCACCTCATCCACACGGCCAACTCCACGCTATTAGACGTGAGCCTTGTGAACTTCACCACGTCTCCGGACTACAACGCGTCGCGGTACGCGCTCAACCTGCTCATGGTGAGCCAGGACTCGAGTAACTCCACTATGACCACCACAGTGAGGAAGAGTTTGGATGACGAACACACACCTGGTATTTTTGAGGTTAGTTTTTTTCATTTTTTTATTTATTGACAGGTTTCAAAATTTATATAAATAAATAAAAAACGAGCGAGCCTTACAGTAGTCGCGTATGATGTGTAACATTTGAAACCTCACCTTAAATTAGTAATAGAAAAAAAACCTACTACAAAAGGGATAAGCCATTTGAACATTATGTTCTAAAATTAACTCAAATAGCGCGAGCTTTCGCGACTTCCTGTTACACACTTCCGTCCCATTTCACGAAATTACTACCACAAATTGCAGGAAAGCGAGAGGAAAGATGTTACACTGGCAAAATCCAGTGCCTTCGTCAGTCCGTTTTTGTCGGCCTATATCAATAGAATTTTGCAAAGAAACTCCTAAAAAAACTAAAGCTCTTATAAATAAAATAAAGAACCAGATCTTTTCCTTGGGACCATCATTGATTAATAAAGAAGGTGAAGGAGTGAATGTGAAGCGTGAACTCTTTCTAACAATGATACTTACACCTTCTGGTTCCACATGTACAATTTGTGGAGCTACTCCATGGCAAATGATTGTCAGATCATATAAAGTGACTGTTAGGCCAGAAAATTAAAATTCATTTCAATACGGCCTTTCTATATTGCACGCCTAGATTCGTTGTATAGAAATGATTTTACATATTTCATTCAACCTCTCTTTTCAAACATGGTCAGCCACAGGCGAAGAAAGGAACGGTACTACATGCCATCTTCGGTTCATAAAAAATTAATTCATGGTGAAAGATATCAGTAAGCATTTGGCTGTGCTTCCTATTGGTCAACTTTTGAGTCCTGTAATAAAGATTACAAAAAATTTCACCTAAATCATGCCAGAAAGTGCTCTTGATCAGTAATAAATGAAGATGTATTTCATACTCTTCTAAACACATCAGATCCGTACATTTCCAGCCTAAGAAAAACATATAGCAAAAGTGTGAAGGCACTTGATGAAGATACCCTAGATCTTATATAAGTACAAATAAAAATAATGTATGATACGTAACAGTCAAACATCTGTTTAGTTTTATTTCGAATTTGACTTGTATCCGCAGCTGATTTTCATACATTTTATTTATGAATATCTACGCTAATTTAAAAAACCTACTATCTGCCTTTTACTCCATAGTAAATAAGATGTTTGTGTGTATACTGTTGAAACTTGTTTTAATTAATGAGCAATTTGCGTGAAAACCTAAGAAAAAATATTTTACAATTTTGTTTGATTTTTGCTCAGCCATATCTCTTTATCCTTATGTAAAATTGGTGTTGTGCAGGCTTTATTGCCTTCGGTTTATGTTAAAATGTTTGCCAAGGTGTGTCTACACCTTTTTTGGTAATGTGGTACAGATAGTGGAGGTGGAGAGTCCGCGCAGTAGTTCCGGGCCGGGCGCCTACGTGCAATTCCGGCCCGTCGCCTACAGGCAGCGCGCCAGGGACGTAGCGTCCTCTACGCGGGCCCGGCCATCTGTACCCGCCAGGTGACACTATACTACACCACCCACGATACTATACCCGCCCCCACTACTATACCCATCAACACTACACTGTAATACCCGCCTACGTGCAGTTCCGGCCCGTCGCCTTCAGGCAGCGCGCCAGGGACGTAGCGTCCTCTACGCGGGCCCGGCCTTCTGTACCCGCCAGGTGACACTATACCACACCACCCACGATACTATACCCGCCCCCACTACTATACCCATCAACACTACACTGTAATACCCGCCTACGTGCAGTTCCGTAGCGTCCTCTACGCGGGCCCGGCCTTCTGTACCCGCCAGGTGACACTATACTACACCACCCACGATACTATACCCGCCCCCACTACTATACCCATCAACACTACACTGTAATACCCGCCTACGTGCAGTTCCGTAGCGTCCTCTACGCGGGCCCGGCCTTCTGTACCCGCCAGGTGACACTATACTACACCACCCACGATACTATACCCGCCCCCACTACTATACCCATCAACACTACACTGTAATACCCGCCTACGTGCAGTTCCGTAGCGTCCTCTACGCGGGCCCGGCCTTCTGTACCCGCCAGGTGACACTATACTACACCACCCACGATACTATACCCGCCCCCACTACTATACCCATCAACACTACACTGTAATACCCGCCTACGTGCAGTTCCGTAGCGTCCTCTACGCGGGCCCGGCCTTCTGTACCCGCCAGGTGACACTATACTACACCACCCACGATACTATACCCGCCCCCACTACTATACCCATCAACACTACACTGTAATACCCGCCTACGTGCAGTTCCGTAGCGTCCTCTACGCGGGCCCGGCCTTCTGTACCCGCCAGGTGACACTATACTACACCACCCACGATACTATACCCGCCCCCACTACTATACCCATCAACACTACACTGTAATACCCGCCTACGTGCAGTTCCGTAGCGTCCTCTACGCGGGCCCGGCCTTCTGTACCCGCCAGGTGACACTATACTACACCACCCACGATACTATACCCGCCCCCACTACTATACCCATCAACACTACACTGTAATACCCGCCTACGTGCAGTTCCGTAGCGTCCTCTACGCGGGCCCGGCCTTCTGTACCCGCCAGGTGACACTATACTACACCACCCACGATACTAAACCCGCCCTCACTACTATACTGCCGTCCTCAAACTAAAGAGCGGCTAAGTGACGTGTGGTCGATTCTTCAATGTTAAATTGCATCTTATACAGTTTTTAATTCTCTATCGATCTGTCTTTAACATGTATTCGTATCTTTTATAGTTTAAGTCTAAAAATCCGTCACGTGATGAATGGTTACAAAATAGCAATAATTTAAAGTGAACACGCCGTTTTTTTGGCCATATCTCAAAAGTTTGTTTTGTCATTTAGCCGCGTTTTAGCTTCTGGACGGCAGTATACCCGCCATAACATAATTAGGCGGGTACCTACTTATATATTTTTTAAACAAATTGTCGGGAAGATAGGGCACAAAGCATGCCTCATAACGCTAGCAGTGCAAACGTACAAAGTTTGTTTACATTAATCTCTCCTTGCCAAAACATAAAGAAAGTTTGTTATCACAAATTCCAATCATAATCTGAAGTAGAATAATGCATTCGATATTTTTTTATCTAGACTAGAGATACGATATATCAATGCGTATTGTATGGTCGTGTATTGATATAAAATATCGATTTATCGCATTGCTTTGTATTGATACAGCATAATATCGATACGTATGCCCGCGCATCTTTATTATGTACCCGCCAGGTGACACTATACTACACCACCCACGATACTATACTCGTCAACATTACACTGTAATACCCGCCTACAGGCAGCGCGCCAGGGACGTAGCGTCCTCTACGCAGGCCCGGCCTTCTGTACCCGCCAGGTGACAGACACTACTACACCACCAACAATACTATTTTATTTTGTTTGGAACAATAATCAATTAGGTACATAAACATAATGTTGAATATATCCTTTCAACTGTGTACGCGAAATGCCGCTCAAAACCCTGTCTGTTTTAACCCTCCATTTTGATTATCACGGCCAGAAAAAAAAAATCCGGCTGATTTTCCTCTTATTATTCGTTTTACTGTAATGTAATTTATGTCTTAAATCAACCCTGAATACTTTCTCTACAAACTTATCTATATATAAGATGTGTAAATTAAACCATTACTAAATATGATATGATAATACGCAAAGTATGAAATATGAAAATACTTTTCTCAGCTCGTGGCAGAAATCTGCCATCTCACAAACGGGTTTTTGACGTTGCCAGAAATCTGCCATTTACACAGACCATTAATGAGTATACAATGAATTAGTGACGGGTTTTAAAAAAAATACAAATAGAGGCAAATGTTGTTTTTTTTTATTCTCTTCGTCATTTCCTTTCAGATGACATAAATTTTATATTTATAAAAAACATATTAATGCAATTTTCATAAGAAAATGGATGTCACTAAATTTATTTAAAGTTTTTTATGCTACTTTTTTTAAGGCAACCCATTATTAATGCAATATACTCACAAATCATTCCTTTAAATTACATTTCATAAAAAAAAGCAGATGGGCGCAGAATTTTTCGGCCGGATCTCGGGTTATATATTTTTCATTGTTTTACTACTTCTAGGGGTAGTGCGTGGCAAATCATCAGTGGCTTAGGGTGCCAGATTTTAAAATAAGGCCCTGGTCACACTATACCTGTCTATATGGCAACATTGCTCAAGTGCACACTAGGCTCCCGATTCTTTTGTTCACATTTTCTTAAACAAGTATAAAAGTGCTTCAAAGTAACATCAGTGTCTTAAAAACTGTACATAATACTAGTGTAATTAAAATCAGTGTACACTTCCACCCGTGGATATCATAAATTACCAAGATTCTATAAATTTGGAATTCTAGACCCACTAACTGCTAAACATTGTTTTGTGGAATAAGTACCCTAACTTTTTAATTATTTCCTAAGTCAGAATCAACTGACAGTGTCAATTTGATTTTGACAACTATCAATTCAACTGACAGCACTTGATTCGATTTTGACACTGCGGAAGTGTTGCCATTTTATAAAAACTCCTCCCAAAAAGTGGAAATCGCGACGGGTACGTACCTCAAGCATAAATCATGACTGTATGTAATGGCTGTCGCCTCGTAGTCATCGACTTGGAAAAAATTACTTGTTCCGTATGTTCAAGTGTCTACCATTATGGCTGCGTGAATATTTCCAAAGATAATTATGGCAAACTGTCTATCAGGACGAAGAATCTGTGGAAGTGCCCTGAGTGTAAGATGCCACGAAAGAGAGGAGATAATAGCAATACTCCAGTCAAAGAAGACGCGGCTACCTCAGACGATCACCTTCAGCAGGATGTACTCGAAAAAAAGCTGAATCAATTCGAGTCTTCTATTCTATCCAAGATGGAGTCCCTGTTTAGATCAGAAATCGAAGCCCTTCAGAGAGATATAAAACTTATCCCAGAGCTATTTAAATCCGTCGAGTTCTTATCAGCTCGATACGACGAAGTAAATTCCGAAGTGGTTAAGTTGAGGACTGAGTCAGCAGCGCTTCGTGATGAAAATGCTAAACTTGGAGCCTCGGTCAAGGAACTGTCTTCTAAAATTAATACTATTGAGCAACATGCGAGGGACTGTAACCTGGAGATACAGTGCTTGCCTGAATTTCCACAAGAAAACCTCGTAAATACCGTTTTACAACTTGGCAGAGTTACATCTTGCCCATTGGAGGAAAAGGATATAATGTCCTGCTCAAGAGTTGCTAAGAACAACCCAAAATCATCGAGACCGAGGTCGGTCATCGTTAAACTACCCTCGCCTCGTATTCGCGACAGCATACTTGCCTCTTGCTTAAAATATAACAAGGATAATTCAAAAGAAAAACTAAACAGTGCAGTGTTAGGCTTGGCAGGAGATAGTGTACCGATATACCTAAACGAGCACCTTTCTCCAGTTAACCGTTCATTACATGCCCAAGCCCGCTTGGCGAAGAAGGAAAGTAACTACAAATACCTTTGGGTCCGCAACGGTCGCATCTTTATGAGGAAGAATGACGAATCATCTGTAATTTGGATACGCAATGCTGAAGTTCTTCAGGAACTCAAATAATAATCTAGTGCTCACACTATTGGTTGAAATATTTTACTCGATAGTTGATTCAATAATTGAAAAACACGTTCCGAAGTCGTCTTGCAACTCAGGTAAGTACCCTATTTGGTACTCCAAAAATCTCATTAAGCTTATCCGTGAAAAGGAAAAACTCCATAAAAAAGTAAAATTGTACAATAATCCTGTTGATAGGTTCGATTACAGCGAAGCTAGATCTCGATGTCATACAAACCTAATCAAGAAATGTTATACAAACTATTTGAGAGAGGTTGAGGAGTCTATTAGTTGTGGAAATATTAAGGCGTTCTGGAGTTACATTAAAAATAAACGTAAAAATACTGATTCTATACCAGGTCAAATGTATTTGGATGGATGCAGGTATGATACCCCGAGTTCAATATGTAATGCGTTTGCTAAGCATTTTTCGTCCGTTTATGTGGCTGATGCTGATGGATCTCAAAAGCAAGATGTCGATTCAGATTGTTCCTTAAATAATATCCTTAACAATATCTCCATATCAGAAGTTAGTATAGAGAGAGCTCTGAAGGAATTGGATCCAAAGAAAGGAGCCGGACCAGACGGTATACCACCTATATTTCTTCGTAGCTGCGCGTCTGCTTTATCTTATCCACTATATCTCATATTCAGCCACTCACTCTCTTCTGGGAATTTTCCGACACGATGGAAGGAAGCCAATGTTTTGCCAATCCCTAAGACCGGTGTATCTAATGATGTGCGAAACTACCGACCTATCTCATTACTGTCTGGTTTCTCTAAGCTTTTCGAAGCACTTGTTTGTCAGTATTTCGCTAATACTTTTAAATCTGTTCTTGCTTCGCAACAACATGGCTTTCGCCAGAAAATGTCTACTGTCACTAATCTCTCCTGCTTCATAACGGATTTGTCAGAGGAGCTAGACCGGGGCCGACAGGTGGACGCTATATACACTGATATAAGTAAAGCATTTGATAAGGTTAACCATATAATATTATTAAAGAAGCTTCATTCAGTCGGTGTGCATGGTTCCCTCTTGAATTGGTGCCGATCTTATCTTGTTCGGAGGTGTCAAAAAGTTGTTGCATGTGGCTATGAGTCGAGTCCCTTTTACGTTCCGTCAGGCGTCCCCCAGGGTTCTCATCTAGGACCTATTTTCTTTTTAATATTTATTAATGACCTTGTCAATGTCGTTCAACATTCGGAATGTTTACTGTTTGCAGATGATTTAAAAGTTTACAAAACAATTGAAAATTTTAATGAATCCATATTACTGCAACAGGATCTCAATAGAATAGCTGAGCGGTCTTCAATTAATAAACTACCATTGAATCCGGATAAATGCAAACACATAAAATTCACAAAAAAGCGCAACGCTTTAAATACATCATATTCTATCAATTCCCATCTTTTAGAAGAAGTTTCGAGCATTCGTGATCTGGGGGTTGTTTTAGACCGTAAGCTTTCTTTTCGTCATTCTAAAGCTTCTTGGTTTTATATGGCGTAACTGCAAGCGTTTTAAGAAAATTGATGCTCTAAAGTATGCTTATTTTGCATTGGTGCGCAGTTCACTTGAGTATTGCTCGAGTATTTGGAATCCTAAATATAACTGTCATATAGAGCGATTAGAAAAGGTCCAGAAAAAGTTTCTATTTTTCTTGTCTGTGCATCAGGGTAAAAAATATAATTTGTTATCTTATAGGGATAGACTGGACTATTTCAAGTTTACTTCGCTGGAGGATCGTAGGTGGGTGGCCGACCAGGTCTTGTTGTATAAAATTGTAAACAGTGTAGCAGAGTGCCCTAAATTACTAAGTAATGTGAAATTTAAAATACCTCGACCAAACACCAGAATGGTAAATTTTAAACCCTTTTCATTGAAATTTTTTAGAACTAAGTTAGGCGCACATAGTGTGCACAATAGACTGTGTGACGAACATAATAGGTTTTGTAGATCGATTGACTTGTATGCTCTTTCTTTGTTACGTTTTAGAAAATCACTGTATCTGATAAGAACTCCAACTATAAGCCAAATTCAAATTTAATTTAATATATATTCCATTTAACTTGGTGTTTTAATGCATTTTTGTTTTAATTTTTAGTATAGTTTAAGTTTCTTGAATGTGCAATGGTTATTTATGATATTGGTGTGGTGAGTTGGTTGTTACAGGCGAATAGACGAATGTAAGAATTATATTAAATATCCTTTAGTTATAATGCCAGTGTAATACTTTATATATATATGTATTTCCGTTTTTTTTTTGTTCATGTTGAGTTTGCCAGTAATTGTTTTTGCACTATGCTGAAAATTGTTACATATAAGTGTGATTATGTAAGTTAAGGTGTAAAAATGTTGGCAGACCTTTAATAAATTAATAAATAAATATACTAAACTTTAAAATTTTAATTCAAACTTAATTTTAATTCAAGCTATAGGCCCTACTTTATTAACTATTGTGATTGTGATGTTCCATGTACACAACTTTTTAATGTCCGTATTATCTTTTCCTATATTGTATAAGCTAAGTCCAACGACCGAAGCAATAGTAGTCTGAAATTTAAAGATGATATTCGCTTGCGCTAGCTCTGTATAGTTTATAAAATTTCTTCCCATCATCGTGTCAGAGTTCAATCAATTATCGCTTTGAAACTCTGTCGCCAGCTTTTCCTTATCGTGTTTTACGACTACGTTATTTACGGGATTGTTACCATGTACCAAACTTACTGTACTTCTTTTTAGCGAGTTTCCGATATTTCGGCACGGTTACAAGCGCCATGATCACGGAGTAATTGAAGTAATTGCGGGTAGGCTGTTATTGGCAAACATATCGGTCTACCCTCCGACTAAGTCTTTTATTGCGTTCGATACCCGTACCACTGTTCACATTCTCACTATTCACTCGAAACTGTTTTCGACACACAATACTTACAGTATCGGATCACGACACAACACATATTATATAATGTTATGTATTGCTATAATGGTAGTGACCAAGAAAGTTTAAAACAACATACCTGCCCAATAGGACGCGGATCCCGGAACATAGTACGTTGCGTGCGTTCTACCGGGGAGTCGATCCCAGTACCCTCCTGGTGCAAAACATGCGCATCTCCTTCGGCGAACCCGGTGATGGATTCTACGCTCACCACAATTACACAGCATGGTGAGTACATATTATAGTTTATACTAGAAAAAAAACCACGCGGACCAGGCAGCGGACGGGACTCGAACCCGCACCTTTCGCAATCCGGGCGAATGCACTGACCAATAATGCAACCACGGCCCTGATGGCCGCGTCGAAATTTTCCTAGCCTTAAGCCGCAAGGCTCAAGGCTAGGCATTTCGGTTCGAGTCCCGTCCGCTGCCTGGTCCGCGTGGATTTTTTTCTAGTAAAAACTTTTCTTTAGATTTAAACATCTAGCAGTTAAATGCTTAAAAAAATAAAAACATAACTTAATATAGTGTTAAATTGCGATCAACGAAAGAATTGTGGCGAGATGCATACCATCTCATTGCTCGCTGCTGATATTCAAATCACTTGATGGACCCGCGAATATAAAGAAAAGCAATTTTGTTTGCCATGTTTGAAGAATTTTATCGCGCTAATAGTTTTTCAATTATCGTTCATTTTCATTTATTGTTTTATGGAGATATTCTATCTTTATATATATAATTCTTCTGTGAGTGTGTATGTCACTGAACTTCTCTTAAACGACTGGACCGATTTTGATGAAATTTTTTGTGTGTGTTCAAGGGGATCTGAGAATGGTTTAGATTCACAATTTTGTCCGCTGGACAATCCATATTTTTTTAGGGCGGTACGAAGTTCGCTGGGTCAGCTAGTTTTATATATAAAGTTTCAACATTCATTTCGACTTTTCTCTTTTATTTTGAAGAAATACTTCAGTGTGGAATACTTAGAGCTGGGGTTCCACAGATCGCGATCCTGACAGGTAGTGTCAGTTCCAGGACCGGATTCAAGGTCAGGGCCTGCAACTCAAGAGGTTACAATAACAGATATAAGGAAAGCCAATTTCGACAAGTCACGAACCGGGAGGGACTAGCATGACCCGGCTCAAGTTAAGGGGCCTCTAAATCCGGCGCTGCTCAATTCCTTTAGTCAACAGAATAAAGTACACTTTATATCTAGGGATCTAATAAAAAGTCAGGTCTGAAAAAAAAACTTCACTATGGCAACAGGATTAGCCATATTGAACTGACTTTATCTGTCAGGGTCGCATTCTTTCGTTGGCCGCATTGTGGTTTTTTTAGTCAGCGTTTTATTCTCAAGTTGTACACAAATGAGGACGTCCCCGAAGTGTATACTTTCTTGTTTCAAATTGGGTCAGTCAATGCATTATTTTCATTGCACGACGAGATCGCATCGTGTCATCGTACGATCGTGGCCGATACTTAGTAATACTACAATTTCGTTTACTTTAAATTACGTTAGATTCTAGTTAGTTCGTCAATTAGATAATAAAAAAAAATGGACGCAGCTACTCGAGGCTGTTTTCACTATACGCAGCTAAAGGTTCCAATCGCACTGTTAACTTTTCCATGTGTCCAGGTCCGCCTCGCTGGGGTACGGGCGGGCGCCGGTGGAGGGTTTCTCCGCCTTAGTGGTGGGAATAGTGGCCTGCGGGCTGGGGGCGCCGGCGCTGCTGCTGCTGCTGGGCGGCGCCTACGCCTGCGCCAGCGCCCGCCGCCCGCCCGCCCCGTGAGCGCGGGCGCCCCGGCCCCAGGTGAGTGTACCGCACTAGCATGGGGGGGGGGAGGCGGGGGCGGGGGCGGGCTGGGGGCGCCGGCGCTGCTGCTGCTGCTGGGCGGCGCCTACGCCTGCGCCAGCGCGCGCCGCCCGCCCGCCCCGTGAGCGCGGGCGCCCCGGCCCCAGGTGAGTGTACCGCACTAGCATGGGGGGGGGAGGCGGGGGCGGGGGCGGGCTGGGGGCGCCGGCGCTGCTGCTGCTGCTGGGCGGCGCCTACGCCTGCGCCAGCGCCCGCCGCCCGCCCGCCCCGTGAGCGCGGGCGCCCCGGCCCCAGGTGAGTGTACCGCACTAGCATGGGGGGGGGGGGGGGGCGCCGGCGCTGCTGCTGCTGCTGGGCGGCGCCTACGCCTGCGCCAGCGCGCGCCGCCCGCCCGCCCCGTGAGCGCGGGCGCCCCGGCCCCAGGTGAGTGTACCGCACTAGCATGGGGGGGGGAGGCGGGGGCGGGGGCGGGCTGGGGGCGCCGGCGCTGCTACTGCTGCTGGGCGGCGCCTACGCCTGCGCCAGCGCGCGCCGCCCGCCCGCCCCGTGAGCGCGGGCGCCCCGGCCCCAGGTGAGTGTACCGCACTAGCATGGGGGGGGGAGGCGGGGGCGGGGGCGGGCTGGGGGCGACGGCGCTGCTACTGCTGCTGGGCGGCGCCTACGCCTGCGCCAGCGCGCGCCGCCCGCCCGCCCCGTGAGCGCGGGCGCCCCGGCCCCAGGTGAGTGTACCGCACTAGCATGGGGGGGGGAGGCGGGGGCGGGGGCGGGCTGGGGGCGCCGGCGCTGCTGCTGCTGCTGGGCGGCGCCTACGCCTGCGCCAGCGCGCGCCGCCCGCCCGCCCCGTGAGCGCGGGCGCCCCGGCCCCAGGTGAGTGTACCGCACTAGCATGGGGGGGGGAGGCGGGGGCGGGGGCGGGCTGGGGGCGCCGGCGCTGCTGCTGCTGCTGGGCGGCGCCTACGCCTGCGCCAGCGCGCGCCGCCCGCCCGCCCCGTGAGCGCGGGCGCCCCGGCCCCAGGTGAGTGTACCGCACTAGCATGGGGGGGGGAGGCGGGGGCGGGGGCGGGCTGGGGGCGCCGGCGCTGCTGCTGCTGCTGGGCGGCGCCTACGCCTGCGCCAGCGCGCGCCGCCCGCCCGCCCCGTGAGCGCGGGCGCCCCGGCCCCAGGTGAGTGTACCGCACTAGCATGGGGGGGGGAGGCGGGGGCGGGGGCGGGCTGGGGGCGCCGGCGCTGCTGCTGCTGCTGGGCGGCGCCTACGCCTGCGCCAGCGCGCGCCGCCCGCCCGCCCCGTGAGCGCGGGCGCCCCGGCCCCAGGTGAGTGTACCGCACTAGCATGGGGGGGGGGGGGCGGGCTGGGGGCGCCGGCGCTGCTGCTGCTGCTGGGCGGCGCCTACGCCTGCGCCAGCGCGCGCCGCCCGCCCGCCCCGTGAGCGCGGGCGCCCCGGCCCCAGGTGAGTGTACCGCACTAGCATGGGGGGGGGAGGCGGGGGCGGGGGCGGGCTGGGGGCGCCGGCGCTGCTGCTGCTGCTGGGCGGCGCCTACGCCTGCGCCAGCGCGCGCCGCCCGCCCGCCCCGTGAGCGCGGGCGCCCCGGCCCCAGGTGAGTGTACCGCACTAGCATGGGGGGGGGGGGGGCGGGCTGGGGGCGCCGGCGCTGCTGCTGCTGCTGGGCGGCGCCTACGCCTGCGCCAGCGCGCGCCGCCCGCCCGCCCCGTGAGCGCGGGCGCCCCGGCCCCAGGTGAGTGTACCGCACTAGCATGGGGGGGGGAGGCGGGGGCGGGGGCGGGCTGGGGGCGCCGGCGCTGCTGCTGCTGCTGGGCGGCGCCTACGCCTGCGCCAGCGCGCGCCGCCCGCCCGCCCCGTGAGCGCGGGCGCCCCGGCCCCAGGTGAGTGTACCGCACTAGCATGGGGGGGGGGGGGGCGGGCTGGGGGCGCCGGCGCTGCTGCTGCTGCTGGGCGGCGCCTACGCCTGCACCAGCGCGCGCCGCCCGCCCGCCCCGTGAGCGCGGGCGCCCCGGCCCCAGGTGAGTGTACCGCACTAGCATGGGGGGGGGGGGGGCGGGCTGGGGGCGCCGGCGCTGCTGCTGCTGCTGGGCGGCGCCTACGCCTGCGCCAGCGCGCGCCGCCCGCCCGCCCCGTGAGCGCGGGCGCCCCGGCCCCAGGTGAGTGTACCGCACTAGCATGGGGGGGGGGGGGGCGGGCTGGGGGCGCCGGCGCTGCTGCTGCTGCTGGGCGGCGCCTACGCCTGCGCCAGCGCGCGCCGCCCGCCCGCCCCGTGAGCGCGGGCGCCCCGGCCCCAGGTGAGTGTACCGCACTAGCATGGGGGGGGGGGGGGCGGGCTGGGGGCGCCGGCGCTGCTGCTGCTGCTGGGCGGCGCCTACGCCTGCGCCAGCGCGCGCCGCCCGCCCGCCCCGGCCCCAGGTGAGTGTACCGCACTAGCATGGGGGGGGGGGGGGGGCGGGCTGGGGGCGCCGGCGCTGCTGCTGCTGCTGGGCGGCGCCTACGCCTGCGCCAGCGCGCGCCGCCCGCCCGCCCCGGCCCCAGGTGAGTGTACCGCACTAGCATGGGGGGGGCGGGGGCGGGGGCGGGCTGGGGGCGCCGGCGCTGCTGCTGCTGCTGGGCGGCGCCTACGCCTGCGCCAGCGTGCAACACTATTATATATTAAAAGCCGTAGCTATTTAAAAGTTTACTCAAAACAATCCTTAGGACTGGGCGCAAGTGGATAGCGCCATCGGCTTGCGATCGTGAGAGTTATTTTTTTTTTATATATTTTTAACAGGCATCTTTGATTCAAAAGGCATATTAAACCGTTGGTCCCGGCTGCATCTGTAGTTGTTAGCATCTACCAAACCGCACTGAGCCCGCGTAGTGGGTTATGGCCAAATCTTCCTATTCTATCCATAGGAAGGCCAGTACCCCAGCAGAGAGCACATTAAGAGGCTGGTTATGATGATGAATCCTGAGGGTGTGCTCTTAAAATAGCTTCGTGTCCTACTCTACTGCGTTTAAAACAATGTGAGTTAGAGTCTGATGAACAACGATGACGATATATCGAAAGTCAATCTACTTTAACAGTAGGGCTCTGTGCCGAACTGCCGATTTAGAGAAATCTAAAATTTTGCTTTCCTTTTAGTTTCCAGACTGACGAATCTCGATGGAAAGCATGGGTGCTTTGTAGCTGAAAATCGACGCTGTCACTGGATGATCTCTATGCGTACGTACCGTCTGTATATTTCAACTTCTTTGACCAAGGTCTCATGAAACTACTGAAATAAAATTTTGATTTTTCCGACGTTGTGAATCCCATAAATCAGCTGAATAAGAAAATGATATGTATATGGTCAAAATGTACTTCCTAATATTTATAGAATTATTTGGAATCAGATAATTTGCTTTCCCGTAAGGAAAATGAAACCACATACATACGAGTTATGGTCAACAAATATACATTCTGTATAGATATCGCCATGGCAACGCGCTCAAAGAGTGCATAATTTTAACTATTTTAATACGGTTTTTTGGACTAATGTAAACAAATGATTGCATTTCATTTTCCTTACGTAGTATAAAGAAATCGTCCAGTATTAACGGTTTATTATAATCATGAATTAATTTCGATCATAACAGATATTTATATAAATTTTGCCATAAAAAAGGCAAAAATATAAGGCAGCGGACGGGACGGCGGGCCTGGCCCGCGTGAATTTTTTTGTAGCAAAATTTTCTTTAGATTAAACATCCAGCAGTTACATGCTTAAAAAAATATATAATGTATAGAAATTGTTATATTAAACATTTGAGGTAGAACTTTATCTATAAATTCCTAATCTTTAAAATTTAGATTCAGCCTCGGAAGTTTTCATAACTTAAACCTACACATTAGATGGTATTCATACCAAGTTAAGGTTGTAGCACATGTTATATCGCAAAAACACTGTCTCAACTCGAGCCGTTCAGCATTATTAAATTATTTGGCTGATAGACGGTAAGGTGATAGGCGATATGTGGTGTCAGTTTGATATATCAGGAGCTGGCGAACACAACGGTATAATTACGCATCTGTACCCCTACTGAAATGTCAATGTCAAATTTTGTATGGAAACTTGAACAGCAGCGGCACAAGGTACGTAACGAAAACTAAAAATCAGTTCACATTTGACAATGACATTTCCGACTCGCAAACGATACGAATTCGATATTGGTTCGTGCTAGGAGTACTGGTCAAAGTACTTTTTTTTACAGTCCGGAGGTTTCGGGCCCGTTGAATTTGTATCACTAAGAATTTTCAATCCAAACCGCCTGAAACAGTGTTAAAATTACTAAATTTATAAATTAAAAACCATGTCAAAACTTCAGTGGAGGTGAGGTGTGTCATTCAGTTTTATACAACTCCTGCAAAATTAAATTTATATAATTATACCGTTTTGTTCGCCAGCTCCCCATATCGTCACTTCCATAGTAAACTAACGAATTTGAATTTCTTAAAAGCTACTACGCCAAAATAACGTATATTAATTTGGTAAGTTTACTTTGGGTGTATAAATATAAAATGCAGATTGAAACAATCAGACTTTTGGAACCGTCATTGATAAAATTGTGTGACTTTTCCCTGGTGTTAAGTACCACATTACGTGCAGTTTTTTATTATAGATTTTTACTAAAAAAGCAGATTGGTAACTTTGCCGTAGATGTGACGATATGTGCACCAACCTTTATAAAGTAAAATCACAAAAGTGCCTACACCTTTTGTATTTTATAATAAAAAAGCCACTCGTGTCTACTAGCCAATATTATCAGTGTGAATATAATAAAGCATGTGCATATAGAACACTTGTGAGACACGAGTGTCATGTAAAGGATTATTATTTTTATAGGAGCTATTTTCTTCAGTTATCTGTATCAATTTTATTTATAAAAAATGTTGTTATATCAAAGAAAAAAAACTATCATTCATGCAATAAATTATGTTAAACAGGTTTGGAATATCTTACAAGTTTTATAATTAAAATTGTTTAATACATAACTTTAGGAAGTGTAGTAATGACCACAGCAAATTTTGTTATGTATTGATAAAAAATGTCAAAGTGAAATTTTGATACATTAAAAGCAGTTTGAAGTTTCTAATAGTCAACTAATATTATTTGTAAAATTCAAGTTTGATGACTGAAATAAGAGACATATTATGAATTTGATTGGGACTGAATTTTTATATTTAATTTGTATTGTGTGTGTATGTAAACAAAGTGGAAATTAATCTATTTTGTATTAGTGATGCGCGGTCCGCACGCGGAGACTTCAATTAATTTTAATGCCTGTCAAATTGACGCATTGCCTTTTTTCTATTATCATGAAAAACTTTAATCATCACTAATAATTGATGTCTCTGATTAGTTAAATTCGCTTTAATGGAAAAGTAAACGTTGGTTACTTATTCCGACAGAAAACATATACTTTTTTTATTCATTAACTATAACTTAGTATAATAAAGATCCGTAACGATTTTAGTTGAGAATGCTTATTTATAGAGCTAAGTATTCCATAAAATATAGTGGTTAAATTTCAGTTCTACGACAAATATTGACGAAGTTATGACCAAATTACTAAACGAACTGGCCGCGTGGTGACTGTGACGTCACAGATCTCTAGCGCTCGGGCGCGAGCGCCCGTAGAGACGCTACTGAACTTCGACCGGAATGAACCACGATCGAGCTCTGTGACGTCACACGTTTCCGCCGCTGGTGAATATTGGTTACCATAAAATTAGTAATAAAATCGAACGACTGCACCGATTTTGATGATTTAAAAAGTGTATTCATTAAAAAGCTTATTAGATCATTACACTGTTGATTTTGAGTTGATTTGCTAACCTAGTAATGATCCTCATTACTGATTATAATATAAAATCTCATGTGTATAGACGAGGAAAAGTAATATTATAAACGCTTATATGATTCCCTGGCCTTGACCTGAGGTCAACTTACTGCATTGAATCAACGCCCTATATGAGCGGTGCTGCAATAATCTTTTCAATAAAAGCTAAATTGATACCTTACTTACAAACAAGGGCGTCGCCAGGGGGGGGCAGTTCCCCCCAGTCCCCCCCCCCCCATCCCTTAAGGATCAAATGTCAGCTAGCCGCAAAGCGACCAAAGTGCGAGCAATTGACTTCCTTAGCTATTATATTGCCCCCCCCCCCCCCCTCCCCCATCTTAGTCAAAGTGTAACGGCCGTACTCAACGACGTTAATTAAGTTATTTCTGGCCATTTTTTTTTCTATCACAATCATCAGTAAGAGACATTATAGACTTCAAATGACATACAATTTATTTAACTTCTCTGAGTACGAATACTGTGTCCTACGTTACGACGACGCACGAGTTTCATATAATTAATTTTAACAAAAAACTAAAATATACTGTTATACAAAATATAATTAATTAATCACATTGTAATAATAGTACTTACAATAATTGCTCTTCTAATAAATATTAAAAACATATTTTTTTTCCACTTTTAAAGTTATTATGTTAAAAAGAAATAATATTGGATTATTTTGCTTATGACCTAAAGTGTACCTGTCCAATTATGTCCGGACAACTTTGTTCGACCCAACTGTTGTAAATACGATATTTTATGTAAAGTTGATGGCATCGGCAAATGAAAATGCACTGAATTGTCAATTTCTAAAAGCTACAATCTAACTCCTAATTTGTCGTAGTATAATATCACACTTTCGAATGTCGGTTTCATCAACCGTTATATTATCTTTTTATACTCCATTAATAAATAGCAGGTCACATTTCATCAGACCTAAGATTGTTTAAACAAAGATTACAAACATGTTTAAGTAAATAAATAAAAAATGATTAACTGTAAAAATGATTATATAACCATGTTTTATGTATTTTAGAAAGAAGTTCCTTTTATTTCATTTCATTATTATGTACAATAGGTATAGATGAATTATATTGTTAAGTCCACTAATTATTTTTTTAAAGAAAATGTATATTTTGTAAGCTATGGAGTTGTATCATTAGGTAGGTATGTATTTATGATGTGATATTAATTTGATTGACTATAATTAAAATGTCTCGATAATGTATTATTTACTATTGTATTTTTATTAACTGTGTCCTACGTACGTAAGAGTTTTTATATTCGTGTAATCTCATTGATATACAGCGCCGAAGGCTAATTAACTTGTAGAATTATCTAAGTATTCCACAATTCTACATAATTATTCACCAAAATCATATAAGAACAATTAATTGACTATAATAGATTGTCTACGAAATTTTGCGGCTTACAACTTATAAGGAATGTATCATGAAATTTAAAGGCTTCGCGAGGAAATTCAATGCCTAAAAGTAGTAAAAAGCAATTTTTGTGGTTCAAGGACAATTTGAATGCGGTACGTGAGATAACCTTAAGTTGTCTATATGCTGTCAGCAGTGCTGACAATTACAATTGAGATAAGTTATCCTCTAGCCTAGTGCTGAGTTATCTAGTGTTATTATATTCATCATAATTTAGTTTATCAGAGCGGTTTCCGCACTTAGTCTTAATTATTGGACCATTGTGCGGGTCTCGAAACATTCTCGTTCAATCTAGGCAGCCTAAGTTAGTCCAGAAGGAAAGCAGCTTTGGGAGACTGCTGCAGGCTTCCGGAAGCGATACTGGCGAATGGAGAATTAGTGCGCGTTGGTCGGCCACATTCCTGCATTCCATGATGACATGCTGTGGCGTTTCTTCTGCCTTCATGCATCCTCTGCATAGGGGCCTATCTGTCACCATAGTCTATGGTGACGGTATATACTTGAAGGCCAGGCAGGCCCTTAGGATCGGTCGTAGGTATTTAATTGACTGGCCGAGTTAGTTTTAGTAGTATGACGGGCTGTTTCCGCAACTCGACACCCAGTGCCTATTTTGCGTGGGGATTGGCATCAGTCCTGCCATCCCAGCCTCCAGAAAGCTCAGCAGTCCCCGAATGTTGCTGTAGGCCTCTACTATTGTTTTCGGGCTTCCCATTACAGAAGTCCTTTGTCTTGCAACGCCCCTGCACTCCAGTAGGACATGGGCGCTCGTCTCATCCTCCTCCAGGCAGGCTCTGCACAGAGGGCTGTCAGAAATACCTATATTACAAAGGTGTTTGTTGAAGTATACCCACGATTGTTTTACCCGATGACCGTGACCCGTGAGTATACCCACGATTTGTTTTAGGACTTGTCTAGGTAGTCTGATTAACTTACGCGTTAGTTGCAGGTTGACCTTAGGAACGGCTTCCCTAGCTTGCCTGCAGTCCGTGAGTTTTGACCAGTATTCGTCGTGCTGTCGTTGAGTACGCTCCCTTATCCAGGTTCGCAGCTGTCGATAGGGTATGGGTATAATTGACTCCGGACCGGGCGTCCTGCTAGACCCCTCCCTGGCTAAGCAGTCCGCCGCATCGTTACCCCTTGAGCCGCTGTGTCCTTTAATCCACTGTAAGGTCAATATATTGTCGTTAGCAATATTAGTAAACTCACTGTGGCATTCATAAATTAAGCCTGATGTCATTATATTGTCCAGTGCTTGTAGGACAGAAGCGCTGTCAGAGAGAATACGAATGTGTTTTCCCCTTACCCCGCGACAATCTATCGCCTCAGCGGCTCTGATGATGCCCACACATTCTGCCTGGAAGACCGTGTTGTGGGCTCCCAATGCTTTCGAGATATGTATATTTAGGTCTTCGGAGAAGACACCCTAACCTGTACCATAGTTGGTTTTTGAACCGTCTGTGTAGACCCTCAACTCCTTATGCAGACAACGGTCCGGAGTGTCTTCATAAAGTTGAATTTTATATTTTTTGTCGAATCCGTACGTCTTAGGAATAAGGTCGTTTACTGCTGCAAAGTACGGTAAGTGCCTGTGTATGTCTGCTAAGATGCTGGTGTGCGAGGAGTTGTTGTCCCTCCATAGCCCCAGCATGCTTAGGCGTGTACAAGCAGCTTCCTGTTGTATAAACAAATGTAGTGGTCTCACATTAAGTATTGTCTCCAGTGCTGATGTGGGAGTGGTTTTCATGCAGCCGGTGATTGCACAGCAGGCCCGCCTCTGGAGAGGTCTTAACTGCTGCATAGCTGATGATGGGCCTAATTATGGTCGTGTACAGCCACTTAACAATGAAGGGTGATAGTCCCCAAGTTTTGCTAATCATTTTGCGACATTGCCAGAAAATGACGTTGGTCTTCGTAGTAATTTTGTCTATGTGAGATCCCCAGTTCAGTTTGGAGTCTAGGGTTATTCCCAGATACTTTACCTCGTTGGAGAGCCTCAGTGTCGTGTTAAATAGTTTCGGTAGCCGATAGTCGCCTAAGTATTTTTTGTTTGATTGGCCGAGTTGCCATTGTAATAGCGCCGGTAAGATACCATCTAGTCCTGCCGACTTTAATGGTTGAAAGCTCTTTTGGGCCCATTCTATCATTTCCGCCGTTACTATTGTTTTTGCCAGATCCAATTCCTGGGTTGTTCGTGCATTGTGGCGCTCACTTGACCACTCAAGGCCAGACGCAGGTTGGCATCCTGGGAAGTGGGTTTCCAGTAGCACTACATTCTCTTCTTCTTCTGTTTTTGTATAAGTGCCATCTTTAATTTTTTAGAGATCCAAGGAAGTAAGAGAGAATATATTCATCATAATCTGAAATCTATCTTTAAACGTATAATACACACATTTTTATCAGAAACTGCATTTGTATTGCGCAGTAATACTATTTGACCCGAGATAGCTCTGCGCCTGCGCACGCGGCTACAGACAACAATTACCACCGCAACAGTCAATCTGTAACACGTAATGTATACCTACCTATATGTTCGAAATCCTCTGAATCATATAGCTAGACCGCTGTAATGCCGACCCTCCCATGGTCCGACGAAAAGATTGAAATATACCTATCTTATTTTTATTAGGCTAAATAAGAGGTCTTCCCATGGGCGCCACTAGGATTATTTTCAGGGGGGTGCATCATACATCTACACACTACACATATACTATTAGTCAACTAATATAAATATAGAATTATACGAGTAAAGTACTTATAGTATGACTTTAATGCTCCTACGATCCATGAAGCTGGATATCCACTTGAGAAAAACCCCAGGGTGTTAGGAAGCAACTGTCCTCTGGTTCGCGGCCCACATTACACGGAGTAGAAATACTAGTGGTAAAATTGGAAAAAGGATTTTAATTAAATTTAAAAATAATAAGCGAAGTAAAAGAAATATAAAAAAAACGAGCTAGCCTTACAGTAGTCGCGTATGACGTGTAACATTTGAAACCTCACCTTATATTAGTAAAAAAAAAGAAATAAAACCTACTACAAAAGAAATAAGCCATTTGAACAGTATGTTCTTAAATCAAATCAAATAGCGCGCGCTTCCAAAACTTCCTGTTACACACTTCCGTCCCACTTCACGTAATCACTCCCACAAATTGAACGCAAGCGAGAGGAAATATGTTACACATCAAAAAAGGACATGTGATCTTCAAATTGAGGAGCTTGATGGCGCAAGTGGTTAGCGCGTTCGGTGGTCGGTCATTGGATGGGTGACCAAAAAATTTACTATCTCGAGCTCCTCCGCGCTTCAGAAGGCACGTTAAGCCATTGGTCCCGGCTGCATCTGCAGTCGTTAGCACCCACCAATCCGCACTGGGCCCGCGTGGTCGGTCATGGCCCAATCTCCCTATTCCATCCATAGGGAAGGCCTGTGCCCCAACAGTGGGGACATTAATAGGCTGATGATGATGATGATCTTCAAATGCGATAGAAGTGAAACCTAAAAAAATGTGAACACGTAAAAGTTTTCATGACTTGGTACGTCTTAAAGATAACACCTGTGTTAAAATTAAATTCTCTAGGTCAAAAATAAATATTGTATACTTAAATTGTTTCGAAAAATAAATTTTAGCTAAAAGAAAAAAAAACAAACGTGCGTTTTGTTTAAAGACATCATTAAAGTAGTGATTACTTTTAAGTTTTATTTTTCACAAACAAAAATAAGCTTTGTTTCCTAAATGTACTTGCGATCGCACGCTCCATCTAAAGAATTTTAAGCACGCTATTTAAAAGGTTAGAGAATTTAAAGCATCCATGCTTATCTGCTAGTCTTACTACAAAAGCACTACTACTTACTACTTCGGCGCCTTCATCTCGTCATATATAGATAATATTACCGTGATCTCGTTCTCGTTGACGGTGACGCCCGCGGTCAACAAATGTTACTTGAAAACTATATAGCTTAACCTACTTATCTACATAAATAAATAATTTGCAAAATAAAAAACATCACCCCCAGCGCCGCCATCAGGAATGGTGCCCAATAGGCTGGCAGCATTGCCGCGGGATGGCAAGGCTGATCCGTTGACCAAGATAGCTGCCAGCCTTTTGATCACCAGTCACTTCGGTGAGCCTCTTTGAGAATTCCTTAAAAAGGGAACGAGCGCTTGGACCCCATGTGCCCATAGTCTCAACACCAAACGGCACAAATATGTAGTTCTCAATGAGAGCTGAATATTTGCGCCGCTTGGAGCACTCGGCAGAGGCCGCCGCCGCGCCTGCAGCTAGGGAGGTACATTTCCGTTAGGCGAATGGCCCCCTGGTCTTTAACATTGTGCAAACTTTCCTGAAAAGAAAAGGGGCAGTTCCGAATAATAGACATGAAGTAGGTAGGTCCAAGGGATGGTTATTAAAACAACAATGAATATAACTGTATACTGTATCATTGTGTAGATACCTACTTTATAATTGTCAGCCTATTGTAATTTTAAATTACAAAAGATTGAAACAAAGCTAGTTATCTAAGGATACAGATAGTTTAAAGAATATATTTATTTGAGATCAACCTTATTTGGTTTACTCTAAATACTTCAGGTGAGACATTCCAGTATGGCGCGTCTGTCAAACTTAAAGTTTGCCCAAGACGGAGCCACGAAATTAAAGTAATTGTTGAAATCTTCAGCAACCTCATTACTGATACTTTCTTTTTGTACTGGAGAAAAGTTGTTGCTATGAATATTCTGCGGTGTAAATAGCTGCCGCTTCGCCAGTTTTCTATCCTTTCTATTGCTGGAATGAGTATTACCATTTTTGGATGAGCTACTTTGATGAGCACTACTCTGCCCTTGAGAAGGAGTTGAATGAGTATGATTATGTGGCTGGTTCTGGTTAGAGTTGTTGCCGTTTCCTTGATTGGTATTGTTAGTTCCATGGCCATTGCTGTGGTTACCATTCTTATGCTTGTAGGTGGGGTTTTGTTGCTGATACTCCTGAATCTCATTTTGTAGGCCCTGTGATATTGTTTTTGCCTTGCTCTTGCTGGATGAAGATTCTATATCTCCCATTGATTTGTGTCTAGTACGTCTCATACTGTTACTGAAGACTTTAGGATTACGTTCTGCAACCCAACGCCGCATACGTTTAACAAATGGTAGTACCATGAAGAATGCATTTGGACTAACACCCATTTTAAGTTTCGGCGTCATATCTTTCTTATTTGCAGGCAGATCTGCTAACGGGAACCACTCACAAGCTTTAATTTCATTCCTAGTTCTTGGTTGAAACTTTGTATTTCTTGGGATATACCCAATAATGTAAAGGCGTACAATTTGTTCATGAATCATAGCTTCAATATAATCATTTTTATTTATTAGTTTACTTATATCAAAGCCTGTTTCTTCCAATACCTGAAAATAATATCAATTTTAAACAATGTCTATTAACTTTTATTGGAAAAAATATGAAATTAATATTTGCTTTATATATTATCTATATAAAAATTCTCATGTCACAGTATCTGTAATAAAACTCCTCAGAAAAAGCTTGACAAACTCTTATGAAAGTTGTGTGCATACCCCACTAGTGAGTGAGTGAGGGCACTAGATGAGGGTAGTCTAGCCCAATATTTATTATGATTCAACATTAAAAAAAATATACAGCCCTAAATTATTACTCCTCTGCCACCAACTCCTAATTTTATAGCAATAGCATATAACAACAAATAACAATTTTATCATAATATTTAGATTAAACTTAAAAATGTGTTACCTTAGTTCATATGATATTGTACACAAGGCACACACGTTTAATGTTTTGCCAAACACTGTTTCTACCAAAAAACTTTTTATCAAACTCGTACACAAATTGTCTCTATGTGAAATAGACTAATGAAATTACAAATATTTATCTCATTATTTTTTATAGCTGTTTAAATTAGTAGACCACCATTATATTGCACAATTTAGTTTTTTTTCATCTAGTTACGTATACTTAATAATTCAATAGTTTTGGATCAAAATGGTTTGGTTCATAATAAAATTGTTATAGGAATCCAAAACGAAATTTGTTGTTAGAGTTGTACACTTGTACCACACTCAGAACATGATAAAACACACTTGAAAAATCTTACTTCTCTGACAGCACACTTCCAAGGCTCTTCATCTTCATTGACCTTTCCTTTTGGGAAACCCCATGAAGCCTTAGTCCAATAGGACTGGACCAGCAACACATGGGTAAGGTCTGTATCCAGAAGAATTGCTCCATAAGTGGGCACTGTCTGCTTGTATTCCCTCCAGTTACCAAGGACAGCGTCTAGGCTGCCAATGTGCTCCCTCAGCTGTGGTACATGCTGAAAAACAATTAATTTCAAATAATAGAACGAAAACAAGATAATTATTTTAAATATCAAAAAGATTCACACTTTGCACACAACTCCCGCATAATATCTTAAGCAATTTTGTATCCAAAAAATTCTAACTAAAATTTGCTAAGCTATAAAATTAAGCAGTGAATAGTTTAATACCCAGCTGATGCAGTTCTGAGCGAGGTTAGGGTTATTATTGTGCTAATAAGAATAAAAAATTGCTATCAACTTTGTTTTTATTGATGATTTAATGGTCTGATAAAATGAGTTTCTGATTGGAAAATGATTACATAAATATTAATAATTATAGAACATACTTGAAATATATGCGCGGCAAATTCTCGTATACCACATGGATTCAGCTTGGTTTCGTCGGTGCAGTAATAGTCCAAATAAAACCAATGGGCCAGTTCGATTTGAAAACATATCCTCACCAAGTTTCCTCTATCTTCTGGTGGAAGATTAATGATGAAACGGCTGTAACCACACAAATTGTTTATTTTGGAATTAGATCACAACATTTTAGACCATGTAATAAAATCTTACCTGCACAAATCGTCTAAAATATCTATAGGTATAGAATGTTTAGCATGACTGGAATTTACAACTATAGAAGTCATAGTTACACTTAAAGTGCACACGAATTAATTAATGGAAAAAATCAAAGATTGGTTCAAAATAACAAACAAAAACAAATCAACCAACCATTATTTTTACTTTTTTTTCAACCATAGACCATAGAGAAAAGTAATACACTGCCATAGATTTTTTTTTTTTTGAAGTTCTCCCGTTTTAGGGAAGGCAAAGGGAACAATGCTCATACAGCCTAGTCTTTAATTAAATTTATCTTCTTTTTGTTTTTTTTTACATTAGAATGTCGGTGTGACGCATTCTAATGTTTCTTGGAGTGTTTGGCACGAAATGTATCGAGTTGGCTTTTTCGATAAGCTTCTGTGAGGTAGTCAACACTACAATAAAATTCTCACGTCCACTTGACCGGAATAGCGTATATTTTAATGATTCCACTAATTCTTCAGTTACGCAGACAGTTGTTACACAAAACCACACAAATTTTATTTCACAATATCCACTATGAACGAATTTAAGAATAATTAAAATAAGACGCCAACAGCACTCGATGAAATCCCGCCTAAAAAGCCCTGCCATAGACTTAATTTAGTTTACAGTTCTTTATTATTTCTCCCTTTTCTGTGAAGGCAAGGATAACAATGCCCATACAGCTTTTAGTTTATTAGATTACAGTTTTACACACAGGTGGTTTTCCAATTACAGAGCATATTGCGACTCAGTGGCGCACAATGCCGAATTATGCTGATGCTGAATTGGAACGTGAATTAGTTTTCAAATGCACCAGCAGAGTGCACTAAGTTCAGTGTTGAAAAAAAAAGTCAATGTTTGTACCTTCGTCCATATTTATATTTAATTTTTTACACATTTGTAAAGTATTACCAAAGAACTTAAAAATAAGTTCAAGTTGCGTATTACTGAGAATTCCTTATTATGACAACAGGTTATCATTGGTGTCGATTCTGGCATGGTTCTCTAAACCTAAACTTAAATTTGACAACAGTGCATGTCAAATTTACAAATAGCGATATCTAGTGCGGTTTAAGGGCCATTTGAATGGTAATGACAAGAGTTCTTTCATCTATAATCATCAATATATAAAAAAATTACCATCATTTTAAGCAAAAAATTACATTGCACACATAAAATATAAGCGACATCAGTCTATCCATTTCATTCCTTATAAAACATGATAAAGACAACTGTTGTCAAGATTAAAAAGCGCATATGCGAATAGCCAATCGAAGTGCCGACATCACAAAATAATGACACCTACATGATGAAAAGCTTAAAAAATAGGGCTGTATGGGCTCAGAATCCTTTGTTCTTCCCAACAGGGACAAAAATACTTTGAAAATGACAATTGTATTCGTATCCTAATCGTTGTTATCTGTGGAGTGCTATGTTGTTAATTTTTCACGCACTGGCTTTAAAAAATTGATAGGGTATTTTTCAATAAAGTAGATAAAAATGGATATAACACCATTATTTAAAGCTTGCATAAAAACTGTGAAAACGCGGAATAAAACCTTTGGCATTCAAAGTCCAATCAGTGAAGATAAACAGCGTATTTTGCGTACAAAACCTAAAAGTGGTTTCATGACTACAGCTAAAGATATAACATGCCAGATCACAAGATTAAGAGATTTTCTTTTGGAGCACAGGGAGAAATATTTAAGTTTTTTTAATAACGTCACGGGTGATGAGATGACTGAATCTGAGAGAGATCAAATAGATACCGGAGCTCAAAGAATCATTAACACATGTTCACACCTATTGAAAGAATTTCGAAACGACAATCGTAAACATTCTGTGTCCCACCAGATGCGTGACTATATGGATGGAGTAATAGAACTCATTGATATGTATCTGAAAGCTGTTTGTAAAATACATAGTGAGTTAAAAGCTCTGCGTGTAAAACGTGCACTAGACATTCGAAAATTAACTCGTTTAGAACAGCCACAGCTGAAATCAAGCATTCCAAACCCATTTGTTTTAGAAACAGAAAAGGGTAAAGAAAGTGATAAAGAGGACGATATTCCAGAGATGGAAGAAACAGATAATATGAAAAACAGATTAGATTTGACAGAGAATGAAATAGCTATTATATCTGATGAGAACCAGCTCAGTGCTGAAGAATTGCAAATGTTTGAATCCGAAAATGTACAACTACTAAATGAACTAAATAATATGACAGAAGAAGTCCGTCAAATTGAGAGCAAGGTTCTGCACATAGCAGAATTACAAGAAATTTTCACAGAAAAAGTAATTCAAATATTTAGAATTCACCAAATTTTTAGGTTTTATTCTATAGAACTACAATGTTATATACTTATTCTTTCAGATATTACAACAAGAGCAAGATATTGACCGTATCTCTACAACAGTGGTTGGTGCAACAGAGAATGTTAAAGATGCTAATGAGCAAATCAAACAAGCAATCCAGAGAAACGCTGGACTCCGAGTTTACATACTGTTCTTCTTACTAGTTATGTCATTTACTCTTCTTTTTTTGGATTGGTATAATGATTAAAAAATATATCAATCTGGTGAGGTAAATTATTTCCAATGGTAGAAACATTGACTTAGGCCCATATTACAGAATGACAACTAAGTGTTGATCTTTACTTGAGTACATTTAGAAAGGGATGTCGCTATGTGCTATATATAGCGACATCGCTTTCTAACTATGCTCAAGACTAGATCAATCACTGCGAATCTTTCTATAATACGGTAATCTCTACCTCATCTAACCATTTATTTTGCTTCAATATGCCTTTGTTATTATCAGTAAAAAGTAGGACAGTGTAGATAAATTAAAAAAAAATAACTTCTAAACTAATTTGAAAGGTGTATATATAATACTAGCTGACCCAGCGAACTTCGTACTGGCATAAAAAAATTTAATTAAAAAAACATTGTCCAGCGGACAAAATTGTGAATCTAAACCATTCTCAGATCCCCTTGAACACACACAAAAAATTTCATCAAAATCGGTCCAGTCGTTTAAGAGAAGTTCAGTGACATACACACTCACAGAAGAATTATATATATAAAGATGTTCAGAATTTTAATACTATAATAAAAGATGATAGTTTGTCCTGCTGGGATTCGTTTGAACCCAGGATTATAGACAGGGCCGGACTTTGAGATGTGGGTGTCCTGGGGTAACAAAGGAGAGGAGGCCCCTAAACAATTTGCACCCCCATTCCCCTAATTTGGAGACCGCTGTTGTGGAGCCCTCACAAGGCCGCAGCCCCGCCTGACCTGGCTTAAATCTGACCTTGACTATAGAGCAAGTTTAGTAATCACGTGGTTATACCCAGGACCTATATAAAGGCAACACATTAAAACCCTAGTGTACCATTCCACCATGGAGCTAGTCAAAATAGACCACTGAGCAAGACAGACTACAAAAACAGGATTGCGTTCCAGACTTATGTTTTAGGTGCAAGAAATGTATGCGTTAACATGAGCTCAAGAAGCTTATATACAACACAAGCTTCTTGCATGAGCTTCATCATTGACTTAAGTCCATGAGCTTTAAACATTTTACACCAAAATTGAAACGTCAGGGTAAAAATTTACGCTTAAAGCGTAGGTTTGGAACGTAGCCTAAAATGTTCAGAGTTCTCAATTTAGGGGGTTAATTAAGCAGGATTGGGATATTTTGACTTGAAAGATTCTTTAGTATCGTTGTGACTTGATGAAAAAATAAATGCGATTCAAATAAGAATAGGAAAGCCAATGACCTCCATCTGTCAAATCATCAAATGTCGCTTGAAAAGTACGGTTTGCAAAAAAAACTTGGTAACCTTTTTTAGCACTCTGCTAATTGTAGATTAAAAAACCACACATTTGTAAACAAACAGTAACAGATATTGATAATTAATATTGGTTGATTATTATTTTTTCATTTATTGAGCTTTGGCTATTAATGGTTGATAACCTAAGCCGTCCGTTAACCAAATGTCACTTTAAGTTGCGTTCAGAAACTCAATTTAAAACTTTCGTTTACCTAAAGGATGCATGTTCGTATATGACCTAATAATAGTTTATAATTATTCATAACTACTCCGGCGGTAATGCAGAGATGAGCGGAATTGAAGAGCTAGATTCTGATTTATGTTTTTTCTCACACAGTCTTAATACATAAATATTACCTATTAAAAATTAGTTGTTTTTTTTTCTCAATCTTAGTGAATATTTTAATAAAAATATCTGATGTTTTTTCTCACTTAATCTTAGTTAAAAGTGTTATTAAATAAAATATTTGTTTTTGCTCACTTTACCTATTTGGTTTGAATTGACAGCTATGACGTCAAAATATGGCGCCCAGTCGGTCCTATTAAATCGCAATAAACCCGTAATTTTCTCATATAATGCTGGCACTTCACATGGCCACTCGTATCTCCTATAGTCGGCTTTTTTTATTTTAATCGGCTAAAAATGTTTAATTCTATCTGTAACTCCCAAGATTTTGTTGAAAAAATAAGTAGTTTCATAAAAAAAAATAGGTGCGTGTACTTATGTAGGCGCGTGAGAAGTTATCCTTCTTTGGCATCGTTTAAAATTAATTTTTAATTGCATGCAAATAATTAATTACAATAAATTAATAAAAAGTCTGGAAAAGGACATAGTCAATAAAGTTCAGTTTTAATTTGAAAAAATAAATAAATAATCAAAATATTCAATTAAAATCGCTACTGAATATAATTTATTACAACATATGTGATTTGCACTTGTATGAAACTCAAACACGTATTCCGAATATACAAACTAGAAACATGTGGATAAATATTATAAATATATACCTATAACTGTTACTTTATTACAAAAAATAAAGATGTGGTTTTTGGTTCTACTACACCAATGGTCAAGAGATGGCGCTGTAGTCTCCTGAATCGCGCTTTGGTTCCGTTGTTTCAGATTAATAAATGCTTTTGATAGGCCTTCACAATGCAGTCGTTAGCACCCACTAAATAGAGATTCTATTTCTATTTTGTTGGTAGATTTTCTTAATTTGCGGTAAACACAAAAGTAAAAATTAATAAATAATAAGTTAAAATTTTGTGTTACAGTGATGCGCGCGCATCTTAAAATTTCACTCTCATAATTTTTTCATTACGCGCCTAAAGAAGTATAACTTCAAAAAATCGATGTGAACTGCTGCTTCCGTAACAAAAAGTTATATATTTATTCAATCACAGTGATTATTAATACATAAATGCAAAAAGTGACATATTCTTAAGAAATACGTTTGAAAAGTCTTTAGTCGTTTCTAATAAAGTAACTAGCAACCTGATTGTGGAGAATAACAAAGGCTGTAAAAAAGCCTATGACAAAGACTAAAAATACGCATTCTGTACACCCAAACAAGTAATATTACAAAATATTATAGGTGGGAATCATTTGTATTTATAAGTTAAAAATACGTTTTTTTACCACTACGAAATATATAGCGCGGAGTGCTACGCAAAGAATGTGTGTTCGTGTGTGTAAGTGCGTCGATAAAAAAGTATCTAAATAACGTTTTGAAAATATTAATGAAAAAATCTTGAAAAAAAATGTAACTTTGCCCTTCAACATCTCCATAACCATAAATTTCCCAGGTATGGTCCAGAAGAAAAAAATGATCGTCATGATGTGGAAAATACGTGACCTTCGACTTCTTTAAAGATTTTCTTACACACTGTATGTTTAAGAAATAAAAATGTTTTGTGTGAATCTATTTTTATTTTCATACTGAATGTTTTTATAAGGTAACAATTTTTAGACAGTGAGTTTCAAAAGGTGACTATAGGATCAAAGGGTGTCATTTGATGTTTTTGTTTTTTTCCAAATTTCAAAACCAGCAAGATAATCTTATAATAGGTTAGGTACATTAAATTTTATACAATAATTGGCACATAAATGGTTAATAAAAGGTAATCAAAATTGCTTAGATCAACTTGAATATTTATTTCCTGAATTTACTCAAAAAGTTAAAAATTGTAAGTGACACTTTTTGTTCCTAAGCTCACTCACTTTTTGTTTAAGATTTTTTAAATCATGTTGATAGTGCTCCACCCACTAGAGATATTATGAATATACATTTCTTAGAGTTGGTAACACTGAGAATGTCTGTCAGATTGATTGATTTGTTTGTTTGTTGATTTCCCTTGCCTGATACAATGAAAGAATTAGGTTCTACTTGTATTTTATAGATATCTGTAAAGTACTACGTTCGTGCAGAGAACTCTATAATTTCCATAACAAATTGTGGAATTGACAGTTAGTTACAGCAGTTTAGTAAGGCAATATTATTGTTGTGATTTCGAATGTTCAGGCTGTGCAGATATGTAAGAAGAATCAGTTTTACTTGCCGGTATCCCAGTATTCAAGCAAATCACTTTGTTATAAGTCAAATCGGTTTTGGTTCCGTAAAAGCTAACAAAGCTATGGAAGCTGGTAAAACGATGACAGTTCTTGGATATGCGTTCACTGCTGGTGAGATCATTATTGCAATAATACTGTACGTTTGTTTAGGATTCCTTAAGCATTGTTACAACAAAACCCTATGTATAACTGGGTTTAGGCTGTCGGTTCATCCATTACATGGCGGTCTGACAGTGTATAGCACAGTGTAGTAAAATCCTTATAAAGTAGTTTTATTTCAGAGGGTCAATTGAGAAAGTTAGACCCTGAGGGCCAACTAACTGATGAACCATTCCAATTCAATATAAGTGATCAGCATCAAGAATGCCAGGTGCACTATGAAGAATTAGGCAATGCTGTTACAAACTATATTTACCACCTTCTAGAAGTAGAACACAATTTAATGCGACTACCAGTACCTACAGACACTAACCCTGGATCAGGAACTTTCATATTTGCTTCAAAAGGTTATGATGTTAAGGATGTTTTAATGATTTTAATTAATGGTTCTGGGGCAGTCCGTGCCGGTCAATGGGCTAGATCGTAAGTTACCAGGATTAAGTTATTATAGTAATTAATTAATATTTTGTGATTTATTACAATATTTTTTTAGACTTATTATCAATGAGAATTTAGACAAGGGGACACAGATACCTTATATAAAAAAAGCTATTGCCAAAGACTATGGAGTCATGATTTTGAATACCAATGACAATTATCAAGCTGATGGTAAGAAAATAAAGAACAGCAGTAATGCAGAAGAACATGCAAAATATGTGTGGGACACTTATGTAGCAAAGGCCAAAGCCTCATCAATAGTCATTGTTGCTCATAGCTATGGAGGGGTTGTAACAGTTACTCTAGCTGATCAACTGAAATATGATTTTGAAAGACAAGTTAAAGCTATAGTGTTCACAGATTCTGTCCATGCATTTTCACCAATAAAAATGCCCAAATTTATGAAAGATGTAAGTTAGCTCTTTCTTTGTAGATACTATGAAAGGCAAAATTATTGTGCACAAATTGATATTTTTACTTATCATTGCTATTTTGTACTTAGATGTAATTGGCATTAAAATTCTCTAGAGATTATGTTCAATTCACAAATAAATTCTTTTAGATTTCAAGGAATTGGATATCTTCATCAGCAGCTCTAGACACTCCAATGAAAACTCCAGAATTTGATTGTCTTAGAGTGTCAGCAGGTAATAGCTTTACATTTATTATTCATCAACTTATTTACATGACAGAATTATTTAAAAATCTTAAATAAACTAACCAAGTTTTGTTAATTTGTATATAAAACATAATAAACAAATACTTTCTTTACAGGGCATCCAAAGCATGAGATGTCTTCAAGTGCGTGTATTGATTCAGCATTCAAATTTATTGAGGAAAAACTTGCTGGAAATTAAAAACACCAGTCAATTGCATTATTAACTATATATTAAACAAAATCTGTATTATAGGAGAACTGAGGACTCAAATCATGTTTTTGTTTTAATTACAAAAATAGACATCTTGAACTATTTTACGTTTTCTTTCCTTTTGAGTAATGTTTCATCCAATATTTTAAATCTTGTTTGTTTGCCCTTACACCTAAAACAGCAGATTTAGAATTGACATCTTTCATGGCAAAAGGTGAAAAGCCAGCAGTGTAGTCTGGGTCTAATGCATTTGTTTTGTTTCTAGCTAGTTTAGTAGCAAATCTTTTGTGAATATGTTGATCCTCAGTAAGAATTGGATATTGAAAATGTTGTCCACCTCTTGGTGTGGGCAAACTAAATCTTTTGCCTTTTGCTGTAAGGGGTTTACGACCATTAATGTGTATGTGCTGATTGCCTTCCTCATCAATGCTCACTCCTACCTTCCTCAGTGTGGCATGACCACATTTAGGACAAAATAGCTTTGTCATAACACTTGTGGTCTTGAAACAGGTTGTGCATCGAAAAATGAAAGTCCTTAGCTGTTTTATTACTCTTCCATCAATTGCAGTTACGTGTAACCCAATTTGTTTTAGAACATTTTGCATTGCAAAGTCAGATGTAATACAAGCAACTTCAACCTCTTTTTCTTCGAATTCTCCTAGTTCTGTTTCTTTTTTCTTTTGTGCAAGATTCCCTGGTGTGATCCATTCCCCTCCATCACTATCAGATTCTTCACTAGTGTATTCTTCTTCATCTTCGGACTCTACTGTCACCAGTACATTATTTATCTCATCATCTTTCAAATCTATATTTTGTATTAGATTTGTGATCTCTACAGTATGTTCATTACTATCTTTTAACTTTGGTGTAAGCCCTTCTGTACTAGAGACTTCACATGTGTTATCCAGTTGAGTATTTTCATTTGACTCCGTATCTGTACTTCCTGACAATTCAGACTTCAGAGATGTATTGTTGATATCAACACCTTTATCTTCTTCGTTATTTTCTGGTTCAGGATTAAAACTAGCTATTCCAGTGACTTTCACAGTTCTCTGCATTGTAGGTTCAGTTTTTAAATGATCTGCACCGACTTTTTCATTTTCAAGCTGATATGTCAAAGCTATAACCTTAATATCGGTCGCAGAAAGGCTTGTGTAGTCTCCGGTTTTCTTCGAGAAATCAGTTACGAATTTTATGTGTTCTGAAAAAACCTCTTTGACTTTTAAATCGTACGGTAACACTACGAGTTTTCGTCTTTGTCTGTCGTTGGTGATTTCTTTTATTACCTCTTGTATTGTGTACACATTCTCAGCCATGTCTTGCAGGTTTGCAGCTTTGATAAATGCTGTTGTATCTACAACTAAATTCTTTATTTTTTTCGACATTTTTAACACGAATATATTGATTACTAAATCAATGCATTCAAAGAGGAAATAAACTGAATTGATGAAATAAATACAATCTGCAGTGCACGTGTGTTCGTATAAAATTTTGACGTTCTTTTCCTTCTTTGTTTTTTGTCCGTATTGGGACGGCCAAAGGATTCTAAGTTCATACAGCCTTGTCCGCATAAAGTTATCTGTAATTTAGTTACGCTATAGAGTGGTTGTCTGTATTGATTACCTAGTATTTTTTAGACATGGGCGTTTTTGGTTTTGAACGCAAACGGATATTTATCGGATTACAGATTTCAAAATCGATTTTAAAATCCGTTTTTAGATATCCGATTTCAGATGTGCCGAACTTAGCCAATTCACTAGTTTGTGTTATGATTTGGTTTTATTAGCTAACGACAATCACAAACAATTAATTGTAGGAAGCAAGGATACTCGTAGATTTTCGCGATTTTCCTTCATGCTTTAAATCTAGGCTTAGGACTAGCAGAAAAGTTATGTTTAGGGTTAAGAGTAAAACTTTTGCGGCGCATTTAAAAATCGGCTTTTATACAATGATTTCTTTTTACATATTTTTTTAGTATTTTTTTTTGTTTTTCTGTTTGTTTTTATTATTTTTCAAACCATTTACAAAATCAAACCTAATTACTTCAGGTTAGCGTCCAAAAATGTAAGGTGCTCGACTTTTGATGTTTTTAGACGACATATCTTTTCAGTGATAAATAATCCCACCTCAGAGAAGAGCAATAGATTTCCGTAAACAGCAAATCGAAATCGGACTTCCGAGCACGAAATCTGACTTCTGAAAACGAAAGCACGAATTTCGAATCCGATTTACATTTGGATACTTGTGGTATTAGATCGCTAGCGTTTTGGTTCGGTTAGATTTCTGAAATCGGATTTTCTTGTTGAGAAATCGTTCGGTATCGATTTGTGTTTGAAATCGGATTTTGGATTCGTTTTGATATATCGGACGCATGCCTAGTATTTTTTGTTTTACTAAGTAATAGATGACAATGGTGTCGACTCTGGCATGATTCTCTAAACCTAAACTTAGATATAACAACAGTGGTGTCGATTCTGACACGATTCTTTAAACCTAAACTTAAATTTGACAACAGCGTATCCTTGTCATTCTCTATACGGAATGAAAAGGAGAGATTTATGTTAAATTTAGTTTTAAGTTACGCCAGAATCGACACAATTGTATCCTTGTCATTTTCTATACAGAATGAAAATGAAAGACTGGTGCTAAGTTTAGAAAATTATGCCAGAATTGACACCAATTTATCAAGAATAAAAGGGCTGTGTGGACTCAGAATCCCCTGCCCGTCCCAACAAGTAAAAATACATAGATAAAATAAAATGTCTATGTAAACAAACCTGTGGGAAGTCCGGTTTGGGTTTTTTTTTAGATTATTTGATAATTTTATGTCACGATAGATAGGTAATTTATTAAACTAAAGATGAGTTCTAAAAAAGGAAAACGTAACTTGGGGAACAAACACTTTCCGATAGCTGAATCTGTGAGTATAGCTCTGAAGATCCAGTTGGATAAGTTTCTCAGTGATGAAAATGAAACAGAACTGAAATTCCCAACATTTCTGTCTGCCCAAGAGCGCGGTTTCATACATGAAACCGTCGCGAAGCTAGGCTTGAAATCCAAGTCCCGTGGGAAAGGTAACAATCCAATGACTTAGTTCTTTTGAGCTTACACCTTCTTACTTTGAACTTTCATTGCTATGATTGATTGTTTCGACAAGAATACTCGAAGTGAGTGGCTGCTTATTATTAATAGAAGCTGTATTTTGAAGATATGTCTATCTTGATTACAGGTGTAAATCGCTATATAACAATCTATAAGCGTTCAGGGTCTACAATTATCCAAAATGATGCTAAATTGATATTGGACTCAAACATGAGATGCACCATTGCAGAGCTTTTTAATGCCTTTCCAATCACTAGCAAAGAGAAAGATGACTTAAGTTGTTGCCCTGAAAAGGAAAGGAGTCCACAACTGGCTCACAAGACACTTGGACAGTTAAATAACGGAGTTGCTCAGGTATAATTTTTTTTTTTTGAAGTTATACTTCTTTGGGCCATTATGAAAAAATGATGAGAGTCAAATTTTTAGATGCGCGCGCATCACTGTAACCCAAAAGTAACAGCATGAAGTTGGCCGCGGGCGCTTTATGAAAAAATCATGTGAGTGAAATTTCGAGATGTGCGCGCATCACTGTAACACAATAGTAACACCATGAAGTAGGCCGTGGTTGCGTTATGAATGTTAGTGTCTAATAATGGTGGATTATTAACCACTGTTCGAAAGGTACTTTGAACAATCCACGGAGCTCCATAAGATGATCGCGTTGTCAAAAACAATGTTGGCACGCCGGTCGCCTCTGATCACTGTTTTCATATTTATAATATTTTTTGTTATACTAAAACAATAAAAAATAATTTAATAATTAAATATTTTTTATGTTTTTAATTAGGAGGTTACATCATCTTTACACAGTTTAAAAAAACTGTGTCAAAAATGATAGTAAAGTGCTTAAAAAATGTTAACATCCACTTTGCACAGGCAGTTTTATCATGTGCTATTTTCAAATGCTTGGATGTGACATCATGATACATCCTAACCTAATAAAATCCATGACCTTACATTTTGTGTTCAATACCTTCGCTACGGATGGAAGTCAGAAACTATGTCAATCAAATAACATTAGGTTTCATAGATTATTGGTAAAAATTTAAATGTCACTGTGAAAAGTTGCGATTGCTGTCTAGGTGGAACCTGGCTTTGACATCTATGCACTTGCACTATAACCGGTTGACATTGGAATATCCTACAAACATCACGTTTGTTATATTTTTACATCACAACTGTCCCTGTTGGCAGTTCAGAATTACCTTCAAAATAAAGTTATAAACATTGAAGTCATAGAAATAACAATATCTTTAAGCAGTGGTGTTTAATGAATATTTTGGCATTTGGCTCTATAGTATAAAATGTTTTTTTTTTTGTGTTTATTTTTAAAACATTCATACAGGGCAAAATGTTATGGATATGAAAATAAATTCTGGGTAAACAGTGTGATACATCTGTAATATAACTTGTTCTTTTTTAGGTACCGAATACAATATACAATCCTGACCTTATAAAGTTCAGGGAAAAGTTGCCAGTATATGAACAAAGGCAAGAGTTGCTCAATGCTATCACTCATAATCAGGTAATTATTTTAATGATAGGAGTTCTTTGAATATTTAATGACTCATCAAAGGGTTTCTTTGTTGAACCTATTTAAAAAGTAATGGATAAATATGCATCCTTCATTCATTCTCACTATATTCAGGTGTCAGACTGGATCCTGTTTGATGCCTGGTTAGAGTGGATGTTTTCTAGCAAATTTTTTTATTTATAAATATAGCCGTTTATGGCAACAATAGTATTATAACTCAAACACTTAAGTTTTTGTTTATTTAAAAATTGTAAAATCGCAATATCTATGGCTGGTGCTTAAAAGTAATCCCAAGAAATGTAATTAAATGCATGCTTCCTCATTTAGAAGACTGTTAATTGTGCATGCAAGGTTATTGTGCTATATGCCTACGACTCCAGTCCAGCTATTTCAAGAGCCAGCGAATATATCTGGACTCCACTTATACATATTATGGAGTGACCGAGTGAGTGCCACATACAAATCAATATGTCGATCGTCTAGGTGATAATAGTTGCGGGTGCGACGGGGTGCGGTAAAACGACGCAATTGCCGCAACTGGTGCTCGAACACTGCCAGGAGCAGCGGGTGCCGGCGCGCGTGTACTGCACGCAGCCGCGCCGCATCTCCGCCGTGTCCGTCGCCGAGCGGGTGAGACATTGTTACAGCCAGTAGCAGCGGGTGCCGGCGCGCCGCATCTCTAATTAATTTATTGATACGCTAACCATTACTTACAAACTTAACTTTCGATAAGTATTAAGATCAGATTTGCGCTAGAGTGAAGCGACACACACTGTATATATGAAACAATATTTATACCTTAGCCTCTAGCTGAAAACCAGCGTAATGACATTTTGTGTCATGGCATGTGCTGAGCAGATGACTTTTTTGCCACTGCAACACCATTTTTCTTTGTAGTTGATGGTGTATTTTTTTGTATATAAATGTAGTACTTACTACATACAGTTGGGAAAATATTTATTCTTATTTTCCTTCCCGTTATGGCAATAAAACCTCAACTTCGATTAACAGGTGGCGTTCGAGCGCCAGGAGAAGATCGGGCAATCGGTGGGCTACCAGATCCGGCTGGAGTCGCGCGTGAGCCCGCGCACCGTGCTCACATACTGCACCAACGGGGTGCTGCTGCGGACGCTCATGGCCGGCGACTCCTCGCTCACAGGTAGGGCGGGGCAGGCGGGGGCTACCAGACCCGGCTGGAGTCGCGCGTGAGCCCGCGCACCGTGCTCACATACTGCACCAACGGGGTGCTGCTGCGGACGCTCATGGCCGGCGACTCCTCGCTCACAGGTAGGGCGGGGCAGGCGGGGGCTACCAGACCCGGCTGGAGTCGCGCGTGAGCCCGCGCACCGTGCTCACATACTGCACCAACGGGGTGCTGCTGCGGACGCTCATGGCCGGCGACTCCTCGCTCACAGGTAGGGCGGGGCAGGCGGGGGCTACCAGACCCGGCTGGAGTCGCGTGTGAGCCCGCGCACCGTGCTCACATACTGCACCAACGGGGTGCTGCTGCGGACGCTCATGGCCGGCGACTCCTCGCTCACAGGTAGAGCGGGGCAGGCGGGGGCTACCAGACCCGGCTGGAGTCGCGCGTGAGCCCGCGCACCGTGCTCACATACTGCACCAACGGGGTGCTGCTGCGGACGCTCATGGCCGGCGACTCCTCGCTCACAGGTAGGGCGGGGCAGGCGGGGGCTACCAGACCCGGCTGGAGTCGCGTGTGAGCCCGCGCACCGTGCTCACATACTGCACCAACGGGGTGCTGCTGCGGACGCTCATGGCCGGCGACTCCTCGCTCACAGGTAGGGCGGGGCAGGCGGGGGCTACCAGATCCGGCTGGAGTCGCGCGTGAGCCCGCGCACCGTGCTCACATACTGCACCAACGGGGTGCTGCTGCGGACGCTCATGGCCGGCGACTCCTCGCTCACAGGTAGGGCGGGGCAGGCGGGGGCTACCAGACCCGGCTGGAGTCGCGCGTGAGCCCGCGCACCGTGCTCACATACTGCACCAACGGGGTGCTGCTGCGGACGCTCATGGCCGGCGACTCCTCGCTCACAGGTAGGGCGCGGCACAAGGGGGGCCACCAGTGGGGCCTCCCGCCTATGCTTTAAAATAATAGAAATTATAACTATCATTTTTTTTGTTATACTAAAATAATAAAAATAATTTAATAATTAAATATTTTTTATGTTTTTAATTAGGAGGTTACATCGGTTACTATCGGGATTGCTATGGCTATACTTATAGCTTATGATTTCGTTTTGTTATTAGTGACCGCCCCGTAGTTTATCAAATACTGTAGGGGCCGTTACTAGGACCCTAACGACTGTCAATATGTCAATTAGTCACGGGACGATTGTCATGAGATAATTATTAAAATTCGTCAATATGATGTGAATGCCTTTATCGCACTATCATATAATGTAAAATATTGTTCTTAAACCAATAAGTGGGTCAACTGTGTCAGCAGTTTAGAGTGCATCAACTCGGAATGCAAACTAAATAAAATATAATTAAAAGGGTTTGTACAAATACCTCACGCACATTTTCTTTAATATTGTTATTACCAATGCAAAAGAAAAAGAAGAGCGCGAAGCATTTGCGCTCATAGGTAATGCGCTCATGGGGCGGCGTGTGGGCGGGGGGCGGGGGACGTCAGAAGATCCACTCATTTCTCAACAAAACTATGTTTGACAACTACGTATTTCCGTTTTTGAATCATATCTAGACTTAATCCAGTTGAACACATTGCTTTATCCTTGTCGACAACTGCTCCCTTTATGCATGAGCACCGCGATATGATATATAACACGTTTTTATCATGCTCAATTGTCAAATTACTATGGAGTTTGACAGTTAGGCGCGATGAAAACGTGATATAATGTAAATTGTGGTACTCATGCTACGGGGATTTCAAAAGAGATAAAATGAGGTTTTATTAAAATTGATTTTAATAGAACTAAAATGCATATGAGCCTTATAAATCCGTCCTTTTTAAATCATATGAGAGAGACAGAGAGAAAACGATGACGTCATATGATCTTCAATTACAACATATAACTAATTTTGATGCAGTGTCCGTAATCTTTATAAATTATACAGTGTGGCCTTCAATCGTCAATATTACCAATAACCCTGATGTAAGATGTTTAAAAACCCATAATTTAAATGTGCAGGTGTGTCACACATATTCGTGGACGAGGTGCACGAGCGAGACAAATTCAGCGACTTCCTACTGATAGCTTTACGAGACGCCCTGCCTCGGTTTAAGGAGCTCAAGCTGATTCTAATGTCGGCCACCTGCGACACGCAGATATTCTCCAGGTGAGACATTCTTACACACCTGGAAAAACTGAATAACACGAGAACTTGTAAAAGGAAGCCGGCAATTTCTGCCCAATTTTGGTACTTGGTACAAATTTTCTTAAAAACACTACGGGACGCCTTGCCTCGGTTCAAGGAACTCTAGCTGATTCTAATGTTGGTCACCTGCGACACGCAAATATTTTCCAGGTGAGACATTCTTACACACCTGGAAAAACTGAATAACACGAAAACTTGTAAAAGGAAGGCTGCAATTTCTGCCCAATTTCGGTACCGTAAGTGAGGGTTACTTTAGCTCGGGCGGGTAACTTTGTCCTAAATCAGAAAAAATATTGAACTTGCCGCCCCATCAGTATCTCTTGGGTGACCGTAATAGTTCCAGTTGAAAATCACAGATAGCCATATAGGCGCGCAGTGTGGTATTGTTTTACCGACATCGTTCCAGTATCAACCTGTCATTGTAACGCGGGATTTTTTGTAACTGAAATAGTTCGCAAGTTCATGTGCAAACTTTCTCAAAACTGTGGTTTTCGGTGAGTTAACAATTTTTTCTTTAACTTCATTATTTTTGGGTAAAAACATCCATTTGTATATACAATATGCTAATGGTGATCTGTTATAAGGGTTACTTAACACCAACATGGCTTAAAATGAGTTTTTTTCACAGAGAAAACTCAACGAGCTAAAGTAACCCTCTTTAAGGCCAACTTTGGCCCAAAATTAAAAAAATATTTATGAACCCTTAAATATTATTTCTTCCTATTTTCGTATGATAACTTTGTAACTTATACTTTAAAGTTCACAATAGAAAGATATAAACGTGACATGTTCATCATAAAGAGAAGCTACAATTTTATTTGAAAAAAAAGCGCACATTTTAGGTCAAAGTAACCCGCAGTTACTCGGTACTTGGTGCAAACTGAATAACACGAAAACTTGTAAAAGGAAGGCTGCAATTTCTGCCCAATTTTGGTACTTTGTACAAATTTCCTTAAAAACACTACGGGACGCCCTGCCTCGGTTCAAGGACCTCAAGCTGATCCTAATGTCCGCCCCCATACTTACACTCTTGGAAAAACTGAAAAGCACAAAAAACACACGCAAACGAGTACATACTAGATAGATTATTATTTTTCCATTCTAATATGTATTATGAATATGTAAAGTAATTGACGCCCTCCGTGACTGAGTGGTTTGTACGCCGGGTTTCATGGTGTCGCCGACTCGAGAGGTCCCCGGGTTCGAATCCCGGTGGAGGCAGATGTCTGTGTGATGAATACGAGCATTTGTACTCCAGTCATGGATGTTTAATATGTATTTATATATAAATATACCTATATATGTACTGTATATGTATTCTATCCGTTACCCTAGTCTACCATAACACAAGCCTTACAGTGCTTACTTTGGGGCTAGGCTAATAGTTGTTTAAAAAAAAAGTTGATGATATTGTAGGGTATTGTTGTCACTGGATCTGCTGAACTGATTTTGAAGTGTGATTATCTTACAACAATAATTGTACGGTTCAATAAACCGCACAATATAATTACATATTTCACATTTTCTATTTTGCAGCATTGCCTTTTTACTTTGGTGTGTCGAATCTAGAACTCGACGCATCAGTCTCATAAACACCATACACTATTTCATTAGCCAAATAAGTTTCCTGTGCCAATAAACGGTTTCTCTGTAAAATCCATTTTTCTTTTCTTGTACACACACACATCCTTTACAATAATATAGAAGAACTAGCGGCCCGCCCTCGCTTCGCTTCGGTGTAGAGCTGAAGTGTAGACTACAGTTTTTGTTCTCAGGCTTGTATTATACACAATGACATTCATCTATGATTCTTCTTATACCTGCATGCAAAGTCTCAGCCTGATCGGTTTAAAATTGAAAAAGTTTCATACAAACTTTCATTCCCTATTTTATCCCCTTGGGGGTAGAATTGATCAAAATCCTTTCTTAGCGGATGCCTACGTCATAACATCTGCCTGCATGCCAAATTTCAGCCCGATCCGTCCAGTGGTTTGGGCTGTGCGTTGATAGATCACTATGTCAGTCAGTCACCTTTGAGTTTAATATATATTTAAAGATTTGTCTACACTATTGTTGTGAGATAATTCCGAATCTAGGCACTGTGTCCTCTATGGTCCAGGTATTTCAACAACTGTCCAGTGGTGACGATCCCGGGCCGATTACACGAAGTACAGCGGTTCTACCTGGAGGACATCCTGCGCATCACGCAGTACAAGACCAAGAAGATGGTGCAGGTCGAGAAGGAGCTCAAGGCGAAGCTCAAGTCGGGCGGGGGGAGCTACTGGTCGCATCTAGAAGGTCAGTTCATCATCATCATTATCGGCCTATTAATATCCCCACTGCTGGGGCATAGGCCTTCCCTATAGATGACATAGGGAGATTCGGCCATGACGCACCACGCGGGCCCAGTGCGGATTGGCGGGCGCTAACGACTGCAGATGCAGCCGGGACTAAAGGCTTAACGTGCCTTCTTCCGAAGTATGGAGGAACTCGAGATAGAAGATTTTTGGTCACCCATCCAATGACCGACCACTGCGAAAGTTGCTTAACATCAACGATCGCAGCCGAACGCGCTAACCACTCGCGCCGTCGAGCTCGTCTGTTCTTCTGTTATTTTTATTGGTGTTTTATGCTTTCAAAATTTATTTGCCATTGATAAAGAAAGTAAAAAGAGGGTTTTTTTTATAACGGAGTTATGTTATTGGATTTCAGACGATGCATTTGTATTAAATGATATTTATTAGGTTTTTTTTTTGTAAATTATGCACTGGCATGTAAAAAGTATATTGATTTTTGAACATTCGTTTGTCAAGTGATATTTAAACATATTGTTGTCGTGTTGCATTCAAAAAGTGGTATCTCAGTCTTAAAATAAGCCCTTTTTATAGTACTCATATTAATGGACGCAAACGAAACAACCTCGATGGTGCAACTCAAGGGTGCATTCGGATTTTAAAGGGATTATTATGATAATTTATGTTTCTCATCAAATTGGTCCTATCAACAGATTTTAAAGAAGATTTTTGAATTTGTATCTGTAAATGAATGTGTAAATGAGCGTTAATAAAATATATTCTGCTAGCGGCCGCCCGCGAGTGGAGTTATTTGCACATACTTTTTGACCCCAAAAGGGGGTTTATTTCTAAAGATACATTATAAGTACACCTCTACACCATCTATAGAGCATACATGTTAAATTTCAAGTCTCTTACTTCAAAAACATAGAACTTTCATACAAACTTCCAACTCCCGTATTACCCCCTTAGGGGAGGAGTTAGCGTGATAATATGTAGCCTATACGTTGATCCGACTTCTTAATAATATTCCTGCCAAATTTGAAGTAAATCCATGCAGTACTTTTTGAGTTTATCCCGGTCATACATACAGACAAAGAGACAAAAATTCTAAAAACTATATTTTTGGCTTCGGTATAGATTGTAGATCACACACTAAGTATTTGTTAAATAAAATATTAAATGTTCAGTTTTGACTTTCCTACCATTTTATTATATGTATAGATTCTATTCAATTCTATCAGCTCAAAAGTCGAACGCGACCGAATCGGTTGCGTCGAACGGCGGCAAGGATAAAGAAGTCGACAAAGAAAACACTATGGAGCCCGCCATGCAGGCAGACATGGATGAGTTCTTAGACGATTGCTTCAAGGAGGGCAGTCTGGTGAGTAGTTAAACTTTTCAAACTCCTTTCTTATTCTCCTTATTTTCCCAAATCCTAGGTTCTTGTACTTGCACAAAGCCCTTCCACAACATAAGCAGAGTTAAAAACAATAAAACTGAAGAATCACTGAAGAAATCTATCTATCTAAACTGTTTAAAACAAATAATTTCAAGGTATATTGAAGTGAAACTTCTTTCCGCATGCTTGACTTGGGGAGTAAGCTGGCGAACTCGTTACGAAAACTGACACACACACACACACACACACACACACGCATGCATGCACGCACGCACGCACGCACGCACGCACGATTTTTTTCTTGTAACATTTTTTTTAGAATATCCACTTTTTATGGATTTCATAAACATGCGTTATTTAATAATGTTATTAATATAGAGATCGTATTCTTAAACTTGGTAAATACTCTATTATAGCTTAACTAATACCATTGTAAGTTATGCCAATAGACAGTTCCCTGTTCAACTGTAAAGTTAAAGTATGCATTAAAACGTGTTCTTCTAAAAATAAAAAGATTGCTCCCTAATTCTCCTGAAAGGAATGAACTAGTTTACAACAATATTCTATAAGGTTTTTTTTTATCAAAAAAACTATATTTTTTCTTTGAATCGTACTATTTTTTTGCCTGGTAGGCAAAAGACTTTACCCCACCTGATGTTAAGTGATGATAAAGTCCAAACGCGAAGATAGCTGGTACAGCAGTTATAAACTGCCACACCAACCATCTTCACCTTGCCGGCCTGCAAAAATGCCTCTTCATGCCTCTCTTAAAGGACCCCAGATTGTAGGAAGGAGGGAACACATGCGTGGGCAAAGAATTCCACTTACGAATAGTGCGACAAAGAAAAGTTGTTTCCATCACACTATGAATTTTGTGTTATTCATTCAATTCGGAGCTGTCAGGCATAACTGTCAGTTCGAAAACAATTATTGAAGTTTTCTTTAGGCGCGTTTTGAAAAAATGATGAGAGTGAAATTTTAAGCTGCGCGCGCATCACTGTAACACAAAAAATTAACAGCATGAAGTTGGTCGCTTTAGCGACCAACTTCATGCTGTTACTTTTGTGTTTACCGCACATTAAGAAAATCTACCAACAAAATAGAAATAGAATCTCTATTTTGTGGGTGCTAACGACTGCATTGTGAAGGCCTATCAAAAGTATTTATTAATCTGGAACAACGGAACCAAAGCGCGATTCAGGAGACTACAGCGCCATCTCTTGACCATTGGTGTAGTAGAACCAAAAACCACATCTTTATTTTTTGTAATAAAGTAACAGTTATAGGTATATATATTTATAATATTTATCCACATGTTTCTAGTTTGTATATTCGGAATACATGTTTGAGTTTCATACAAGTGCAAATCACATATGTTCTAATAAATTATATTCAGTAGCGATTTTAATTGAATATTTTGATTATTTATTTATTTTTTCAAATTAAAACTGAACTTTATTGACTGTGTCCTTTTCCAGACTTTTTATTAATTTATTGTAATTAATTATTTGCATGCAATTAAAAACTAATTTTAAACGATGCCAAAGAAGGATAACTTCTCACGCGCCTACATAAGTACACGCACCCATTTTTTTTTGCGATAAACGATAGTGTTTCAATTTTATAATCTAGTTGTTCTCTAATTCTCTTAAATATTTCCAAAATAACGTAAAAAATATACTAGTTTTGACATAGGTATTTGCTGGTGACTGTAAATGTTTATTAAGTTTATTTTTTTATAACATTAATTTCCATTACTTTTCAATATTTTCTGACATTTAACTGAATAACGATATAAATTTAATGTAATGTTTTTAATTTTAGTTTTTTTTATATATTTCAAATAATTATATCACATCAATCTAAAATTTTTACGTAGTGTCATTTTGTTCTGCGATATTTTTGCTTTACAGTGCTATTGTGTAACATCTATAATTAAGGCCATGAGAACCATAGTGGCCTAACTCATTTTTTAACCAAAGTGACCTATCTTACTTAGGGCCAGTATGGCACCTCAAATTTAGATCACAGACTAAAAAACGTAACAGTCATTATGCTGCCATCTACTGAATATTCGTTGTATCACTTTTAGACCATTGTGGTTCTATCAAAAAGATCAATTTGAACTGGAAAAAATCATAAACTAAATATTGTAAAAAAATGAGTTAGGCCACTACGGTTCTCATGGCCTCAATTAAGATTGCATTTGGTTTGCTTCCACACAGTGGCGGCGCTAGGCGTCGGCGACGTCGGCCACCGCCAACGGCCTCGCGCCTGAGGGGGGCTCGCAAAAAAATTTTACTGGTTTGGATTTTCGTTTCTCCTGGCCTGACTTAGGTAGCCGACCTCGAACAATTCGGGGAAAAAGCTAAGCAGATGATAATGACTTTTATTATTTTCGAACACGTGCGTGATGGAAGCGAGTAGTACTTTACAGGTATTCAGAATCGTCTGTCTGGCAACACTGTTTTTGTAATTAAATTAATTAATTATTGTTTGTAATTATTTTTTGTCATCATTTGATTATCAACAATAAAACTCGTTTACTCATACGTTATTTTATAATTTGGCTCACTTAATATAACGGTTTTTTACTGCGAAGTAAAATAGGCCTCGCGAACTTGATGTCGCCGACGTCCACATTTGGTCTAACCCCGCCACTGCTTCCACATTGTTTGTAAGATACTTTATAATGAATTTGTGTTATTAATGTTGTTGATGTTAATAAAGAAATTCTACATGGAATTCTTTAAAATGGAAGCGGAAATTAAATTATCTCATGTTCCCCATTGTGCCTGCAGGACTCGTTCTGCCAGATCCTGTACATGTACCTGTCTGAAGGGGCTCCTGTGGACGCGGCTCACTCCAGAACTAAACGCACCGGGCTCATGGCCTCTACCAGGCATGGACTGTCAGACACCGCCGCCAATATACTGCATATAGGTATGTCATCATATCATCTTCACCAGCCTATTAATATCCCTGCTGACCTTTTTGATGTGTAACATTTTTCCTCTCGCTTTCGTGAAATTTGTGGGAGTGATTACGTGAAGTGGGACGGAAGTGTGTAACAGGAAGTTTGGGAAGCGCGCGCTATTTGATTTGATTTGATTTTAGAACATAATGTTCAAATGGCTTATTCCTTTTGTAGTAGGTTTTTTTTCTTTTTTTTTTACTAATATAAGGTGAGGTTTCAAATGCTATACATTATAAGCGACTACTGTAAGGCTCGCTCGTTTTTTTTTATATAGATAGGTCCGTCAAATGACTCGGCCCCATCATCACATCATATCACCAGCCTATTAATGTCCCCACTGCTGGAGCACATGCCTTCCTTATGGATTGGTAGATGCTAAAGACTGCAGATGCAGCCGGGACTAATGGCTTAACGTGCCTTCCGAAGCACGGAGGAGCTTGAGATAGTAAATTTTTGGTCACCCATCCAATGACCGACCATTGCGAAAGTTGCTTAACTTCAACGATCGCAGCCGAACGTGCTAACCACTTGCGCTATCGAGCTCCTCCGCCCCACCTGATGTTAAGTGACGGTGAAGTCCAGACGTGAAGATAGCTGGTAGAGCAGTTCTACCGGCCACACCACCCATCCTCACCTTGCCGGCCTGCATGTTGCTTCTTCACGCCTCTTATAAAGGATCCCAGGTTGTAGAGGGAAGGAACACGTGAGCAGGCAGAGCATTCCATTTACGTATAGTGCGACAAAGAAATGAGTTACCAAAGGGTTTAGCCGTCCTTCCATAGGCAAACTGACCCCGAAGGTAAACTATATCGTTACTTATGTTATATTGAAGAGGTTACTAATTGTAGTTCATCGAGTAGGTATAAGCTCTATATCTTAGTTAATTGGGGAGCTATTTCAAAAAAAAATGTTTGGCGACGCCTTTTTTTCAGTGATATATCTCTATTGATTTTAAAGCTGGAAGCTTTAAATTTATCAAAACAAATCCAGTGTTTATGGAACACTTTACAGTTTAATTTACATAAATTTCCATGAGCCAAGCTTAAACGAAAATAAAAAAAAATGCAAAAAAAATATTTTTTATTGATTTCTGTCAGATCGAATTGAATTACCACTTTGAAAAAAATACATTATAATTGTCCATACCTTGCCTAACTGCGAAAGTTGCTTAACGAGCGCCATCGATCTCATCATTCATCGATTAATTCGCACAAAAACTTCATAAAAAAGACCTCATGTCACAAAAGCGCCAACTGGTGGCGTAAATTTACGTAAACACTCTTATTACAAATTTATCCAGTCTTTACTTTTATCACAAAATTGAATTTCAGGCGCGGACCCATTAGTGAAAGACGCGGAAGGCAAAACGGCATACGACTACGCTATAGAATACGGTCACACAGAATGTGCCCAGTTACTCGCCACGTTCCGTCCCGCGGCTCCGCCCGCGTTGGACGACGACGAATTCCTCCTGGACGTCTACAATCATTCCGTACCCGAGGAGCTAGTAGACCACCAGTTAATGCATCATTTGGTCAAACATATACATTTGACAATGCCCAAAGGTGCTATCTTAGTCTTCATGCCGGGTTACGACGATATTGTCGCTTTACGCGACTTGGTGCAAGCGGATTCGGAAATGGCCGCGGCGAAGTTTCAGACTTTCACTTTGCATAGTAATATGCAGACTTTGGATCAGAAGAAAGTTTTTAATCCGTTGCCGAATGCGCGTAAGGTTATAATAGCGACGAATATAGCGGAGACCTCTATTACGATTGATGATGTGGTGTACGTTGTGGATTCGTGCAAGGTGAGACTATATTTTGATGTATTATCTCTTATCTATTAGACAAGTCCGTCCGTCCGTCTGTGGTGCTGTTTCAGCGGCCAAACCGTAAGAGATAGATAAAGAGAATATTTAAGTTATAAGTTAAGAATAGTCTGATAAGACTACAAACCGGATTTGAGTAACGTAGCACTTCCGGTTTTCGAGAAATCACGAATTTCAAACGAAACCACACAAAATCTCCGAAGTTCTCAATTAATTAAATACATTTTTTTTTTAATCAGGTTTTGGTGAACATTTGGTTCACTGGTTTGCTAGTACTGTTTTAATTTGGAGTTTTTTGCAGATCTATTTAAGGTTCAGATTACCTTGTTAGTTTAATGTTTTACTAGACATTTTATAATGTTATGTGAGAAGGTGTTATGACAGTAAACGTAACCATAGTCTACAGACGCTTGGAATACCAAAGATTAGAAATGTCTCTTTTTCTTATTTCTTCTGTTTTAAATCAATGGTGGGATTCTCCACTGCGACATCTTTTAAACACAGAATCGTATTTTGTTAATAAATTTCCCTGCCACGTTTCTGTCTGTACTTGTGCGATGATCTCATAACAACAACTGATCGGATTTGCTTGCGGTTTTCACCACCAGTCAGATAAAATTTTCACTAAACATGCCCGAGTAAGAAAACTATGTTTTGCAATAGTGAAAGTCACTTGTATAATATAAGACGGAGCCAGCGAATTAGAAATATATGGAATACGAACTGCGCTTAAAAGTGGTTCCACGCAAACTGCAATCAAGTGGGCGGGGCGAAAAAACTGCAATCAGCACGCCAACCGCGGCATTGGTTGGAATTTCCGTTTATCAACATCTTACCCAATGAAGGATAGCCGAATTAATTTGCAGATATTTGATAGGTCAAACTATTTTGTTTTGTCCGTGCGCCTATCGCGTTAGTATTGAAGTCTTTGCTAATGCATTTTTCTCTCCCCCGGGAGCATGTCCGGGTTTAGCCGCACATTGTACTCATAATAAGTAGGTAAACACGTCAGCAATATGAGCCGCTGTTTCCATTGACTCTATTTATCAATCTTTTCTCTAAAGTTATATAACCCGTACATATCGTATGAGTTCGGCACCAGGTTTTAGCGGTCCATGTTAGAGAGTTTCGGTTCCATATCATTTCTAACACGGCACAGGCTAATTTATTTATTTATTCATGGGAAACAAACAGCATGTTAAAACTAAGGATAAAACCAGATGATGTAGCATTGATAAGCCTTATACAGTTTTCACAAATACAAATCAAATAAAATATACTTAATCCAATCGAGGCCGTAGATTAATTTAAAACTATATAAAAATATAAACACAGAAGTATAAAACTAAGAATAAAGCCACACAGAGAAAATGGTGATAAAAATATGAAGTAATTTAAATTAGGTTTTATTATTATTATTGAAATGAAATGAAAAATCATTTATTCAGTGTAGGCTGTTACAAGCACTTGTTAAGGTCAAGAAGCTACGCCATCGGTTCGCAAAACTACGGCGGGAGATCTTGTACTGAGAAGAACCGGCAAGAAACTCAGCAAGGGCTGCTTTTTTCTCCCTGTATTGATATATACAGAGTCGTCAAGTTGAAAAATGACTAGATACTTCTGAAGTCACCTCTATTAAAAGTTACTATTCACAATCACGCCTGTTATCAAAACAAATCCAGTGTTTATGGTACACTTTACAGTTAAAATTATATAAATTTCCATGAGCCAAGCCTAAATAAAAACAAAAAAAAATATTTTTTATTAATTTCTGTCAGATCGAATTGAAGTACCACTTTGAAAAAAATACATAATAATTGTCTATACCTTGCCTAACTGCGAAAGTTGCTTAACGAGCGCCATCGAGCTCAACATTCATTAATTAAGTCGCACTAAAACTTCATAAAAAAGACCTCATGTCACAATAGCGCCAACTTGTGGCGTAAATTTACGTAAACACCCTTATTACAAATTTATTAATTTTATAGTCTTCTTTACTTTTATCACAAAATAGTACCTCTATAAGTCACCTCTGTTAAAAGTTACTATTCACAATGTTTTTGAAATAATTTTTCTAATGAAAACTAAACTACTACAGGTGAAGGAGAAATACTACGAATCATCAGGGGGCGTTTGTTCTCTCCAACGCGTTTGGGCCGCGCGGTCGGGGCTGGCTCAGAGAGCGGGTCGCGCGGGGCGGTGCCGGCCGGGCCGCGCCTACCACGTGTGCAGTCGCCGCCGGGCCCGGGCCCTCCCCGCGCAACCGTTACCCGAAATGCTCCGCGTGCCGCTACAAGAACTATGTCTACACACCAAGCTGTTAGCCCCTGGGAATACACCGATCGCGGACTTCCTAGCTCGCGCCCTGGAACCCCCTTCTTTCCTAGCCGTCCGAAACGCAGTAGCTCTGCTCAAAACCATCGGAGCTTTGACCCCTACGGAAGATTTGACGGAGATTGGCCAGCATCTCCTAGATTTGACGGTGGAGCCGAAGTTGGGGAAGATGCTTCTGTACGCGTGTGCTATGAAGTGCCTGGATCCTATATTGACGATTGTGTGTTGCCTGGCTAGTAAAGAACCGTTCACTATGGCCACCAGCCCGGACAGTAGGCGAAGAGGCGCGGCCGCTAAGAGAGACTTTGCCGCTGATAGCTTCTCGGATCACATGGCCTTGTTGCGGGCTTTCCAGGTAAGAATTGCTTTATTTTGTTTTTGATTTTTATTAGGCATGTGTACGTGTTTGTTTGAAATTTTCTATTTCATGTAGTCTTTGATTTACCGGCTGTTCGGCTCTCTGTGTGATCTTACTCTAGTGCGCTCCCTTCACTGATTTAAAAGTTTGAATAGAGTCAGAAAGTAATTTATTGGGAATGATTTTTAGTAATAATTTTCGAAAAATATCAAGTATTATTTTCTTAATATGTTGAATCACAGTAATGTCACACCTTTTTGAACCCTAAAGAGATGATAAGGACAATCTGCTGTAAAAATGAATAGAAAATACGATGAGCCATGTGTAGTATACTGCAAGGAATAAAGTTAATGATTGCGCGGCAGAAATTATGCTTTTTTCATAGCAGACTGATTGGGCGTAGTGGATATGTACTTTGTAATAGAAATATCCTCACTAGTTATAAATGCGGAAACGATTGTAACGCTTTCACGGAAAAACTACTGAATGGCTTGGAATGAAATTTGGCGTGCATATAGTTTATAACTTGGATTGAGACATAGGATACTTTTAATCCCGGAAAGTGTTAGGTTTGAGGGACTAAAATAAAAGTATTCTGGGATACATAGAAGAAGTGAAATACCCTCCTTCCAGCCAGCCTTACCCTCCTTCCCTCACTGCCGCCTCTCACCGCGCAATATTTAGTCTTCTTCTTTCACGTGGCCGGGACGCTTTTTCGTGACAGCAAAATTCTAATAACCCTCACATAAGTTTCACTGCAAAACTAAAGTTAACGCGGGTGGCGGCTAGTAACGAATAATGTCGTTTGATACAGGCGTGGCAGGCGGCGCGCGCTGCAGGCATTCACGCGGAGCGAGCCTTCTGCGCGCGGCACCTGATATGTGCCGCCACCATGGAGATGGTGGGAGGGCACCGCGCCCAGCTGCTGGCCCAGCTGCGGGCGCTCGGGCTGGTGAAGGCGCGCGGACATGGAGACATCAAGGTACTGCCAGCGCGGCACCTGATATGTGCCGCCACCATGGAGATGGTGGGAGGGCACCGCGCCCAGCTGCTGGCCCAGCTGCGGGCGCTCGGGCTGGTGAAGGCGCGCGGACATGGAGACATCAAGGTACTGCCAGCGCGGCACCTGATATGTGCCGCCACCATGGAGATGGTGGGAGGGCACCGCGCCCAGCTGCTGGCCCAGCTGCGGGCGCTCGGGCTGGTGAAGGCGCGCGGACATGGAGACATCAAGGTACTGCCAGCGCGGCACCTGATATGTGCCGCCACCATGGAGATGGTGGGAGGGCACCGCGCCCAGCTGCTGGCCCAGCTGCGGGCGCTCGGGCTGGTGAAGGCGCGCGGACATGGAGACATCAAGGTACTGCCAGCGCGGCACCTGATATGTGCCGCCACCATGGAGATGGTGGGAGGGCACCGCGCCCAGCTGCTGGCCCAGCTGCGGGCGCTCGGGCTGGTGAAGGCGCGCGGACATGGAGACATCAAGGTACTGCCAGCGCGGCACCTGATATGTGCCGCCACCATGGAGATGGTGGGAGGGCACCGCGCCCAGCTGCTGGCCCAGCTGCGGGCGCTCGGGCTGGTGAAGGCGCGCGGACATGGAGACATCAAGGTACTGCCAGCGCGGCACCTGATATGTGCCGCCACCATGGAGATGGTGGGAGGGCACCGCGCCCAGCTGCTGGCCCAGCTGCGGGCGCTCGGGCTGGTGAAGGCGCGCGGACATGGAGACATCAAGGTACTGCCAGCGCGGCACCTGATATGTGCCGCCACCATGGAGATGGTGGGAGGGCACCGCGCCCAGCTGCTGGCCCAGCTGCGGGCGCTCGGGCTGGTGAAGGCGCGCGGACATGGAGACATCAAGGTACTGCCAGCGCGGCACCTGATATGTGCCGCCACCATGGAGATGGATGTGCCACCAAAATTTGGCTGATATTAGGGTATATTATTACGTATTGAGACGGTATTCAAAATTAAAAAAAATGTATAAAGCCACTTTACGCTTAAGTTCAAGTTCTTAATTCAGCCAGCACACAATTCACACTTTATCATCAGCCTATTAATGTTCCCACTACTGCGGCACCGGTCTTCCCTATGAATGGAGTAGAGAGACAGGGCCGAGAACAAACACGCAAGTCCAGTGCGGATTGATGGGTGCTAACGACTGCAAATGCAGCCGGGAGCGACGGCTTTACGCGCCTTGCGAAACACGGAAAATGTCGAGATTATAAGATTTTGGTCACCCATCCAATGACCTAACCAATCGCAGGCTGATCGCGCTATCCACCTAGTAACTCATAGTAAATTCCTTACTCCATAGGCAAAACTCAAAATAATTTAATTTCAAATTATATGTTACAGGAAGGCGGCAAAATTTGCCACGTCAATTTTTTTTTTCAGAAAATAACTAGTTTGTTTACAGGCTACATTTAAGCAAAAGAGTTACAATCGTACATTTAAGCAAAAATCTACCTAATTGTCTTATGGTGGGCTAGGAATCACATCGTACTTTGGGTGGCGAATACATCGAGCGATGGTTTTTTTGTTTCCTGAGTTTGTGACAATATTGTAGCAAGCTTTGTAGTTTTTATATCAGACAGACCTTAGGCTGACCTTTTAACATCAAATATACTAATTACAATTTGATTCATAGATCTTGAATAATTATTAACGGCTAACAATGTCCCTCTGCTTAGGACGTAAACCTGAACTCGGAGCGTTGGTACGTGGCCAAAGGCGTGCTAGTGGGGGGGCTGTATCCCGCCCTGGCGCGCGTCGACCGCGCCGCGGGGGGAGGGGGGGCCGGCCGGGAGGGGGGCGCGCTGAGGACAGGTAATGTTACTGTATGTGGGTACCGCACCCGGCACTGGGGCGGGGCGCGGGGGGAGGGGGGGCCGGCCGGGAGGGGGGCGCGCTGAGGACAGGTAATGTTACTGTATGTGGGTACCGCACCCGGCACTGGGGCGGGGCGTGGGGGGAGGGGGGGCCGGCCGGGAGGGGGGCGCGCTGAGGACAGGTAATGTTACTGTATGTGGGTACCGCACCCGGCACTGGGGCGGGGCGCGGGGGGAGGGGGGCGCGCTGAGGACAGGTAATGTTACTGTATGTGGGTACCGCACCCGGCACTGGGGCGGGGCGCGGGGGGAGGGGGGCGCGCTGAGGACAGGTAATGTTACTGTATGTGGGTACCGCACCCGGCACTGGGGCGGGGCGCGGGGGGAGGGGGGGCCGGCCGGGAGGGGGGCGCGCTGAGGACAGGTAATGTTACTGTATGTGGGTACCGCACCCGGCACTGGGGCGGGGCGCGGGGGGAGGGGGGCGCGCTGAGGACAGGTAATGTTACTGTATGTGGGTACCGCACCCGGCACTGGGGCGGGGCGCGGGGGGAGGGGGGCGCGCTGAGGACAGGTAATGTTACTGTATGTGGGTACCGCACCCGGCACTGGGGCGGGGCGCGGGGGGAGGGGGGCGCGCTGAGGACAGGTAATGTTACTGTATGTGGGTACCGCACCCGGCACTGGGGCGGGGCGCGGGGGGAGGGGGGGCCGGCCGGGAGGGGGGCGCGCTGAGGACAGGTAATGTTACTGTATGTGGGTACCGCACCCGGCACTGGGGCGGGGCGCGGGGGGAGGGGGGGCCGGCCGGGAGGGGGGCGCGCTGAGGACAGGTAATGTTACTGTATGTGGGTACCGCACCCGGCACTGGGGCGGGGCGCGGGGGGAGGGGGGGCCGGCCGGGAGGGGGGCGCGCTGAGGACAGGTAATGTTACTGTATGTGGGTACCGCACCCGGCACTGGGGCGGGGCGCGGGGGGAGGGGGGGCCGGCCGGGAGGGGGGCGCGCTGAGGACAGGTAATGTTACTGTATGTGGGTACCGCACCCGGCACTGGGGCGGGGCGCGGGGGGAGGGGGGGCCGGCCGGGAGGGGGGCGCGCTGAGGACAGGTAATGTTACTGTATGTGGGTACCGCACCCGGCACTGGGGCGGGGCGCGGGGGGAGGGGGGCGCGCTGAGGACAGGTAATGTTACTGTATGTGGGTACCGCACCCGGCACTGGGGCGGGGCGCGGGGGGAGGGGGGCCGGCCGGGAGGGGGGCGCGCTGAGGACAGGTAATATTATTGTATGTAGGTACCGCACCCGGCACTGGGGCGAGGCGAGGGGGGAGGGGGGCGCGCTGAGGACAGGTAATGTTACTGTATGTGGGTACCGCACCCGGCACTGGGGCGGGGCGCGGGGGGAGGGGGGCGCGCTGAGGACAGGTAATGTTACTGTATGTGGGTACCGCACCCGGCACTGGGGCGGGGCGCGGGGGGAGGGGGGCGCGCTGAGGACAGGTAATGTTACTGTATGTGGGTACCGCACCCGGCACTGGGGCGGGGCGCGGGGGGAGGGGGGCGCGCTGAGGACAGGTAATGTTACTGTATGTGGGTACCGCACCCGGCACTGGGGCGGGGCGCGGGGGGAGGGGGGCGCGCTGAGGACAGGTAATGTTACTGTATGTGGGTACCGCACCCGGCACTGGGGCGGGGCGCGGGGGGAGGGGGGCGCGCTGAGGACAGGTAATGTTACTGTATGTGGGTACCGCACCCGGCACTGGGGCGGGGCGCGGGGGGAGGGGGGCGCGCTGAGGACAGGTAATGTTACTGTATGTGGGTACCGCACCCGGCACTGGGGCGGGGCGCGGGGGGAGGGGGGGCCGGCCGGGCCGGGATTACCTGTTACTGTTTTACACCAATATGTAAAACAGCAACAGGTAATATTACTGTTTTACATATTGGTGGGCGATTACATTTGGTCGTGAACCCGATATGCCAATGAAATTCGGGTAAACGGTTAAGTTTTAACGAACGGAGTCGAGTGGCGACTACTATGATTATTATTTCATGGTATTTTAAAAGTAAATTTAATTTGTTATTTTATGAATTATCTACTAACATTTTCCGGTTGTTTTTTGTCAAAACTTATAGCAATAATGTATTAGTTTTTTTTCTAATTGTCGTGAAATACTGTATTTCACCTTATATAACGTATACTTATATATTTATGTATTTAATGCAGCTCGCGAGGCACGAGTGGCGCTACACCCCGCCTCCACCCTGAGGGCACGTACCTTGCCCGCTGCAGCCGATTGGGTGAGTGCCATTTCACATAATAAATAAATAAATGTTTTTCACAATCACACCAATATAAACTGCCCCAAAACTAGCACTGATACGATGTGCCCCCCTCTTTCAAATCAAATCAATCATCATCATCATCGGCCTATTAATGTCCCCACTGCTGGGGCACAGGCCTTCCCTATGGATGGAATAGGGAGGTTGGGCCATGACCCACCACGCGGGCCCAGTGCGGGTTGGCGGGTGCTAACGACTGCAGATGCAGCCGGCACCAACGGCTTAACGTGCCTTCCGAAGCACGGAGGAGCTCGAGATTGTAAATTTTTGGTCACCCATCCAATGACCGACCACTGCGAAAGTTACTTAACTACAACGATCGCAGCCGAACGCGCTAACCTCTTGCGCCATCGAGCTCCTCAATATCAAATCAATATATTTCAGTAATTAATGCCTTTGTATGGCTTCTTCTGTCCTTCTCACATTATTTTCATTATTTTTTTTGTTATTTATATTTTAACTTTAAATTTATATGAAAAAATTGACAAATCGGTGGCTAACCACTTAGTCAATTATATTGTCACTAGCTGTATTGAAGAACTTGAAACGTTTTATAAAACTAGGTGTTTGCTGCGTTTAGCAGACGTCCGCTCCGCGTGTTTGTTTCATGTTACTTCGTAGAGCAGCGCTGCACGCGGCCGGCTCCCGCTTAACGCAGCGCACGCTCTAATACGAAACGTTTCCATTTTTCAATACAGCTAGCTAGCTAGCAAGTGGAATCTACAACCTTCCGGCTACTATTACAGTACCCCTAGCACGAACTCATATCGAATTCGAATAGTTTGCGAGTACAAAATGTGATTGTCAAATGAATACTGATTTTTAGTTCTCGTTACGCCCCATCGGGCGCTGCTGTTCGAGTTTTCATTAAAAAAAATGACATTGATATTCCGCACTCGCAAACTATTCGAATTCGATATTGGTTTGTGCTAGGAGTACAAAACACAAACTACAACACAATACACGTTACGTACAGGTTGCATTCGAGGAGATGTCTCGCGCTGGCCGATTCTGTTTCGTCCGATGCTGTACGCTAGTGACCGCTTTAACCGTCGCTCTATTCGCGGGACCTTTGCGCCTCCCAGCCGCGGCATTGACTCAACGCGCCAATCCGCCCGGCTTATCCAGCGATAGCGACAGCGATACCGGGGACACCGCCCCCGATGCCGCCACCCTAACTCTAGACGACTGGATAGCTTTCACAGCCGACGCTTCCGATGCTATAGCAGTCTACTATCTGAGGCAGAAATTGAGCGCGCTCATATTGCGCCGGATGACCAATCCGGCTAAACCGACGACGCCTTTGGACGAGCAGATTCTAGCGGCCGTAGTTCATGTGTTGGGGGCGGAGGAGAGAAATGCGGGGTTGGGTCAGCCCCCAGGCGTGGGACAGCGTCCGAAACCGTTGGCGATGGACCGCATGCGTATGGACGACGATAAACATGCGGGGGATTTCGCGGCCGCTTTCGGTTTCCGGAGACCGGGGGTGGGGGTGTCCGGGTCGGGAGTATCCGGGCCGGGGGTGGCGGGCACGTGGCGATCTCCGGCCGCGTCGCCGGATGCGCCCCCGGACGCGAGATATTTCATAGTACGCGCCGATGATCCGCATTCTGTTGATGCGGCGCATTCTACGGGTGTGTACCCGTTCGCGCCGAATACTGCCAAGAAATTACAGAAGGCGAAACAGGTGAGTAGTTTATTAGTTAAATAGCCCGTTTCTTAATAAAATTATGACTAGGAATTAAGTTGAATCATGTATAGTACTGAGTAGTCGAACATAATTCTCAGATAACGTATCCTGAAAAGGATGCGAAATGCATAAATTTGTAAAGAAAAAGTTATAAAAACAGAACTCGAAATCCGTTGAAAAGTAGTGTTGTTTAGTTAGTTGAGTTGGTGAAAGCTAAACGCAATCAGTTGACAGAGACTCTAAATTCGATAAGCACCTTTTTGAAATTTCTGGAACGCACTTCGAGCCATAATCATAGATAGTCAAAAGCTTTGTCAAGTTGTCGATTCTCGTGAGTGATTAACTCAAATCATATCATCACCATCAGCCTATCAATACACCTCTCTTATATGAATGGATATGGAAATAAATGGGCCGTGAATGATTCAACTCTCTGACTCGGTGCAGATCAGTGGGTGCTAACGATTGCAGATACAGCCAGGACCTTATAATATTTTTTTAGTGAACTATCTCTGTGACCGACCACTACAGCTAAAGCTGCTTACATTTCACGACCGCAGACTCAACGCTTTAACCACTGCTTTCGACCGAGCTCCTCACTCATTAAATGGTTTACGCTAACGTTATTAAATACCCTAGATACAACAACAGGAACAAAATCGTGGCCGAAACGTTTTCAAAAGGTATATTGGACGATCCACGGAGCTCCGTAAGATCATCGCGCGGTCAAAAGCATTATAATGCATTATTTAAACATTGAAAGTCACCTTTAATGCATACTGTATAAGGTTTTAATTGAAATTTTAATATCGTTGGTTTACACCTATAAGTCTTAGCCAAGAGCCGACCCCTCAGGTGCTCGTGGTCTAGAGGCTCCAGACGGAGAGGAGACTCCCCCCGTGGGGAGATGCCATCTGCCTAGAATACCTTTAGAGGCACTCGCCAATTCTCGGCTTGAGGTCCCCTTATGATCTAGACAGCCATCCAACCCCCGGTGACGCTGTAAAGGTCATCTGCGACCAACAGCATAAACACTCAAAAAATCGTCAGACGGCGGTAAGCTCACTGACAGCGAACTGTCAGGTAATTTGAGTTGCCAATGTAAAGTATATCTAAAGACCAATACTTAAAGCCCCTCATCATCACCAGCCTATTAATGCCCCCACTGCTGGGGCACAGGCCTGAAATATACTGAGATAAAGCAGGGGCTTTATCTCCCTATTTCAATGTATGGAATATATTTTCGATGTAGGGACATCAATTAAATTGTTAATGCCGGATGGGAATAGAGTCGTGTAAGTTTGTTAAAACCTTTACTTTTCTTGCTGTAGTATTAGTCCGGGTCTTTCTGGGTCTTCCTCTCTAGAAAACCTCTGTATTATTCTGGAATACCTCTGTATTATTCTGGAATACCTCTGTATTATTCTGTGCATCAGGAAGGCGTTCGTGTTGTTGTACTGCGTAGCGCCGCGCTCACGACACCAGCCTAGATTTATTGTTTCACATAATCATAACATTACAGAGATGTACTGATTTGAAATGTCGCAAGACGTCATGTTTTGGAACAATTTTTACTTAGACGTGACGTCACTAGCCCCAACTTCGAAACTTTGACTCTATTTATCTTAGTAATTTTTTTGGCTGATGAAAATAGGTGTACATTATTTTTTGATAATCTTAATGATGGACGAAATAGAATTTCATTTAGTTTACCCATTGATTACACCCTATTGTGTATGTGTACATTGTTTTGTTGATATTCCACACAGGAGGGCGCTCGCGTAGTAGTATTCTTCAGTTGCGCGAGCGCCAGCAAGCTGCTGGGCAGCGCCGCGCTAACGGACACGGGGCTAGATTGGATCTCCACGCAACACGTGCCTTTCCACTTGATCAGGTATTACATTATCCACTTTCTTAAAGTACAAGTTTTTGTTTTCAGTTTAAATTTTGTTTTTGGATATAAGAACTATTTTTGAATGCTTGGACTTTCTTTTTTTTAATTTGCAAATTTTGTATGGGAAAAGCTAGTTTTTAAGTTCGACGGGGTGTTTCTTAGTTTTTATAGAAATTTTGGCGATTACGTTACTATACCGAGCCGGGGAAACTCGCGCTCGGGTTTCAGAAGATAGATAGGTATAGCCCCTGAATACAGAAAGAGGTCAAAAGGGTCTGTGCGTCGTTGCTCGCGAGCCCGGTGCGTCGTGAGCGCTGATCGGTCGGTTATCGTCTACGACGAGCCGAAGACATCGGTTTCTTTCTGTGTTCTGTGGGTGTAGCGTTGGTTTTGCATTGCAGACACGTGTGCAACTCGTTAGCGGGCGGGGCGCGGGTGGTGGGCGCGCGGGACGGCACCGAGGTATGCGCGGGCGCCGCGCGCGGACTGCTGGCCCCCCCCGCGCCCCCCGCCCCAACCGCCCCACCAGCGCGAGGGATGATGGCCCCCCCCGCGGGACCCGCCGCGCGACGCCCGCGCCCACCCCGACCCATACATAAGCACGACCAGTGAACAACCACCACTCTCACGTACATCACCCAGTTGCCCCGCCCCGCGTCCCTACGCCCCCCCCCCGCGTCCCTACGCCCCCCCCGCGTCCCTACGCCCCCCCCCGCGTCCCTACGCCCCCCCCCCCGCGCCGGGTGCTACTCTACACACAGCCCCCCCCCCCCCAAACACAAGCACGACCAATGAGCGCACCACTCAGCGCGTGCTGCTCCGCGCCTCCCTCAGTATTGAAGTACCCCATTCAGTGTTGCGTGGACATTTATTTCATTTTCCTTCAATTTAGAAAAACTAGCATATTACAAAATTGGTTACCTATCAAAAATATAACATAAGAAACGAATCGCCTCTATATTAAATAGTTACGTTTTTGTTTTATGTTGTTTAGTAAAAAATGGGCACATAGTAAAATAAGCCAATTATAATTAACTGTTTTCGGAAAATCAGTAACATTTTTTTTGATGATTAATTAACAAAGGTTCTAATTAGTTACGCAGACTGGTTTAGTATACAATCATGAAAACAATTCCTATCCTACCATTAACAATAAAACATATCATAATAAACGTATAACTTATAGCATTATAATAGAAAAACCAAAACTCTTCAATCACATTTTCAGTGTTTACCAAAAAACAAGAATTTTGGATTAGGTCATTTCAATTCTAAAGGTGCGATATAAGAAACATTAAATCAATATTGATTACGGTGACGTCGGTGTTTCTTTCCTACTGCGCAGGTATTAATGAGGCCTTAATAGACATGAATCTTGCATTATTATTTAGGAAAATGCCCAGCTGATGAGTCCTAAAGACTTTGATTTATTTCAGTGGCGCTCATCCCCTTTGAATAGACAGTGCGAAATTAATATTTGGCCATTCCCACTATCTTCACAGAAGTGTGGAACCAACAATATTGCATTTCACACAACTGATTTTTTCCAATATTCCCTTAAAGTGACAATTAGGAAAAATTTAATACTCAACTTTAAACTCCCCTTTTGCCACGAATCGGGAGTTGGCAAATATTGTCATCCGGATGACAGCGTTAGACTGGGGGATTTACTGGGAATAATCGGCTACCATTATCAGAAAAATACTCAACATCTTTATTAGGTATAAAATTATAAATATCATTTTTTTCTGTCGAATTTGTTACCAAGTTACTGAAAAGTTAGTGAATCTTTTTTAACTGTTATAATTAAGATAACGATTTTCAGATAATTAATTTTGCATGCGTCTAATAAACTTGACTGAAATGTTTGTATGACTTCGAGACACTTGTACCAACACTCTTGATTCAAAATGAAGCTTAATCTAGTTAAGCACATAGCTATATCCTTGTCAACTATTTGTATTTGAAAAAGGCGGTATCAGAGTTAAACTTGACTTTTATTTTGATTTCATTTAAGAACTTTGGTGCAAGTAGACCCCGCCTACCTAATAGCTAACTTTGTTTGATATTTACAGTGTGTAACTAAAGATATAGTTTTAAATCCATCGACGCTTTTCAAAACAAGTAGCTTAGTAGCTTTATAATAAAGCAGTAGTGGATCATATTTATTTCATAGGTTTTCACGCACATTATTAAATAGAAAAACGACTAAAGTGAAACTTCTTTAGCTCCATATATATATTACCTATAAGAGAAAGAGAGAAAGAAAATTGGGGCGCGGCCTGCTTTCTCTTGCTTATATCCCCCCCTCAACTCCCGTTCGCCTCGCCCGATCACAGTTTTCGTAACGCCTTCGCCAGCTTACTCCCCAAGTGAAGCGTGCATAAAGGAGTTTCACTTCAACAAGTTTCAACGGGTTAGATGCATTGATTTTATTTATTTATTGACGTTTCGCAGCCTTTTCAGGAATGCACAGTAGTTACTAGATAGCTCGGTGATTATCACTACCATCTGTCGAAAGCAGTTAGCGAATAGGCCTACGGGTATACCTATTATTAATACAACTATTAGTGTTATTGCCCCACGTTAATATATTTAAAATAAAGCTTTATCATCAAGTTAAATATAACTAGATAGAAGTTTAGAAGGAAGATGCTGTGTGATTCACTGGCAGTATTTTAATAAATTAAGTAGTGTTAACATTCATACTTATTTAAGTGTTTGTCAACAACGCACAAACTTATTTTTAACATGTTAACGATCCCATGGAAAGTTCTATGAATTATGGAATTTTAAAGCAAGTGATTTATAACTTTTGTGACTGTTTTATTAATATATTTTAACAAAAGCAAGTAGGTTACATTAGAACATCTTTATATATATAATTCTTCTGTGAGTGTGTATGTCACTGAACTTCTCTTAAACGACTGGACCGATTTTGATGAAATTTTTTGTGTGTGTTCAAGGGGATCTGAGAATGGTTTAGATTCACAATTTTGTCCGCTGGACAACCCCTATTTTTTTAGGGCGGTACGAAGTTCGCTGGGTCAGCTAGTATTTGTATATATCAGCTTGTCCCTTTGTTTGCAAAATATATCAAGTCTTATTAGTTACTTTATTAATATATAATAATCTCTTCCATAGAAAATTTGCAGTAATGGTTGATGATTTATAAAGAAAATGTCCCTCTTAACTTCTAGAATGGACAGAGCGGTCTCTGTCCACCGTCGGTTCCTGATTATATTTCAAAGATTGGTCATCGACCGACCGTCGGTGTCGGTGGTGATTAATAATTACTTTTATTCTTGTTCGTAACATTTTTCGACCTTATATTTGGATAGTATAAATTATTTTCGCAGTGACACCAGATAAGGTGATCTCCAATGCACATTTGTGAATTTTTTAATGTATTCATGTTTGTAAATAGTTTTTGAAAGAAGCAATTTGTGCAATAAAGTGTTACGCTTTTTAAATTAATTTTTCGAATGCTTAGTGAAATATTGCGTATGTAGGATTGTCACCCGTACTTTATTATAAAGTATTGTACGTTATTTCGGGCAATTGTACTCTATACCTTATGCCAACGACAAAGTACGCGAAAATACTTTTTTCTGTGATTTGATTTCTCAAGGATTAAATAAAGGATACAAAAAAGAGTTGACAGTAAGTATTTTGCGTAAAACGGAACAACAGTATGTTGGGTCTATCCTTAGCTCATTCTTGAACGCCACCTTAGCGAAATAGTCATCATTGTCGTGGCTGTATAGCTTTGTACCATTGCCTTTCCCATGGCGGATAAAAATTACAGATTCTTAACAGCAACAATTATTTATGAAAACTAAAGTACCGTAAATGGTAGTAGTGCTAGTAGCACCGAAAAAATATATTTAAGTTTATAAAGTGGAATAAATGCTACTTTATTTTGGACACAACGTACTTTTTTCTACTTTTAATATCCGATTAACGTTATATAAACAAAAAATAGGTGGTAACCCTAATCGTATGCTGTCATTTTATTCGGTTCATTGATTTTCTGGCAAATAATGAATAAATGTATCACGAGAAGTTCATATTAGAACTACATTTTATGTATGGAGAACTTTAAGTTCGCGAGTTTGGTTTCAAGGTTTTTGATCCCCTTAATTTAGTGTCCTGTGGTCAATACAATTAAATATTTATAAAGTAATAGGTAACGTCATTGTAATACAGTCATGAAACCAGTCGTGTATGATCGATACTTTAATTATATACACGCTTAGATACCGTCATGTAAGCGCCCCCAAAAATATCTACTAGATATATGTAGTAGATATGCTCGTCGCTGAACGTGCACACATTGCCTGCTTTCAAACAAACTGACATTAGAGTCACACATGCATTGCGCGGGACATAGCTGTACCCTTTACACGAACCAATATTGAATTCGAATAGTTTGCGAGTGCGAAATGTCACTGACAAATGTGTACTGATTTTAGTTCTAGTTACGTCCGTTATGGCGTTGCTGTTCAAGTTTCCATACAAAATTTGACAATGACATTTCGCACTTGCAAACTATTCGAATTCGATATTGATAGGTGCTAAGGGTACCGTTTTCTTTACGTGGTTTATTTGGATTGCTCTATGAAGGCGTGTATATAAATAAAGGCCAATGGCGCTTTTATTGTAGTGCACTAAGGCGCAAGATATCCTTGTCGATTAGGTGGGTGAATGAACATTTGTACATGGCGCTCCATTAAACGAGGTCTCGCTAATACTGTAGATAGCTAATAAACAGAAATCCTGGGGCAATGTTGTAGTTTATAAATGCGTGACGTGCCCATCTGGTAACCGATGTTTATTATTTTATAAGTATGAATACTTATGAGTGTTCTGTTTGGAACAGAATATTATTAATATTGTGCATGTTATGCTTTTTTTAATAAAACGATAGTTGTTGAAACGCTAGATAATTTTTATATATATATTTGGTTACTTCGAAATATTTTTTTAAAAAGTCGGTTCTACGCTATCGCGATATAGTTATAGGCATGGGAGAAAATGTCTCGCTCAGTCATAAGTATAACGATGTGGATTAGATGTAGGTACATTAACAAGATTGTGGATCGATGGTGCAATGGTTTGATAGATAAACTATTTATTTATTCATGTCCACGTTGCGAACTAATTTTTTAAATGTTTTCTTGTATTATTGTTCTATACTTTTACGTGGACATTATTTTCTAGCACCATATGTTTTGTCCACTATTGGTCTCATAATTTAATTGCGTAAAAATATGAAAAATAAAATTATTAAACATAAATTTTGAATTTAGCTAAATTATTATAATACCTTTTCGTGGTGAAAGAAAACCATTGTTGTGGAATTGATAGTCTATGTCTGCCTTTGTGATATGGACAATAGACAAAATATGACTCAGATCTAAAACAGCAGCTAAGATGGGATGTTGTTTCTCTCTGTTGTTGTCTCGTTTCAACAATTTGAATGGAACCATTATCTTGGTCAGTGTATGACAAGCGGTCCTTTTTAATATTATGTAAGTCACTGAGTGGAATTAACTGAATCTGTGCAATGTGTGACGTAGAATGAAATGGTACTTGTGCTTAAGGCATCTTTTTTAGTACCTACTTATAATGAAATGCAGCTTGAAAAAGTTTTTGTGATTTTAAAACTAGTTTCTCTATTATGCTCACAAAGTCTAATTTGCAGAATCTTTGTGAAGCAAAACGTCTAAAATCTTATAACACCTAGAAAGCGAAATTGTAGAATGACTGTGAAGCAAAACGCCTAAATTCAATGAATATGTAAAGAAATTGATTGGATATTTAAAAGAACCCTCGACACACATAAATAATCAAATAAATAATAAAAGTGAAAATACAAATATTTCACAATACCACTCAGTAATAGTGAGATTCATATAGATATTTTCATTATTATTGTAAGGTAAGCAGTCGAAATACTTTTCTATATATTTCCTATATTATTATAACTACAGACTTTCTGTTGTGTAGATATACTGCTTTTAGTCATTTTACATTTTAGGGAACATGCATTCATAAACGTTCTGAAAATTGAGCTTTGTAATTTAGACTATTTGCAGTTTAGGTATACTGATTAGTAATTTTACGTTTTAGGTGGATTCCGCAAATTAGGCTTTGTGATCATAATAGTAGTTTATTTTGTAAAAAAGTGTTCAATATTGTATTAAGTTATAGAAGAGTTAATGGAACTCGGTTACAATGAATGTAACAGGAACTTTAAGTGAAGATGTTGTTTTATTTTGTAATAAATTCTTTAAAATCAGATTATTGGATTTTTATTTATTGTTTAATTTAAATAGCATTTGGATTTAGCTATATTTTCATTTTTTAAAGTAATTCAAGCTTAGTGTCAACACTATATTAGTGTAAACAAGAGAGAATCCAAAATCACATAGTAGTTCTACAGTGGAACTCTGTAACACATAAAAATAAGTTTGTTTGGCGTAAAGGAAAAAATAAAAAAGGGTTTTTATTTATCCAAAACAAAACGTTTATTGTTAATATATGTTCGTCATTATAAAGCTTTTTATACAAAAAAGTAGTTGTTATACACAATCGTGTAAACAATCGCGATGTACAGTTACATCAACATTCGCTGTACTTCGTAAAGCAGTCCCTACATAATTTTCTATATGAAAATCAGTATGCGTGTTTTATAGGCAGCTAACACGAGCGAAGTGTTACTTTCTTTGTTATATTAGATTAGTTTTTTCGGTTCTTTGATACGACATAGATATATGCATCTACCTACGACCACCTTCACATTCCCGTCCTGGATCCAACTCTAACCTCTAGATTTCTCTATGGTGCTGATTAATATCCCATATTCGTTGATCTACAGGATTATAAACTGCAAGATCAAAGTAACCCCGACGAAGCTTCTGCGAGGGATAGATGTGGTTTAACGTGGAATTAATTTTGTATGACCTGCTGGAAGATCTTTTCCCTGTTGCTCAATGGAAGCTGACTTCAGAAGTATCTCTGAAGACATTTTTCAATTTGACGACTCTGTATATAACAATACAGGGAGAAAAAAACAGCCCTTGCTGAGTTTCTTGCCGGTTCTTCTCAGTGCAAGGTCTCCCGCCGTAGTTTTGCAAACCGATGGCGTAGCATCTTGACCTTCACAAGTGCTTGTTACAGCCTAGACTGAATAAATGATTTTTGATTTTGGATTGTAATTCTTGCAGCTAGAGAAATATATTGACGGCGGCGCTTCTTCGGGGGGTAGATGTGGTATACTTAGTGTTGTTCGGTCACTTCTATTTGACCTGCTGAGCAGAAGTGGGATGGTTCAGATCACTTCTGTATGACTTGCTGATGTATCTTGTCCTGTTGCTCAGTAGACTGTAGTTGCTGCAGCGTGAGCAGAGACACTCCGAGCTGGTCTTCGCGCGTGAAGGGCTGCGCCATCTGACGCAACCAACGCTTGCAGATCTGAAGGACAAAATTGCGTCATCATCAACCTATTAATGTCTACACTGCACCACTCAGGGCACGTGTCTTTCCTATGGATGGAATAGGGAGATTGGGCCATGACATGTGCTAACGACTGCAGATGCAGCCGGGACCGACGGCTTAACGTGCCTTCCGAAGCACTGAGGAACTCGAGATAGAAGGTTTTTGGTCACCCATCCAATGACCGACCACTGCGAAAGTTGCTTAACTTCAACGATCGTAGCCGAACGCGTTAACCGCCCGCGCCATCGAGCTCCTCAATGTTGCGTGTTAACTTACAATTGTAATAATGCGTTTATTATATCGATAGACAATTATACAGAGGGCGTGCGTTGCCTTATGCGTGCAATTTCAAGTTATTTTTATAGAACAACGTGAGACCCGCATCACGCAGCGCTGCTCTAAGAATTTCCTACATGACAACGGCTAACTAGAGCCGAGGTCCGAGTCTCAGAGACGCCCTCTAGTTGAGCCGACCCCCTCAGGTGCTCGTGGTCTAGAGGCTCCAGACGGAGAGGAGACCCCCCGTGGGGAGATGCCATCCTCCTGGAATACCTCTAGAGGCACTCGCCAATTCTATACAAAAATAACGTATGAACGTTTTCAAAAACTTGTCAATTATCGTATTTAAAATAAGTGATGAATGTTGGTTTAAGGAAAAACTTCAAACTACACCCTCTTCTTAATAAACAAGGAATAAAGGAGATTGCCCAAATTGGCCTAAATGCACAAAAAATATTGACATACACGGTAATTCTTGGCGTAATTTATAATTTAATTTACAGTCATTAGATTTCAACACCTTTTTATAAAATATTTACTTTAATACCGGTTTGGAAAACATACGAATCATTTTTAATGGCTATGGGTGTAGTAACATTCAGCCAAAGACTGATCACAGTTGTTTATATAAGATAAAAACAAATCTATTTTATAAAGATCAATAAAATAAATCATTTTTTTTATTACACTGTGGTATTAATATCCACCACTATATTATCATTTTCACTAGATGCAAATGTGCTCAGACAATTATTATAGATGGTAGGCGACATCATAAAGTCTATTGCCATACATTTTTCGCCAAACACCTCCATAAACATATTATAATCTGTTAGACTTTAAGATATCTATCTATGGGCCTACGTTCCCTGACTATAAATTAATAAATAAATAAAATTATAAGGTGTGATACACTAAAAATCTAAAATATGGTTATCTTAAAAACAACAAAAATAATGAAGCTACTGAATATACGGCTATAGAACCTAAATATCTTAGCTTTTTTTGGTTAACTAGAATTTAAAAATTCTCTCTAATCTGTGGCTCATTCACAATCATCACACAGTTTCTGTCACAGAGTATCTTATTATAACCGGAAATGACACGTGATTTTAAAAGTTACTCTTATGCATTAACTTTAAAAACAGGCAACTATCTGTTATTCTACATGCTCTATATACCTGAATCTAATCCATAATTTCGGTACTTGGCTTGATTTCCCTAGTTTACTATATAACTTATTTGTTTTTTATTATTTTAATATGTTCAGTGTATATGGTTTATAGAAGTTCTCAGGGGTGTCCGTCAATAATATTCGTTTCTACAGTAATTTATATATAATTTCGAATTTAGGAAACAATTTTTCATGATTATTGGTCTTTAGGCCAAACATGTATGGAAGCTGAGCAATCTCCTTTAGACTAGTTACGCCGCGTTTTATTCATATCACTCAAATGCCATTTGACATTGAATGGACAGAGACAAAACATGGAAAAAAAAAGAAATGATGTGGTGTCGTGGGACACCAGGTAGGAACGAAGTTCCTTCGGCTAATTTAGAATCGACACAAATTGCAAACTCGCTTGTGTATGCGACTGTCGCGCCTGCACACGTCTCATTTAACGGTTTTATTCCACGCACTTTTTTCCACGGATTTTTTCTTACGGTTTTACTATCACATTTTTTTCAGTTCGGTCGCGCAGCAAAATCCCTATCCCCTCCAAGCCTGCCGTAAGGAACTTCGTTGCAATAACAAATCCAAGCCTATTCTTCGTTAATAAATAAGGGGGTTAGTATATAATATATAGTATATAATAATAATAGTATAGTATATAATAGGGTTTAGTGACGTCGTAATAGCTATCGTAATGTATTACCTGCACGGCTTCCTCAGTGCTGAGGTTGCAGAGGGAGTCCTTGAGGTGTTCCTGTATCCAGCGCGGCAGTTTGCTCCGCTTGTCGGCGCGGCTGAACCGCTTGTCCGCGAATATCATGATGCCGTAGTCCGTTTTACCCCTAAATAAATAAATAAATATTTCCAACACACACCAATTAGCCTAGCCCCAAGTAAGCACTGTAAGGCTTGCGTTATGGGATACTAGGGTAACGGAAAGAATACATATACAGTACATATATATGGAAATACATATTTAACATCCATGACCGAAGTACAAATGCTCGTATTCATCACACAAAAATCTGGCCCCACCGGGATTCGAACCCGGGACCTCTCGAGTCGGCGACACCTTGAAAACCGGCATACAAACCACTCGGCCACGTAGGTCGTCGAAATAATATAACGAGTACGAATTAGTATTACTAAATGATATTATATTATGAGTCTAAATCAAAAACTGTCCTAATGGTATCGATTTTGGAAACTATCGAAATTTCTATAAAATTTTATATATAAAGCTAACCCGGTGGGGCTAATGTTGTGTGATGAATAGAATACGAGCATTTGTACTTAAGTAATGGTTACACAACCATCATTTATATACATGACGCCCCACAGGTTTGTAACACGGAGGGCAAGTATATTAAATATTAAAGATAGGATATTTTACTGAAGAAGTACATCATTTTGTTTTTAATAATAAATAGAACGGCATTCACAGTTTAAAAAAATATGGGAATCAAACTCGTGAAAGGTGAAACAAAACAAAATTTTCCTGAACAGAATTTAATTTCATGATCTTCCTTTCATTTAAAATGCTATATTATTTAGAAAAAAATAATCCTTATCATTACCCCTTCCGATGGTTGTCATAAAATACGTCCGTCTTGCGTTTTTTAAATAAAATTTCACCACATCAAAATTATAAACAATACTTATGTATTGTTTATAATACACTACACACATACACTTATGTGTCGATTCTGCTGGCATGCATAATTCTCTAAACTAAATTTAACATCAGTCACTCCATTTCATTCTGTATAGAGAAAGACAAGGTTACACTGTTGTCAAAAAATTTTACTTTAGAGAACTATGCACGAATCAACCCCATAATTAACTTTTAATTTTGTTTCTTTGTCTATCGGTATGGCAAAACATTGATGTAAACAGCGTATAAGTAGGAAAAAGTAAATCAAATTAAGTAGTTAGTTATAAGGTCAGCTGCCCACATCGAGCGACTTTTATTACCTTGGTAATTGGTATACTTGAAGTATAACTTAAAAAAAAAGTATACTTGAAGTATAACTTTTAAACGCTTTCAAATGTCAAATTAATAGGTAAATGCCATCACACGAGGCCCTAAATCTTATTTAGATGCACCGTGATTATTATCGTGTCGCGAAAAAAATAACGACTACGATATACTCACGGAGTTTTGTTCATGAGTATATCGTAATCGTTATTAAATCATCAGTCACACAATTATTTAATTACTTAAATTCTATTAAATACCTATGTGGCGGCGACATCTACATGCCCCACAAATGAACATAGAGGAAATAGTCACTCGCATCCTTAAGAGATGGCGCTACCGGCGCTGCGTTCACAACGTAAGGAAGCCTACATCGCGCAAGTGAAATTTGGCAGCCAACAGTTCATATATACGATGCTCGACTAACATCAGTCGGGCCGCGGCCCCCGAGCTACCATCACCCAGCTCGGAGGAAGATCTTCCCCTTTATTTAGCCTTCCTACTACCTATTTATTTTTGTATTTACCTCAAAGCTCTCCCCACACATTGCGCCGCGTGTCGCATCGCGTCGAATGTCAGGAAGTCGTTCTCGCGGATCTGAAGCACCGAATCAGTATTTAAGTCATACAATACAACTACCTATGGGTGTATTCCGAAATATAAACCAGTACGCTGGCCAGCGGTAATGACGTCATGATTTCGACGCCATATTGCACTGGTGTAGTAGTAGTGTTGTCAATATGGCGTCGAAATCATGACGTCATTACCACTGGCTAGCGTACTGGTGTTTGATTCGGAATACACCCTATATCTATTGAATGAACAAACACAGTAATATTACCAAATATTCACTTCATTTTAATAAGAAATAAACCTGCGTAGTCAAACCACAAGCAATTACATTTGACATTTCGAAAACCTCACGCTACACTAGCGCCTCTAGCGGCGGATTCGGTAGTGGGTCACCTGGTAGTTGTCCCTTGTGTAATACTTTCAATACGAGGCTCTAAAGACGTAAATGCCCCAGGTGGGGCTCGCTATAGTGTCATACGTAGTAGTGTGGATAGTGGGTCACCTGGCTACAGCTCTTACACGCCTATCTTTATATTTTCAGTACTAAATGCATTCTAGCAACTGCCCGATGCGAGACGAAACAGAGCCACTGCGCTTTGATTGGCTAATACAAGGTTATAATGTAAGTTAACGACTCGATGATTGGTCAGCATGCGTCTGTTCACGATAGTGGTCGACTCTGATTGGACATTTATCTGATTTATTAGTCAGATGTGCTGTCCGGTATATTTGTTATTATTATTAGGAGGAGCTCAATTGCGCGGGTGGTTAGCGCGTTCGGCTGCGATCGTTGAAGTTAAGCAACTTTCGCAGTGGTCGATCACTGGATGGGTGACCAAAAATCTTCTATCTCGAGTTCCTCCGTGCTACGGAAGGCACATTAAGCCGTTGGTCCCAGCTGCATCTGCAGTCGTTAGCACCCGCCAATCGCACTGGGCCCGCGTGGTGGGTCATGCATGGCCCAATCTCCCTATTCCATCACATCACCCAGGCCTGTGCCTCAGCAGTGGGGACATTAATAGGCTGATGATGATAATTATTATTATTAGGGCTGTTTAGTCGGTGTTAGTAAGTCACCTTTTGACCACCTCCGTGGCCGAGTGGTTTCATGGTGTCGCCGACTTGAGAGATCCCGAGTTCGAATCCCGGTGGGGGCAGATGTTAGTGTGATGACTACGAGCACTTGTACTCCAGTCATGGATGTTGAATATATATTTCCATATAAATATACTTATATATATAGACAGTATATGTATTCTATCGTTACCGTAGTATCCCATAACATAAGCCTTACAGTGCTTACTTTGGGGCTAGGCTAACTGATGTGAGTGTTGGAAATATATATTTATTATTATTTATATAGTCATACGCCCGTACGCACCTCGGTGGCGGACGTGTCTCGGACACAGCAGATATTTATTAATATTCTTTAAATCAAGTTTCTACCGAAAGTGATCATTGTTTTCTCGGCAATTGAGCTCCTTTTTCTCTGTGTGTGCAAGTGCTTTGTTACCTTTTGGTGGCCATAAAACTGTACGCCGCAGCAACCGGTGCGGGGAAAAGGCAACATCACCCCTTCTCACTAGGAAGTGTCACCGATAGAGCTAAGAACAACCAGAGGTGGCGCTGGCAATGCAAGGAAATATGCTACGTACACTAGCAATGAGTGGACGCTGCGAGTCGGACCCAGATTTATTAAAAAATAAAAAATGTATGCGTGTAACTTATGTACGCGCGTGAGAAGTTATACTTCTTTAGCATCATTAAAAATATTTTTTAATTGCATGCAAATAGTTAATAATTACAATAAAATAATAAAAGGACTGGAAAAGGATAGTTAACACAGTCAATTAAGTTCAGTTTTAATTTGAAAAATTAAATAAATATTCAAAATATTCAATTAAAATCACTACTGAATTTAAGTTATTAGCCCATATGTAATTAGCACTTGTAAGTAACTAAAACACGTTGTGTCTATATAGAAACTAGAAACATGTGGATAAATATTATAAATATGAAAACAGTGATCAGAGGCGACGAGCGTGCCAACATTGTTTTTGACAACGCGATCATCTTATGGAGCTCCGTGGATCGTTCAAAGTACCTTTCGAACAGATGTCTAATAATGGTGGATTATTAACCACTAAGTGGCTGTCTAATAATGGTGGATTATTAACCACTAAGTGGCTGTCTAATAATGGTGGATTATTAACCACTAAGTGGCTGTCTAATAATGGTTGATTAATCAACCATTATTAGACACTAACATTCATAACGCGCCCGCGGCTAACTTCATGGTGTTACTATTGTGTTACAGTGATGCGCGCGCATCTTAAAATTTCACTCTCATCATTTTTTCATAACGCGCCCGCGGCCAACTTCATGGTGTTACTATTGTGTTACAGTGATGCGCGCGCATCTTAAAATTTCACTCTCATAATTTTTTCATAACGCGGCTAAAGAAGTATAACTTCAAAAATATATATTTTACCTGGTAGTTGTCCCTTAGGTAAGTGAGGCGCGCCTTCAAGATGCGACTCTGCGTGAATACATAAGGGATGCCGAACATAAGCACGGCGCGCCCCAGATGGTGCTCGAAGTCCACGCCCTCCGATACCTTGCCGCGCGCCACCGATAACAATACCCCGCCCCGACCACTTTCACACGCCTGCCGATACGAATAATACGGTTTAAGATATGTTTTAGCATTTAACTACTAGATGTTTAAATCTAAAGAAAAGTTTTACTAGAAAAAATCCACGCGAACCAGGCAGCGGACGGGACTCGAACCCGCACCCTTCGCAATCCGGGCGAATGCACTGACCAATTATGCTACTATAATTTATATTTTTTTTCTAGTAAAACTTTTCTTTAGTACAATGCGAAGAGATGGCGCTGCCTTGCAGCTTAAGGCTAGGAAAATTTCGACGCGGCCATCAGGGCCGTGGTAGCATAATTGGTTAGTGGATTCGCCCGGATTGCGAAGGGTGCGGGTTCGAGTCCCGTCAGATGCCTGGTCCGCGTGGATTTTTTTCTAGTAAAACTTTTCTTTAGTCTTAAACGGTTTAAGATATTTATTCTAATAAAAATGTACAAAATTCACTTGCAATGAGAACATAAAATATTTTCAATAACAATTTAGTTTAACACGGAGATACATTGAAGTCGGGGGTAGAACCAGCGTTGCCAGACGTCTCGATTTTTAAATCATAATAGGCTATTTGACAGTATGGAAAATAATGTACCAATTATTGGCATCTGTATTTAATATGAATATTAGCAGCGATAATACTATTCTAATAAAAACTCATTAAATAGAAATGATTTTTTTGCTCCATGGTCACGTGACCGAAAACGCCTGTGATTGGCCAAGACTAAAATGACATCACACGCTAGTATACTTCCGGCCAAAGTGACATTACATTGTATCGTTTGACGTTTTAATGACAGTCGTGTGACGTCACACAGTAGTGAGACGCCATAATGTTCAAAGAAACGTTTTGGCGGCAACTTGTAAATTTAATTTTGTTTTTTTACAGATTTACACAAAAGAATTAATAATATCCACATTTTATGGAGTCCATAAACATTAGGAAATAACGTGGAATCGCTTTGTAAAACTTGTCAAATACCCTATTAAATGTCCCGCGCGGGACAGGCTCAATCCCGCTTTTCAGGAATAACTCGACCGTGCCTGCAGCGTACTGAGAAAGCGCGGGCGGGTGGCAGAGACAAGTGTGGACTGACCACCTACCCGGCGCGTAATGAAAAATTCAAACAAAGACTCGACTATTTAAAGATAGGGGGTAATCGTTAGATTAAAACAAAAAGGAATGATACAGTACGCTCATACTAGCATCAAATAAAAATATGATCCGACTCAACTACATAAGCAACTCTCACACACGCACACGTCTGTATATAAACATTCAATCGAACGAGCGAAACAGAACTATACGCTTCAAAGCAGTGTATTGTTGTCCTTTTCTTAATAACAAAATGGCGATTACGTAAATAACATTCACGACAAACCGTGATTTTTGAAAAATTTAAGCGGATCACTTTTGAGCCGCGAGTGCCGTATCTTCCCTTTTTGTTTTAATCTAAGGGTAAATTTGATTTAAAATATCATATTTTTAACATTTCTATGAATATTTTAACTAGGTACCTATCTATTGTCACGTAAATGTAATTTGAACTCAAATAAAAAGATAAATATTCAAAAAATTATATACGTTTTTTTACTATGTCCCGCTTTCGACGAAAGAATCTTGCTTTTTTCACTTAAAAAGTTCCTAAATCCCGACTTGGCAACAAAAAATCTGGCAACGCTGGGTAGAACTAAAAACAGTGTCACTGCTCATTGATTGCGTTCGGGCATAGATGGCTCGGTTAACAAATAAAAAACTTTAAACACATATATAATAGCTCTGCGTCGTACTAGAAGAGGCTTGTGCTGCGTGTGTTAAGAGTTAAGTGCGTAAATAATTTATATTTATTATATTGCTTGTTCAACGCCGCTGTTCATATTTTATTTGATGCAGTTTCATTATCACGGGAGTTAGTTATTTAATTATTATATATTAAGTCAGTTTCAATAATCGAACTCTATACTATATTCAACGTCCTTTGAAAAGGTTAAAAAAATAAACCTATGTTTAAAAACAAATTTAACCTATGTGTCACTCTGGATGCAAACCACTGTTTTTAGACATACACCAACAGCAGAGCAGTACTTATAAAGTTCCGATCCCATTAGGTACGAAAGCTTATATATAATCTATATATATAAAACTCAAAGGTGACTGATTTGACTGACATAGTGTTCTATCCACGCACAGCCCAAACCACTGGACGGATCGGGCTTAAATTTGGCATGCAGGTAGATGTTATGACGTAGGCATCCGCTAAAAAAGGATTTTGATCAATTCTACCCCCAAGGGGATAAAATAGGGAATGAAACTTTGTATGCAACTTTGTCAATTTTAAACCGATCGGGCTGAGACTTTGCATGCAGGTATAAGAAGAATCATAGATGAATGTCATTGTGTATAATATAAGCCTGAGAACAAAAACTGTAGTCTACACTTCACTTCTACACCGAAGCGAAGCGAGGGCGGGCCGCTAGTTGAAAATAAAAGCACATTCAAGTGATTGAAAAACAATAAACATAGATAGAACGCTGACAACATATCCTCACCTTGATGTAATTAAGAAGCGCGAAGCTCGTTTCTGCAGAATCTTGCGTTTCTATGAACAGTAGCTTGTGCCGCTGTAAACTCGCCACCACGCCTACAAAATAAATGGCAGATTTAAAAAAAACTTTAAACATAAGGCGATATTTTTTTAAATAAAAATATAGAAATGTTTAAAGCAAAATTTTAGATAACACATGACTCATTCAAGCAATACACTGTATCCTTAGCACGACCCAACATCGTATCGAATCATCGAATACGTATAGTTTGCGAGTCCGAAATGTCATTGTCAAAATTTGTATGGAAACTTGAACAACAGCGCAACAACGGACGTAACGAAACTAATATTGAGATGGCAAGACTAATATATTTTAGCTACTATCATATTTTAATATCATACGACATATTATTGTGGGCCTCAGCAGCGGTTTTTTTTTAGATAGGTCCGACAAATGACTCCACCCCACCTGATGTTAAGTGAAGGTGAAGTCCAGACGTGAAGATAGCTGGTACAGCAGTTCTACCTGCCACACCACCCATCCTCACCCTGCCGGCCTGCATGTTGCTTCTTCACGCCTCTTTTAAAGGATCCCAGGTTGTAAGAGGGAGGGAACACGTGAGCGGGCAGAGCGTTCCATTTACGGATAGTGCGACAAAGAAATGAGTCACTGTGTTTGTTCTGCAGAAGAGAGCAGTGCGGGCCATTTATAACCGTAAAGGAATATCGGGGATTCTTTGAAAGATTTCTTTAAGGAGATTAATATAATGACTGTAGCTTCACAGTTCATTTATGAAAACCTTTTATATGTTCGTAAAAATATTGACCAATTTACAAAAAAAAGAGTAATTTACATTAGTTCAATACAAGAAACAAAAATAAACTTGCCGTTCCAAATTTCAGACTGCATAAGATAGGTTATTCATTTATGGGAAAATGCATTACTTTACAATAAATGACCACAAACTATTATAGAACTGCCCATCCATAAATTCAAAGCCTATATTAAAAGTGCCTTAATGAAAAAGGGCTACTATAATGTTGCAGATTATATCACACTAATATTACAAATGCGAAAGTTTGTGAGTGTGTATGTTTGTTACTTCTTCACGTGTAAACGGCTGGAGTGATTTTAATAAAATCTGGTATGGAGTTATTAAAACAGGCTACGTTTTACTGCGGGAAATTTTTACTTATAAACCGCGGGTAACACCGTGGGGCACAGCTAACAAAAGATAAAAATGTTTGGAATCTTATAACTGCCTAGCTCGCATAAATATATAATTGTATACAATATTGTAAAAAAATGAAAAGAGGCTGACAAACTAAACGTGACTAAGTTTCTTGCGCTATATCTTCTCAGCGAGGAGCTCGATGGCGCCAGTGATTAGCGCGTTCGGCTGCGGTCGTTGAAGTTGAGCAACTTTCGCAATGGTCGGTCATTGGATGGGTGACCAAAAATTTACTATCTCGAGCTCCTCCGTGCTTCGGAAGGCATGTTAAGCCGTTGGTCCCGGCTGCATCTGCAGTCGTTAGCACCCACCAACCCGCACTGGGCCCGCGTGGTGGATCATGGCCCAATCTCCCTAACCCATCCATAGGGAAGGCCTGTGCCCCAGCAGTGGGGACATTAATAGGCTAATGATGATGATGATGATTTTTTCGAATTCGATATTGATTCGTGCTAAGGGTACAGTACCTCTAGCAGGAACCATTATCGAATTCGAATAGTTTGCGAGTGCAAAATGACAATGTCAAATTTTGTATGGAAACTTGCACAGCCGCGCCACAAAGTACGTAACGAGAATTTAAAATCAGTACACATTTGGCAATGACATTTTGGACAATGAGAATTCACATGATCTTTTTGTTATGCAGAAGAAGTGTATTCGTATCCTTGCACAAATAGACAATACAGTGAGCTGCAAACCTTTTTTTAAAAAATATAAAATACTTACTCTTCCAAGCATATACATACGCGACATATGTGGTTTTGTATTTAAAAATTCTAACGCGTTTAATAAAGTTAGCCAAACCCATAATATTAATAACCGCCATAAAAATAGATTAAATCATCCCCCATCAAGACTAACCATGCTTAGCAATAGCCCCTACTACATGGCAGTTAAGATATTTAATAAATTACCACATTCTATAAAAAACCAAAAATCTATTAGCACATTTAATACAAAACTTAAAAATTTTCTAATTGATAAATGCTTCTATTCTGTGGATGAATATTTAAATTTCAAATAAATAATAATTTAATATATGAATGCACAAAGTTAAAAAGAAAATATATTTATTAGATAAATGCTTTTAAATATATATAAATGAACACTTTACAACAAAATAATACTTATGAGGCGATTTTTTTAAAATACAAACCTAGTATATAATAATCATGTTAATTGACATATTATTTTATTTTTATTTTATTTTTATTGACATATTTATTAATTTTAATTACTGACAAATTTAATTTAATTTTATAAATGAATTTCCATTTCTATTATATTTCTACTGTTAATAAGATCAATTGAGTAAGTTATATTGTTAAACAAATGGAATCAGATGACATTTATGCATAATTTGAGATATAAGTGGTTTAATACAAATTAGGTTCCTTATATACATAATTGTTTATTAATTAAATTCTTTTGTAATTTTTATCTTTAACTGTACTGTATATTGCGATACCCTGACAGGGTTCATGTTAGGTACTATAAGCATTTTGTAACCATCGATGTAATCACATGAGTGCAATAAATTGAATTGAATTGACTCGCAAATGTTACGAATTCGAAAATGGTTCGTGCTAAGGGTACAGAGTTCATGACTTAGAGTGTACTAGTATGTAAACATTAAGTTACCTTGATCATACCAGGCTCCCACGACGCTTTCCAAGTACATATATGACGTGAAGAAGCAAACCACACCGTCGGGCACGCTCGCTGCTATCTGACAATATGACACTATTTTATCAAAATTTACAGTTCAAGAAAACTTATTTTAAAAAACCGGCCAAGTGAAGTCGGACTCGTGCACTAAGGGTTCCGTACTGTTATCTATACTAATATTAAGAAGCTGCAGAGTTTGTTTGTTTGTTTGAACGCGCTAATCTCTGGAACTACTGGTCCGATTTGAATGAATCTTTCAGTGTTGGGTAGTCCATTTATCGAGGAAGGCTATAGGCTATATATTTTTTTTTTCAAAATAAGGGATCCGTAATAAAATTGCTATTTTGTAACACAAGGTGTAAAATCGAAAACCTATTTTTGCGTGCGCTGCAAAAACTATTGACAATAGAACAAAATGATGTACTACGGGTTTGTAGATCCCATTAAGACCTACAAAAAAGTCCGCAAGAACATATATCTAGCTATCATGGTTTAATCACAATAACCGATTTTGTGTTCAAAATAATTATTAAATCGTCTGAAGAAAAAAAAAGTACGTTAAATATGTATCGTAATATTAAAAACACAAAACAACCCTTAATTTTCACCCCTCTACCACTCATATTTTTATGGCGATACGAAGTTCGCTGGGTCAGCTAGTCTATAAATAAATAAATAAGCGTTTATTTCTTTTAAATTGATATACATTTAGTTTACACATTAGCAGTGTTGTAATTTTAATAATAGGTATAAGGTTGTAGCGTTGATCAGCACTAGTTTAATAAACTGTATTGCAGATACCGGCGCCTTCCGACTTGTTATCAATACAGTCTCGTGTAAATAATTTAATCTATAGCTATAATGAAAACGTTATTAAAAAGAAAATGGTCTTACTATACAACATTAGACACTATATTATAACGTTGAGTAAAAAACCTAAAGGCCAAGTGCGAATCGGACTCGCGCACTGATAGTTCCGTACAAACATGAATTTACAAAATTATTTTTTATTATATGATGTAAACTAAAAATTTACGGTTTCCGCAATTTTTCCTTTATCTATAACGAACCAATATCGAATTCGAACAGTTTGCGAGTCCGGAATGTCATTGTCAAATTTTGTATGGGAACTTGAACAGCAGCGCCACAACGGACGTAACGAGAACTAAAAATCAGTATACATTTGACAATGACATTTCGCACTCGCAAACTCTTCGAATTCGATTTTGGTTTGTGCTAAGGGTACTGTACCAATAAGACGTTACTTCACGGGAATTACCCTGTAGGTTCCCGAATTCCCGAGCGAGCTTCGAAAATTTGCGGCATAAACGGCTGTATCTTTTCATAGCTTAGAAATTTGATTTTCTCCAAGGGTCTAATGTAGACCTGAGTTTTAGATATTAATTTCAGTTTGACACCTCCACGCGTTCCTGAGAAAAACGACGGACGGACAACAAAGTGATCCTATAAGGGTTCCATTTTTCCTTTTGAGGTACGGAACCCTAAAAACAGCAAAAACTCACGTTTGTTGCATGGGAGCACCTCTTAAATATTTATTTTCTCTAAATTTAAATATTTCTTATCAAAACGAATACACAACTAAATATTATGTGAATATTTCAAGCTTCTACCTGTTGCTATTATTAATACAGAGCAAGAAACGGCAAAAAATCGCGTTTATTGTATAGAAGCCCCCCTTTTTTTTGACGCAGGCAAAAACTCTGTTTACAGACTACGGCGCCTTTAAGAGGCACACCGCCGAACAGACCTCACACCTGTCTCCCGCAAACCTTAGGGATTCTTCCGCGTCGTATAGAAGCCCCCTTAAATATAAATTTTATTCTATATTTAGTATTTGCTGTTTCAACGGCAACCGAAATACATCATCTGTGAAAATTTCAACTGGGTAGATATAGACAGGAGAAAGGCGGTCAGACGGACAGCGGAGTCGTAGTAATACGGTCCCGTCCTTACCTTTAAGGTATGAAACCTAAAAATTAATTATTATTTAATACATAAAAAGTATTTGGAAAAGTTCGTCCATTAAAGCCTTTTTTTAATCGGATAAGATTTCTGAAAGTTATGTTAAATAACAAGTGTAACAATAAAAATTTAAATATATTAACTTTATAGAGATACCGAGAGATGATCTACACATTTGTTGTACTCTAAGTTTGAGGACACGAAACACTCGATATTTGCATTTCCATTAGATAAAAATAAGTATCTGTAATACTGTAAATCACTTTCAAAGTCCTAATTTTGGTATGATCCCCTGAACCTAAAACAATACCTGGCCTATTCAGGTCCCTCTTTCCTAGTGGGCACTTTGGGCAAGGGCCCAGGACCCCGCGATCGATAGGGACCCCCCTCAGATCAAATACAAAGTCCCTAGTTCCTGTTAAATCACCAAACGTGGGTCATAGGGGCCCCATTATCCTAATCTTGATGCGTGGCTATCCTCAACCGTGAGTTTTTGTCGAATTTTTTACCACGCACGACAAAACTGTGGAATATATTGTCGTCAGCAGTGTTACCGAACCAAATCCGACCCAAAAACCTTCAAAAAAAGAGCGTACTCCTTCCTTAAAGGCCGGCATCGCATTTGTGATACTCCTGGTGTTGCAAGTGTCCATAGGCGACGGTGATCACTTACCATCAGGTGAGCCGTCTGCTCGTATACCCCCTATGACATAAAAAAAAAATGCCCAGGGCCACCAATAGGTCAAAGGCGGCATTGTTATGTAAGTATTATAATACCTCAACCAACAGCTGTCCGTAGTTTCTTATGACGGCTACATCTTCTCTCGACTCGTATTTAGACGATATTGCTACTTGATCACTCCCTTTAGATACTATCTGAAAACAACAAACTTCTTAATAATAAATATTGGAATACAATTCAATCATACATCAACAGAATAGCCATATATATTGAATCATCATGATCTTGAATTACTTTAAAGAGGTAAAAAAAATATTACTGGGTTTTTTAGTTAGAGCTCGGAGGCGATAATTTTATAAACTACTCTGATAGATTAGAAGAAAGTTGTGAAACATACCATTGGCAGGATGCAGGGCCTTGCCAGCGTCATGGTGAATGAGGACATCACCACGGGATTGAAGTCCAGGATCTTGGGGTACATATCCAACGGGGACAATGTACCAGACGTTATGATGACGGACTGGAACCGCGCGAACACGGGCCGCATCGCGATCGACGAGTCCATACAACTGTATCGACAACGTATCATATATAGAGTGTCAAGGAGGATATCTCCACGGGGTTCAAGTCCAGGATCTTGAGGTACATCTCAAGAGCTGAGCTTGGACAATGTTCTAGACGTTATGATGACGGATTGGAACCACGCGAACGCGTCCATATAACTATATAATATAGACATCATGACATTTATATAATTCTATGATGACAAGTGTGAAAACCGGCGTCGCTCAAAGCCTCAAATCCAGGTGAAGCAAATGTTTGCATAACAAATAAGAACATTTTTGTAACCAAGTCATGGCTGTTTCTGTACATTTTCACAAAACAAACATAAATCTATACAATGTTATATGTATATCTATCTGTTAAGCCTGTATAGTCGTCTGTATATCCCTTAACACAAGCCTTACAATGCTTATTTGTTTCTTAGGTTTTCACGCACATCACTCATTAAATAAAACTAGTTTTTACGGGTTAATGCACGAACCTTTATTTATTTATTGACGTTTCGCAGCCTTTTCAGGTCTGCATCGTCAGAATAATGATTTTTTATTTAAAATTGTCGAGCTACCTTCGAAAGACTTATATTGAGCGTTCGGTTATTTCATTGGAAGATTTTTAAAATTTTATTGTCTATGTATGAATTTATTATTTAATTTACTTAATAAAGTATTTTATTTAAAATTGTTGTTTGTAATTTTGAGTTTATTTATTTGACCCTAACTACCGTAAACTACCACCGGTTCCAAAATTGGGAGACCTTCCTGAGAAGAACCGGCGAAACAAACTCAAGAGAGGCTTTCTATCTCCTTCTTATGTTAAATTATGCAAACAAAAAGAACTAATAGTATTTGATGGTCTTGCAGTGTGTGCTCGGGGTTGGGATTTTATCTCCTGTATAATAGGTTCCCAAGCTGGTGGTATATACCAACCATCTTCCCTATTGAAATTTGGATATTTTTTAATCTCAATAGCCTCGCGCATCATTCGACGAACGAACCGCCGCTCAGCTGCAAGGATCTGTGGTCTATCAAATCTAATGTAGTGGTTTGGTCCCCCTAATGCATGTTCACACACTGCAGATTTATTTTCGCGCCTATGTTTCATATCTGCGATATGTTCTTTTACCCGAGTCCCTATACTCCTCTTTGTTTGCCCGATGAAGGAGAGCCCACAGTCGCATTCAAGTTTGTAGACACCAGCAACTTGAAAGGGTGCTGGTGTCTACAAACACCAGCTTAGGGACTCGGGGAAATTACAAACAACAATTTTAAATAAAATACTTTATTAAGTAAATTAAATAATAAATTCATACATAGACAATAAAATTTTAAAAATCTTCCAATGAAATAACCGAACGCTCAATATAAGTCTTTCGAAGGTAGCTCGACAATTTTAAATAAAAAATTATTATTCTGACGACGCAGACCTGAAAAGGCTGCGAAACGTCAATAAATAAATAAAGTTTCGTGCATTAACCCGTAAAAACTAGTTTTACTTACAATGCTTACTTTGGAGCTAGGCTCATCGTTGTGTGTGTTAGAAATATTTACTTATTCGAACTTTGCTTGTTGGAGTTGGAGTATTCTCTGATACTACAGAACCGATATTGTTCGTTTCACGTGTATTAAGCTACATAATTCCTTTTTTTTGGTGATAACAAGTAAGTATTAAATTGATTTATATTGTCCTCCATTCCTTTTGCAGAAGATTGGTTTACGTTGTCAATTCACTGGACCAAGATTTAATAAAATTAAATACTTCAGGGGGTTGGATATAAGTATTTTGCCTTTCTTAAAATCAATTTAGAAATGCATGCTATAAGGTCGGTTGTTTTTTGTGTCTGGAAAATGCCTTACGCATCCTTCAACCACTGGGGGAGCGAGAAGAAGGTATGTGGGACTCCTCCCTGTCCTCTTCAGCCAGCCCTGGAGCTCGCTGATGTGAACAGGGCCCTACCTACGCCCTGAACAGGGCCAGACGATACTCCTGCACCGTCACTCGACACGCACTATGAGGACCGCGGTCCCTCTAGTGCATGCCGAGTCGTTTTACCCTAACACTCAGTAATTATTTTCTTACCATATTTTTTTAATTATCATGGTTTTTATTGCATTCACATAACTCTATATATGGTACGTAAATTATGTAAGTGTATAAATGTTTCAGCCTGTGGAAACTTAACTGGTTTATTGAAAAGTAATGAATGTAACTTAATTGAATTGTGTAAAAACTGTATGTTTCCCAAATGAAAATAAATAAATAGATTTTTTTTTAGTGCAGATATTATACTTACGAGAAATGTAGAATAGGATTAGACACAGTAGGCGTCTTATCATCAAACGGCTCGATGATGATGGTGAATCCTTTCGTGTATGTCGCCACTAATGTCGCCAGGTGAGTGACCAGCGTCAACGACGACAGGTTTGATGGATCGGGGATCTCCAAAGTACGAAGTAGTGACGAGAGGCGGGTCGCGCAGAATCGCAGCGGTTTGCGTTCGATGCATACGCGTGAAGACACGTCTTTTAAGAACCCTAAGGCAATGAATATTTCATGTTGGTATATTTTAAAGGATGTGGTAGACTATTTTAAGGATGTTAAGAATATTACACGTTGATCTGTTTTGATATTTAAAAGGTAGACTATACAGCAGATGATATTATAGCTATTAACGGGATTGTTACCATGTACCTTGTTTTTTATGAGTCTCCGATATTTCGGCATTGTTGCAAGCGCCATGATCACGGAGTAACTGAAGTAATTGCGGGTAGATGTAATTGGTAGACATATCGGTCTACCCTCTGACGTCGTCTTTTACTGCGCGCGCAAGTGTCCGGAATCCAGTGGTTCATATGTACAAAAACCGCAACAATCAAAAAAGTGTCGTTCCAGGATCTGATACTGTGAATATTGTGTGTCGGGAACAGGTGCGAGTGAATAGTGAGAATGTGACCAATGGTAGGGGTATCGAGCGCAGTAAAAGACGACGTTAGAGAGTAGACCGATATGTCTGCCAATAACATCTACCCGCAATTACTTCAGTTACTCCGTGATCATGGCGCTTGCAACAGTGCCGAAATATAGGAGACTCATAAAAAACAAGGTACATGGTAACAATCCCGTTAATAGCTATAATGTTAGTGACCACGAAAGTTTAAAACAATGTAGCAGATGATATTTTCCAAGGGCGACTATGTACTTGTCTGACAATTCTAACTATGTACTTATATAGCCAGACAGATTTTACTCTCTAACTGAGAGTAAAATCTTATATACGGTAAATGGTAGTTTTCGAGACGACAGCTCTTACTTAAAGAAAATCACCTCATTTAAAATATATCGAAAATAAGAGTATGGTATTGATTAATGATGTATAATATACAGAAAGATTATACGCCAACATTATTGCATTTTAAAATGGCACAGGAATCCCCGCCCCAACTTCCCTTGGCAACAGCCGCCAAAAGATTGCACTAAAGTGGTCTCTTTCACTCTCAAGCGGATTACTCTTTTTAGCCTCCACGTGTCAACGGTGTCAGCAACTGTCAAAAGGTAATCACTAAATATTTTTTAATTTAATATATTTAAAACTGTACTAACAAATAAAATGACAAGGTTATCTTATCCTTAATAGTTCCCGTGTAATGTGTGTACTATCTAAATACAAACAGGGCTTTTTGTCTGGAAAAACGTTACGAAAACGTAAAATATTTACACGTTATAATTTTTATTTTTTAAGCATGTAGCTGCTCCATGTGTAAATATTTAAATCTAAGGAAAATATTACTAGAAAAAATCCACATGGACCAGGCAGTAGGCGGGACTCGAACCCGCATTATACTTATAATTGCTTTTTCTTTAAAATTTTTAATACTTGTAAAGGTATTCATTTGACATTGTGGGTTACCTACAATGCGAAGAGATGGTGCTGCCTTGCAGCTCAAGAAAGGCTTGAAAGCATTCGACACGGCCATCAAGGCCGCGGTAACATAATGGTCAGTGCATTCGCCCGGATAGCGAAGGGTGCGAATTCGAGTCCCATCCTGGTGCCTGGTCGGCGATATTTTTCTTGTATTTTTTTTAGGTTTAAATATTTACACGTTGTAGCGAAGTGTAAACGCGACGACAGAATGTGCCCGCCTGAATGCAAGCAGGGCAATTACCCGACTTTCGTATTGCCAAATTAGAAGCGTTTATGACGATCTATAACTATAAAATATCATAGGTATATTATTACCTGCAGGCGACTCTTGCACGACGTGTTGTATTCTCAGTCTCGTCTTAAGATATTCAATGAATCGTTTTAAGAAGCACAGGAAGTGCTCCGCGTTACGGATGTTGCCCGGAACCACCTCTGCAAACGAGAATATTGCTTTCATTATCATCAACCTATTAATGTCCCCACTGCTGGGGCACAGGCCTTCCATATGGATGGAATAGGGAGATTGGGCCATGACCCACCACGCGGGACCAGTGCGGATTGGCGGATGCTAACGACTGCAGATGCAGCCGGGACAAACTGCTTAACGTGCCTTCTGAAGCACGGAAGAACTCGAGATAGAAGATTAGTGCACCCATCCAATGACCGACCACTGTGAAAGTTGCTTAGCTTCAACGATCGCAGCCGAATGCGCTAACCACCCGCGCCATCGAGTTCCTCCATCATATTGCTTTAATGATTATATTATGTGTCATTCTGTAGCGGCGACACCTATACGTCCCAGATATAATTAAACCCGAAAGATATCACTCGCCTTGCTAACAGATGGCGATACGGCCGAGCTATTTTCTGTGGCGATTAGTACGGAAAGCCTACATCGCGCTGAGGGAATTTCAAAGTTCACCCAATTATAATATCCAAAATCCGGCCAACATCAGTTGCCCTGCGGCCTCCCGGTAATAAAATTACCCAGCCCGGACGAATCGTCGCCTGCGATCGTTGAAGTGAAGAAACTTTCGCAGTGGTCGGTCATTGGATGGGTGACCAAAAATCTTGATTTCCCCCGTGCTTCGGAAGGCACATTAAGCCGTTGGTCCCAGCTGCATCTGCTGTCTTTAACATCTACCAAACGGCATTAGGCCCGCGTGGAGGGTCATGGCCAAATCTCCCTATTCTGTCCATAAAGAAGGCCTGTGCCCCAGCAGCGGGGACAATAATAGGCTGTCCGTCCAGCACCTGGTCCGGCAGCACCGGGTTGGCCAGCAGGGCGTATGTATGTTATTATGTGATGTCTGTATGTGTCCCCGTGTATAGGTTCCCATACCGTCCAGCACCTGGTCCGGCAGCACCGGGTTGGCCAGCAGGGCGTATGTATGTTATTATGTGATGTCTGTATGTGTCCCCGTGTATAGGTTCCCATACCGTCCAGCACCTGGTCCGGCAGCACCGGGTTGGCCAGCAGGGCGTATGTATGTTATTATGTGATGTCTGTATGTGTCCCCGTGTATAGGTTCCCATACCGTCCAGCACCTGGTCCGGCAGCACCGGGTTGGCCAGCAGGGCGTATGTATGTTATTATGTGATGTCTGTATGTGTCCCCGTGTATAGGTTCCCATACCGTCCAGCACCTGGTCCGGCAGCACCGGGTTGGCCAGCAGGGCGTATGTATGTTATTATGTGATGTCTGTATGTGTCCCCGTGTATAGGTTCCCATACCGTCCAGCACCTGGTCCGGCAGCACCGGGTTGGCCAGCAGGGCGTATGTATGTTATTATGTGATGTCTGTATGTGTCCCCGTGTATAGGTTCCCATACCGTCCAGCACCTGGTCCGGCAGCACCGGGTTGGCCAGCAGGGCGTATGTATGTTATTATGTGATGTCTGTATGTGTCCCCGTGTATAGGTTCCCATACCGTCCAGCACCTGGTCCGGCAGCACCGGGTTGGCCAGCAGGGCGTATGTATGTTATTATGTGATGTCTGTATGTGTCCCCGTGTATAGGTTCCCATACCGTCCAGCACCTGGTCCGGCAGCACCGGGTTGGCCAGCAGGGCGTATGTATGTTATTATGTGATGTCTGTATGTGTCCCCGTGTATAGGTTCCCATACCGTCCAGCACCTGGTCCGGCAGCACCGGGTTGGCCAGCAGGGCGTATGTATGTTATTATGTGATGTCTGTATGTGTCCCCGTGTATAGGTTCCCATACCGTCCAGCACCTGGTCCGGCAGCACCGGGTTGGCCAGCAGGGCGTCGGCGTCCCTGGCGGCGGCGGCGTCCCTGAGTCCGGCCACGAGCCTCTCGTATTCCTCCGTCAGTCGCGCCGCGTCTGCCTCGCGGATTCTGTGCGAGATATCAAAACAGAATGTAAATTGGAGGAGAAGGCTCAGTTTATAAAAAGCCCATAAGTTCTACAAATGTCTGGCAGGGATCAGAGATGTTAATTTTTTAAGTAGATGATACTCATCTGTTAAAAGATGTTTTTTGTCTAGAAAACCATAGATGCTCAATTTAGGCGTTCTTGTGGATCCTAACCTGGTTACTCTGTAAAGCACACTTACCTCTTAAGGAATCATTTGAAAAATTTAATATGTAACTTAGCCATTGGTTCCTATACCTCGTACTATACCTAGTACTTCACCTCTATTTTACAGTTCTGCAAGGGTAAGCAGAGGTTACAATTACTTTTAAAAAATACTAGTGGGTACTCGTCTTTGTGGTTAAATGGATTTTCCACTCTAAACATTCAGACCTTAATTGACATCTTTCTTTAAAGTAACCTGTCACTGTCTCCAAGTTATCATCAGACACTTTCTCATTAATAGTATTATTTAGGATAGCAGACAGAAATTATTAAGAACATGTCCTTTATTTTCATTACCTGAAATGGAAAATAGTAGAATGATGTACCATCTGTGCGTACAAATTGAAGCTAATGATATGACAGTAAGGTTGCCAAAAACGTACAACAAGTACTTCTCTGATATCGACCTATTCTCTTTGTCCAGAGCTGCTTTTAAAACGATATTATTTGAAATTATAACTGCAAGACCCAAATAGGCTTTTTGTTATTATTTATTTTATTATTATTAATTCATACAATTTATTTGAATTTTTATTTTTATTTATAATTATCAATTCATATTCTCAATAAAAATGACTGCACTAATGCATTTCCAAATATGGCTTAAATTATTTTCCCTGACATTTGTTCAATTTCAATTAAAATTTGTTTGATTTTATTCTCAGCGCCATGTAGGCCTACAATTACAAGCACTCACACTGAAGTACTTGAATGATGTAGTGCCCGGGTTGCGGCGTCCGCCATCTCGTTACCAGGTATAGCATTGCAGCTGCATGGACACACACACACACACACACACGCACACACACACACACACGCACGCACGCACACACACGCACGCACGCACACACAACGCACGCACACACACACACACACACACACGCACGCACGCACACGCACGCACGCACACACAACGCACGCACGCACACACACACGCACGCACGCACACACACACGCATACACCCACCCACACTTCATAAAGTTATCATGTGACAAATTCTTGAAAACCCCTTTTATATGGATATTCAGTGTTTGTTTTTCTTTTTTTTTTGTCATTTTGTTATGTTTTCTCCAATCTTAATTTTATTTTATTATTTATGTTAGTGAATTATATGATTTTTATACAATTTTTAAAATTAAATGTAATAATAACTGACATATAATAACGCCGTTAGTATCTAATGTGTACATAATGAGTTTCTGTAATTGGCCTTAAGTTGTATCTATATTTTATTGTATTAAATTCTTCAAAAAACCGCTGTAGAAACTTTGTTAAAGATAAATAAATAAATGAATGATCATACATACTGTGCTACAGACTTTTCCAAGTGTTGTAGGGCTTGTGTACTCTTATCTATGGTCCTCCGTGTGACCTTCACACTGAGTGAGTCTATGCATACATTGTCTATGTTGTGAGCTTCATCAAATACTACAACAGCTTCTTTGTTCAATTCTTTGGAAACAACCTCAGCAATTTTTGGATCTAATAGGTAATGGTAAGAATATACTATTATTTCTGCATGTATTATCTGAGGACAAAAATAACTATTTTAATACAAAAAGGTATTCAAACATATGGTGACTCTTATATTCATGGTTTCAGAAAATATATGTTTCATTTGCAACATGCTATACTTAGGGTGGGTTAATTAAGTGGGTGCAGCGCAGGCCCTGGTCTGTTATTTTTAGACTTACAGCAAATCTTGCTAAGAAATATGGACACCAATTTCTATCAGCTCCGTACTGTTTCAGATCATCCATTGTGTATACTCCAAATGGCAACATTGACTCCTTGCCTTCACGACTAAAGCCCTCATAAAATTGACCTGAAATTATCAAAAACAATCCGTTTATAAATTAGTTTTCCAGAAGTAGATAACAGTATGAGATCATGATATTTGATTTTACTATTTCACAAGGGTGATAAATAAACATTTGGCTTGACTCATACTAACTTCATAAATTTATTACTGTCTCCAGCTTTTGAGCTCTCCTGCCTTTGGTAACTGAACTGCAGTGACACAGAGAAATGCAAATTTCTAAGGAAAAACATCAACTTACAAATAGGAACTGAGCTATCTCGTTCATGTTTCTCCCTGATGTAACTGGCTGTGAGAGAATGACATTTGCCATCAACTAATTTGCCTTCTCTTTCTCGTGACACCTAAAACACAATATATAAGTTTAACTTTAGTAGAAATCATGTTCAAGATATAATATCATGATCAATGAAAATTATGGTGCAAGATCTAGGCTTCATTTAAATAATAAAGTTATTAAAGAAGGAACAGATTGTGTTTTTCAATTGATAAAAGTGGTTTAAACAGTATTTATCTTACTTCAGGATGAATGCATAAGTTTTTCCTGGAACTAAGTACAAGTCCAGTGAGGTTTGGCATTTCACCTTGACTCTTTTCATAGTACTTAAATAGATTCTTCAATTCCTCCAATACTTTCTCTATTTCTGGCACTGTACGAGAACAGTATATTAACTTTCTGAAACACATAAATTAGTTTGATGGATATACTTTTCATTCCCTTAAATATTAAGTACCTACTGATTAGATATTTATAAATATCTTGAATTATTAAATCTACCTGACATTGTGTGGGTTTTGTATCATATAAGCGACAATCAGAGATAAAAGCGAAATTGTTTTTCCTGTTCCTGATGGCATTTCTAATAATCCATGGCCCTGCAATATTTTGGTATGTTAATACCTGTAACTTTAAATCATATTTGCATAGCAATATCAAGTTAAAATGTATAAAATCCTACCTTAGCATCAAGTGCACGTTTTAGTTCTAACATATAGGCATACTGCTCTGGATAAATGTAATCATATGGGAAATAAACCAGAAGACCATCTACTGTTAACCTAAAAGGTAAACAAATAAATTTTTATACATTATACTTAAACGCACCACGGAAGCGCATAAAAATGACACTTATATTATCAACATACTTCATTTTAATTAGCAATAATCGTGTATAATCAAATAAACAAAAAAAAACAAAGATATGTTCAATGCACTACAGCCCACACTAAGTAACGATTAAAGCACGTGAAATCAAATCAATATCAAAGGAATTTCGGTTAGCTTTTCTCAGAAATACAGAAAACTTAGAAGAAAAGCTTTTAAAATCATATTTTTATTGTAATTGTCATAAAACCGACGAAAAAGTAACGCATCGTATTTGATTTTCATTCATATTGTCAGTTTGTGAGTTATGTCAATTTAACTTTTTGTCTCATTATTTTCTTATGGAAGACACAAGATACTTAATTCATTCAGGCTTGTTTATATATTTTTTGTTACATTATATAGCAATACAATGTGTTTCTAAAATGCTATTGTGTAAGATGAAACAAATTAAGAAGAAGTATTTAGCTTATTTGGTATCAAATACTTATAGAATTTCTTTCAGAAAAGCACTTTGAACTTTTAGGATTTCAAAAATATACTAAATAACTAATATTATTAGATACCTACGAGCTGATAGTTACGATTTTGCATCTATTATTATGTTTACACTTAAGGACAAAACAGTTAAAAGAAAATTTTACTGAATGAAGACTTAATTTTTACTTTAAAATAAGTCGAACTACATTTAGAGAGTTTTACATAATTGCTTGTCTGACCGGGAATCGTACTGTAACGATCGAAAGACTATTTTAATATTATACTTAGGTACATCTTCATATATAATTTTAATAGATGGATATTAACTTATCTTCTTTGCGTCGTGGTTTAATGGTCTAAGTTAATATGCTCCAAATAATAGAATAGGTATTAGACGTTATCGCTTTGTTATTATGGGCATAAAACATTCATCAGAAAGTAATTACCTAATGAACTTCTATAATAATCTAGCTAAATCATATCCAAAGAGGTTTCGGGTTAAAGATAGACTTCATCCCTGCACAAAACAAATCCCTGTTTGATAAACTGGGAATAGAACTATGATGTATTATACTATACGTCATTGGAATAGAACGAGAAACCTGTGGAGATGATTTTAGTAGGTACAACCTTTTCACTCGGCCTGCGAACATGTGTTACTAGAATGCTTTCTTATTAATAAAATGTTAGGTATATGATAGAAGGTATCTGTGATATATGTAACGTTAGTGTAATCGGGAATACTAACTAATAATTAACTTGTCGTGCCCTTTGATCTTTTCTTACTGATTGTAATGTAGGTAACATAGATAATTACAGTGTAAAAAGTCAGTCACTTCCAGCGTTCTCTCGCTTGCACACACCTGATAGTAATAGAATATAAAAGAGATGGTAAAAATTGTCGTGATAGGTGCTGGCATAAATGGATTGGCTTGTGCTGTAAAGATACAAGAACATTTCAAAAGTTCGGATGTAAGAAATCTTTATTTTGTTTCTTAAGTTTTCACGCACACTAAATCATTAAATGAAACAATCTTCCACCGATTTGAAATGCGTTTTAATACTTTTTTACATAATTCGTCGTTTCGCATCCTTTTTAGAATGCATCATCTAAGGAGTAGGTATGATTTTCAATTGAATAATTAAGAAATCTTTATAAAATCCTTGTTTAGAATTTTGGCCACTTGTTATGAGAAACTCGTTACATAATTATGATAAAAGTTTATTATATGGTTTCCATAGGTATTGTTAATTTCACGCGAATTCTCGCCGAACACGACTGGCGATGGGTCAGGTGCATTATGGTATCCTTATCTTTGTGGAGCAACCCCTCAACACTTACTCAAGTAACTATATTATTTGTCATCACTTTTTATTCTCAAATAAATTTCATAGATTTAGAATATTAAATTTTAAGTTAGTGTTTTAGCGCCTGAGGTTTCGAAAAAGCAATGATGTTATTATTTTCAGTAAATGGGGTTCGGTAACATACCGCTTTTTACACGAGCTTTGGTTACAAGGTGGGCTCAACATATGCGCAATACCTATTTACTGTTTATATCGGGAGGGCGTGGATCAACCAAACCCGAAATGGGCTAGCAACGTTTTCGGTTATCAAACATTGAAAGAGCAAGAGTTGAAGTATTATAATCAGTTACATAATAATCAATACAGGTAAGTTCCTATCTATGTACCAAAAACGACACTGACATGACATATTCATCGGTAGCATAATTATGCATAATTAAGGTGCAAAGTGCAGATTCGAATCCCCTGTCTGATGCCGGGACTGAGTGGTTCTGAATTATAGACTGTATATGTATAGAATGGTTAAAATCACAAAATACAAAACTCTGGTAAAAATAATATTGTTGATCGACTACTCTTAGGGCTCATACGCACTGTCGGTGGCTAGCCGCTTCTTAATTTTGCGTGTGATTTTGTGCGTACGATCACACGCGGTTGTTTACTAAAATGATAACTTACGCGGTTCAACTCGTATGAGTACGTATGAAACTACGCACTTAACCGCCACAATATTACACGCAGTTGCCTAACCAAATGAAAAAGCCGCTAGTTGGTTAATCGCCCAGTGCGTATAAGCGCTTAACCACCTTCGTCAAGCAAAGGAGCAAAAGATTCGTATGCACTTTCCGTTTGTGGGTATTTTTATTTTTTAGTGCCGGGACACGTTTCACCACCTTCGTTTTACATTCAACGACTTTTTTGAAATACTTAAAGGAAAGATTCGAACGCGCCAACGGGAAACTTTTAGTTGGCCATGTGACCTCTCTCCAAGATCCTTTGCTGATAGGATACGATGTGATAGTTAACTGCGTGGGTCTGGGCGCTAGGGATGTAGTTCCAGACAAGGCAGTATTTCCTATCCGGGGGCAGGTATCAAGGGTAAGATATTTTCTGACACCTTTATGGCCAAATGTGTTTAAGAATCATGTGTTTACCAAATCTTTAAATTTACCTAAAGATATTGAAGAGCAGTCACCTAGTCCTGGATAGTGAAAACCTACGTTACGATAACAATATTACAATACCTCAACATAGTTACATACAATTACATATTTTTTCCGTAGGTAATAGCGCCGTGGATAAATCAAGTCATCATTAATGAGGCAAGCGGAAATTACGTCATTCCTAAGTAAGTTCTTCAAAGTTTAAACTTAGGAGGAAAGCAAAAATACCATTGAGTACTACACTTTCTCATAACCTTTTGTTCCCAGTGCCGAGACGTGTGTGTTAGGTGGCACACACCAGGAGAACGATTTTAATACTAACGTGGATGAACAGGATAAAAAGTTTATTACCGAAGGTTGTCAGGAGATGTTCCCCGGATTGCAGGTGAATATTAATATGCTGGAACTATTGGAACCCATTTTTAGGGTACCGTTCTAAATGATTATGAGTACAATTTGGACATTAAATACCTACCTGCATGTTCAGAAATCAAATCTGTGAATTTCAAACCCTTTTCGCCCCTCTAAGAACAAGCAGGATGTGAGTAGTAGAATACGTTTTATGTAAAAAATAAAATACACTAGATTTTTCATTTTCAGCACGCGCGCACAGTAAAGCATTGGGTGGGACTGCGACCAGGAAGGCATGAAATCCGATTGGAGGCGGAGGAGCAGCGAGGAAAACTTATTGTTCATAACTATGGCCACGGTTCGCTTTTTTGTCTGCTTTTATTTTGGCGCTGACGCGACATGCTATCGAAACAAATTAATGGTGTCGATTCTGACATGATTCTCTAAAGCTAAACTTAAATTTGACAACAGTGCATCTTTGTCATTGTCTATACAGAATGAAAGGGAAAGACTGATGTTAAATTTAGTTTTAAAGTTTAGAGAATCACACCAGAATCGACACCAATGTCCATACAGGGTGTCCCGTAAGTAATGGTCCAACCGTAAACCCTAGGTAGTTCACTCGATTGCCTACAACTAATTTGAACCGTTTTTTGAAATTCATTAGGGTTGCCAAAAAAAATGATAAAAGGTTTTTTTTTCAATATTTCTGTCTTGAATTGGTTTTTTTAATAGCATTGATGCAAATATTAAAAATTTTCAAACTTTTTTTCGCTAAAATGTAGCTAGATAGATTGACTATCAACTCGTTTATCACATTTGCATAATGACATTGTATTTCTCTCAAAAATATTGAAGTAACTTAACATTTTATTGCATTTTATTTGGATGACCTAAATTGAAAAGCTCCTAATGTAAAAAAAAGTATGACACCAAAGTGTTCCATTATTTTAAAAACATGTACATTAAGTAAGGTTTCAAAATTGGTATAAAACTTATGGTTAACTAGTAAAGTTGCAAACATAATACAATGAATCCGAAGAAGAGGCGAATATCTAAAAAAAACTAAATTAATTAAATTAGTATTTAGTTGTGTTATTTCACATTATTAGGAATGTCTTTACGTTAATCAACATGATGATTATACTGATATTAGCTTTTATGGCACTAATTTGTGTAAACGACGGGTAAAATAAGGTCTTTAGAAATAAAAGCAAAAAACCGTTATAATTTTATAATAAATGTTCAAATTGCCTTCCGCCTACAGCTATGCACATTCTGCTCCTCCTTGTACACGTTGTAGATGGTACGGGTGCAAACGGTGTCTTTTTAAAACCCTGTGCACCGATGCTCTAGGTATTCCAGAACGTCGTGCTATAGTTCGAACTGACGTTAATGCATCTTCTTGTACTTGTTGCAAAATTATTTCGTCATTGACTTGCTGTGGTCTTCCTTCACCAACACCAACTCCAGTACCAAGAATCCTTCCATCAAGTAGCGAGTTATGCACTCTAAGCAAAAATTCGGTGGTCAGGGTGACGCAAATTCGGGTACCTTTCTCGGTACAATCTTGCAGCTTCTCTGCCATTACCTCTTGCTTCTCCATAGGTGTAATGCATCATAGCATATTCACGAGGTGTGTACACGTTGCGAGGCATTGCAAAGTTCAGAGATTCAACAACCCCAAACAAACAGATTTTCGGAGTCCAATAGACTCGCCAAGTCGTTAACTCTATAAAAAACAAACAGTCCAAATTCGATAGGTAATTCGTAAAGTCCAAATTCACACCAGTCTCGGCGGCGCACGACGTGGCACTGCGTAGATTTGTCTTGCCAAGATTGGTTAGCGGCCGTGTAAATGACATTATTTGTCTGTGTGCGTGCGTCGATTCGAGGGCTAGTATGATCAAAGTACTACTCTTGTGTACTGTGCGCGTAGTGTCGTTAAAACATTCCCAATAATGAAAAAATGCACAACTAGACACTAATTAAATTTAATTATATTTTTTTAAGATATTTGCCTCTTCTACGGATTCATTGTATTATGTTTGCAACTTTACTAGTTAACCATAAGTTTTATACCAATTTTGAAACCTTACTTAATGCACATGTTTTTAAAATAACGGAACATTTTGGTGTCATACTTTTTTTTTACATTAGGAGCTTTTCAATTTAGGTCATCCAAATAAAATACAATAAAATGTTAAGTTACTTCAATATTTTTGAGAGAAATACAATGTCATTATGCAAATGTGATGAACGAGTTGATAGTCAATCTATCTAGCTACATTTTAGCGAAAAAAAGTTTGAATTTTTTTAATATTTGCGTCAATGCCATTAAAAAAACCAATTCAAGACAGAAATATAAAAAAAAAAACATTTTATCATTTTTTTTTGGCAACCCTAATGAATTTCAAAAAACGGTTCAAATTAGTTGTAGGCAATCAATTGAACTACTTAGGGTTTACGGTTGGACCATTACTTACGGGACACCCTGTATAACTTGCGCCTAAAGTTCTATTAAACAGTTGCATTGCACCAAAATTTAATAAATTCTAGGCATAATTCATCATTTCATCTTTCAAATATAAATAGAATGATGCTAACATGATAGTTTGGTACAAATATTTTGTAAGATCCTAATGTTTTTTAAGATTCCTTCATATTCAAATTCTCTAAGTCATAAACCAAGAATTAGTTCATATTGTCTACTTTTTTCAGGAGGTAGCGGGCTGACATTATTCTGGGGTTGCGCTGATAACGTCTTAAACATAGTGAGACGGGAATTAAACAATATGGCAACACAGGTCAAGTCGAAGATCTGATCCATCATTTTAAAGATGTTTAATGAAAAACAATTATTTATAAAACAAAACGTATATATTCTTATATACACACATTTACATACATACACATTTATCGAAGATAACATTATAACAATAAGAAGTTCAAATAAATTTTTTACAAAAATAAACCCACTTTTGTTCTTTGATTTTTCATTGCACATTAGTTATTTTATTATTCACTAGGTCAAAATATAAATGTACAGTACCAGGCCATTTATATGTCACATCGTGCTTTAGAGAGAGAGATACTCGGCTAGCTTCGGCAATGTAGAGCGTCATCCCTGTCACACGAAACACTAACAGTCCGGTATCTATTAAGAGCTGCTAAAACTCTTTCAAAGTTTTTTTTTTAAATCAATACAAAAACAAAACATGTAGGTAAAAGGCAACATATATGTACTTACTAACTTAATTTATTTATTTAATGAAAAACTATAATTTTTATTTCCAACCAAATAACAAAAAAGTAATAGATATTCGAAACCTCTCATAAAATATTTACTGCCATCATCATCCTTAATATTTTCTTTCTTTCACGAAATATTTATATTTTGAAAAAATATTGGGCTGGTCACATTAGCCGCAGAACTGATGGCCGTTGGAGCCGGAAAGCTCTTGAGTGGAGACTACGACTCGGTAAACGTAGTGTAGGACGCCCTGAGACAAGATGGGATGATGATATTCGTAGTCTGGCTGGCACCTCTTGTTACAAAATCTCACACTTCGTCAACCCCCCCTCCCACCCTATTAACGTGTGACGTACTTAATGTATGGCACGAACTTTGATAATAGGGTATTTGACAAGTTTTAGAAAACAATCTCACGTTATTGACTAATGTTTATGGAGTCCGTAAAAAGTGGATATTCATCATTCTATTGTGTATTTCAGTAAAAATAACCTAATCAAAAACTCCATTTTCAAGTTGCCGCGAAAACGTTTTTCTGGACAATATGGGGTCTTACTTTTATTAAAACGTCAAACGATACAATGCAATGTCACTTTAACCGGCAGTTTACTTGCGTGTGACGTCATTTTAGGCTCCACCAATTCCAAGCGTTTTGGGTCATGTGGCAATAGATAAGAAAACTATTATCTTTTTCGTGGGTTTTTAGGAAAATTATGAATAGTTTTTTTGTAAATATTGTAAAAACCCCTGCCAATATTCATTCTAAACACAGATGCTAACAATTGGCACTTTATTTTTAACACTGTCAAATACCCTAATCCATAATCGTATCGTATCGTCAGTTTCAATGAATACTAAATACTTACCGGACGTAAGAACAAACTGTCTTCTTCCATTCAAAATTTGACAATAACGATACGATTACGGATCTGTCAACGTTCGTTCTTGGCCCTCTGCATGGGATTTCGCGTAAGTACAACATGATGTTGGCATAGACTGCCACTATTCTATAAAAAAAATATATTAAACAGTTATCATTATTACAGATTCAACTATAACATTATACATTTAATAAAAATCTATCAGTTCGCAGTTTGACAAGTCAGTTCCTTAAAAATTCAAGAACAAATCGTTATTTAGTCTAAATAGTAGAAAATATACAAAGGTTAAGAGCAATTTTTTTTAATTCTCAAATAACCCATTTCATATTGTATTGACAGACACATTGAAAAGTTGTTGTGATTTGTATATCATTTCATTGCTAATTTACTTTGTTAAGTAAATTATCAAATGAAATGTCATAAGTTTTATCTGAGTAATTAAACAATTCACCGTAAGCCTTGTTAACAAACGAAGATTGAGCCTAGGAAATTGCACGACCCAAACACTTAAATGACAGGTGGAATGAATAGTCTATTTGGCAAGTTTTTGAAAACATTCATACGTTATTTATTAGTGTATAGTGAGTCCATAAAAAAAGGATATTTATAACACATTTGCTCGTAAAGCGTCTCTTATTGCACCAATTTCAATATCATAAACTATCACATTACATAGGTACATTACGAGTATTTTATTCCGTCTAAAAACGAACGATACTTTTTTAAATCTTAGCAAAAAGTTTTTATGTCAGAAAGGTAGCCAACATTTTCGTAATAAAATTAACTTTAGGAGAGAGGACATTTAATTTTTTAATTTGATTCATTTTGACAATAAATTATAACTATATATCGGTAATAAATTCACAAAAATATTAATTTACTTTATTAGCAACACTGGCTGTTTTTGATTTTTTGGTCCTTTGCCTAAAAAAGCGATGATCGCATTGCTAATCTGTGAAAAAAATATTTCTATTTCTTTTCGCTGTATTGTTTTTATTTGAAAATATTGGCAAGTAGTTACGAATTTATTAATTTGACACCGCCAGAAGTCCGAAAAAGGCTACGCTAAGAGTCTTGCCCGAAAAATCCACGGATAAATACTTACAGTCAAGCGTATCAAAATTTCATCTTATGGAAAACAAACAAAGGTGCAAATTCATTTTCAGATAGTACGTACGTAGGTAGTATTATTACCTCGCAAATGTGTTATAAAACATCGTATGACATACGTGCGGTTTGATAATTACAGCCTCTGCCTTTTTATAGCCCTTACCCACGGCTCGGGCTAACAATATCGCCTCGGCTGTAATTCTCAACTTCCCGCATTTATATCATAATGAACTATTATAATTCTGTTGCTGTTTTCAAATATGCCGCGGAATCGGTTCCCTAGCAAATGAAAACTTCAAACAGTACAAAGTAACGATACTTAGTCAGCTTGTTTACAAGTACATGACGTCATTTCAGGCTCCGCCAATCCTAGTTTTCGGTCACGTCGCAAGCTTTTTTTTAATGTTATAGGGGGCATACGAGCAGACGGCTCACCTGATGGTAAGTGATCACCGTCGCCCATGGACACTTGCAACACCAGGAGTATCACAAATGCGATGCCGGCCTTTAAGGAAGGAGTACGCACTTTTTTTGAAGGTTCTTGGGTCGTATTGGTCCGGAAACACTGCTTGCGACAACATATTCCACAGTTTTGTCGTACGTGTGTTTAGCTTAAAGTGTGTTTATTAATAAGGTCCGTTATATTCACTACAGATATGGTTTGATCCTGACCTCTATTACCCAGGAATAAGGTCGATTTTGTTGGTGCAAATTTATCCATTGCTGTGATCCATTCCCGTGAGTTTTGGCATGGATTGAAGTTTACTGCTTGGACTTTTTGACGGTATCATATATATCAGTTCTTCTCTGCATCCGGATAGGAATTTGACTTCTAACTTCCTCGACTGTATTAAGATCTATATAAAGAAACGTTTTAGTGAGACTCGCAGGAAAGTACTCGGCTGTTTGTAAACTTATATTGTAAAGAAAAATATAGTAATTGTAAAAATTGTAAAGTTGAAACATTTTTGATATTTTATTTTATTTAGTAATCTTTTTTGTCTTAACACTGCCAATGGCGGAATTAATGTCAATAAAGCATTCTCTACCAGTCAACTGGAAAGTACATACAGAGCTAAAAAAAACACTGTTTATTAATTTTTTATGGACATCAGGAACCAAGAGATGCCATAAACATGCCCAACTTAAGCAATTAAAGATGGTTTTTGGTATATTTTCCCTACTGGATATTGAACCTGGGACTTGGAGACAGCGACTCCAAGTTAAACCAGAATGCAAGTCCCTCCACTATGGAGGTCTTAATGATATTTTAAAATTAATTGTAGGCTCTACAATAGTAAGGTAACTTGCTACCTCAGAGTACGTAACCTCCGTACCTAGTGCAACCATGCGTGGTCAGCTCAGAACAAAGCGTCATTTCAGTCACGCACTCATTTAATAATGCCTTTAAGTTTACAGGTATTCCCACGCAGTTACAAGCAGCATAAACGGTAGCTTTAGGTAATTTTTTTCGATGATAACAGGAGCAGTTCTTCTGGCTGCTTTCTTTTTTGTGGTTCAACTTAGTTCCCCTGGTAAATACCAGGGTATTAAGTATGTAAAAGTCTAGATATCAGAAACCCTAAGAGTGTCCTTATAACGAGTATCCTTATATATGTATTATAGCTGGTCACAACTCATCTACCGTAGTATGCAGAGTCACGCATATATGAGTTGCCCCGTAAGGCGTCGCGTCGTGCTAATTGGCAACGATCGTACGATGACACGATAAGTTCTTGTCTTGCGATGATTTTCAATTTTTATGCCGCTCGGTTATGCATGCGCGAGCATAACCGAGCGTGTGTGGCGTCCGGCAAGCTTGCTTGTCACAGTTCTCAGTTTTTAATTGTTGCGACGGCGGAAGGTCCGAGCACCATCGCGTCGTTTCGAAAATGGCTAGTCGCAAGCGCAATGCAACATTAGAAGAATTTATAGGAAGTTATAAGTCGGAACCTTGTCTTTGGCGTAAAGTGCAAAGAATACCAGAGATTGATAACTAAGGTCAAGGAATTAGTGCCCACAGCTACGAAAGAAGATGTGATTAAAAAAAAATTCCATTCACAGTACTTAATAGGCGTTCTACACACACCGTCACGTAGCTCAACTGAGAGTAATGGCAAAACTGTACATGCAAACCCTAACGTGTATGTGCAATATGAAACTCGGTTATGCATGTACATGCATAACCATCATGCAAAACCTAGTGTGTATGGCCTCCATTATACAGCTCGTAAGCCGTCGCACAAGCACAGGTACATTATTTTCATCCCACGATGAGATCGTATCGCGCCATCGCACGATCGTTGCCAATTAGGACGACGCCTAACCCCTTAATATATACGTCTCACTAGCGCTACCTATACAGCTGGTTGTCTCACACCATAGACATAGAGAATGACAGTCGTATAAAGTTGACAACTTACTGGAAAGAGAGAAAAACCAGCCAATTTATTTTTACTCCGTATTTTCCCCAATCTGTCTCAACGCTATTAACTTGGCATCCAATTAGTCCAAGCTCCGAGCCTACATCGACCTTATAATAGAATGAAACATATTTTATCATGAATTTAGTATATTAGAAATTATTAAAAATGGATTGCCTAAAACAAATCCTGGATAGACTATTTTTAATTAACTTTTGAAAAATATATTTTTAAATAAATGTTGCTACATTAAGATAATAAGAAAATGTTGTCCTGACTTACAGTATAAAATTTATAAAATGTGAAGCCGTTGGGTGTTCTATTATTTACCTGGGCGAACTACTGGGTCGCCAGGTATAAACAGGTATGTCGATGCCAGTTACGTTACCCAACGGCTGCACATTCTATATGTTTTATATTATTATTTTATCTTATTACCTTGATGATGCAACAATTAATTAGAAATATAGTATGTCCAGTTTTTTTAGGCAATCCATTTTTAATATATTTCCTAATATACTAAATTCATGAAAAAATATATTTCATTCTATTATCAGCTTGGTGGAGGTCGATGTAGGTTCGGATCTCCTGCTACATACATTGTCGATTTATCGGCCGTCCTTTCCGCTCTCTCGCACTTACCTGCCCAGTTTAACTTACAGTTGGCTAGGGAATACTCAGTTCATTTTCTATATCTATGCCTCCACTCACCTATCGTGGCATGCAGAGCATCGGGCACATGTTCCAGTTGGCCAGTAACGGCCCCCCACGGGTCGACGAGTAGCGCGAGTGGCCCCACGCCCCGTATGTCCCGGGCCGGGCCCACTAGCGCCCCCTATATAGCCGGCCCCACTCACCTATCGTGGCATGCAGAGCATCAGGCACATGTTCCAGTTGGCCAGTAACGGCGCCCCACGGGTCGACGAGTAGGGAGTGGCCCCACGCCCCGTATGTCCCGGGCCGGGCCCACTAGCGCCCCCTATATAGCCGGCCCCACTCACCTATCGTGGCATGCAGAGCATCAGGCACATGTTCCAGTTGGCCAGTAACGGCGCCCCACGGGTCGACGAGTAGGGAGTGGCCCCACGCCCCGTATGTCCCGGGCCGGGCCCACTAGCGCCCCCTATATAGCCGGCCCCACTCACCTATCGTGGCATGCAGAGCATCAGGCACATGTTCCAGTTGGCCAGTAACGGCGCCCCACGGGTCGACGAGTAGGGAGTGGCCCCACGCCCCGTATGTCCCGGGCCGGGCCCACTAGCGCCCCCTATATAGCCGGCCCCACTCACCTATCGTGGCATGCAGAGCATCAGGCACATGTTCCAGTTGGCCAGTAACGGCGCCCCACGGGTCGACGAGTAGGGAGTGGCCCCACGCCCCGTATGTCCCGGGCCGGGCCCACTAGCGCCCCCTATATAGCCGGCCCCACTCACCTATCGTGGCATGCAGAGCATCAGGCACATGTTCCAGTTGGCCAGTAACGGCGCCCCACGGGTCGACGAGTAGGGAGTGGCCCCACGCCCCGTATGTCCCGGGCCGGGCCCACTAGCGCCCCCTATATAGCCGGCCCCACTCACCTATCGTGGCATGCAGAGCATCAGGCACATGTTCCAGTTGGCCAGTAACGGCGCCCCACGGGTCGACGAGTAGGGAGTGGCCCCACGCCACATAGGAGGCGGTTTGGTCCCGGGCCGGGCTCACTAGCGCCACCCACAGTTGGTTGTCGACCGCCCGGGCGCGGGCCAGCAACTGCCAGTGCTTGGGGCCCGTGGTCATGTTGAATGCGCCCGGGTATATTAACAGGGAACATCCTGAAACATGCCTGGTTCTATAGTACATTACTGCAGCGGCCAGCAAAAGATGCATTGGTGGAAGAACGTGTAAAGTCCATCAATGTCTTGTTGTGGCAAAGGCTTGTAAAGTAATTTTCTCAAATAATGCGATAATGCGCGCATAATAAATACTGAGTAGTACCTAGGCAGAACTTTGGAACTTCTAAAGAATCAATGAAGAAATACGAACAAGAACTTTTCCCGTGTTAGTGTTCATTTGTTTTTTGTCCTCTGTGTAGATTTATTTTTATATTTTTAAAATTTGGCCCATTTGGTTCTCGAGATATGGAAAATTTTATGTGAAAACACACGATTTTTCAGTCGAAAGGTCGTTTTTTTTCGATTTCCAAAAAAGTTTCTGACTTATCCAAAAAAAAAATCATCTTGTAAAATCCCTTTAAATTCCGCGTCTTTTGAGCCCTCATACGTCCTCGTGGCAATTATATAATTTAAAATATAATAATATAAAATGTTAGTTAATATAAAATATAATTTTACTCATTCTATGCTCCAATGTCTTCCTTTTTTCAATAACTTATGATTCAAAGAAAGTAGAAGCCCTCAAATAATGCAAAAAAAAATATTCTTTTCAATACCAATAAGACTGAATAAGACGCTTAGTTTGGAGATCCAATAAGCATTTACAAAAAAAGGAAAACATAGAGGCCTAGTATAACTACTTATTATTCTATTAGTAAAATTTCTTTTCCATATAACTTATTTTCGAGGAGGAAAACGTCGAGAACCAAACCTCGAATTATGCAATTTTTATATGCAATTTTCAGCGTTAGCTACTGTTGTCCCTATCGCACAGTATTTGCCAATGTGCAACAGCAATAGTTTATTCAAATGACTCTATGCTCGTGTCCACTCTTAACAATACCTTCTTTAGCCATGATATGTGCCATCTCGCAGAAGCGCAGGTCGTAGCAGATGCCGAGCCCGATCTTGATGCCGTTGAACTGGAACGTGGTGAGCTGATCGCCCGGCGACAGCACCTCCGACTCTTTGAACGTTATCTTATTAGGAATATCTATGTCGAACAAATGTATCTGCAACAAATTTCGTTACTGAAAATTGATAGTCAACTTTTTTGAAAATTCTCTTCTTTAACTTCCCAAATGTGTAAATTTTTCCTCACTTTGATTTTATGTTATTTAAATATATATTGGCTATCTGTGCACACTGATGGGAATCGATTGACTTTGTATTATGACAATGTAAATGTATTTTTAATTAGTTTTTATATTGTATCATGTTTTAAATATGACTCTTAGCTAACTGCAATAAATGATTTTATTATTATTAATATATGTATGTGTACTATATAACTACCCCATATTTTTACTTACGTCAAAAACTACTCGAAAATGTCTCATCTGATAATATTTGATGCATTTTATTTTTTCTAGCAAACATTCTTTAAATGTAAAACATCTAAATTTGTACATGGTCCTTCAAACCGGATCAACATTACTCATCAGGTACACTTGGAATCATCTAATAAGACAGGTGGGGAATATCGAAATTCCGTTCGAATCGGAGCGGGCGTTTGGAGAAGCAACTCACATGCTGTTGGTCGTCGATGACCTTTACAGCGTAACCGGGTTTGGGGACGGCGAGATCCAAAGGGGACCACAAGCCGAGAATGGCGAGTGTCCCTAGAGGCATTCCTTCCAGGCGGATGGCATCTTCCCGCGTGGGGAGTCTCCTTTCCGCCTGGAGTCTCTAGACCACTCCAACCTGAGAGTGTATCCAGACTATTGCGACAAATACGCACGTGATCGCAATTGGTAGGGAATCTGATGGCGGTGGGCTTCTTGCCAAGAGGACCTCAAGTCGGGAAATGGCGAGTGCCTCTAGAGGTATTTCTCGGGGGGAGTCTTCTCACCGTCCTAGAGTCACAAGCCTCTCAAGCCTGAGGGGCGACGGCTTAATTAAAGGTAGTTCTGAGACTCAGACCTCGGTTCTATTTAGTTGTTACCGTGAATTTTTAATGGTGTTGTATTTTTGATAATAAATTTTCAGGGCTTCACAGGAGGATGAAGTTAAGGGGGGCCCACAACAAGTTAGTAACAAGATACCTTCCTGTGTTGCGCGAGCAGCTTCCCGTTGGAGTCCCACACGGCACAGGTGTTATACAATCGCGACCCACATCGCTCGGGCACAGTCCCTCCCACCACACACACGCCTGCCTCCGCCGCAGCCTTAGACAATGCCCGGCTGGTTTCGCCAGAAGGCACTTCCTCTGCATACTCTTCGAAGTACTCTACAACCAGCAACCAACATCCGAGTTCAAAATCATTAATTCACTTTAGTAATTTAAATTGTAAAAAAAAGACTCGAACCCGCACCCTTCGCAATCCGGGCGAATGTACTGACCAATTATGCTACCGCGGCCCTCACGGACCGCGTCGAAATTCCTCTAGCCATTCTTTGCATTATAGGTAACCCACAATGTCAAATGAATACTTTTACAAGTATTAAACATTTGAAAGAAGAAATAGCAATTATAGTTAATATATTTTTTCAATACCCCCATTACAGTTATAAGAAAGCATAAGATAAGTAGATCATTGCAGCTCATGATAAAGTTATAGTGACACTACTAATTATATTTATCTCGTTTTGTTTGATAACTTTTAATATTTTTTTTTAAAGCATGTAACTGCTTGATGTTTAAATCTAAAGAAAATATAACTAGAAAAAAGGTAAAAACTAGGTGTGGGTTCGAGTCCCGTTTGCTGCCTGGTCCGCGTGAATTTTTTTCTGGTTATATTTTCTTTAGATTTGAACATCAAGCAGTTACTTGCTTTAAAAAAATATATTAAAAGTTATCAAACAAAACGAGATAAATATAATTAGTTGTGTCACTATAACTTTATCATGAGCTGCAATGATCTACTTAAGCATTGGTATAACTGTAATGGGGGTATTGAAAAAATATATTATTCCACTAATACAAACTTGATTTGAATCATAGCAAAATTAAGTTTCTAAATGGCACCTGTTCATTGTTTTTTTATCTTGTACTTTTAATTAATAAATTATATTATGATATATTTTTCCATAAACAAATAGATAAGAGAGGCAGCAATTGCTAAGGTTACTATCTGACAAAATAACATATATTTATTTGTTTATATTAAGTTTTGGAAATCACACATGATTCATTATTTGGCCTATTTCGTTTTTTATTTCAAGAGAGAAAATTATTAAACAAAGAAACATACTAGTGCCATAAGGAGAGTTAAAACATTCAGGCAGTGCTACAAGCTGAGCTCCCTTTTCTTTGGCCTTGTGAATCTCCTGAACCGCAGCTGCAACATTCTTAGCCTTGTCAGATCCCACTGCCAACTGGACAAGTGCAATCTTCAAACCTGGAACACCACTTAGGACCTATACTTCTAGGTTATCCCTTTTCTTAGATAGGTAAAAAACTACAAGCACTGTGTTGAATGTTATTTTTTCTTTGCTTTATATAGCTAATTAGCTTACGTCTGCGACTTCATTGGCATTATTATTTGTTTTTTTTAGAATTCCAGAGGAACCTAACACTTTTCCAGGATAAAAAGTATCCTGTACTGTGGGTAATATTAGTAAATAATATTGTCTCCAATTTGGGTAATAAACTACCTTTATGCGAAAATTCATAAAAATCTGTGCAGCCATTTTCATGTGAAAGAAAAACAATCATCCATACGGACTTTCACATTTAGAATATTAGTAGGAAAAATAATATACTAAAATCTTTAAGTTAATAAGGCTGAATAAAGTAAATTACTTTAACATGATAATATTAATAAGGAAAAACAAATATTAAAATTTAGTTTATATCAGGTACAAGATCCAACTTCCATAACCCACACATATTTTATCTACTACATACAGGAACATGAAATGAAAATAGGCAAATATTAGTTTAAGTTTGACAGTTGTTATCTTGTTTGTTATCTCTACTACCTACTAGGGATTAGAATGAGATGAGTTACTAGTTATTTTTCATAATAACGATGTTACTTGCCATTAAATGATTTATTTATGTTTTTAAGATGAACTCAAGGTTATAGTGATACACCAAAATATTTTTCAGGAGTATACACTCCTGGAAATATTTTGGTTTAATATGAGGCAAGAGCTGAATGTGCATTAAAGACCGATGACAATGTAGAGTTTAATAAAATACTATACCACTCAGAACAACTACAGGTTTCTTTAAAAAACGCGGATGAATAGCGTCAACCGAACTCTCAGAATCACTCATATCAAGGTTCTAAGGTCAAATGTAGACAAACAAAATCACTTCGGAACTTTTAGAAGTTTCAAACAATTTTCAATAGTTTGGTTTACCTCTTTTCATAATTTATAGGTTATAATAACCCCAAAGCCGTTTATTATCAAAGTACATAAAATACCTAAAAACTAACTGATTTCAATTAGTATAATTTTTGGACCGGCACGGTAGCGCAGTAAAATGAATTTATCTAGTAAAATTTAAAATTCTCTTTCCGTACTTTTGACGATAGTTAAATGTCAATGTCAAGTGAAACTTTTTGACATTGACATTATTTTTCGTTATAAAATTCCCCGTATGAAGTCATAAGATTTCATGCTTCTAGAGTCTAATCCACTAAGCAAGTATGCCTTATCTTAATTAACTGTTTGATAAATTAAGATATTTTTTTGATAAAATTATTAAAGATTACTGTAACATATTTATAATAAATGTTTGCAAACCTTTCATATATGCCAAATATCTATTAATTATAATAGGCTAGTTGACTTATGACGAATTGTATTAAATAAATTTTTATTTCTTAAAGTATTTGGTCTAAGGAACCTAAATATATCGATTTCACTTCATTAAAGCAGGAGATTGCTGTGGAAATTTAATTTAAAAAAATATTTTTTAGTCTATACTTTATAAACACTAAAAACGCTGTTCGCCACATTCGCTATGATTGTGACGTCTCTTTGGTAGTAAACAACTAAATGTTATTCGCGTGTTACTATGGGTGTAAAACTTGTATTAATAAAACTGATAATAAATGAAGAGACTTAAAATATTATTCAATGAGTAGGTACTTACATCAAAGTGATCTTCGCAAAAATAAAATTTATTATGAGTCGATAAAGTTGCAGGATCCCTTTTAGCAAGTTCTAACCAGGTATTGCGCTAGGTTAATTTCTTTCGGCACTTTAATCCACAACTTTCCTGAAGTCTTCAAGGATGTGTTTTTAGCGATTAGAATTTTTATCTCAAACTTCCTGCTGTATCGTCGTTACAAAAAAGTAGCACGGTTAGCACCAAGCAATCAATCCTGGGAGACTAGGTCTGCTCGCAGTGATTAGTTTGGCTATGCCAATGGTTTCAAAGATTGAAAATCAAAATCATTTATTCAGTTTAGGCTGTTACAAGCACATATGAATGTCTAGAAGCTACGCCATCGGTTCGTAAATCTACGGCGGGAGACCTTGTACTGAGAAGAACCGGCAAGAAACTCAGCAAGGGCTGTTTTTTTCTCCCTGTTTTATTATTTACAGAGTCGTCAAATTGAAAAATGACTTCAGAGGTGATTCATGAAGTCACTTTTCATTACATAATTATTAAAAATACATTAATTGTTTACCTGCATTTTGATTGCTGTGTCATACAGTATAAATACAAATAGTGTTATTTATATTCAGTGTGACTAAACATTAACTTCAATATTAAGGAAGTTAGGGCAGACTCATCTCCGCTGGCAGCACCCGTTCACGAGCATGACGCATGAACCAGCCATCGCTTCGCTCAACCATATTTTAGGGAACGTAACGACCCGCCTCACACGACACCGCCGAAGAGACTATTATGAGAGCATGACTACCCATAACTACCCATACTAACTACAACATATTTACTTAAATTAAGGTCATTTACCTGTAAGACACAACAAACAATTACAAAACAAAGCAAAGGAGAAATCACGACCACGCCGTTTTGTCAATCAAATATTCTTAAACAGTCTGATAATCTTACTTAAGTTATTAACTTTATATACAGCTTTCAGTTTAATTATAGTATTGTCAACACATAAATAGTATTGTCAACACATAAATAGTATTGTCAACACATAAATCATATAGAAATACCCGTCGGAATGGTTGGAACAGTTCATACCCAAGCATTTTTGTCTGTAATATAATCAGACACTTTATAATATGCTTTCTTAACTAGTGATTTTTTAATGGTCGATTTAAATTTAGTCATGCTTAACTCTTGAATATTGCTTGGAACTTTATTGTAAAAGCGAACACTAAGACCTCTAAACGAATTATTGATTTTGTGGAGCCTAGTAGCAGGTAAAGTTAAGTTATTTTTATTTCTAGTATTATATGTATGTATTTCACTATTTTTAGTAAACAAATTAATATTTTTTTTTACAAATACTAAGTTGTCATATATGTATTGTGATGCAACTGTCAATATACCTATTTCTTTAAACTTATCTCTTAATGAATCCTTAACTTTAAGATTATAAATTGATCGAATAGCCCTCTTCTGCAGCACAAATATAGTTTGAATGTCGGCGGCATTTCCCCACAGTAAAATACCGTAAGACATTACACTATGAAAATAACTAAAGTAGAGTAATCTGGCAGTTTCTATATCCGTTAACTGCCGTATTTTCATTACAGCATATGCTGCAGAACTAAGTCTCTTCGACAATCCATCAATATGTGGGCCCCACTGCAGCTTAGAATCTAGTGTGATTCCTAAGAACACTGTGGTATCTACAGAGCTCATATGTCGATCCTTTATATTTACATTAGTTTTTACCTGTTTCACATTAGGTAATACAAATTTCAAACACTTAGTTTTCCCTTCATTTAGCATCAAATTATTAACATTGAACCAGTGGACTACCTTCGAAATAGACCTGTTCACGTCATCAATTTGTGACTCCCTACGTTTAATTTTAAACAAAAGTAAAGTGTCATCCGCAAACAATACTATTTCGTGGTTATCCTTTACAAAATAGGGCAAGTCATTGATATAAATTAAAAATAAGAAAGGACCAAGGATTGAGCCCTGCGGAACTCCCATCTTAACCGACGAACCAGGAGATTTTACTCCATTGATGTCAACCCTCTGAACCCTATCACTCAAATAAGATACAATAAGATCCAGAGTGGTATCTCTAAATCCATAGTGGTGAAGTTTCCTGATCAATGTTTCATGAAAAACGCAATCAAAAGCCTTTGATAAGTCACAAAATACACCTAATGCATCTTGCGAGTTCTCCCAGGCATCAAAAATTTGCTGTACAAGCTCAACACCGGCATCGGTTGTTGAGCGACCCCTTGTGATTGATGATGATGATAATGAAAAGGCAATGAAAAACACATCTTATGCAAAGCTTTATTAGTAAATCGAAGAACCTTTTATACATATTATCACTATACATAAATTATCTTATCTTTTATGGTATAAGTATATTCACCTAAATATATTGTGCTATTAAAATATAGTTTTAAATTAATCTTAATTACGACTCGATACGAGTCATTCATATAGAATAGTTCCTATAAAAATCAAATTCAAATTAATAATGCTCTGAATAAGACACTAGTGATTACTGTAATACTGCTGAGTTAGTTATGGCTTAATACAAAACAGGAAATCTGATGACATACATTTATATTTCTTTAGATTAGATATTTTTTAAATGTATCTCTCTAAGAAACAGGAATAAAATTAAACAGTCAAATTATACTACATAATTTAGATTCACTATTGAATAAATTAGATATAACATACAAGTTTGCAAAGGAGAACAATTTATGTCCTATATGAGGCTATGTTCTGTCAAATTCTGTCAAGATGAATGAATGATTAGATGAAATCCATGTCTCAGGAAAAGTAAGTAACCAAGTTAAAAGCCCTGTGGTTCTTGGCGTTCGGACACAAAGTGTGAACGGCGCGAACGTGTGGTTCCTAGCGGTAGTACATAAAGAATGCGGGCCTCATATGCGAGCCCTGTGGCACGCCAGCAGCTGTAGTACATGAATACCGCTGGCCTCAGATGCCATCCCTGCAGCACCCCAATCAGCACACGTAGGACGCGGGCTGCTTGAGGTGGAAGGTACCTGCGAACGTGTGGTACCTGGCGCTGGTAAATAAAGAGTGCGGGCCTCATATGCGAGCCCTGTGGTACGCCAGCAGCGCTACTACATGAATACCGCTGGCCTCAGATGCCATCCCTGTGGCACCCTAGTCAGCACACGTAGGACGCGGGCTGCTTGAGGTGGAAGGTGCGCACGTTTGGTACCTGGCGCTGGTAAATAAAGAGTGCGGGCCTCATATGCGAGCCCTGTGGCACGCCAGCAGTGTTACTACATGAATACCGCTGGCCTCAGATGCCATCCCTGCGGCACCCCAGTCAGCACATGAAGGGCGCGGGCTGCTTTAGGTGAGAGGTCCGCGCGTGTGGTACCTGGCGCTAGTACATAAAGAGTGCGGGCCTCATATGCGAGCCCTGTGGCACGCCAGCAGCGCTACCACTTGAATACCGCTGGCCTCAGATGCCATCCCTGCGACACCCCAGTCAGCACATGAAGGACGCGACGTCGCGGCCCTTGTTGCGGCGCTCGAGGCGCGCGCGGGACACGTAGGGCGCGGGCTGCTTGAGGTGGACGGTACGCACGTGTAGCTTCCTGCTGTTGGATTGGCCGAACGCTTTGCCGCAAACTTCGCATTCGTAGGGCTTTACGCCCGTGTGACTCTGCAAACAATATAAATGACCATTGATTAAACATGATGATTTAACTTTGTTTTCGATAACGATATAGTAATATAAACACCTTGTCCTTTCACGGCAACGATATTAAAAGCCTTTTACATCACGAACAAAATCGTTGCTGAAAACTGTCCAAAAGGTACATTGGACAATCCATGGAGCTCCGTGGGATGATCGCGTAGCCAAAACTAATATAAGGCATTACTTAAACATTTACGGTGTTACTACAACAGTTTCTTAAACAATAAACACTGTTTAAAGTTAAACATTGTTTAAAACTATGGTTATCTCAGTTTTGTTTAAAAAAGCAAATAGAGATTAGACGGCTCAAAAGGACCTAAATTTTAACAATGTTTAAAAACTTTTGTGGTAAGGCCGTGAAAGTCACCATTAATGCATAGTATTTAAGGTCTTAATTTAAACGTATACACTTGTTAAATTTTATGACTTGTCGCTATAGGCGGAAGAATCTAGACTTTATTTCTATGATTTTACAACGTACTTCTGCATGCGCTGTTAGCAATATAGCAGGTACAAGCAGAGTTTTCAATAAAGATGTTTCATGGCCACATTAAAAGAGCAGAGTTTGAAAGAAGAAAACCGGAGACATAACGGACACCGTCAATAATAAAAAAAGAAGAAGAATAGAGTAGGCAACTGACATGTGACTAAATGAAGCATTAAAATAAATAAAGTTCTTTGAGCACAACTGTGAATAAACTTAACAAAACGCTCGACAAGACTAAAGATTGAAAATTACAAAAAAGTTAATATATTTTTTTTAATAAATAAATAAATAAAATAAATAAATATTTCCAACACTCCACCAAGCAGCCTAGCCCCAAGCAAAGCACTATAAGGCTTGTGTTATGGGATACTAGGGTAACGGATACAATACATATACTGTACATATATAAGTATATTTATATAGAAATGCATATTAAACATCCATGACTGGAGTACAAATGCTCGTATTCATCACACAAACATCTGCCCCCAACGGGATTCGAACCCGGGACCTCTCGAGTCGGCGACACCATGAAACCCGGCGTACAAACCACTCGGCCAAGGAGGTCGTCAATTGCATCTATATCATATAAATATGTTATACGACTTTGTCCAAAGCTTTATAAGAATCAGAGTGCGATTTCGTTTCTAAATCACCATTGTATTGATTGCGTAATCACTTTATTTATTCATTTTCATTCACATTATACATAGATAAAAAAAATGGGTGCGTGTACTTATGTAGGCGCGTGAGAAGTTATCCTTCTTTCGCATCGTTTAAAATTAGTTTTTAATTGCATGCAAATAATTAATTACAATAAATTAATAAAAAGTCTGGAAAAGGACACAGTCAATAAAGTTCAGTTTTAATTTAAAAAAATAAAGAAATAATCAAAATATTCAATTAAAATCGCTACTGAATATAATTTATTAGAACATATGTGATTTGCACTTGTATGAAACTCAAACACGTATTCCGAATATACAAACTAGAAACATGTGGATAAATATTATAAATATGAATACCTATAACTGTTACTTTATTACAAAAAATAAAGATGTGGTTTTTGGTTCTACTACACCAATGGTCAAGAGATGGCGCTGTAGTCTCCTGAATCGCGCTTTGGTTCCGTTGTTCCAGATTAATAAATACTTTTGATATTATAAATATGAATACCTATAACTGTTACTTTATTACAAAAAATAAAGATGTGGTTTTTGGTTCTACTACACCAATGGTCAAGAGATGGCGCTGTAGTCTACTGAATCGCGCTTTGGTTCCGTTGTTCCAGATTAATAAATACTTTTGATAGGCCTTCACAATGCAGTCGTTAGCACCCACAAAATAGAGATTCTATTTCTATGTTGTTGGTAGATTTTCTTAAAGTGCGGTAAACACAAAAGTAACGCATGAAGTTGGTCGCTAAAGCGACCAACTTCATGCTGTTAAAATTTTGTGTTACAGTGATGCGCGCGCATCTTAAAATTTCACTCTCATCATTTTTTCATAACGCGCCTAAAGAAGTATAACTTCAATAACGAGAAAACCTTACAGTAGTCGCATATGATGTGTAACATTTGAAACCTCAAGTTATATTAGTCAAAAAAGAAATAAAACCTACTACAAAAGGAATGAGCCATTTGAACATTATGTTCTAAAATCAAATCAAATACCGCGCGCTTCCCAAACTTCCTGTTACACACTTCCGTCCCACTTCACGCAATCACTTCCACAAATTGCACGAAAGCGAGAGAAAAGATGTTACACCTCAAAAATATCTTACCCTAAAATGGCGATCCAATGCTCCTTTGCACTTGAAGGCTTTGAAGCAGACGGTGCAAGAGTACGGCCTCACGTCAGAATGCGTCCGCTCATGCATCAGAAGGTTCGTTCGGTTGAAGAAAGCTTTTGGACATTGCGAGCATTTGAACGTGCGCTCCTCTTGGTGGGTCCGCTTGTGATATACTAGGAAAGCGTTACCCTGGAGATAAGGAAAACTTATTATGCATCACAATTTTTAGAACGTCTATGGGAATAAAGGCAGATACAAAATGAAATTCTATGATCTGAAAGTGTTTTTAATGAAGTTTTTTATATATATATTGTTTTAAAGTTTAATAATTGAATAGTGAGAATGTGAACAGTGGTACGGGTATCGAACGCAATAAAAGACTTCATCGGAGGGTAGACCGATATGTCTGCCAATAACAGCCTACCCGCAATTACTTCAGTTACTCCGTGATCACGCTTGCAACAGTGCCGAAATATCGGAAACTCGCTAAAAACAAGGTACATGGTAACAATCCAGTTAATAACATATATTACTACTAGCTGACTCGGCGAACTTCGTACCGCCCAAAAGTAATAATTTGCAATAAATTAAAATTGCGACTATAATTTGAGATTTAAACTATCCTATCTCTCAAGTTGGATCGAACTGCACATGGTGTGCGAATTTTATTATAAGCGGTTCAGTGGTTTAGGAGTCCATTGAGGACAAACATTGTGACACGAGATTTATATATATTAAGATAAAGTTTTATATAGTATTAAAGTGACCACCAATGACTGTAATTATTGATTTACTTTTACCCTCGACAGTTTTTACATTTAATTCTTGAATAACGGGAATGCCATGGTGTAATGCTAAGCGTATGAACACAACAAATTATAACTCGGGTCATTAAAGAATGGAATTGAGTGCTTCTCCGTGTTTCGGAAGGCACGTTAAGCCTTTGGTCCCGGCTGCATCTGCAGTCGTTAGCACCCACCATCCCGCACTGGGCCCGCGTGGTGGGTCATGGCCCAATCTCCCTAATCCATTCATAGGGAAGGCCTGTGCCCCAGCAGTGGCGACATTGATAGGTTGATGATGATGATGATGAATGGAGAATGGTGCCGAAAATCATTCTGTCCCTCTCGCACGTGCTATCCTAAAGTAAGGTGCGAGATATGTCTTGCGAGTTACACTGGGTGTATTTTTGTCCGGTGTTTCGGTTAATAGGGATCTGGTTATAATCATAGACTTAGTATTTAAGACTTTCAGAGTTATGAAAAGAGATATCGTGCCATTACGACAATCCTACAAGCTAGAAACAGACGCAACATGTCCTGTCAAGCTGTGATAAAGTTTACTATGAAATTCTCTGAAACTAAGGAAACAATTGCGCTTATAGAATTTAGTTTGTGTTATGGAATCCTGTGTTTTAAGCGTATCTTGACAAAACGACATTATCATTCACAATCAAACAAATGCACATTTTTTTGGAACACTTGCGATAGGTACACTGTCTATCTTCACATTCTATATCTATAGTACACACTCAATTGCAAAAAACCCCTTGTAAACTTACCCGGAAGCTTTTGCCGCACACATCGCAAACGTAGTCCTTCTGTATGGGGTAGTTCTTGTCGGGATGTGCGCGACGGAAGTGCGCCCAATATTGACGCGCGTTCAAGATTTCTTCTGAACACTGTTACAGAAAAATTAAGCACATATTAACATGACACCCTCTTCTGCTGCCCAAGCACAAACTTTGACAGCTCCGTAATTCAAAGGCCGTTCTTGTGCCTCTAAACACGCAAGAAATCAAATTGTTTCAGATTTCAACAAAGTCTTTAACACGTTTCAAGACCATCTTGATTTACTTACAGCTGGAGTAGGTTCTTGCTCCCTGATTTATTTATTTTATTTTTATTTATTCATTGCAGTTATACATGCTGGCTAACATAATCTCAAAGATGAAAACCGCCAGCAAGTCATAAATAAAGGATAAGTTTTCAAGTCAATAAAATTAAGACAAAATCAGAGCATTCCCTGTTCGGGCGCCATGCTCGTATGTAAGGAAATTCCGTACCTTAAACAGTAAACTAGAACAATTCCATTTTTTTTTCTTTTTACATACAACGGACCGATTCCTTTCATTTTTTTTTCTTTTACATACGACAATCTTTACGCCGAGTCCTGGCGAAAATATTCAGTGTTTTTTTGAGTGTGTATGTTGTTGGTCGCAGATGACCTTTACAGCGTCACCGGGTTTGGGGACGGCGAGATCCAAAGGGGACCTTAAGCCGAGAATTGGCGAGTGTCCCTAGAGGTATTCCTTCCAGGCGGATGGCATCTTCGGGAATCTCCTCTCCGCCTGGAGTCTCTAGACCGCTCCAACATGAGGGGGTATCCAGAGTATTGCGACAAATACGCACGTGATCGCAATTGGTAGGGAATCTGATGGCGGTGGGCTTCTTGCCGTAGTTGCGCGGCCGCTTGCGCGCGTGCTCCCGCCGGTGGTGGAGCCGCAGCTCCTCCGCTGTTGAGAACGCTTCGCCGCACGCGCGACACCCGTTCCTAATAAAACAAAACTACTTAGTACAGGTCCCTGCACGTAACACTACAGTCCGGCTAACGAAAGCGTGATCTGGAACATTCTTAAAAGTTTGAATATGGCAACATTCTTAAGCTGCCAATGGCACGCACAGTCTGTGAATTCAGTTGCGAGTTTCTTGTAAACAAAAATTTTCAAAACTAATAGCAATTAAAATAGGTAAAACCATAAAAAGTAACGTGCGAAAACTGCTACATACTATGATAAAATGCGTTGTCGAATTTTTTGGTTAGTATGATTTTGTAATCTTGATTCTTATTGGCTGATTGTTTGAAATATTTAAGATATTATGATGATATTTTTTCTTATGTTTATAGATAATCTGGAAGATATTGAAGGACTCTGCGAAATAAAAAATATTGTTGAAAAGTTAAAGAATTAGGAGAAAAAATCCTTAATAGACATTTATTTCCTACTATAGTTAGTGATACCACATGGAGATTTTTTGAATTTCCCGCAAGGGAGAAACTGGAAATTAGTAAAGCCAGCTTTAGGGCGACCAAACAATCAGAAGAGAGAAATGGAATATTAGAAAAGCAAGCTTTAGGGTGGCCAATCAATCAGTGGGAACCTCTTATTGCCTTTTGTGATAAAAGTCATGCTGGACAAATAGATGTCTTTGGGTGCAAAGGCTTTTTCAACGAAATTATGTCGTGGAAAGCGTCTCTCTATTTAGTCTACAAACTGTCAGTTTAGATAACAAACAATATACCTACGGAATTCATTGAGTGTCAAGGACGACGCGACTACAGCTCAGAAGAGGCTCACACGACTGGCCGACTACGGTTCCGACCTAGCGCGAACTGCGAGCAACCGACGACGCAACTACGGCGGGGCGCGGGGGGAAACGCACGGGATAGGTCAACTACCGCTCTGACTTAGCGCTAACTGCGTACTCATAATCTTAGATATAAGTAGGGTCATTTTGTCATTTTTTCATGCGATCCAGAACAGCAAAAATTGTAATAATAAATAAGAAGAAAAATAAATCAAGAAAGAAAAATCGAGTTTTAATCATCATACAGTCCACAACATTGAGTTTTATATGACTATTTTTAATTTTTACATGGCAAAAATTAATTAGAATAAATTATACTGGTCACATTGATGTATAAAAACAAGTATAGTGCGATTGGAATCTTTAGGAATGCTGCGCAAATCGGAACTTATGTCATCGTCTTTGTAAACGTCATATTTTGTATGTCATTTATGTAAACAGTGGCGCCTTCCTTGAACTGTCATTCACATTCATAAAGATCCTTGTCACACTACAGATTCCCAATCGCCTAACAAAAGTGCATCGAAAAACGTCCGAGCGGCGCTATGTTATACATGTACATAAACTTATACAGATAACATCAACACATTTGTTCAAATTAACACGTTAAGTCGTGGCAGTAAGTTTCAATGTCAATTGTACACGCAAGAGAAAGAGAGTTTGATTGCGATGCGAAAGAGAGACAGTGCGACCAAGATTTTTATGAACGTAAGTGACAGTCTAGGGAGGCCACTGTCTACATAAATGGCATACAAAACATGACGTTTACAAAGACGGAAGCGTTAGTTCCAATTTTCGCCACATTCATAAAGATCTTGGTCGCACTATAATCAAACTTGATATTTTGCTGTAGCTATTAAAATGTAACTAATTAACAATACGATAGAAAAAGCCCAGATAGTTGCGTATTTTTGTTTCTTCAAAGGGACTACCTGAATTACGACTCTGTTTTTTAAATCTGGTGTCATTTGCACAGATTTTAAACATTACGTGGCGTTGTAATCAAAGCGCGGTCGAAACACGACTGTTTGAAAATTACGCACAATAGATGAATGTGCGTAAATTTGCTTCCAACACTTCTTGAGCGCGATTGTAAGTCTAATTGTTTTTATGAGTCAATGACTGGTCAGCATTAAAAGCATTACAAAAGTCTGATGATGAAAATTGTTAATACCTACATATAATAAAATGGTAGGAAAGTCAAAACTGTACATTGAATATTCTTTTAAAAGAATACTTGGGGTGTGATCTACAATCGATACCGAAGCCAAAAATATAGTTTCTAGAATTTTTGTTTGTTTGTCTGTATGTATGTCCGGGCACTCAAAAAGTACTGCATGGATTTACTTCAAATTTGACACGAATATAATTAAGAAGTCGGGTCAACATATAGGCTATTATCACGCTATCACCTACGGGGAACGAGCAGTGAACCTTTTTTTCTACCTAACTCCACGCGTACGAAGTCGCGGGCGGCCGCTAGTATTCTAATAAATTTAAGTTATGTACTTACTCGAAATTGGAACTCGTGATGTGTTTGACGGAAGTGACGAGATGCCGCTTGTAGCCTTCTTCCGACACGAAATGCACATCGCACTCCGAACAGTAAGGCCCCTTGTTCGATTCCCCGTCCGCTTTCATTTCCTATAGAAATTGCCATGAAAATCCTATAATAGAGATGATGACGGGGTAAAATAAACAAAATTCTATTATATTTGTTTCTAGGATTCTCACGCACAACACTCATTAAATAAAACAAGTTTCAACAGGTTAGAAGTACTGATTTTATTTATAGCTATTAACGGGATTGTTACCATGTGCCTTGTTTTTATGAGTTTCCGATATTTTGCCACTGTTGCAAGCGCCATGATCACGGAGTAACTGAAGTAATTGCGGGTAGATGTTATTGGCAAACATATCGGTCTACCCTCTGACGTCGTCTTTTACTGCGCTCGATACCCCTACCACTGGTCACATTCTCACTATTCACTCGCACTTGTTCCCGACACACAATACTCACAGTATCAGATCGCGGAACGACACTTTTTTAAGCGTAAAAGACGAGCGCAGTAAAAGACGACGTCAGAGGGTAGACCGATATGTCTGCTAATAACATCTACCCGCAATTGCTTCAGTTACTCCGTGATCATGGCACTTGCAACAGTGCCGAAATATCGGAGACTCATAAAAAGCAAGGTACATGGTAATAATCTTTTTAATAGCTATAATGTTAGTAACCATGAGAGTTTAAAACAATATATTGATTTTATTTATTTATTGACGTTTCGCATCCTTTGCAGTCAGAATCATGTTTTATTTTTATTTACGTCACTAAATAAATAAAATCAGTGCATCTAACCCGTTGACACTTGTTTTATAAAATTCTATTAGAGATTATCAAAACATAACGGACACTTATTGTGTCATTTGTCAATATACCAGAAATTACAAAAATAAAGCGCGCTAAAGTTTGGGAGTAATCACGACGTGTATTGATAGCGCCATGTTTTTTTATAAATGTTGCCACTTCTGTTAAATGCTGATGAGTTTTTTGCGCCCATTCTTCTCATCAGCTAAAAGATGCCCTGAATGGGTGGTAGGAAAAATTTTGGATGAAAAGAGCTTTTCAATAAGTCAATTTAAATTAAGTATAATTTCATTTCTTTCATGTTACTGCTAAGTAAAAAATGTGACATGACGAGGCATCTCAAATCGATATATAGGTATCTCTGTAATGTTGTGATTATGTGACAGAATATAAAATACGTGTACAATATTTTTTGATGAAATTTTATATTGGGTTTAAATCAGGACTGTACGGGGGCCAAACCAAAGCTGTCACAGACTGGTTCCTTATCAGAAATCAGAAATCAATATATCTTTATTCAAATTGGATGTATAGTACAACACTTTTGAATCGTCCAAACATTTTTTTTCCCTACCACTCGTTATAGGACATATTTTTTAGCTGCGGAGAAAAACGAGCGAAAAAAACTCCACAACATTAAAAGCATAATGTAACAACATTTACAAATCATTATGTTGTTACAACGTCAATACAATCATGATTTATTTAATATAGAAAACCTGTTGGAATGATTGGAACAGTTCAAACCCAAGCATTTTTGTCTGTAATATAATCAGACACTTTGTAATAAGCTTTTTTAATAAGTGCTTTTTTTATACTATCTTTGAATTTATTTATGCTTAACTCTTGGATATTGCTTGGGACTTTATTGTATTTATAAGCGAACACAAAGACCTTTAAATGAATTATTGATTTTGTGAAGCCTAGTAGCAGGTAAAGTTAGTTTATTTTTGTTTCTTGTATTAAGTGTGTGAACATCACTGTTTTTAAGAAACAAATTAATATTTTTTCTTACAAGTAATAAATTTTCGTATATGTATTGTGATGCGACCGTCATTATACCAAATCCTTAACTTTCAGATTATAAATTGATCGAATAGCTCTCTTCTGCAGCACAAAAATAGTTTGAATGTCGGCGGCGTTTCCCCACAATAAAATTCCGTACGACATTACACTATGGAAATAACTAAAGTACACTAATCTGGCCGTATCTACATCTGTTAACTGGCGTATCTTCATTACGGCATATGCTGCAGAGCTAAGTCTTTTGGACAATTTATCAATATGTGGGCCCCATTGAAGCTTAGAATCTAAAGTAATCCCTAAGAATACTGTGGTGTCTACAAGGCCCATATTCCTATCCTTTACATTCACACTGGCTTTTACCTGTTTTACATTAGGTAATACAAATTTCATACATTTCGTTTTTCCTTCATTTAGTAATAAATTATTAACATTAAACCAGTGGACTACCTTAGAGATACAACTGTTCACGTCGTCAATAACTGTTTCCTTACGTTTGAGTTTAAATAAAAGTGATGTATCATCCGCGAACAATACTATCTCATGCTTATCTCTAAAATAGTAAGGCAAGTCATTAAAAAGTCTTAAAAAGTCTTTTATTACTTTTGCAGTGTGTTTCGGATCATTATCCTGTTGGAAAGTCCAAACGACCGGTAAATTTTGCTCGACATAGGGCAGCATGGCTTGTTCTAATATATTCTTGTACTGAAATTTATCCATGTTGCCTTCTATTTTCCTGACAGGTCCAACACCAAGCCCTGAGAAACAGTCCCAAACTTTGATATTTCCGCCCCCATATTTAACTTTTTGATGATCTGCCTGATAGACGAAGAAAAAGAAAGTTTGGCTGACACAGCGAACTTCGTACTGCCATTAAAATAGGGGTATGTATTTTTAATACCGAATCATAAAAAAGAACACAAAATAAAAACTATATTGTGGGGTGCACTACCCTTATCTTTTAGGGGTAAGAAAAGTATTTTGCGTCCTATCAGTCTACTGAGTATTCACACAAGAATTGGTCAAGCCGTTTCGGAGGAGTTTTGTCACAAATACACACACACACACACACGAGAATTTTATATAAAAGATCATCATTAACCTATTAATCTATTAATGTCCCCACTGCTGGATCACAGGCCTTCCCTATGGATGGAATAGGGAGATTGGGCTTGACTCACCACGCGAGCCCAGTGCGGGACCAACGGCTTAACGTGCCTTCTGAAGCACGGAGGAACTCGAGATAGAAGATTTTTGGTCACCCATCCAATGACTGACCACTGCGAAAGTTGCTTAACTTCAACGATCGCAGCCGAACGCGCTAATCACCTGCGCCATCGAGCTCCTCTCAAGCATATATAAGATACACTACTACTATTGCAATACTGTGTTATGTCACAAAAGCTAAAAACTTGATAAGGTTGTAAAGGTTGAACACATTTGTGAAAAAAGTCTCTCTTTCTCTTCTTCAAGAAGAAGAAGAATGGAAAAATTAACAAATACGTCCTCTGTGCTTCGGAAGGCAAGACAAGTCGTTGTTCCCGGCTGCATCTGCAGTCATTAGCACCCACCAAACCACACTGGACAAGAGGGTCATTCATAGCCAACGAATTGGAAATAATATGGAAGCCTGATATTTTCTAACAGAAGCCGTTAACACACGGTACCGGGCCAACCAACGTGACACAGACTAAACAAAATATTTTGACCAATCAAATATCTGCAAATGAATTCGGTAGGTATCCATTCATTGGTTAAGATAATGTTACACGGAAGTCCCAACCAATCCCATGATCGCAGTTTTTTCGCCCCGCCCACTTGATCGAAGTTTACGTGAAACCTTTTTTAGCGCAGTTCGTATTCCATATTATTCCTAATTCGCTGCTCATGGCCAGTCTTCCCATTTCATCCATAGGAAAGGCCTGTGCCCCAGCAGTGGGGACATTAATAGGCTGATGGTGATGATGAACAGTGTATTATCACTAGATATCGGATAAACGGATGCATATTTACCAAATGTTCAGATGTTGGCTATTATGGAAAGCACTTTTTTATCGAAAAAACCGCGATTTTGGGAAATTCAAATTGTGTAAAGCGTATACTCCGTGAGATCTAATAAACTTAGACTGGACGTAAATACTTTATAAATACTAAACTTTGCATGCTCTTCAAGCTTTTATACGACCTCTGGAGCATGTGCTCCAGAGTACCTGAAATCTAGATTTCAATTTCTGGGCACTTCCAATCAACGTGATCTTCGCTCGTGCAGAAATCTCACACTACAAATTCTCGTTTATTATTCTGGCTTTGGTCCAAATCTTTCTGATTATGTGAGTATTTTATGTATGTGCATCAATTTGTATTTAAGTATTATTATTTTAATTATTATTATGTTAATGTTCATTTTATTTAATTTTTAGCAACTTTGCCTTATCGCCATACTATTTATCTCCAACAATCATACTGGTTGACTGGTAGAGAATGCCTATGGCATTAATTCCGCCGTTTGCTTATGTTTGGCAATAAAGTTTAAATAAATAAAATTATTTAATAACAGTTGCCCTGTGTCTATAATATAAAAATAATGTGTAAGATGTCCTTATGAATACATAAATAAATCTTCATTGATTTATGTTTTTTTCATTAACCACACCACCATTTCTCTTACACCTTACATATATACGAATGGGAAATTAAAATGTTTGATAATGAAACTTTAAAGAATATATACATCCGATTAGTTATGTGATCCTGAAATCTCGATATTTTAGTTTTTAATAAAAATATCCTAAGATAATAGTATCCCCTTCCGTGATGTGTTAGCTAAAAAATTACTTTAGGTAAATATGCATCCGATTATCCGATCTCTTAATTATGACTCACGGGCACATCCTTGTGCATCATGGTGCGGTGCATGGCGAGTCCCAGTTTGCTGACGTAAGAGTACCCACAGACATCGCACACAAACTCAGAAGGGTGCTTGATTCGAACATGGCTCAAATATGACGTCCATTTGCTGCGATTTCAAATAGAAAATATTTGCATGATTTTCAGAAAAGTAAGAACTAAATGCACAGCAAAAAAAAACAGTTTTGATTGGTAATTTTAATATATTTTCATATACAGGCAGTCCTCGACTTACGTCGTTTCAAGTTACGTCCTACAATGTTTTGACACTATTCCTCAAACATACGTCAATGGTTTCTATTTCCGGCATAGGAGAATTCACTTGTGGCGAGGTCAACCCTTTAGTTTTACATGTAAACATATGAAAAAATATATCTCGTTCTACGTCGTTTCTATTTACGTCGGTTTTCGAGAACCTAACATGCCGTAAGTACGAGGACTACCTATACTTATAAAAAGATGGTAGTTTAGTGGATGTATGCATTGGACTGATCATTAATTTATCATAACCATTCCAGTGCCCGTAGCATGAGCACCACAATATACATTGGATCACGCTTTTTATCGCGTCTAACTGCGTGCGTGATAAAAACGCGTAATATATCATATCGCAGTGATCATGCTAGGGGGGCATATCGATATAAGAAAAACGGCCAAGTGGGAATCGGACTTGTCGGCCGAGGTAACCATACAAAGGACATTGTTCAGCGTCCATACATAGTTAGCCTAAGAACCAACAATCATGAAATATTATTTTCTAGGTTCGAAATCGTAAGTAAATGACTGTAAAAACAAAGATTATTGACGGACACTTCTGAGAACATAAATTATTAGAAAAACTACATGTTTTTTGAGGTTATGTTTAATATTCAATGAAACATAGGTCAACCTATGAACTTAGTATGAAGTGAATTAATATTACAACTAATTCATTTTATCCTGTGCGATTTTAAAGAATTAGAACTATTAGGAAAACCTTGGATAGGTAGGAATCATGAATAAAATAATAACTGTAGTTTTGCTTCTTATTTATTGACTATTTTTCACATAATTGTATCATATTGTATATGGTATTTATTTATATATCACATGTATATTGTGTAAATATGCAGCGTGAAGGTGTATCAGGTGTTCTTGAATAATTTGGCAGTATGATCCTCTCAGGATGTTGTGGCACAGGTTCACTAGCACTTTGTAATAAGGTAACTCTTTGGTAACATCGATGGCATATTAGATAGCCGAAATAGTTAAATTATAGGAAAAACAATCGCAAATAAACACACACAACAGGTAATATCAAACGAGAATGCACTTTCCTGTAAATTATACTACTCTTTTGGAATGCACGTTCCCTTTATATACCTTTTCTCCTTGAATGCACGAATGCCACAGATTACTACGAATGCAAACTGCCTGCTTGCACCACAACCACAGAGTATCGAGTTTTATGCCGGCCCTTCACTTGACAATAGTTTGTCCTTGTCATGCTTAATAAGGAATGAAAAGGACAGACTGATGTCATGTTATAAAATAGCAAATACGAATAGCCAAGTGAAGTGCCGGCATTAGGAAGAAAGAGTGTTTTGTTTGCAGCGCTGTCATAGATTATACACATAAAATGGTATTTATTGTCTCAGATTATTTTTTTACTTTTTATTTAGCTTACTTAACTGGAAGTGTCCGTCACAATCTAAATACTGATAATTATCCCAAAAAATATATTAAGAATTATCATAAATGCCAAATTGGTGTTGGTTCTTAGGCCAATTTTAACATTGTCCTTTTACGTTAACTCAGATATTCGATTTTTTCCCAGCTTAGAGCGACGATAGACTTGAGTATATGGTTTAAATTGAGGAGCTGGTGAACAAAACGGTATAATTACATAAAATTTAATTTTACAGGAGCTGAATGACATACCTCCATTGAGTTTTGACATGGTTTTTAATTTATAAATTTAGTAATTTTAACACTGTTCTAGGCGGTTTTGATTGAAAATTATTTGAGATTCAAATTCAACGGGTCCGAAACCTACGGACTGTAAAAAAAGTAGTTTGACCGGATGCGTAATTATACAGTTTTCTTCGCCAGCTCTTCAATTTCAACTCAATAGCTCCACGCGTTCCCGAGCTTAAGGGTCTTGACAGACAGACGGACGACAAAGTGATGATATAAATATAAAGGTTCCGTTTTTTTTGCGCGTACGCAACGCTAAAAAAATGAAACATGTGTTGCATAACGTTAATGATACTGTAAGAAATTTTGTGTAATTTCTATTTAAAACAACATCACAATCCCAGTACTACAAAGGGTAACGTATGAAAACTTACGTGGACACTTCGTCACAGTACTGGCATTTATACGTGACGCCTTTATGCCACCTTTGGTGTTGTTTCGCCTGTGTTCTGCAATCATATTTTTAACTTTTTTTATCCTTACCCTTAGCACGAACCAATAACGAATTCGAATAGTTTGCGAGTGCGAAATGTCATTGTCATATTTTATATGGAAACTTGAACAGCAGCGCCACAACGGACGTAACGAGAACTAAAAATCAGTACACATTTGACAATGACATTTCGCACTCGCAAACTATTCGAATTCGTTAATGGCATTCGATATAAAGCTGTGATGGTAAAAGTGATTACCATTACCTTATTATCACTGATAAGTTAAATCTCTAAAACTAAAATGATATAGCTGTGATGGTAAGGTTGATATGTTAGTCTCTAAAAAATTCCATCACAAAAAAACTTCACAACACGAAAGTGATATGGCTATGATAGTAAAGGAGATGTGTTAGGATGTGTGGTTATACAGCTAGTATGGATTAGGCTAATCCTACTAATATTATAAATGTGAAAGTTTGTATGTCATTGTGTTACTCAAGCACGCAAAATCTACTGAACGGATTTGGTTGAAATTTGGTATGCGTATACGCGTAGTTTATGACCTGGAATGAGATATAAATGTAACTTTTTATCCTGAGAAACTGTTAGGTTTCTGTGGGACTACTACTACGACTATCCAAAAATTAAACTTAACGCGGACGAAGTCGCGGGCGATCGCAAGTGATGATGAGAAAGGGTTTTATTTTTATTTACGATATGTGATGATAGTGAAGGCGGTTTACTCACGTGGTCTTTGAAACGTAGGAGCAAGATTTGCACGCGTACTTCTTCTGGTGATTGGACGCGTGCTTCTGCAGCGTGCGGTTGGTTTTGAACCTGAACTTGCACACCTGACACTCGATGTCGCCAGAACTCTGTTGATGATGATAGTACATTCCGGAATAAATATAAAATCTAACTATACAGTAAACATAGTGAGCTACTGCTTTTCAAGGAGCTCGATGACGCAGGTTAGCGCGTTCATCATCATCATGGAAGTTAAGCAACCTTTGCAAGGGTCGATAATTAGATGGGTAACCAAAAACTTATTATCTCGAGCTCCTACGTGCTTCGCAAGGCACGTTAATCCATTGGATAGGGAGCTTCGGCCGTGACCTATGGTCGAGCTTCTCATACATATTGTAAAGTGTGTGTATGGGTCGTGTCTAGACTATAGTGTGATATCAGACCAGGTCGTGTATACACTATAGTGTGTGTGATATCAACCGGTCGTGTGACTATAGTATGTGTGATATGAGACCGAGTCGTGTATAGACTATAGTGTGTGTGATATTAGACCGGGTCATGTATAAACTAAAGGGTGTGTGATAACAGACCGGGTCATGTTTGCCGACGTGGTGCTTCCAGGCCTGCGTCTCGATGAAGCCGCGGTAACACAGGTTGCACTGGAACGGGGCGTTCTGGTAGTTGGAAGACTGTTGTCGTTTGCGAACTTCCTCCATTTGCTCTTCCATCTATTAAATAAATATGAATTGTATTTCTAACACTCGCATAAGCCCTGCTCCAAAATAAGCACTGTAAGGCTTGAGCTTCAGAAAATATGTGTAACAAAAAATGTATTTTTTTTTATTCACACAGTGTTAAGCACTCTTTTTTTATGTAATATAATTGTTAGGTATTATCCTACTAACCAAACCAGCCTATTAAAATACCCCATAGCTTGACGTATAGAAAATTTTATTACTCACTGTAAGGTTGATAACTGTGACATATTCTTCCAGATCTATATCCTCCGGGTCAACACCACCTGTATTCTGCGTCCGCCGCTGTTTCTTCTCTTTGTTGGTATTTTGCTCTTCCTTATCTACCTTCTTGGGCCGACCTCGCTTCTTCTTCTGAGTAGCACTTTCTAATATTGGCAGCAATTCAGATATATCTTCGGAAGCCTAATCATGTAATGCAGGTTAAGTGACAATTTATTCCTTCTAAATAATAGACTTAAATATGCCTTTTCGTTATATGAGTTATGAGTTTCCGCCCCTAAGTATTTTTTTATTAGAGTCTTCAAAGAGATATATTAATTCAGAGTAAATTAATGATAGATTGAAATCAAATGATCTGCAAAAATACCAGTTAGTTGCAAGCGTTAAACAATCAAGGTGTTTAGGAAAATTTACGCCATCGGTTGGAGACACTGTGACCCCTTTGTCCATTTATTGTTTTAAACTTTCATTGTCACTAACATTATAGTAATAGAAGTTATTTACGGGATTGCATGTACCTTGGTTTTTGCGAGATTCCGATATTTGCTAGTTACTCCGTGATCATGGCGCTTGCAACAGTGCTGAAATATCGGAAACTCGCTAAGACAAGGTACATGGTAATAATTCCGTAAATAACTTATGTTACTATAAAGGGTCCATTGTATGAAAATTCGGCCGTAAATTAATTGAATGAGCATTTAAAAAGATCTACAGACTATGATATGATATTTGACGGATGAGAAGATCTTTCATCTCTGTGTTACCACTTGGCACCCATAATTCCAGAAAATCCTAGTTGTGATAATGACGATAAATAATCTCACCTCTGCACCTTCTACTATGACTGAACTATCATCTACTTTTTCCTCTGTCTTTTTCCTTCTTTTCTTCTCAGATTTCTTCTTCTCTTTCTTTTCTTTATTACTCTTGTGATAAGATAATGGTTCGTTATCATCATCACTACTATAGAGATTTGTCATGGAATTCTCATCAAATGTAATCTCCTCTTTAATAACTTTTGTTTCAACATTATATTTATTATCAATATGTTCCTTATCATTAATTTCACTATCAATGATGTCATTATCAATGATATCATTATCATTGATTTCATCAATAATGGGTTCATTTTTAATATTTTCTTCAAACACATAACAATACTCCTGTTTTCCATTAGCATTAATGGTATTCAAAGTGATTTTTGAAGATAATTCTAATTTCCGTCTATCTATTTGTGAAATATTCTGCAATGAAATCTACAACAAAATTATTGTTGCTAGTGGTTTGTTATTATATATTTGTTGTCAATAGTATGAATAGTGGAGTCTGCAATATTCAGAATTCAATTACCAATAAAAGGGGAATAGTAGAGTCGGAGGTGATAGATTTAAATAAGAAGGACTAGAACATATGTTGTCCTAAGTGCAACATGCATCTTCAATAACAATTTAACTTAAACAATTCAACAATTTCCAGTGACTCACCAGGAAGTGTGCCTGGAATAAAGTTGTTTAATAATACTTTATGCTTTTTATTTAAACGGTAATTATTTGCTTAAACAGTAGGCCTCTCTATCTGAAATTGATCTCTATTTTGCAAACGCATTTGCTATCAAAACAAAAGGTGCTATTTGAAGACAATCTGGTATACTCCCCCGTAAACTTCTTGAGCATTAACCTGTGCAGTAGCAATTTTACATACAAAATACCCACTGCGCAAGTTCATTTGTCTTTGGTTTTGCTCAAGATTTTTTTCTTGTAAGAACTAATTATTAATTTGTAGATTCATAAATCCAGCAGTTTAATTCTCAAATAAAAATATAAAATATTTGATATTTTTTTTTACTGTGGCAGTAAATTGATTATACAACTACTTTGTATGATTATTAATGTATGATTGCATACCTGTCCAGTTGCCCTTAGGGTACTTGACAAGACAGCTTGGCCTTTTAAACATTTTTCTCTAAAGAAATGAAACTTCTTTATCAAAGCAGCACACTCATAACATGCATATGAAGGTAATATTACACTGGAAAGCTGAAAAAAACAAAATAAAATAAAATCTGTTAAAAATGTTTTAGTGTATAAAGTACCTAATTTATTAAACAATAAATGTTTTTTATAACTATCATTTAATTTATTTTCTTATAAGATCATATTAACTTAAATCACTGACATTAGGATATAAAAAGTTTACTTAAGTTATAATAAAAAAATAACTTACATCAATTCCAATGTTGTTCAAACAATAATGATCAAATGGGAAAGCCTGTAAGTCATACATTTTAACGTCTGTTATGAGACATATTCTACATATCTGAACCCCGTCCATGATTAAAATATATTCTATAGAAACATTCACTATTTAAGACTAATAATTCATATATTCGCGGCACATGATAGACTTAAAAAATAATAGAACTTCTTCAAATATTGAAATTCTGTTTACAGATATAACAAAGCACTTATATGTGGAAAAGAATAATTTTATGGGTGAGAGTTATTAAATTAATAAGATTCATGGCAAATATTGAACAAGAATTAAATATTTTCATAGCCACATGTAATTTATACGAAGACTGTCTAGTTTTACAAAAGACAAGACGCTAGGACGCCAGCCAGCCATCGACGAGCGTAGTGACATAAGCGTTTTGTTTCGTACATCACGTAGCTAGATGAAATCTTTTCGATGTTGCGTTTCGTATCATTGATTAAATTTAAATATTTTTTAAATTATGTATACAAATATCTACAGACATTGAGCGAATTTTTCGTTTCTTCTCTAACTTCTTCTTTCACAGTCTTTTCTAATACTATTGATATCGTAGTCCGCTGTAACGTCTTCTCAGTATTTCAAATAGAAGTAAGGTTATAATATTCACTTGCACGCAAGTTCTTAATTCAAGTTTCAAAGCCAATCGAGTTTAAGCAGCACTCTATCTTTTTTTGACTTTCAACAGTTGACAAAGATGAAATGATAGGCTAAACACGATTAAGCCTTAGCTCACGTAAAGAACTTTCGTATTAAATATGTAGAATATTTATGTAATACATTCTTAAAATAAGTAACACTGGGCTATACATAATTATTTTAGACCAGCTTCAATCTCCCTATTCCACAAAAAAAAGGATCCTCCACCAATTCGCACCGGCCCAGTGCTGATTGGGCCCAGTGAGGAATTAGCCGTGCGAAGTGGGCTCTTTTTGGATTGGGCTGCCGTCTTCTATCTCAATATCTCTATCAAGTCCAGAGTGAACAGGCATCTTCTAGGCAGGCGTGTACCATCCTAGGACTCATCATCGCTTTCCATCAGGCGAGATTGTGGACAAACGCCTTGCCTAAGCATAAAAAAATATCTCCCTATTTCACAAAAAAATATCCTATAGCTATAGCGCCCCTGCCCTGCTATCAGAAAAACGACGAGAGGACAAGGGTTTGTTGCAATTTTGTGCGAGGAAATAGTGGTCGTTGGCGTGTACTTCTCACCAAATCGCCCGCTTCCGGATTTCGAAGGCTTCCTGGCTAGATTTGATATCCTTCTTGGATTCTTGCCTTTGCCTGATTTCATCAACGTTGCTTCTGTACTGTTACTGCCTCCTGCTGTGCTGTTTCTTTTCTCTTTCGCAAGTATTTTCTCATGTGCGCATGACTGGACTGTAAGGTTATTCATTGTACGATCATTCTTTGGCATTTGATTCCAACTTGACTTGAAGAATAAAAAAAAAATATGATGTGGTGTCGTGGGACACCAGGTATGAACGAAGTTCCTTCGGCTAATGTAGAATCGACACAAATTGCAAACTCGCTTGTGTATGCGACTGTCGCGCCTGCGCACTTCTCATTTAACGGTTTTATTCTATTTTTTCTTACGGTTTTACTATCACATTTTTTTCAGTTCGGTCGCGCAGCAAAATCCCTATCCCCTCCAAGCCAAACTCGATTGTGTATGCGACTGTCGCGCCTGCGCACGTCTCATTTAACGGTTTTATTCCACGCACTTTTTTCCACGGATTTTTTCTTACGGTTTTACTATCACATTTTTTTCAGTTCGGTCGCGCAGCAAAATCCCTATCCCCTCCAAGCCTGCCGTAAGGAACTTCGTCGCGCCTGCGCACGTCTCATTTAACGGTTTTATTCCACGCACTTTTTTCCACTGATTTTTTCTTACGGTTTTACTATCACATTTTTTTCAGTTCGGTCAGCTAGTGTTCGTAAAGATTGCTAAGCAGGACTGGCCCACAGTTTATAATAAACTACAATGTCACAATAATCCAGTAATGCAGCCCCGTCGCTCTGCCACCCCCCTGGACTTAACCACAGTTTAGTATAATATACGACAATAATCCAGTGTTGGTATAATGCCACAATAATTTGGGGTTGCACCCCCGTCGCTCTGTCACCCCCTGTTAAGTACTGACCTTGTTATCATGTCTAGCTTAAGTTTACAGCAGATGATAGGCGTTCCTGGTCCACAGCTGGGTATAACGTCACAAATATCCAGATTTCGTGTAATGTCACAATATACCAGTGCTGCACCCTCGTAGCTGTGCCACCCCCTACATACGCACCTTATTATCATGTCCCGCTAGCGTTCGTAAAGGATGCTAGGCAGGACTGGCCCACAGTTTAGAATAAACTACAATGTCACAATAATCCAGTGATGCACCCCCGTCGCTCTGCCACCTCCTGATAAGTACTCACCTTGTAATCATAATCATGTCTCACAGGCGTTACTGGTCCACAGCTTGATATAACTTCACACATATTCACTGTTGGTGTAATATCACAATATTTCAGTGATGCACCCTCGTCGCTCTACCACCCCCTATAACTTCACACATATTCAGTGTTGGTGTAGTATCACAATATTTCAGTGATGCACCCTCGTCGCTCTACCACCCCCTATAACTTCACACATATTCAGTGTTGGTGTAATATCACAATATTTCAGTGATGCACCCTCGTCGCTCTACCACCCCCTATAACTTCACACATATTCAGTGTTGGTGTAATATCACAATATTTCAGTGATGCACCCTCGTCGCTCTACCACCCCCTATAACTTCACACATATTCAGTGTTGGTGTAATATCACAATATTTCAGTGATGCACCCTCGTCGCTCTACCATTCCTATAACTTCACACATATTCAGTGTTGGTGTAATATCACAATATTTCAGTGATGCACCCTCGTCGCTCTACCACCCCCTATAACTTCACACATATTCAGTGTTGGTGTAATATCACAATATTTCAGTGATGCACCCTCGTCGCTCTACCACCCCCTATGCGCACGTCTCATTTAATGGTTTTATTCCACGCATTTTTTCTTACGGTTTTACTATCACATTTTTTTCAGTTCGGTCGCGCAGCAAAATCCCTATCCCCTCCAAGCCTGCCGTAAGGAACTTTCGTTCCAATATTCTGACGGCAATATGTCCAATATATTATTTAATCAACTAGCCGTCCCAGAGAACTTCGTACCGCCATAAAAAAGGGGTTGGTGGTAGAAGGGTGAAAAAGGGTTGTATGTTTTTTTGTATGATGTATCATGAAAAAATAAAAACAAAAAAAATTGTCCAAAAAATTAAAAATTTAAGGGTACACCCTTAACATTTAGGGAGATGAAAAATAGATGTTGTGCTATTCTCAGACCTACTGAATATGCATATAAAATTTCACGAAAATCGGTCGAGCCGGAGTAGTTCAATTACGCACACCGTGACACGAGAATTTTATATATTAGATATTGCTGTTGGCATTCTTTCAGACAGCTCTAATGCTTTGGTGAGTTCGTACCAATGACCTTTGATTGTCGAAATATGAGTAGCCATATCATGTTTGTCTTCTCTCTGATATCCAAAAAAGTTCTGACCCATCGTAGAGCATGTATTACTGTATGCAGTTCGTCCCACATGTCTTTGGAATTGCTTTCATCTTTTGCAGTATCTTTGTATGTGTGGGTGGACGTACCTTGCGATATTGCATTTTATTCCTTCCAATATATCTAATGCACCCTTTAGCAGCATACAATTTTTTGAATCTCTGTGTCTTAATATCATCCATACCTGATACTTGCCCTACCCGAACCTTGGCAGCCACAACTATAGCACTATAGAATTGTCAATTTTTTTACGTTTCTCTTGCTGGTCCAAGTTTTACACGAAATATAGGAACTTTTCTTGATTCTTTAGTAAACAACTTCGTAGGATATTTTTCAACTTATTCATGTCGTTACGAAGACTCTGCTACCACTTAAAGAAATAACGAGCAAAGAATTTACCCCCTATGCTGTGTAAGTGGATGATTTTCGCCAGCGATTCAGAAAATTATTTTGATATCAAAATTTTTCCTATTTTGCGTTTAACCATATTTAGTAATGGTTTTAAATTTGTTACACATCTAATATATAGATAAGTTTGTAGAGAAGCTATTCAGGATTGATTTTAGACAAATGAAGCCTGGATGTACAGTAGAATTCGAATAATAATACGAAAATCGGGTGGAAATCTTTTTGATTTTCCGACCGTGAAACACAATATAGATAGCCACACAGCTGAGGGCTGGAAATTCAATATAATTCAGAACGTATGACAGTAAAATAATGTAAACAGTTTTGTTAGGAACAATAACTATGCAAGAGATAAAATTTTTAAAACAACCATAAAGAACGATTTTATCCTTCTCATCAATCAATCATCAGCTACGCAGCATTAGTATGGTAGACCAAGACAACTCAGATAACGATAGTGGCGCGCCTGCTGCGCAATCTCAGGCAGCATAAAAGCCATCTCTTCTTCTTCTTCTTTTATGATCACTTGCGTTGTGACTTAACACAGCTCCGCCAATGTCAAGTGATCAGCCATTACACGTAAGGGAATGACAGTTATAAATCAAAATTTTGGTTATTTTATAAGCACTTTTACCTGTAAAGAAAAACGTCACAATCAGGACAACACAAACATAAAACAAGTAAAGCGAGGAGCTTTGTTATAATCTTAGTTTGTTATGGGAAATAAATTTGGACTTTGGAGCTTGAGGGTTGAGTAATCACATAAACATAGTAGGACTTTCATGCTTATAGGACGAAAAATAGTGGGAGGTAAAATGTAAAGCCATCTCTACATCAGCACCTAGAGACAATAATTAACGTAATTCCTACCTTTTTTTTTATTACGCAGGCAAAACTTCTACATATTACAGACGTTGGCTTATGGAGCAGACCAACGAACGGACCTCACACCTAGACTCTCGCAAGTCTCACGGCTACAAAATGGAGAAGCTGTTAAGCAGTCAGCGCTGCTTACGAGCGCTTACGGCATCTAAAAAACCCTGCGAATACCCTCTACGCTGTTAAGTGCGGAACCGCGAGATCCCTATTGAAGGACTTCACCGCGTCTAACGTAATTCCTACCCTACCGCTTTTCTTATTCATAAAACAAGAAGCTGCTGGTACAACCACACGCTTAAGTGCGCTTAAGTATGTTGGGACTATGGAGGGGTAACAATTCCCTGCACACCAGCATCTTAGCAGACATACATAAGGATTTTCCGTTTTTGTACTATGCAGCAGTAAATGACCTAATTCTCAAAACGTACGTACCTATTCAACAAAAAGTATAAAATACAAGTTTAGGA